TATTTAATTAATAATATAATCTTTAAAAAGTATCCTATAAGCCTTTAAATATTATCTTTTTATTATTATTAAATAGCCCTATTAATAATATTTTAAGAAATATTAGTTTTAATTTTAATTAATTGGTTAAGCTAAAAGAAGGTTAATATTAATACTTTATAAGTTAGTTTTTTTATTAATTTAAAAGTGCTTTATTATTTATTACCCATTTTAAATAATACACCCTTTTTAAATAAACGGTTTAAAGGTTTAATTATATTATTAATATAATATATAAATATTTAAATAAAGTTATATAGCTTTAAAAACGAATAAATAGCTTAAATATTAATTAGGTTTTTAAATTTCTAGCTAATAATAATATTTATCTTTTTAAGATTTATTTAAATATCCTATTTAACCTTTAGGATTATACCTAAGTAATTTATAAAGGTTATATTAAAGTAGGATTTTTTTATATCTTTTTAAAGTTTAACATTATAAAGGTAATATATTACCTTTTTATATTATTCCTAATGCTCTTTTTTATTATTTATAAATATTAAAATATTATTAATATAAGTATTAATAAAAAGGTTAAATAGTTTATATAATTAAAAATTAATAAAGTTTTATTATTAAATGGAGCTAATTTTTAATTTAAAAAGTAAAACCAACTATTAAAACATTCCTTATTAGGTTTAAAATATTTATTAAATATTAAAATTTTAAAGCTATCCTTAATTTATAAAAGGCTTTAATAATATTAAACTTAATATAATATTTAGCCTTTTAATTATTATATATAATATTATTTAAATTTAATATTAAAATAATATAATCTTTTAAATATTTATTTTTTTATTAATAATTAATATAAAACTATTTTTTAATTAAATTTAGTTTAAAGGTAAAAAGGATAAAGGAAATATTTATTTTTATATAAGGTTTAATAAAGCTATAGGTTAATAATTTATTTATTACTTCTTTTTTTAATAATAGGTATTAAATTAAAGTTTAATATTAAAGAGGGCTATTTAAAGGGTTATTAATAATAGTTTTAAGGATTATATTATATTCCGGTTATAATAAAGATAATTTATTAGCTTTTACTTTTAAAAAGAACCCTTTTAAATAGGTTAGTTCTTTAAAGATTAAGCAATAAATTAACTTAATATATTTAAAATCTTTATTTTATAGGAAGGAAATATATTTATTATTAAAGGTTTTCCAAATCTTTTTTAATATTATTATAGCTACCTTTAAAGCTACTTTAATAAATTTAATAAATATTAATTTATTTAAAAGTACCCTTTTCTTTTATTATTTTTATTTAGGGTTTAATTTAATTTTTTTAATAAATTATTAAATAATCCTTTTATTTTAAAATTACTTTATCTTTAAGCTTTTTAGTTAAATATTTTTTAAAGGTATATAGCTAATTGCTTTAAAATAATATATTTCTTTTCTAAAGTAATATTCTTCCGGTTAATATCCTATTAAATAACGGGGTTAACTTATTAATCGTTAGGAAACTTCTATATAATTTTAATTATAGGTAAAAATAAAGTAAAGGGAAATAAATCTTTTAATTAATATAATATTTAATAGGTATAATTTAAAGTAACTTTATTTTTAACTAACTATTTTAAACTAATTATAATATTATATTTAATATTAATAACTTAAAAGGTTTAATTTTTAAACCTTTATCCATTTACTTTTAAAGTAATAATAAGATATTAATTAATTATATTAATAAATTATCCTTAATAATTATTTAATCATTATAGTTATTTTAAAATAGTTAACCTAGGTTTTAATTAATAATTAATATAATAAGCTAATTTATAATTAATTATTAAATATATTTAAGCTTTAATATTATATAACGTAATAGCTTTTATTTTAAAATTATTTATTTATATTTAAATAAAATATATAAATTAAATAATATTTTAACTATTTTTTATATAAGTTAAGGATAGTTTATAAATTATTAAAAAGTCTTTTAACTTAAATTTAATAAAAGAAGAATTAATAAGCTTTTTTTTATTTTTTTTATTTTATATTTAAATTATATTTTTACTTTTTTTAAGGTAATCTATAATATAGTATTTTATTTTATTATAATTAAAGTAAGTATTATTCTTTTAATAGGTTTTCTTCTTTTCCTTTAAAAGCTTTATTCCTTTAAGCTTCGTTATAATATTCCTTTTATTTATATTCTTTTTATTATTAAGGTTATAATTAATAAAGTTAATAGCTTATTTTTTCTTTTAACAATTATAGTAATAATTATAGTTATATATTACTTTTATTATTTTATTATAAAAACGTTTATATAATATTAATAAATTAATATTAACTTTAAATACTTTAATTTTAAGGTTAAAGCTAATATATTTTTATAAAAATTAAAACCATTTAAACTTAAGTAACTTTAACTTTAATATTAAGTTATTAAATTAAAAAATGAATTAATAAATATTAAAACCTAGCTTAAAGTAAAGATTATTTAAAGCGTTTTATATTTAAATAGCTTAATTTAAATTATAGTAAGCTATTTTTAACATTTATACTATTTTAATTAAATTATTATATAGTTAAGTAATAAAATAAAAATAAATTTTAATTGCTTTTTTAATATCCTTTTTTAAAAAGGATATAATATAATATATTTAACTTTTTTTAATATAATATATTATTATATTATTTTTAAGTTTATTAGTTAACTTTTCTAATTAATTATTAAATAAATCTTTATTTCCGGAAAAGGTATTTAAATTAGCTTTATAAGTTTTAACCTTTTTTATATATTTTAAATTTAGGTTTATAAGGTTACCTATTAAATTAATTATTTTAAAGATAGCTTATATAACTATATTAATTAGCTTAAAGTTAATTTTATTAAAGGTACTTTTAATTATACTTTTTTATAACATTAAGGTTAGGCTACCTTTTTCCATTTAAGCTTAAAAAATAATAATTTATTTTTATAACTATTAAATTAAAATAGCTTAATTAATAACATTTATTTTATTTATTAATTAAGGTAATTTTATTAATCCTTTATTTAAATTAAAGTTTAATAATAAAAGTATTATATTTTTTAGTTTAAGGTTTAAAAAGTCCTAAAAGCTATTTTTAAATTTAATATTAATTTCTTCTTCCTTAATAAAAAGGATAAGGTTTTAGGTTAATTATTTATTAATTATAGGAACATTAAATATAGTATATAATAATAATCATTAAAATCATTTTGGGTTATTTATTTTAATTAGAGTTTTTTTAATTTTAAAAAGTATAGGGTTTAGTTCTATTAATTAAGCTTATTATAAGGTTATATTTATTTATTATTAAATATAGAATATAATAATAAAGGGGGGAAAGGTTTGATTTTATAAATTGCAAATAATAGTAATTAAATATAGGTAATATATTTATATAACATTTATTAATAAAAAGGAGGAGCTTAAAATAATATTATAATTAAGGTTTTAAAATATAGCTATATTAATACTATAAATAAAGATTTTAAACTAAAGAAAAAAGGAAGGAAAGATAAAATTAAAATATAAATATATATAGAAATATATATATACTAATAGCTATTATAAGTTATATAACCTTATTAATATATATTTTATATATCTTTATAATATTCCTTTATAGTACGTATAATATTCCGGTATAATATATGTTTAATATATTTATTATAAATTATATATAATTTATTTAGCTTTTATTTATTTTAAGGAATTAATAAATTAAAAATTCTTTAAATTAACCTTTAAAACTTAGCCTTATTAATTATTATTTAAAATAATAATATTTTAATATAATCTTTATTTATAGGATTAATAAAGTAAAATTTTAATATATATTATTATCTTATATTTATAAATAGTAAAGGGTTAAAGATAAAGTATAATTTTAACCCTTAATAGCTAAAGATATATTTAGGTAAATATCCGGGCTTATAACCTATTAAAAGTAATACATATAATCCTATTAGATTATTTAGAAGTTTAAATTATAATATAATTATCTAACTGGATAAAGGTCTTATATATAGATTCCCAGCATTCCAATATATGGAATGCAAGTATCACCGCCTTCCCTTTCTAACAATGGAAAGCGTAGAATTTGGTAGGAGATAACAAATTCAAGCATTGGTATTTTTTTCAGCAAGTCTGAAACTACATCTTATATCAACAACAAGGTCAATTAACCTCTAGTATTTCAGTTGAAGCAGAACTAATTTGAATATTTCTCCCCTCTATATTTGGATGGTGAGAATTCAAGCCTACCCTTGAAATATACAATTATCAAAACAAGATAAAATTTTATGCAATAATGGAAGTTATTATCCTACCGTATGCTGCCTTTATAATAGGTAATATGTTAGCTACAAAATGCGTACAACGTAAGCCCCATGATATGTAGAATTTAGGGCTTATCCTTTGCACTCCGCGTTCTAACACTTCTGCTCGGCCCTGCGAGGGAGTTAGAACCGTCGGATTTACCTTCGATGCTCCAATTAAAGCAGGATGCGCAAGTCGCAGATAACAGTACATGCAAGGCAACCCGACATACACAGGGATACATAAGTATTTAGCAGCAGACTGACTGATTTGTGAAGTGAACAAGTGAAATTTTACTGCTTAGGCCATTCCATACTTGAAGAGATACATACCCTTTACTACGCTAAGTCCAAAGATTTAGGTATTTCAGAATGGAAACGAATAGGAACAAAAAACGCACGAAGCTTACGAAAAACCTGAAGAGAAAGGCAACACGTATCTTTTTGGTGCTTCTTATGCAGTGATCTCCAGTTGCAGTTGATAGTACCATGTAATCCGAAAACTCCAGACTTAATGATGACTAATCCTTTCACAACGCTAGTTCACTACTACCCCAAGAGCATTATATTTAGACCCCGCGCAGGAATGCATTGATTGCCATCCAACTCGTCGTCTTACCAACAATACGTCCTATTTCTAAGAATTTGATAGAAAATGCAGCCCCCTTTCCCCTGTCCAGTCGAGACTTGGCGTAACGACACCTATGAAGCTATTTCGCCGTCCCGTCCGGAACTTAGTGTTGCTGGTAAAACCGTTGTGATCATAGGGGCGGTATGCAATCTTACTTTCGAGAATTATTCGTCCTATATTGAGGCCGACTGCTAAGCGATGCGAGAAACAGGGCGGTGGTATTGGGCAAGAAACAGCATTGGCATTTGCTGCCGCTGGCGCCTCTACTATTGCACTCCTCGGTCGTACTGAAACCACCTTGGAAGAGACGGCCTCGAAGATCAAAGCAGTTAATAAATGCTTGCCGGCCGTCCATGTAGCGGACGTCACCAATGAGGCCGACTTGAATAAAGCGGCTGCCATTATCGGTAAATGGCACATTCTTGTCATCAGTTGCGGCTGGTGTCCCACGCCTTCACCGCTCGTTGCATCCGGAGTCGGAGACTGGTGGGCAGGTTACGAGGTAGTTAAAATTCCCAGGCTCTCTGCTATCATGATGTATTACCGGTTTACTGAACTTTATCTCGATTTTAGGTTAATGTCAAAGGCACGTTATTGGCGGCCAAAACTTTCCTTCCCACAGCCGACCGCCCAAACGCCGCTTTCTTGTCCGTGATCAGCGATATCTCATTCATGCCCGCGGCACACCTACTCGGGCTCTCATCATACATTACTGCAAATCTCGCTAAGGGCAAGATCTTCGAATTCTTAGCAGCTGAGAATCCCGACGTCTTCGTTGCCACGATGCATCCAGGCATGGTCGACACAGACAACTTTAGAAGATCAGGTGCTACGCCTGAGAATCTTCCGATGGATACCGGTGAGTTCTCATTCCCATACCTATGCCCGAGAGATTTATTGCTGAAAATATGGCCAGCACAACTCCCTGCTCATTTTCTTGTCTGGTTAGCGAGCCCTGAAGCTGCATTTCTCAGAGGCCGCTGCGCTTCTGCAAATTGGGACGTTGAGGAGCTCAAGGCTCTGAGGGCCAAGTACACTGACAGCCTGTTCATGTCGTTTGGGTCTAAAGGACTTCCTTGATCAGTCTACAGGAGCAGATAAGAAAGCCTTTCATTCTTGTCATAGGATACAGACAAAGAAGATACTCTGTACATAATTGGTAAGAGCGTTACTCAATCTAATGCTCTGTGTGCTTTCGTTCATCAATATAGGGTTAATTCGCTCAGCTCTTTTTATCCGACGAAGGCAAGGAAACACATCTCTAGCACTAGCTCACTATTCCCATACCAAGTTGATGAATTTCGGCCATTGTGCCGGGTCAGTGACGATGTCCAGATTGAACACTACCTAATAAGAGATGGACGAGCCTTTCGACAGCCCACCTCGTTCGCGGAGAGGAGGGAGGAGACAACCCCTGGGTGGTCGCGGCAAGGATAGAGGCAATCCCGATCCCTTTGGTACGCCGCGTCGGCCTCCTCTGAGGATGAATCCGTTCGTTAATCAAGCAGCTCATGCGGGCTGACGACCTTCGCCGATGGAAGGGCGTGGCGGAAATAGGGGTACACACATAGTAGGTACTTTTAACTCACCTGCAATCTCAGTCGCCCCAACACTGGCCGTCGAAACCAAGGCATAGATAAGAACCTTCTTGATATTAGTATTCTCATAGCAAATCTAATTAGCAATACGCGGGGCTTCGTGATTAACTGCCAGAGAAGGATCATGAACCCAATGTTCATCCCCATTTGGACAGGGACCTGCGATTGCTCGTACAACGATGCCTAGCAGTCAATTCAGAGAACAGACCTAGGCTTGAGGAATTAATCGAGTTGGTGGGTTAAGAGAACCGGCCCTTTTTCAGAGACAAGAATTATTACAGGAGGGATATGAGGTAGGGGCCATTAATTCGGAAGAGGTGCTAGAGACTGATCTTGCATTGAACACGATCGTCCAGAAGTACTTGCTAGATGCTGACACGCCTCCTTCCGCTGTTATATGAAATCACCAACTTGCGACCAATGGAAATTCATGACGGCTGATTTTGTGGACTCGCGGGGAGCTTAAGAGTCTTGAAAGTGTGTATAGCCACAGCACCACGTTGTCCAGGGGCGTATTGGCGACACCGTGCGGAAGAAGTCGCCTCTACGGTGCCAATTTATGGTCTTGATAGGTGATCTGACGGGCGCCTTCAGCAACACACCTGCGCCCTCTACGCGCAAGAGGTAGCAAAAACATGTTTCGAAAAAGATGCATTTTTTCATGATATACCCTGGCCTAAATTATATCAAACCCATTCAGAAAGATGATACCATTAGACCGGAAGCTGTAATGTCCGTGTCTCAGCGCACTAGAACATCATCGCGAACTTATATACACCCGAATATCAGGATTCTACATAGACTTAGACATTGACATAGCTGTACTAATAGATGGTCCAATATATAATAGACCAGGGATTGAGGGTTGGTAATCATGCAATAACATCTAAAGTGTCTCGCCATGTGTTGGCCTGTGTAGTCAAACTGGCGCATCCCCATCACAAAACTTAACAGCATCAAGCAAAAGGGAAATTGATGAGAGTATTTCTTGGTTAGGCCGATAGCTAGGCCTTTTATACAAATAATTTGTTGCATAATTGCCTCTGTTCATCATACAGGATAGAATTCTAATCGAAATGATGAGCAAAATAACGTCAATTACTTTCCGAAACCCATACTCCTGGCGACACCAATTTCATCGCCTGCGTGGGTTATCACTGCGACGGAACTGTACATGCGCCGTCACCAAATAAACGCCGTTATCATAAGGAACATAAGGGTCAAGATCTCCGTTTGCTGCGGGGGGAAAGCATCTTTGTTAACTTCTTAGAGAGAAGAGAGGAAGGATAGCCACTCACGGCGGGTTCGTCGCCAGGGCCAGTAGTTCCAGACAACGACCGCGGTTGGGGGTAGGGCAACGAACACTCCAAGCAGCGCGATGACAGCTTCTGCAGACAGAGCCATCTTTGGGATTGAATGAACGAGGGTTCGAGTAGGCTCTAGCGCCTCGAATACTATAGAGCTAGTGTCGACTATGTGTAGAGATGAGCGTTCAGAAGAGGTCTGAGCTGGGCTCTAGATTTGAAAGATGTTTAATACTTTTCGGCCATAAATATGCGTGTGACTTGGGCTGGAATTACTGCGTGAGTTTTAGGTCGGTGTAAAATGAATAGAAAGAGGTTTGTTCGAGGCATCGAAACTCCGATTCGAGAGGAAAAGATATCATGGTTGTAACCGCACTTTTCTGCTGTTATTTCCTAAACTGGAAACCCGCTTTGGAAAGTAGCCTATCAGAGCTCAGCTCCTTCGCACCGACAAGAATTATCGAGGCGGTGCAAGAAAAAAGTGAGACTCAACACCTCTGTGTTCAGTGCAGAGTCCCTCAATTTTTTCTTTCACCGCCTCGATTATCTCGGAGCCAATCGACTGGAATCACCCATGAAGAAGTTTCATGGCAGCCACCGCCACTAGATCTGTTTATCTCGAACCTCTGGAACTGATCGTTCGACTGATGTGACCTCCCCTGAATATCCTATTTGCTATCTAATTAGCCCTGAATGTGCCTTTAACTACCACGAACGCTCTGTCGCGATCATCAGGTCAAGGGGCATAGCTTGATTAATACCATGGATTAAGACTCTAAACTGAGGAAGGAAAAGAAAAGAGAAGATAAGCGAAGCTAGAATAAGGTAATCTAATGCTTAGATTTGTATCTCTTAAGGAAAAGGCAACTCGTAGCGAATCCTACGTCCGTTAGCTAGAAGAGACGTCAGTATTATTACTGCTAACTGGTTGCATGTTTGAAGTAATTAACGCGATTGGTATTCATTCAAGTGCTTAGTCCCTAACCTAGATACCCCCTCACGGATGAGATCGTCACTAGGGCCCGTTGTCCTATAAAAAGCACCGGCTCCACTCATATAGGTGCTTCATTGCCCCACGTTAGCTCTACCTAACTCGAACCCCCACCAACAACAACAACATCACAAAGTTATCATTCTGCTCTCCCAGCATATCCCATACAATACTCTCATAGGCTCATCGACAACAATCATATTCTGCGCCATCCCAAGTAATGGCGTCGAGCACGAACACGGCGTCATACGCGGATTGCGTCGCGGCGCTCCGCACCTCGCTCTCCTTCCTCGAGTCCTCGGTCAACACCATCGGGGGCGGCGTCGCCGACTTCCCACGTCTAGCGGGCGTGTTGAAAACAGCTAGGGTGAGCCCCCCTTCTCTTCTCTCTTCTTCTCTTCCTTGACTTTCCACACCATGCCACATGAACACTCAAGCTAACCTGACACCCCCAGCACTACGAACTGATTCCCCAATCAACGCTCCAAGCAGCCGAATCCTCCCTCCGCTCCGAGCTCTCACCCGCAATAACCACACTCCTCGACCGCGCCGACGCGCACATAGACCGTGTGGACCGCCGCATCGAGTCGCTCCGTGCGCGCGCGGAGCTCCAGCAAGGCCGACTCGATAACTCCGGATCTACATCTTCGCGCGCCACTAAGACTAATACTAAGAGCACAAGGCATAAGGATGGGGGCGCGTTGGACGACAGCGCGAAGCTGCGAGCCCGCGTAGTCAGACAGCGCCGCGACGCCCTGCAGTACAGCGTGGAACGTCTCGAGCTCGAGGTCCTCCAGAAAGAGAGGGAGTTGAGGAGGAGGTTGGATGTTACGTGATGAAGTACACACACACACACACATATATATATGGGTATTCTATCCCGTGGATCTGGGTCTGAGTTTAGAGAACTCGGGTTGGATCCTTATTCACCGCGTTGTCTATTGATTGACTGACGCGATGCACCGCATGCGGAAGAGGGAAACTGAAGAGAGAGACAGAGAAAGAGAAGACGAAGCGAGTATTGACTGACTTACCGTCTCATACCCTCTGTCCTTCCTTCTCGCTGCGACGAGGCACGCTTACCTTCCTACCTGTCCACACAGGCTCATTACATGACACCACGATACATAACATATTGCATATCACGACGCATTTCAACGCCCAGACTGTCGCTACACGAATAGTTCGTTTCCACCGCGACATCGCGCTCCTTACAGACTCCATCAGACCAGACTCGCTCACCACGGCAATTTTCCTGTGTCTGGTATGCAACACAGCGCCAGCCCGCCCGTCTCGCTCCTGCAGCTCCTTACGCTCACAAAGGATGGTAAAGCTGTGTTGGTCTGATCACCTCTGCGCTCACGAAACCGAGGTTGAGGTTGACTCCATCCGGCCTCGAAAAGACATACTGGATCAGCACAGCCTATATGGTCACGCGCCTCAAGGGACGTCCATAAATGAATGTGCAGGTACGAGTGTTACCAGTCAAAAAACTAACCCTTCAGTTAGACATAGACAACCATATCTGAACTAAGTCACATTTCCCGCATTCACGCAAGCGAAACATCTACTAGACAACAGGCTGGCTCGGAAGATTTTTTCTTGTTTCGATTTCGAATGTGTTCATCAATAGACTGACACCATGGTGTACATGTTATGTGGTTTGTCGCGTCGTTACTTAACTTTGAAAACCTCATTTTTCTGAACCAAACAATGAATACGTAACCTTCGTAAACTCCACGTCGAAATGACAAGTTTTTGCCATTTTTTTCGATCGCTTCGCCTTTAATCCCGCTTCCAACACAGAGGGGAGCGTGATGTCTGTTATTTGAACCTTTGCCTGTCTCCTTTCAATATATACCGGGCCCCATTGTCCTATCGAGGCACCCTCCCCTCCCCAACATTCCACAATGTTGTTGTGCGCAGACTTATGTGTTGTTGTCTATCGCATGCCACTTAGAAAAAATAATACAAAATACGTGGCCGGGGACAGCAATGCAGGAAGAAATGTAAAAAAGAGGGGCTAAGGGGCCGCCAGAGGAATAAAGTTAAAAAAATCAATAAAATGAAATGCGCCCGTCCCGAGAGAAAACAAATAAAAGACGTAAATGAGGTGATAGGCAAAAAGACAACACCAGTCCGAATTGCACTTTTCACCCCAAGACATGCCCAAAATCTTGCGCTCGCTTTGCACAAGGTCACTAGTGTGCAGTCTCTATGCCCATCCAGATACAAGGGTACTCGCCCAATGCCTCATAGGTCCCGTTCCGATCGGGGTAAAATCCAGAATGGTAGTCAAGGGTATGCCCCGAGGTTTTAAATCATCCGTAATAGACGCCGAAGGAAAAGCCAAAGCCCACTTATAACAAGATGAGGTAGTTGCTGGGGGCAATACCTGTCTCACCATTCTCTTTTCTTGCCTGCCACCATCTTCCACTAACGTCACTGACCTCCAAGATCTCGTGCTTCGAGAAGGAGATTTCATTGGCGTCTTCAGGGTTGGCCTCATAGCTGTAGATGGCCTTTGCCCTATAAGGGTATTCTGATGGGGCGACGATCTCGGGTTCAGCCTGTTGCTGCTGAGCTGGCTTGATGCCGCCTGCAGCAAAGGCAGGAGACGAATTTCGTGGTCCGTTTCCATTGAGTCCGCCGACAGGCGATGGATTCTCGAAGCCATTGAGCTGAGCAGATGTGTACATTTGTGGAGGTTGAACCGATGTGGAAGTTTCAGGACGACCACCGTAGGCGTTCATCGTTTGCCGGCTCATGGTTGACTCCTTCTGTAGGGCGAATGAGTCGATGTAAGCGCGAGCAACTCCGGATGGTGCTGATCCAAAATAGAAAATCCAGATAATCTAGTTCATTATCAGCACAAATTACATACACGACGGCGACCAAGTACGTGATGAAACTTACGTTCACCATGGACTGAAGGATAAATCCGGCGCCGGCAGCTTGGCGAGAGCTTTCACTGTAGTAGATCAATGAGTTGACAGATGACGACGTGAGCACGAGACCTGCGCCCATGTAACCAACCAAAGCCACATGGTAGGTCTGAATAGAGTCCGAGGCCACGACGACAAATACAGCGGGTATTAAGAGAAACATAAAAACGATTGACCACCAGACGAATTTAGGAAATGCGTTGTCTGGGTCAGTGGGATCTGAGTTGATTTGGCCAATGATGGACCCGATCAAAGAGATCAGCCAAGATAACTATGTAATCAAGAGTGTCAGTTTTGTACTTTCAAATACTTAGAGCGGATGTGAGGTTATGGGAATCCAGTAACAACTTACCGCGGCGATGGAGATTGTTGCAAGAGCAAATGGGTCGCCAATCACGTTGCCCATGCTCATTCGCTTTCGGCCATAGCCAGCCCTCGATTGTTCCATTTTTCGCAACGACGGAGAATGTAGAGAGCCGTACAAGGGCATAAGGAACAGCAAGCCCCAACTATGTCACAATTAAACGGGTAGGATTAGCTCGATGATTTCCAACCCGTTCAGTGCCAACTTCAGACCCAATAAATCGATCAACGTTTGGATTCGGACAACCAAGATGACCGAAGTCTGAGAGCGATTGACTCGGAGGTAGCGACTGATGAAAGCAAAGGAATTTGCAAGTCGACTGTCAAATATTTCACGGTGAGAAAGGAGGTGTCGCAGATAGATCGAAGACCGAGGGTAGGTCGAGGTGATCCAGTTTTATGAAAGGACCTTCAGTCGACTGGTTCAACTTCTCCTCGACAATGCGGTACGCGCTTGATTCTATCAATCCGGGGGGCGCGTTACAACACAGTAGAATTCGATAGGGAATTCCGAAGGTTGCGATCTACTACGATGTCGAGGTGTTCTATATCGGGTGATATTGTGGCGGAGCGAAAGTAGGTCGGCTTACGTGCAAGATTCGGTATGAGAAATAACAGTTTCCAGGGGGCTTAGAGCAGCCGAATGAACTCAAGAGCAACCAGATTATGACTCGAATATGCAGTATCGTGATATTCCAATCCTTTGACAGAGCTGAACTCGTTCTTGTCTTGCTGATATCCTCAATTCACAAATTCACAGTCTGGCTGTCGCTTCCCTGATTCCTGATGTTGGCGGGTTATTCGGGAATGTCTCAGCCTCCTAAACACAGCAGTAGCCAATGGCGTAGTAGCGGGCGCGCGACGAAGCAATGTCAATGACGATTCTCGTTGACTGGCGGCTAGCATCAGCGGTCGGGTAGTCGTCGACGACAGGCGGATGATCGGCAACGGTGGATAGAGTTGATCTCTCGCAGAAAGACAGATGGGTGACGGGGGATGGGCCAAGTAGGTAATTAAAAGAAAAGACAGGCCAAGGACAGGCAGCGAAGGAGGAGGGTGCACAGAGAGATGAGCGGAGCGAGGTGTGCGAGAGACCAAGGATGGGGATAAGTGGGAACCGGATATGGTACCTGGACCTGGGGGGACCTGACCTGGGGGGATTTTGGGGGGAATGCGATAAGGAGGTACGTAGCCGTACACTGTAGAACACTGCACTGGCTAAGTACACTGCTAATACTCTGGTACAGGTGCAGGCCGCTCATTAGGTAGGCAGCATTCACTAACATGTACAGGCTTACAGGCTGTGTAGGCTGTGTAAGTAGGTAGGGAAGTTCCAAGGGCCTCAAAGGGCGGACGATACCAAGGGGGCTTAAGGTTATAACAAGACACGCAGCCATTGGCCTGGATCAAGGATGGGTGGAGACGGGGGGTCTCGGACCAAGCCAAGGTTGACCTAGTCTCTTTCCCGACTGGTCAATCCTGCCCGTGCCTGTGCTGTGTGGTGCAGGGAATGCCATGTACTCAAGTACCTATAATACCTACAAGTAGGTACCTACTTACAAGAGGTGCGTGTATATCACTGAACAGACTCTCCCCCGACCTCTTTTGCCTGCCTCCTACTTAAATACCCCTACTATCATCGATTACTTTGTCATTATCTAGGTATTATCTGTGTGTCTTGTGTAAATCTATGTAGAAATGTAGAGACTAGTGTACCCAGGGATTTGTCTACCTACGTGGTAGATACAGCTAAGGTTGGCAGGTCTTCAGTTCCAGGTTGCTATAATTATAGCCAAATTGCCGTGCATCTCCATCCAACCGCCTCCTTTTCTCACATACCTAGTACATACTTACATATACACTACACACAGAATCACAAAATAACTTGATATTCTGAGCGCTGTCGACCGAAGGCTCCCTACCCAAGTACGCAATGTTCAAGTTATCAAGCTAGGACGAGGACAATATATCCACCGTCTACAGCCGATCAAGCCAATCGGTCCCCGCGCCTCGAGAACCAGTAATGCAACCTCCGATCAGAAAATCAGGGTTCATCACTACCCATTGAGTTGCTGCCTGCTACCTTTCTGAAATATTGCAGTGTACATATGTATGGACGGGAATGCTTTTATCAAAGTTTATATAAGATAGATAGATAGATAGATAGAAACCAATAGGTCAGCCGACAACTGGGTTCGCAACAAACCACAACCGCCGGTGGCTCAGCTCAGCTTTCAGCAAACCAACCAAATTCAGCTTGTGCTCCCAACGGCTCTTGGTTGCTTCATCGCATCCTGATATTGAGAGGCCAGCACGTTTTTCGTGTCCCCCAAAACAAAACATCTCTGCGCTACATACTTACATACTAGGTAGTACTTACATAAGACGCTTCCCAGCCAGTCGACTTTGAACAGGCGCATGCTTAGAGTCCCGCTAAGGCAGGAACCCATGAGCCATCTAACGTTCGGCGGCAATTAGTGTAGGTATGGTTTACCTCACCTTGCTTACGTAGCACGGGGACAACAACAAATTGCGGCCATCGACTGGTACATGGCTCGAGTTTATTGGGTGGGTGTAGTGTAGTGTAGTGTAGTGGGTGTGACTGGAATGCGATCGACGGAGCTCTAACGACTAGTCCTTGGAGATTGCGCCAAGGGGGAAAAACGACGGGAGGAGAATGAACAAATGAATGAATCACTTTGTCTGCCTGCCACCCTGGGCTCGGAGCGTTTTACATAATACATAATAGGTACATAGGCAGGTAGGTAGTAAGAAACGCATTGGTTGATTGGCTGATAATTTCTTGTGCCGCAACTTGATTTCTGCGACAGTGACGATTACTTACATATACTCCAAGTTGGTCCATGCGAGAGCCTTCTTGGAGTTGTGATTCCTTTGAATATTAACCGAACGAATTTGAAAATGGTTCACATCTTTTATTCCCTACAGATGAGCTGTGTACGGAGTACACTAGGTACTCAAGTAAGAAAGAATTCAAAGAAAGTCTCGCTTCAATCTCATGTTAGCCACAGGCCAACCGAGCGTTGCTCTACTGAACTGGGCTTACAATGACCACCCCGGCTGAGGCTCATCAAACCCCCAGCTTCCATGTCGTACAGACTTACTCGTACCTACATACCTACATACAATACATCTGACCCGGTATTTCATCCGCCGTGCATGCAGTGAGTAACAGGAAAAGGTCCTTGCTTCAAATACTGCTTCAAGTCCGGATGAAGGCACCATTAGATGGCTACTCATTCTCACGCATACTGCTCTTACATTTTCGTTGTGAATAGATGACTACACCTACCTACCCAACTCAAACTTGTGCCCTGTATGAACACAGGAATCCACGATACCTAGTAAGTAATCAGCCCTAACTGCTAATTTTATAAACGATTCATTCAAATCCTTGTTCTCCCCGTGCCTACACTATACTATCTGCGTGCTTGGTTCCCCTCGATCTGAAACGCGCGAATTGACCGAAATGCCCCGCCCCACCCATTAAACTCCGTGATATTTACCTAAGTAAAAGTATGAGTTGCGAAGTCAGTGGCCGATCATCCGTACTCTTCCGGATAGTTCCATGTTGCTGTAAACGACTACTAAAGCCTGCCTGCCTGCCACGTCGAGGCTTCCGGTTATGTTATCCCTTACAGCAAGGGTGTTCTTTTAGACGTGCGATAAAGCTGGGAAATCTGTTCTTATTCCCATAACATAGCTGCCTATCTACTTAAACGGCCTGCATCTGAAGCTGCATATCGTGTGATGATGTGTGATTGAGGAGGTAGGTAAGTAGATAGTCGGTACCGAGAACGGTTATCAATCATGTTCGGGCTTTGGTAGACTTTCCTCAGGACGATCTCCTCCTGAAACCGGATTCCGGGAATTATGTCATCTGTATTGTATTGCTGATATCGTGCATACAACGACGATGTTCAGTCGCCCTTCGGCAACGTGTACGGTAGTAGTATGGAGAATTCTCATACTTAGCTTTCTACATCCCGTCCGTGTCCTAGCTTGTTGTTGCTATTTTCGATACGGTAGGAAACCGGGTGTGATGATACCCCATATCGCAACAGAACCAGGCAGTGGAGTGTTTAACCGGTGACTTTGTCTCTTGGCGACCAAGGGGAGGGGGAACCAGCGCGCACAAACTGCACCATTCTAAATGATATCGCCTTGAATTTGCCTTTACGGAATCTCGCCTAGCCCAGGGCCAAATGTGACCTAACAAATACTACCAGCAACGTTGCTGTGTTTGTGTCTGAGGCGAATGCAGATAGATGACCGTACAAGTAATTTTGGTTGAAAATGTATGCTGTGCTGGTTTTTAGATGGTGAGTCGCTCTTGAATATGGCAATGAATCTTTGATGAGACAGCGTCAGATCTCATCTCGAGCCTTCTCGACTCTTCTCGTGGCCCGCTCGGCCCTCTCGATACGCCCTTCAACACCAGCTATAAAGTCGGAATATCCCATGACATCGTGTTCGTACCACTGACGAACGGCCGCCTCGCTACGCGCCCGGAGTTCTGCGATCTCGGCAGCCTGCGCTAGCTGTGTCGCTTCAATGCCTTTCATGCGTGGGAGCAGGGCGGCCAGTTCGGCGCTATGTGCTGGATCGGGGACAGGTGTGTCGGATATTGCGGTTAGTGCCGAAGCTGTAGCTGGAAACGAAGATGCTGCGGAAAGGACAATGGCGCGTAGGGCTTCCGAGGACAATTCTGGCGGAGGTTGAGAGGCTGGGGGCGGTTGGAATAGAGTTGGGTTGGATTTATCTGTATTTCGTCAGCAGATTAGCATAATAATTATATAAGGTTGTGATATAGTGAGCCAAAAGTAACATACATAGCTTCAAAAGCTCTCCATACACGCGGATATGCTGTAGGAGTTTGGAGAAGCGATGTTCAAGATCGTGTAGGCTGCGAACGGCCGAGGTTGCTGATGGGGTGTTCAAGCTTCCGTACAGGAGATGCTCAATTCGCAAGAGTCGTTCTTCTAGAAGCGATATGGTGGACAGTGTAGTCTCCTCGATGTTAGACTCCATCTTGCGTTCGATTCTGCTGCACAATTGTGAGAGTGTCCACGATCTCTCGTGAGCTCTTCAGGTAAGGTCCGCGTTTCGTCACCGCAGCATAGGTATGTATAAATCCTAGGGTATTGAACTAAACCAAATGTGGTAGCTATCGGGCCACCAGCAACCAGCAAACTACAGGTATGTAGAAAACCACCATACCACGCGTAACGCTTGAAGCTATAAATGTGCGAAGTTAATTATGCGAACAAAAATACTGTTCTAGTTTGATTTCAGTTCAATATCTCCCATATTCAAGCATTACGCTCAAGACAATACCATCTAAGGGCAATCATCGCTAGAAGCCGGTATGGGGGTTAGAGGCACTACCACAAATTGACAATACAGCGTAGTGACCGTGTAAGTACAGGGGCTAAGCTAATGGGATTTGAACAGCTATGAGTACAGAGTACAATGGGTATCTTCTATAAACATTTTCAAAAAGAACAATTTAGTTTCATACACGCAGACCTCTAGAACGGAAGGCCCTTTTCACATTTATAAACCTCTTCATCCGTCTCTTCAAGCGCATTGACGATAAGGCGCCAGACAGACTTATCCCAAGCCAGCCCAGCGTGGCCAACAGGATCATCAGGGCAAGTCGTCTGCACGAGGACATTCTTGACATCAGCCTCGTCGATCGTGCTGACCTCCACCGGCACAAGGGTATCCTTCGTCGAGCCAATGACAGTAACTTTATTCCCCGGCTGCGCGATCTTCGCCGCTGAAGCGAACTGCTTCGTGACCAGCCCGTCAACGGCCAATTGGTCGCACGCAGGACACCCGACGACGTCGAGGACCTGCCCCACGAGCGCCCGCGTCAGGTCCCCGCCGATGTACCACAGGTCCGTGAACCCGAAGTACGTCGCGCCGTGGATCGCGGGGCCCAGCGCGACGACGTGCTCTACTATCTCGGCGATCCCGGCCTGCGTCATGGGCACGTAGATCGATTGCACGCCGCCCTCGGAGTGTCCGACGATGTCGACCTTCGCGGCCCCCGTCTTCCGCTTCACCTCGCGGATGAAATCCGCGATCTGCGCCGCTGACTTCGTCATGTCGGTTAATCCGCCGATCCAGCTTGGGATCGGGTGCGCGCCGTAGGTAGATGAGAAGGTGCAGTATCCGCGGTCGTTGAGCTCGTATTGCAGGAGGTTGAGGTCGACCTCGCGGCTCGCGGATAGCCCGTGGAGCATTACCACGGGGTTATGTGACGATTTGCATGAGAAGTTGTTGGCGGGGGCCCCGTAGAGATGGCTGGAAATGAGAGCGCTGGGGATACCGAAGTTGATGTCACGGATGTCTTTGCTTTGGCTTGGGAGGGCTGAGACACCTATTGACGAGGCTGCCATGACGGCGGCAAACCATGTACCAATAGCCATTTTGTTATTGGGTTCGTGGTGAACGTCTGTGAATGTTATAAAGGTGCAAAATCATGGGATGAAGAGGCCATTATCACTTTCACATGAGCGATCAACTCGCTCATTTTATACACCTACTCTGCTGGTCGTACTGTCATCGTAGGCCTCCCCATAATCCCAGTTTCATCGTTGTTTGCCTCCCCAAGCGGGAAGGCCGGGTGGAGATACTACGGCGCGAACTAACATTGCCATAGGGGAGCCCTCTAAGCCACCTTTGGGATGGCGATTCTCGTTCTGTGACCAGAGAAACAACACCAACAAACAGCTCTACGCGGGATTTATGTTGCATGAGTTGGATTCCGGCGGATCGGTCGAATTAAAGGAATAACCAACGGCGCCAGAACGGTTCCTGCATCGCGTTTCCCACCCAATCAGCATCAATTGCTGCTACTTCCGAAACTAGCAGGTCGAAACCCTGTTTACTGGCTCCCTCCAATGCCAAAAGACATCTGAAGTTGCGCATTGAGACATTTTGTCATTGCCCAAATTTTCCTGCATCCTTTACGGGCGTAAAGTAGAACTTTTCATTAACAATGGCCGTCTCCTTTTTTGTCTAGGTATCCTGTCCATAATATACGCTGTCAGGCTATGAATTTATGAGACTGAAATTTGTATCAATCAGACAAACAAGACAGTCCAGCGCAGCTTCACCTTCGTGCACATCGCAAGCACTGGTGAGTCCTCGATATAACTTGGGATCGTAAGTCTAGCCATGGAATCTTACGATTTAATATTTCGGTAAAAGATATCAATATCACTTAATTAGTTAACTAAAGCAGAATATAGTATACTCTTTTCGACCGGAAAACAATGGAGCTGATAACACACTGACAGAACTTCTCTTTCTGATAATTAATTTGAAACATAGTGGTAGATGTTACAAAGTATTAATACCGTTAAACCTGACATAACTAATAGTACTAATACAATTGGCTTCTAAGTCGTGAATCCCGAGTGCATTATCCGCCAACGCCTAACGCTACACAGATAAAACCAAAGCAGACTGTAAAAAGATACGTAAGAATACCAGTTGATGGAGATCTAGCCACCTGTGCCAGTGATCTGATCAACAAATTCGTTGAACTTGTCCTTAGCCCAATCGATGGATTCCTTGAAAGAATCCCACCAAGAGCCACTCGAGCCCTTATCTGACTCGTCAGGTTCCTCTGTCTCCCCTGGAGTTTCTTCTGACTGCTGGGGCTCCTTTGATTTTTCGGGCTGCGCTGGCCTCGTGGGCCGTTTTGGGATATCCTCGGTCACTGCAGACGACGTAGATATGTGCGCCGATGATGATGCAGCCTTGCTTGTTGAGGGTGTCGTGATTGAGGTTACTGGAAGAATAGACATCGCATTCTCACTTGTCGAAGTCGAGTCTGGATCTTCTGGCTGTTCAAGAGTCGTTTCGTCATTGTGCAACCCGACTACTTTCAAAGGTAACCGAAGAGTGCCATTATTGGGCATAGGGTTCATGCCAATGGAATCACACAAGATATTGTAGACATTGATGTTCTGGAATGTCTCGACCTTGCTGTGTGGTTGATGAGGGAAAGCAGGGCCACGAGCAACGAAGATGGCCCGCATTAGGGGATGCTCGTGGTCATACCCATGCAAACCACGTGGATGATATGATATGTTCTTGACCTTCGCCTCCTGAATATTGAATTCAGCTTTCTCAACTATAGCCCAGCCTGTTTTCGGGATAATCCAGAGAGGGGCAATGCGATCATTGTTCGCAAAGTGATATCGTTGGGGCATGTCTTTATCTTTAAGGTAGACCTCGACGTTCGGATTGCCCTTGGTATTGTTCACTGCTTGATCATAGAGTAGATGCAAATCTTCTGGCTTCTTTGGACGAATGCCAACCAAGGGCCATCCGTCAAGATGATCTACTTTGGTGATATCGACCAAGTCTTCAATCTGGATCATGCGACTAACATCTGTAGTAGCCATTCCATGATCAGACACGATAATGACATTGACAATATCGGTTAAATTCCGCTGCTCGAGTCCCTGAAACAGCTGATCTAGCATCTCATCAACCTCGCTAATTGTTGCGCGGATCTCAGTGCTATTCGGGCCGTAGAGATGGCCCATGGCATCTACGTTAGGAACATAGGCTGCGATTAGTTGTGGCCGCAACCGTTCGTTAACGTCAGGGTTTTCTAGGCCAGGTTTATCAATAAACTCCAAGATTCTATTGACCTTCTTTGGCAAGACCTCCTTTCCGTTGTACCTATCAAGGAAAGTCGGATCCATGTTATTTATGTGCGCCTCGCTCCCTGGCCACATATGTACCGCTGAGCGCAAGCCCTGGAGTTCTGCTGTGACCCAAAAAGGCTCGCCTCCCCACCATTTCGGATCGAGACTTCGGTCTGGGTCTGTATAGTAGAACTCAGCTTGTAGGGCGGGATCCCAGAAAGTATTACCCACGACGCCGTGGCTCTCAGGATACAAGCCGGTCGCAAGCGTGTAATGATTCTGAAATGATGTTAGATCGTCCCATGGTATATAGACTACATTTGACGGGCACTTACGGGAAAGGTCACAGATGGGAACGACGGGGTCATGTATAGCGGCGATACGCCCTCCTTGATGAATGCATTGAGTCGTGGCGTCAAACCACGCGTCAGAAAGTCGGCCCGGAAGCCATCCAAGCTAATAATGAGAGTGGTCGGGGCGAAAAGCGCAGTACCGTTACTCTTCAGCTGGGTTGGCATGGTGCGTTTCTTGTCCAGTGACACTTTCCAGGCTAGCAGGACCAAGAAAGCGAAAGCTACGGCAATAGTTGTATAGATGAAAAGCCATTTTCTCCATCTGCGTTTCTTAGAAGCCTTCGTTCCCGAAACATGGATGAGGTGTTGACGGTCGAGTTCGTCGCTATCCTCTCGGTCGCTGCTGTCGCCTGTTGAGCTTCCGTCCTTCATGCCGCCGACTTCCATTTCGTGCATGAGCTCCCCATCCTCGCCATCACGGGCTTCCTTTAATAGGCGATCCCGTTTATCTCTACGTCTGTTCCGTCGACTCTGCCTCTTCTCGTCATGCAGATCTTCGATGGAGCTCTCCGGGTCGTGGATGGCGGACCCTGAGCGCGTCTTACTATATTCGCGCAGTGCTTTGAGAGGGTTCGGTAGTGCGAGATTGCTGCCACGACGCTGTAGGCCGCTGCCCCGTCGCTGGCGCTCCTGTTGTGCTCTCGAATCAACTACCAGCTGATCTATCTCCTCCTCTTCCATCAAGACAATACGGTCACGAGCACGAAGCTCTCTGCTATTACGGGCTGCTGCTATTATCTTGTCATCTTCGCTGTCGGTGTCTTGGTCGCTTCTGCTGTGGAGGGAGATGGCATCGTCATCGTATGAAAGCGGCGAGAGAAGCGAACGGTCTTTCTCGACGGCGGTATTCAGTTCTTGAAGGGGCATGATATCGGTTGACGAATCATTTGCCTAGGTCATCGCCAACTTCTGCACCAATTCCAGCTCAGGCATGCGAAGTGAAAGCCCAGATGATGAAATTACTACAATTATTGAGGTGTGGAAGCATAATATAACACCACCTGATGGTGTGAGATTGGAGGCTCAGCGAAGGGGTAGTGGTGGCGTGAAGCCTTAGTAGCCACTAAAATTTAGGCAGTTCCGGGCAGATTCCGGGCACCCTGGACGCGGATCTACCCTACCTGGTACCTACAGTAGAACCGCCCAGTGCCAGGGCTGTGAAATTAGTGCACTTTAGTAGGTACCTACCGTGATTCTCATTCCTACATGGCTGGAAACTGGTCAACTCAATTGATCTGGGCAATGTGTATTCAACAGCAATCAGATGCTCCGATGAGCTAAGTGCTTAATCTTCTAACTCAAGTGCGGTCTCTTGTCCATCGAGGCAGGTCACATCTGATTTGAAATCCCGCGTGAGGCACAATGTCGGCTTAGACTTTGACCTTGGCGATTAGGATAAGCCAGTTCACCGAAGAACGGGATCTGGTGTTGTTCTCGCCTCAATCTACAGAAACAACATGCCTCGCCACTATCTTTTACGGTATCTTCCTCGACTAACTTGCGTCATACACTGACTACAATTCGACCTGTTGACTGCCGCGCCGGGTCGGTGTAATAGGAGAGACGAGCTTTGATGATCTATCCGCCCTCTCATCCTGCCACCCTGCGCTACCCAGCGTAGATACAAATGGCGAATCGAGATGATCATCCCCTTTTCTCTCAATACCCGGAGGCAAACCGCCCAAGTTGGACACTGTATCTGACTCCATCTTGTTGATTTCTTTTCCCCCAAGTTCATGATATACAGGTGCTGGCTGATCGTTAGGCACCTCGGTTTCTCTACCTATTTGGTGGATATCTGTATCATCCTCGCTTGGTGTTATAGTGCGTCTGACTTCCGTATCGTGACCATCCAACTCTTGCTGACTGCTTCCGTTATTGATACTTCCTCCGTTAGTATTCCTATTGTCTTCGCTACAGCCGGCGTCTGTACTAGTGCCGACAGTATCAGGTGAATAATATTTCCCTGTCCGTCTGCTTGAGTGATGGTTATGTACTGGACCTGTGATAACAGCCACGTCAAGTGGTGGCTCCTGTGCAGCGTATACCCTCTTCTTTTTTTCTCGGCGAAGCAGATACAGAACTGCAGCGCCGATTAGAATAGCAGCGACTATAATGCCAACCACTATACCGGCTATAGCACCGCCACTCAGGGGCGAAGATCCTGAATCAGATGAGCACGAATTACACAAGTCCTCGGAAGGTATTGTGACGATATTCTCTTCTGCACCCGCTCTCCATGAACAAGCCGACACATTGAAAGTCCCACGCTCATAATCTGCAGTGAGGTAACTATAATGTCCGTTAGCATTACTCTACGGTGTCCGGTTGTAATTCCTCTCACGCTTCTTGTAAGAATGTGCGACCCAAAGTGTACTGAGTCGAGTTGGCGGCACGTTTCAACGGAAAATAGTAGCTCTCATTCTCAACTAGGGGGTATTTGGCTGTGAGATCAAATGCGGCATAGGGAAGAACGATCCTCACAGCGTCGCCACCAGATTGTACATCAGAGAGCCTGAATGTCACCTCTGCGTCTGAGTTGAGCAGCGTCGTGTGTTGAGTCTCGTTCACCAGATATAAGTCGCTATTGCTATCGAACATAAGTCCGAATGCTTGTTCAAAAGCATCACATACATCCCCAGGCAGCCATAAATTTGGATCGGTAGAATCGATGAAAATGTCGATGGGGTCAGAGAGAAGAGTCGTTGAAGTTGAGCCACTGTAACTGATGGATTGAAGAACAACTACTAGATCACGTGTAACATCACCCGCCATAGTAAAAGAAGCCTCATTCTCGACAAATCTCGATGTATCATACCCAGAAAGGATCAATTGTCCATATACTTGCTTGAGCCCTGCAAGAAAAATCAGCTTACTTTCTTGGTTCTACCTTTCGCAAACACTTACGATATCTCGCGCCTGCAGTATAGCTCCAGCTCAGACTCGGAATAAGGCCTCGGTCTTTAAGCGTAGTAAGGAATGAAGGCGAAGAGAAGTTGCCTAACGAGGTAAAATTGAGGGGTTGGCTGTTAAGCCCGAACAACCCTCTATGTTATACCTTGATTAGAATCGAAACCTCATTTTGACAACAAGACAAGGTTGAGACTCACAAATAGAAGGGCTCTGCGTCAGCGATACCGGCAACAGTCTGGTTATCCAGAATTGGCCCGGTAAGACCGAGACCTATTCTCTCCGTCGCAAAGTCCGCCCTCACAGAATATCCAAGGTTTGCTTCAAGACCAACTCCATTCTCGTTTATTCCGAATAGACCCAGCTCATGCCAGCTCGAGGACTCATTTGGATTCAGCAAATTGCCTCTGGAGACTGCACAATCAGTTGGGACTGTGTCAAAAACTGACGTCGAGCAGCCGTATTCCGATAAAACGACAAATGAAGCTGGAGAAGCCGTAGACACAATAACCCTGACGTCTTGTTCTGGAGTTCCGACCCGAAGATTGACTGGAGAGATCAAAGTTAGTAGAATGGCAAGCGGACTTTTAGGGGCACGACAGATTCAGATAACTCACATGTACTCCATGGACCATCATTTCCCTCGCTGGACAAAACGGCATCAGTCTATAGGAACGCTAACAAATGGTAACATGGACATACAAATATTCACTTGGGGGTATGACCAAAGCCTCAGGACTATTTTCATTCGAAGATCTCGGAAACTTGTTACCCCACACCAAAGAAAACAAGACTGAACAAAGTGCAAGCACCTCCACTCTCGTAGTGCGATTCATACTTGAAGCAGAGAACACAGCTTCATTGGGATCTGAGTAGGTTGATTACACCTGGTGGCGCGAGATGCCAATTGACTCTACCAAGTGGTACAATGGCGCACGCATTCTGCTGGGCTCTTAATCTTATACGAGCATTGAATAAAACACGAGATGGCACGTAGCTCTCCATAAGTGTTGTTCAAAGGTAGCAGGGGTGGGTTAATCGCTTACAATAATTCCTGGCCAAATCTACTTGGCCATCACTGGTAATCAACAATTGACATGTAATGCCCCAACAAGTTAAACTGTTCACTTTTACAGCTTGTCCCTTACATCATAAATGTAACCATCGTCATGGACTTCCAACCCCTGGCGGGTGAACAGACCTCAGCCAATCAGGTGTAACAGAGTTGAGCCACTCGCGCCCAGGGCCCCTTGCAGATATATGCATAATAGCGATTATATAGCCAGCTCGCCTGGCTGTGGGCTTCAAGAATCTCGATCACCACTATGACAACATCAGAGCGTAAACATAGGGCTTCCACAATGTCATGAGCTGACGCAAAGTCTGTGTCTTTATGAAGGGATGGGTGTGATTGGGTACCGATCGACACTGTACTAGTAGACTTATTCGGAGGATTCCTATGCATCATACCCAGCTTAAGACAATATCTCTTCCTATTAAACTGGTAATCCGCCCCGTTCTCGAATACGTGATGCTTTGAAGATCCATGACATATATTCTCCGTGAAGCTGTGATCCAAAGGCCTCGCTGAACAGCCTCCTGTTAACGCGCAGGGCTAAACCCTTGCTCCACCGCCATTGGCATACCACGCTCGCTCAGATTATCGATATTTTGGTCTCGTGCTTAAAAAAAGCTATGTCGTCCGTGTCTCGATTCTTGACACTATTGGGAGTTTTGGGGGTAGGGGTGAGAGGCGCAAAAGGCGGTGGTAGGTACTCGCCTCTCTAAAGCTTGTACTTCCACAGACATTAGGCTAATGCTAGAAACAGCTTTTCACCACTTTCCTGAATATAATACAACAAGCTATAGCACGACAGTTGTCACACTACCTACAACATATGAGACATGTCCAACTAGAAACGTAACTGTCATTTCACCTACGACGTTGATATCTACGACTACGGTACACCTTCCACCGATCATCTCAAACCTGACGGTCACAGTTACCGTGCCAGAAACAGTCACGGTCACCTCTACAGCGAGCTATACTACCGTAGTCCCGACGACTAGTCTCACTACTGTCATTGTGCCAACGACTATCACGCCTCCAGTTTCACATACAACTGATATCACAACGATCACGCCTCCAGTTTCACATACAACTGATATCACAACGATCACGCCTCCAGTTTCGTATACGACTGATATCACGACCGTCACCATATCTGAAGAGGACAATGAATGCCCGACGACATGTAGCCTGTACGTCTTTCATTCTAAATTGCATATTGTAAAACCACGCCTCTTAACAACATAGCGTTTAGGGTGGCAAGCACAGTTCAATTGGTCTTCTGGCCTACGAGTAATGATTATACCTATCCCTCAACTTATGTCGCAACAGACCTAGATTACACTTTGTAAGTGTTGCCACACTCCAGTCTTATCGCTCGAGTTAATCTAACTCAATGACAGCACATCACCTTCCGTATATCTACTCATTAGCACAATATACGGCACCGATTCCGTTGGCCGAGCAGGCCCTTCAGGGACGAACAAAGTATTCGCCCTAGATCTGGACCAGATTTCCACGATCGTGCCTAAAGCGCAGATCACTCGGCAGCTCACTCTCAATGACCTGCATACGAACTGTCCGCAGTCCGAAGACCCTGAAGTAATCGCAACCACAATACCTGATGGGCACTGTGACTTCAGCCTGCTTGCGCCAGAACCCGTGAAGCAGTGGGCTTTACCAGTGAGTATGCCCCTTTCGTTTTGCCCTTTCTGTAGATTTCCAAGAAGAATGTGCTACCAATACTCTGAGCCTTTCGCATTCTGAATAGCTTAATTGAAAGAGACGTATTACTAATCCAATATTGAAGTGCAATGCCTGCGGAAGACTCGGGCTATTCGATCCCCCGTACGCGGTTCCTCCGCTCGATGGAGGAATTATAGGGCCTACGATTACAACCACGAGTGTCGATACCACGACCTTCATGAGCACTACATCGGCATCTAGTGGACCGACCACGACGATAGTGACGGCTACAACCACGACTCCTGTTAGTCAGGCTACGGAGACAGAAAGTACCACATCAGTCAGTGAAGCGACCTCTGGAAGTCAGAATACGGAGACGGGAGTCACCTCATCTATTGGTGATCCGACAACTATAGCTACGGCATCTGCAAGCAAATTGGCCGGTATGTGCGGCACCGCATGGCTACTTGTGTCATGCGTTATAATCCTCTACTTGTGAAGAGACATGGGCATATATATGGTTCGTTGGGATTTATGACAAAGAAGTTTATAATCGAATAAATAATGTTGTAATGAGCGGTTACTTACGCGCTTAGACGTGGCTTGTCTGACGGTTCTTATAATCCCTATCAAGTGTAACATACTCTTATCACATATATGCTTCTTGACAACTAGCTTAATTGAGTGACTACGCCATCGAGGAGAGTGAAATACAATTAAGAGCACAGTCTGACTAGGGGTTTAATAACGCTAGTATACGAGCCTAGTATTGTAATAACTCCTATAGAGCTCCCAAGTCATTCTACCATTCTGGGATCAAAGTTGACATAAATGAAAGAGACGTCCAGTCAGTATCTGAACACTAGGCGTTGATCTGAGAAAAACGATCGAAAGTACGGTTATCCGTGATCATATCCGTCTGGAGTCTTCACCATAGGCCTCCTTACATCTGCTGACCGGGGAGAGCAGTAAGCCCTATGATATATCAGTATCATGAAGCAATAGAGCAAGAGATATTAGGAACTTACATCCATCAGTTACCTCACCGACCATGTCCTTGACAGTACACTGGTTGGCAATGTTCATCGTCTGCTTCTTGATGGAGCCGCAGCCATCATAGAAGCACTCGGACTTGTTCATCGCGCGCTGCAGGGAGTCGCCTTTCCATCCGAACATGTAATCGGCATGCGTGCCGTAGCCGGAAGCTTAGCTATATGTGAGTAACGCATACTTTGATGTTTATTTCACTATAAGGCCGTAAGAGGATACTCACATCCGTGGAAACTCCAGACAAATGGGTTGGGAGCTCCTGATGGCCACATGCTGTTGAACTTGGTTGTGTCCCTAAAATCAAGTTTAGTGAAAACTCTTGTTCTTGTGCAGGTTTCGGTGGTGACGGGGCACGAAGCGCCTCAGATGAACATACCAGACGGTTTCGTAGGTCACCTGGGGCATGCGCACTGGATGACTGGCAGGGCATGGTGGCGCATTTGTAAACCCGTCATATTGGATTGTGTTGTACATGTGAGATTGGTGGTCGGGGCTGTCAAGATTCTTTCCATCCCAGCAGCTAAATCTCGGTTAGAATGCTTTTCTTACGCTAGGTAGTTAGCATAGGGGGAGGCGGAGTACTCACGCGGGGAAATGGTGAACGGTAAAAATGCCAGCTATTATTCGGGAATTCGAGGTTAGTGACTATAGTTGATAAGTGGCAGCAAGAGACACCATCTCACGAACCTGGGCATGGCTTGGTGGGGAAATCAGCCATCTCTGCGCCTCGGTTGAGGAGTGTCTGAAGGCAATTGTAGCGCAAGCCAATGTGCTTCCTAGCCTGGTCAAGAGTGCTGGTTGTTGGCGATCCGACCGTCATTCTGAAGCCCTAGATATCATTAGATCACTCAAGACAATCAAACTTTCATCATACTAACCGGTGGGAATGCAGTGATGTATTGCTGCTTCAGAGCATCGGTGCTAAAGTCATGCCTTCGAGTCCGTTAGCACAGCATCCCTTTATTCAGATAACTATTCAGATGCAGTTTTCTGTACTGTAAAGTCTTGATGGAAAACAAGACTCACTTTGAGAGAGTAAGTCAGCAATCTACAGTTTTTATTTGAAGGCGAGCGCCCTGAAATGAGGGTAACTAGATTTAGTGCGTACCTGAGTATAGTAGATAGTCATTCCACCGGTAGTTCCAGCAGCTAGAGCGGCATTGCTCTTAACCGGTACTCGGTGATAAGAGCCATTGGTGGGATGCTTGACTATGAATCTAGGGGTTAGAACAAATGCAAACCCGAGTGGTTTCGTGACGTCAGTATTATATCGTGTCAGAAATGGGTTGCGTACACTATAATATCTAACGTTAGTTGTTTTGATTTTACGTCTCGTTAAGATGTTTTCATGGAATTGGCACGATGAAATACTCACGTAACTATTGTAGTCAAAGTCAGCACTCGTGTTTAATATGTAAGTGTATCAACTGCTTGAAAGCATCCACCGATGCAATGAGGTCATCCAGACGGTCGTTGCAATTCGCAGATTCTGAGAGCTTGGAATAAATGGATAAATAGCTGAGATGATAACTCACAGCACTGCAGTCCAATAATTGCTGAAATCTTCCGCCATCTCGCAAGTTGTACAGGTAGCCCTGGATCCAACATCGCCAGTCATAGTAGCATTGAAAGCATTTCCTCCGACAATGTGGTGAACATGAGCGGATGGGTTGTGTCCTGGCTCGACGACGGGGTCGATCCTCTGGATCGTGAGCGAGGAGCAGCCAAACCGCAAACCTGCTTGGACAGGCGCAATGAGCGCGAGAGCAACAGAAAACGACTTCATCCTGTATTAACAGATTAGTACCGATAATGATGGAGTTGTAGAAAAGGAGGAGAAACCAAAGTTATCGGTCCAGAGCCGAGACTGATACTTAAAGTTGCCTCTCACCTGCTGCGCCCTGCACCCCAGGTAGCATTCACCCCATCTTCTCCTATCAGGTTGCGTGCAAGCAAATCCCATACTTCCTCAATGGTGTTGTAGGAAAGTCATTTTCCGATGGGCGGTTGGAATGACTGGTGGCGTGCTGTATAAGCAAATCAGCGTCCGTATGCATGATTAAAGTACTTTTACCGGTGACATGGTGGTTTAATTGAACCATGCGATAGGCCGCTCGGCTCGTGTACTCCAGTGCGGCAATTCTCCGAAAACACGGCTAGACTACCGGTAATGACCTGTACCCTATATGATCAGAGATATTCATATCCATAAATAAGATGACAAGTGCCGGAGTGGCCAAGATTGCTCACATGGTAGGTGAAGAGGACCGCACGCGGCCGCACGAGGCCGCACCCAGAGATAATGAGCTTTCAAGTACTAAGGGAGTCAGGATAGCTGCGATATCTAACAGATTATACTGAAGTTTCGGTTTAATAATACATACGTACACTTCTACATTGGTCCAGACACGGGATGCCTTGTATAAGGCGGCGTCAAACAATCTTTCCGTTTATCAGAGTCATAAACGTCCATCAGGATGTACTGTATCAACTCTTTTCGTCATCGGATTAAGTTATCATGATTAGATATCGTATACTACGGAAAAATTGGTGATACTAAGCCCGATGTGACAGCATGGATGGCCATGTAACCGAGTTCCTGTGCCAATGATTGTGTATGAAACTCGTCCAAGAGGATACGTGCAATAACTTCGCCGTATGCTCGCCTTCGAACTTCCACGGGCTCTTTCTCTCGAGCAATCGTCTCGTGTTCGTATGATCGATATTTTGGTGGTGAAGCGGCCGAAAATAGTATGTAGAAATTAGTGAAGTGAAGATGAAGGTGTGAAGGTGTGTGTGTAGTCTAGGCAACTGCCCTACTAAGCAAACAATCCCACCAAATCGATAATACATAGGTACGTCCAATTCAGCGGCAGTACCTTTACGCAGTACCTCTACACAGAATGGATAAGAGATATGAATCTCTGGGAAAATCACAGTTGCGGAATCTCTGCACTTGTATCAGATTACTGTGTCATGAATAGCATCAATTCCAAGCCCTGTGGTCATCCTTACTCTAGCCTCCCATCATCCCATCTTCCACTTTGCCTGTTTCCCTTGCCCCTTTCCATATGCCTCCAACCTTTGCCCTCCCAATTCTTGTCCTCCTACCTCCTAAGCCATCTTTACCCTATCATCACCTTGTATAGCACCAGGGGCAATATACATGTAGTCTTCAGAAACCAGCTTCATCACAGGCTGGGGCTTATTCAACAATGGGGGGTTATCCTCCTCGATAGCGGACCCCTTCATCCTTGACATCCTTCTGATTCTCGTATATCTATCCTCTGAAATAAATCGCGCGAGTTCAAGATGGGGAGCGGGCACATAGTCTAAGCGCCCCAAGCTTGATAGACCATGGTCAAAGTCCTGATCTATCAACTTCACCACTTTATTCGCGTCCTGTGTAGTAATCAAAGGGTGCATTAAAAAGTCTTCGGTGGCTTTTTTATACTCAGCACTGACCTTGTGCCCGGGATTTCCGATAGATTTGTTACTCTCGAAAGAAGAGCCTGCACTGCGATTGAGAACTTCAACCTTGGGAGCTGCTTCAACTCTTGGCGGTTCTTCAACTCCCACAATCGCGTCAAGTATGGGAGAGACCTCAGTCTCGGCGACCACGGGTTTAACGTCAGGAGCCAATTCTGCCAACGTGTTCGACAATGACAGCAAAGCTTCTGCTCGACGAACTTTGGCTTGATCAAGCCACTGCAACGTCTTCCGCTTTGGGTCCATCACTTCACCATGGAGAACTGGAAGTATTCTCAAGTCAACCGTGGAGTCATAATGATATAAGGGAACCGCATCATTATGCATCTCAGACGTGTGAGGTACATCATACAAAAACTCGCCATGATCGCGGAGACGCATGATCTTGCGAATCTCAATATCTCGCAACTCGCAAAGCTCCAATGACCACTTGATATCGACGAGTTGTTGTGTATTAAGCGGTTCTACGCGGCTGAGAATCGGACCATAATGATATCGGAAGATTTGCACGTATTCCTCAGTCGTATGATCGAATAAAGTCGGCATGTATTCGTCCAGCACCGTGATTACATCTTCCATCACAGGCATAGTAAGGATGAACAAGCTCTTCTTGGCATTTCCCTTGCCAGTATTTTGACGAATTCGATTTGGAAGTGCTCGGATGAGATCACCAATAGACTTGTCCATCTGAGGCTGATTCGCATGCCACATTCTGTAATGAATTCTCCCGGTCGCAGCGTCACTTACTTGACCAAATTCTTGTTCAAGCGCCGGGCGGAGAGCTTCCATATTGAGGTGGTCCCCAATTACATCAGGATGCTCATCCACAGACAATTGTGTTGCCGCTTGAAGGAAACATCGCAATTCGTCGATATTCTTGCGCCATACAGGATGAGCGCAAATTCTCTGAAGCAAATAACTTGCTTCTGGTGATAGCATGAGACTTCCTTGCCTTTCATAACAATCAACGCCAAGTCTCAGGCCATATGTGAAGAGATGAGGAGGTATACGCTTATATCGAATGAACATCATCTTCCACAATTCAAGTTCATCTGAATCAACTCTTTTCCCTTGGGCAAAACGAGACTCATTATCATCTCGTTTCCAAGTCTCGAGAAATGCTCGCTCCATATCTTCTGTCCAGTATGATCCTCGAAGACCTTGAAGATACGATACTGAAGATGGGAAAAACTTATCAATCTTCATCCGAATGATCGAATCTTCATTAGCGATGGGGCCCGTCAGCTTGCTGCTGATAGCCATAGAGTATACGCCTTCCGGCTCTTTGCCCTTATTCTTCGGATCATCGTCATCGTCATCGTCTTCGCTCTCCTTTCTAAGGTATTGACGTTTGATGGATTTGCGCCCGGGGGGTGAAATATCCTCGTCGCTTGGCAACGTTCGCTTTCTCTGAGCTATGAACTCTGGTGGTTGGGGACGAGTTTCTCCTGATTCATGTCAACATCCTTCATGAAATGGTCTATATCGCCATCGCTGTTGTCTCCATCGCTACTGACTTCGATCGGGACAGATTAGCGCTTACCTGATTGCTCTGGTGGCTGGTTGTGAGACCCATCTTGAGGTTGACCACCTCGATCCATTGTGAAACAATAGATCAAGAGAAAAAAATCCTAATGAAACTATCTTGCCTGTCCAATGAACAGCAGAATTCTTGTACTCTTGTTATCACAAAATGGGCTTACTGAGGTGGTTTTGCGCAAGATGTTTGTGAAGAAGTTGGAGGTAAACGTGGGCTGAGAAGGTGCGAGATTTCGCTAAGATACAAACATACAAAGATACCTAGGTACCTAGGCTAGGTACTTTACTTAGCACTCCTACCTGTGGATGTAAATGTACCTTAACAAATAAGTAGTACCATAGCTGATTAATTGTTCAAATAAAGATACAACGAAGAGACTTTTATATCTTGGGTAAAACTTTATATAGAGAATCTCCTTGTATGAACCCTTGGAATCTATTCTAACTAGATAGAAATACAATAAACGCTAACTAGGGATAAGATGATTTGACATTTATATAATAATTTCTACTTGGACATATAACAAGGAATTGGTGACTGGGTTTGGAATTGAAGATATCCATCATAATTACAATAATCTGCTGGGGTCGCAAAGGTATATGTGGCCTCGGTACTCAGGTATCGAGTCAAATCCTCTTACTACTGTCGTCTAGTGCTCGTGACAGTTTGTGTACATTTGTCTGGCTAGCTCTCGCCCCATCAGAGCATATCACCTGTAAGCGTGGGGCTACTTATCACTCTTGGTCCTCTCTTCTAACAGCTCTTATCATTATATCACATGCAAGATCATGAAACGATCCTGAATCCAAATTTTATCAAAAATTGCAGGTTTCAACAATCAAGGCACAGGTTGGCAGTCTCTTCATCACGTGAATTAGGGGTTCTTGATTAGTGTATACCAATCTCAGGCTCAATACATTTCTTGCTCATGTTAATCTTTCAAGCTTTATGTTCCACTATATGTACCTAATATATAGCCTACTAGACTATGAGTGGCATGGTAACCGAGTAGGCACGTTGGTAGCAGTCTTTAATGATACCTAAGTACTGGTATAAACAAGCTATAGTGACTTGCAGTCGTGTTTAGAAGACACTACGGGACATACATACCTACGACGACATACCATGTAGCTATTTTACGTCAGTACAATGGTACATGTGCACGCAACTGCCACTCAAACCCTGCACAAACTTCACCTGCCACATCCCCCATGCCTTTAGCTTCTTTCTTCCTTCAACTTCTTTTCCCACTTCTGCACTCAATTCTATCTTCAATTCGAGATGGCAGAACCTTGGGAGAATACCGAGTTGTGCGAAGGCTATGTCTCGCTCAAACGACCTGAGATCGCAGCTTATCCTGCTGCGATGATAGGGAGGCTTCGATGCCAGAGGCCGTGGCATGGCAAGATTCTATTGCCGTCGGAGGTGAAAGAGCCACGAGAGGAGAATCCAGATTATCTGGAAAGCGACGATCTTGATTGCCTGATCATTTTATTCAGGATGCTGACCGGCTCAAATTTTAGTCAGGCAAACATCAAAAATGTCCTCGTCACATGTGCGATGCATGACTTTGGCTACGATCGTCACGCGGACTACCAAGTCAAGGGAATGCTTGTGTCTAGGCTGTTTCCCGAATATCTCCACGACAAGCAGATCCTACAGTCCAAGTTGACTTTTCAAAATCTGTTCCAACATGAAGCCGTGAGGAAGCTGATCCTGGCGGCTCCATGTTTCGAGTTGAAGGATCGTCGACTTCTCCTCAGCGACGTAAACACCCCTTCTTCCTTCGATGAAATGGAAATCTGCCCCCGTGAAGACTTAATCGATACACAGGAAGTCAAATGGGATGGCATTTCGACCCTGGAACAAGCAGTCTCGGAGCAATCATTCTATTGCGACCCGAAGGCCAAGAATGGTACTATGATCGCTCGACGATACTGTACCCTCCCATTGTTTATCCGAGTCATGTTTACTCCTGACAAGGATCACCCAAGACGATTTAAAGATGTCCAACGATTCCAGCTAAAAACTGAGTATATACAAACAACCGACGATTGTTCTATGAAAGTCGTCATGTCGGACATTAGATACCACCTTTTCATGGTAGTCAAGCTGGATCCACGAAACATTTCACCAAATTCAGCCGAGATACGAGTATATGACATTGGTGGCCAAATGCTTGTGCCCAGACTTGAAAGCAAGATCGATCATCGAGATCTTGTAGGGGAAAAGCTTAAACCAGACAGCATGTGGTCAGTGGGAGACCCCTCTCTCAACTTCATGTTGTTCTATAAGAAATGGTCTCCTTTGCCAGAAGAGCGTCATCGGGCGAGATACTGCCTGGCCGAGCATCGACCACTATCTCCGATACGCCCAGGTGAATTACCAGGACGAGAACCATCTGTACCACCGGAACCTGAATCGGCAAAAGGTACGCAACGCCTAGAGATTCTTGGAACTAGTGCTAATTGAAGTGACTCAGATAACACAATAGACGGTCGCTATAATCATGATGCGCCTCCTGATCCCGTTACTGATAGGGGAGATAGGCAGTTGACGACGGCTACCGGTCGTGTAACGCTGTCTGGGTCACCAGCTAGTATGATCGGGGTGCTTCAGAGACTACAACTACCACCGGATGAGATGATCGAAGTGTTTATCAGAGACACGCCAAATGAGCGCACACCAGCAGGAAATCAGAGAAGTCGTAACACCAGAGGCAATCGCAATAATGCACCAACCAATTAGGTCATTATACACTCGAGTGTTAGTAACCGTGCTCAGCATGTGACTTAACGATCACTCATCTTCTAAGCGTAATACACACAAATCGAGCTTTAGCCGGAAGGTGTTATGGCCTATAGCAGGCGAGAAGGATGGGGGATGCATTGAGCATGGATTTGAGGGCACCAATTGAGCTACCGTGATCATGATTGGGGAGCAATGGCTCAACTGAGTTGATAGGAGATTTAACACAAGGCTTGGAAGAAGGCACGACATGAGAAACGCGTTGTCCCGGCCTCGGAGTAGAGCAGTAATATCAAGAGTCAAATGAGTATGAGGCCCTGCTCACTGTGACCAAATTATGTCTAATTCCTTCTTTACACCTCTCTTAAACGATTGATATTTCTTTGCTCAGTTCGCTATTCCATGCCTCGCCATACATGATGCCATGGACATAGCTTGGTCCTATTATCTTATATGCATGCCCAAAAGGCATTTCCCGGATCACGAACGGAACTTTTCCGCCCTGAAAAAGGGATATTAGGTCCCCCGTCGCGCTGTTTCTTGGTACGAGGGCTAGATACCCTTTCCTTGTCCTTGCCAAGCGCCGTCCAACGGCCCGTGTAGCTGTCAGATAGTTTCTAGGTAGGCCATAGTACAAAGTGGCAATCGTGCCCAGAATAACAACAAGGCTTACATAGATTATGCTGTCTGGACCAAGGCGTCTTACAAAGTTTACAGCCTTCGGCCCGCGAAGTATCTTGTTCATCGCCCGGTGGCCAGATAAGGCTTCCTTGGGCTCATTGATGTTCCCAGCACACATGATCATAGCGAAGACTGTCTCTGGCTCTTCTCCAGTAGGATATTCCGGGTATTCTTGAGTGAGTGCAAGCTTCTCCCACATCACTGATCTGTCATAGTGCACTCCTAAAGCCCAGAGGAAATCCTTGAGGAAGCGCATGTATGTGTTGAACGAATTTATGCTGTTTAATGCAACATAATCCCACTCCGTCGTTGTCAAAATATCTTCTAGTGCTATGATCGTATCGAAGATGTAACCCGAAAGTGTCAAGGTATCTCCATGTGCCTTGCCCTCGATGTCCCAGTAGTCAGAAGTTGATGCACGGTACGGTCTAAATCCTGTCTCTGCCAGGCGTTCTCGGTCACCGTAACGGTGGATCGGCACGACAGCGGCCGGTTCTATGATACTCCAGTCTGGTACCCACGACGGCGATCGTAGCTTACTTGCCAAGTTATGATCCGTCATGAGCAGGTCCAAGTTTTTCGTATAAGACATGATAGCCAGTGCTGTACGCTTGTAGCATTCTTCCACCGAGATGGTATAGTCCGGCACGATTCCTTCTGCTTGTGTCTCCCTCGAGTCAACGAGACCGAGGATAGAAAACACTTTGTCTCGCGGATCGGTAACATCGAAAAGTTGGAACTCCCAAAGTAGCTTAAGTAGATCCTCGTAATCTACTTGTTTGCCGTCAATCATGCCAACAAGCCTCTTTTGTTGTAACACTGTCGTAAGGTGTATATTACCCCTGGTCATCGTCTGGGGGCGTCCTCTTAGACCGCCTCGAAGTGCAATAATAAACATGACGCCCAAGTAGAAGGTAATCCAGTCGAGAGAGCTTTTACCACAGAGTACAACTGCTTCTCTTGCGAGAACGGCCTCTTGGACAACCCAGCATCGAGTAAACCAAGGCCGGCTCACCAATCGCATACAAGCCGTCAATTCTCTCCTCGTCAGATCCTCTACCTTTTCTTCCTCCTGTCTTCCTCCTTCACTGTAATTATCTTCTGTTTTGTCGACTTTACTGTTGTAGTATATCACCCCTGCAGCCTGTGGAGGCTGAAGACCTTCGGTCCCAGTCATAGCTTTCCGACGTCTTGCTTCCCTCAACTTCATCGATAAGATTCTCTTCGAATCCTGTTGCCATAGCATCATCATTTCATCGATCCGAAAAGAGCTGTCACATATCAAGTCTAACCAGAATGTTACTGTCTTCTCTGCGAGAGGAAAGACAAGCTCGCTATCCTCACTGTCTTCTCCCAGCCAGATCAACACCCGCTCGGCATTCTTGTAGATGTGTCGCATGAGATTCACCTGGTATGCGCGCTCGGCGAGATCGTCCTGATTGATGCAAATGGCGTCGATCCACAATAGCCGGTTGCCTCGACTTTGGCGAAGACGACGGAGAGCAGATTCCAGATTCCGTGTCACCGGGAAGGGCTTGCCATTGCACCAGATCAGACCCTGGTCCGACGCGTTGCCCCAACAATAAGATAATGCCTCATAGGTGGGCAGACTCATTAAGTTGACGGTCGAGAGGCTGACATCAATTGGGTCAGTGAATGTGTCACTTGCCGCCAAGGTAAGGACACGAATATGGTCGCCTCCTAGGAGACTGTCAATCTGGTCGTACTTGAACTCAAAAAGTTTAGAGAGCTGGTGCAGCTTGTCATAATCGAATTCAAACATCTTAATGTCATTCAAACAGCGTAAGGGCCTCCTGAACTGCTGAGTGATAGAAGAGTACGGTTGGAAGCTAACCGGTGTGCGTCTACGTTCCTGGGTTCTGGTTCTCTTTACCTGCTTGGCTGGGCAAGGTAACTAGCTGCCCAGATCAGCTGAGTGGCTGAAGTTGAGCTGGAACCGAGGCAAGAGCTGAACTGACACTAAGACCAGGGCTGAGCTTCAATCGTAATTTGCATGCGATACTTGCCTGTGCTTCTACATAGGATGAGTAATGCGATAGGAGTGCAACCCTACGTTAGAGCGAAGATAAGCGATCATTTGGTCAGCCGCGAGGGGCGTACAGGAGTAACAGCAATGATTCCTGAAGTCTTCAATCAAGATCTAGGAGCCCTTGAATGCTTGCCTAGCATAATTATATACTAGACCCAGAATAACTACTAGCCACAGCTCTATCCAGACTGTCGTCGTTCGTGGGAGAGGAAAAGTAAAGTGTGAGATTTCTCAACATCCGTATCAGCCCATACAGAATACCAAATTGTCGAATCAACCTATTAGATCTTATTTGTTTCTAAAGTCTTCCAGCCTCTTTCGTTGTAGGCCGCTTTCATCAAAATTTGGAGGGTCTAACCATGCTTCAAATGCACTCTTGATCGCAGGCCACTCGCCATCGACAATCGAAAACCACGCAGTATCTCTATTGCGCCCCTTTATAATCATGTGCTGTCTGAATGTACCCTCGAAAGTGAAACCCAGTCGCAATGCAGCTTTGTAGCTTGGCGTATTGAGAGAGTCGCATTTCCACTCATATCGACGGTAGCCCAAATCTTCGAATGCGTGTTTCGCCATCAGGTACATGGCCTCGGTTGTAGCAGGGGTTCGTTGCACCTTTGGGGACATCAGAACACCGACCTCGACAGTGCGATTTTTGGGGTCGGAATGATTATAGCTGGCACACCCTATGATATTATGGGTACCGTTTGGGGTAATCGGTTGATCAGCCGAGATAATCGCATAGATGATGAGCTCTGGGTTCTCCAACTCGGCTTTCATGACCGCTTCAAAGTCCGATGGCTTCTGGAATGGTCCGTCGAACATATAATCCCAAGCGTGAGCATTCTCGTCACCAGATATGTGTGGATACAGTGGCAGGATATCTTCGCTCGACATTCCCACAACCGAGACATATCGACCTGACAGTTTCGTCTCAAGTGAGGGGTAAAGAGCCGGGTTTTGCCCTACGATAGGGCCGAGCGCTGCATGATGCTTGGAGCCCATATTTGGAGGTAGGCGACAACGTTGGATGCATTCAACGAACGAGGAGTTTATATTTCACAATCAAGCCAAGCATCTAAAACCACTTGGAGAAATAATCATGTCGGTACATACGATGTAAGTTACCATAACTGTTGCCTACAAATGGCGAAGAAATCCTTCCTCAATACCAGAAGCGGGGAAATAAGCCAATACGACGTTAGATCTCTGTACCATGTCACAGCTTCTCTCCTCTGTGGATGGCCTGTCGTACAGCTGACCCTCGTGATATATTTTGTTTCTTAAGTCAGGGGCCGTTCTCAAAGACTTCAATCATGTGACATTTCATCAAATCGAAAAAGTTCAACACATACCTCTTTCCGCCTATTCCATTATGAACAGGTTGCCTGTATCTACACACAGATTGTGCCTTTGACTTTCAAACGTCACTTTCTCTCTAATTCCGTTTGTTCAAGTCAGTCACCGAGTAACGCCAGGGTTTTTCAGCGGTTGACAAGGGTCTGGGCGTGTCGCACGCCCGAGCACACCGTACACATCTGCCATGCAGACCTCAGTGGCCGGCGCGATGAGCCACTTCCCACCTCTTCCGACGACAAGGCTAGTCGAGGTCTATGCTTCTCAGCTTCATGTCCTTCACACGCCTAGACCATCTCATTATTTAGACAAGAACACAGTTTCGATCAACATTTCTCTAGTTCCAAGTCGCCCTTCTAAGTATTACCACTTTGGTTGATTTAGTCCAGCTTATATTGTCGCATCACATCACATTATATTAGAAACGCCAACTCATAACGCTCATACTCATTGATTGCCAAGCCCAAATCATCGGAAACCATTAGCTGCACGATTTGTATAACCGTAATTGTTCTGGTAATCGAATGATTGAACATCGCAGTCTCTTCTGAAAGTGGATTGGTGGGAAAATCAAATATACATTATACCGAGTTGCAATTATTGAGTCTTAAGCGCTCTAATGGCCGTACGTCCAATGTCGACATCATAATTGCTAACCGATGAGGAGTTTCCCCGGTATCACAGGAATAATTTACGTAGGTAGTCGTGGTAGCTCATTGACATCCGCGCCAAGCCCTCACTAGGTTCCCCTCTCTTCTGCATCGTCCTAAGTTGGGTAAAATCAGGATAAACGAATTGCGTGAGACCCTATGTCGACCTCGACCTTCCAACCAGAGTAAAGTAGCAATTGTTGATAGGACCTTTTCCTGCAAGATCTCAAGTCTGGTTGCGTGTGGCCGATGCTACTTGATCCCGGAAGAGCTACTCCGTGCGCAGATCTCGCGTGATGAACTAGACATATAATTCCCCTCACGTCCGGTGAGGAGTACGTGATCGCACATCTGTACATCTTCGTTGAAGTAAAAGCCAAATGCTTGAAGCAAGCTAAGATGTTCGATTCATTTCTAGCGCGATATAGAGTATCCGTACTCTTCGTCGTTGGTCTGCTGCTGTCCGTCATCCCACAGTATGCAGCAGCACGAGCTGTGCAAGGATCACAGGAAGCTATTCGAGCGACAACAACTCGAGAACGCATTGACATTAATGCCGACTGGAAATTCGCACGATTCACAAATAACCCAGATTCGCTTTCTTACAGCGTACTAAAGAATTGGATTCTCCCCTCAGCCAACAGTTTCATCAACGGGACCAAATATGTACGCCCTTCGGGAACGCCTCCAGGAAATAACGTCCAATATGTGAAAGCCGAGTTTGACGACAGCAGCTGGGAGGCTCTGAACTTACCTCATGACTGGGCAGTGAAAGGGCCGTTCAACGCCCCCGGCATCAGCGGTGGGGAGGGTCGTCTGCCTTCCAATGGTGTAGGATGGTACCGTAAGACATTGTCATTCGCAAAAGATGATCTGACGAAGACCCTTTTCCTGGATATCGACGGCGCCATGTCGTACGCTGCAGTCTGGTTGAATGGGAATCTAGTCGGGGGTTGGCCATATGGTTATAATTCATTCCGTCTCGACCTGACACCTTATGCAAAGGAGGGTGCCAATCAGATCGCCATTCGGCTCGATAATGCGCTTAGCTCCTCTCGATGGTATCCTGGAGCTGGTATCTACCGAAATGTGTGGCTTGTCAAAGTCAATCCCGTACATGTACGCCAATACGGTACATATGTTACGACCCCAAAAGTGTCTGCCCAGTCAGCCACAGTTAATCTAGCAGTGAATGTGGATAATACAGGTACCACGTCGCAGCAAGTCGATGTAGTGACCGAAGTTCATTTAGCCGACGCTACGACAGGAAAGCTTACAGGAAATGCAGTAGCCAGGTTTCCTGTCAAGTCTTTAACAATCGCGCAAGGGGCAACGCAATCTATCAGTTCTTCCATTACGATAGATAGTCCGCTGCTTTGGGGGCCACCACCAACACAGAAGCCAAACCTCTATGTCGCCGTGACTACTGTGAGTGCTGCAAATGCTACAGTCGATACATATGAGACGCGCTTCGGTCTTCAATCCCTTACATTTGATGCAAACAAAGGACTCCTCGTGAATGGGGAACATGTCTATGTTCAAGGGACATGCAACCACCACGATCTGGGTTCAATAGGTGCAGCTTTTAACACAAGAGCCCTAGAGCGTCAATTTCAGATTCTAGGAGAGATGGGGAATAATGCTTTCCGCACGTCTCACAATCCCCCGGCCCCTGAATTCCTAGAACTTGCCGATCGCATGGGTTTTCTAGTATACGATGAGATATTCGATGTTTGGCAGCAACAAAAGACAACAAACGACTTTCACTTGATATTCTCCGATTGGAGCGAGCCTGATCTCCGGTCATTCATACGAAGAGATCGTAATCACCCCTCTGTAATCGCATGGGGTATCGGTAACGAGATCCCCGAGCAGACCAGCTCAACCGGCAGTACCATAGGTCGACGGTTACGAGGCATAGTCCAGTCAGAAGACCCTACGCGGCCAACAACCTCAGCATTAAACTCTGCTGGGCCGACTGCAGGTCTTGTCGGTGTTTTAGACATCATAGGCTTGAACTACCAAGGTGAAGGGCAAGGGACGTCGACAGATGGGTCATTTCCACGTTTCCACAGCGCACAGCCAAACAAGATGATCTGGAGTAGTGAATCTTCGTCGGCCCTAAGCACACGGGGAACATACATCTTCCCCGTTACGAGTGCCAACAGCGCCACTGTAGGAACTGGTTCAGGCGGTAACGCAACATCCCTGCAAGTCAGTGCCTACGAACTATACGCGACGAGTTGGGGTTCATCGCCTGATAAAGTCTTTGCGGCACAAGATAAGTATCCTTATGTAGGTGGAGAATTCGTTTGGACGGGATTCGATTACATCGGTGAGCCAACACCTTACGACACATCTCGTAGCTCGTACTTCGGCATCGTTGATATGGCCGGTTTCAAAAAAGATCGTTTCTACTTGTACCAAGCGCGGTGGCGTTCCGACTACCCGATGGCTCACATCCTCCCCCATTGGACTTGGCCAGACCGTGTAGGACAGGTGACTCCTGTTCACGTATTTTCGTCTGCTGACGAAGCGGAACTGTTTGTAAACGGAGTATCGGCCGGTAGAAAGAAGAGAGCCCAATCCACTTGGCGCTTCCGATGGGATGATGTCAAGTATCAACCCGGTGAAATACACGTGGTGGCGTACAAGGGCGGTAAGGAGTGGAGTACAGACACCAAGAGGACTGCTGGTGTGGCGGCCAAGATGAACGTAAGATTTCCTTTTCTTTTATCTTCAGCTTGATATACAACTTAGATCCTACCCCTCAACCTTACTAACAAGCGTGTATCAAGATAACGGCCGATCGGACTAACATCGCCGGCGATGGTTACGATTTATCATATGTCTCGGTCGCCATCGTAGATGCGAAGGGGGATCTCGTACCACAGGCCAGTAATAACGTCACATTCTCCATTACTGGCCCGGGAAAGATCGTATCAACAGACAATGGGAATCCCTCTGATTTCACCGTCTTTCCATCTCCTAGCCGTAAAGCATTCGGTGGCCTTCTCCTCTCAATCATTCGGCCAAATGCTGGAGCTTCGGGGGATATTGTTGTATCTGCTAGTTCACCTGGCCTGCCTAGCGCATCGTTGACCTTACATGCGGGGTAGCCCGACCAAGCTCAGTGTATCTTGATTAGGTGTAGATACAACTAATTGACAGCCTTGTTCGCTTCATACTGTATATCTACGTCTAGGGACGGCATATTATATTGACCAGCGACCGATGAAGAGTTGGCCAAGCAGCGTTGTTCGACATGTTTCCAGGTTGGCATAGAGTATACGTAGGTATCTTGCCGATCTGTTTCGTATAGGATGAATAGTGATAGGAATATCAACTAGGAGACTCATCATTGGGTCAGCATAAAAGTATCAATAGAGTATTTACCCGCCTCGAGTTTGGGTACTCTCTTGCAGGCCGGCAGCTATCATTCTAGCTGTAATTGCCGCATTTGAGCTCTGCTGATGTGTAGAATGGAATGACGTGAGAGCAGCAGTGTACAGGTTCGAGGAATTATCGGTATTTCCTGTAACATGAGATCCACCATTTGCGATACTTACTTCAAGATTATCTACTTGGCTTATTTGCCCTCGCTTGTGCATCCTGTGCATCCATTTCCATCACCTTTGCAGACTCGACCCAATTATGCCAATCTACAGCTCCATCTAGGTCAACGTTGAAGTCCATCGGGTCCATATTGATATCACCGAATACATCGGCAGCAGGATCAGCGTCGGCCCAAAACCAACCAAGAAGCCCAGCACTCTCGGGGTGACCATTAGACCAGTCTATAGCGGGTCGGGAAAATGCGTTGAATTGTGGTCCATTAATTAGTGGCTGATCAAACGTCATAGCGCCAGGTGCGGTATAACGCATAGAGGCCTCGGGCATTGTGGCATCATTTGTTGAGGGGTAGGTATCCTGGACCCGTGTTATACCACTCATCTCATCGTTCTGATCTTGTCGAAGGGGGTTGAGTGGAACATGGGCCGGTTCAGAAGATGGCAGGGGAGTCTGCTTCTCGGTTTGCGGTATCCCCTTAGGCATTTCAGACATGCCCACAAGTCCGCGCCATTTCCCCCTGAATATATCTGCTACATCACTAGCAGAGACAGAACCAGTGGTCAAGGGCACAGGGAGAGTCTGATCATCAATCTCTAGTTGTTCAGCAGCTGCTAGATCATGACGTAGTCGTTCCAATTCCTGATGTCGATGCATTCGGGCTTTCAACATGAGTTTGCGCAAAGGAACCCATGTCCGCGAATCCTTATCCAACGTTGATCTAGCCGGAATCAACCAGGGACTATGTAATACGGACCATGACCTCTCGGAAATTGGTGACCAAGGACGACGACAGATATCGATCAGAAGATAAACAATAGCATGCCAGTGTGTGTATGTTTGATAAACCCAACGCCATTGGCGGCAGGCTTTTTCGGTATTTAACGCATGGTTAAACTCTGCAACCTCAATCGCAGCTATTAAAAGCTTGTTCCTAATCTCGTTAGAGAGGCTTTCTCTAGGAGAGGAGAATAGAACAGGTAGATGACTGAAAAGTGTCAACTTTGCGATAACAAGACGAGTGACGACAAGCATGACCCAATGTGAGATATCGCCTGACTGTGGCGAGAACTTCAAGTAACGCTCCTCTACTGTGGTGTAAATGGTGTTCAATAGACGGCTTTGTTCTTCAAGTCCAATCCCGGGGGTTACGATCTGTCTTGAGATGTTGCTAATTTCCATATTAGCGATAGCGTTAGACATATCAGTAAGTCCTTCGCGTGCTGTCGGCATTTCTCGGGTATTGATATCGATATCGTCATCGTTGATATTCAAAGGTAGTTTGGTGTCGAAGCTACCAATCTGGATAGTGAAGTCGGTACCTTGGTCCTCCGATGATCGTACATCAAGTGAGCATAATGAATACCACACCCGTCTTCGTATATGAACCTCGAGCGCAGTAAGGTGCTTAAAGTGTGTGCCGTCACGTTGTAACCCAAGAGACTGCGCCATGCGAATAACAAGACCTGTCATCATCCAGACAAATCTTGGGCTTTCATGTCGACGGACAAGGAATAAAAAAATGGTAAAAGCTTGTACAAGTACTAAATCAGGCTTGTTGAGAAAGTCCGCTTTAGCAAGAGTATATTCGAGTCCCATTCTAAATCTGAGGTTGAGCTCGGCCTTTGTAGATCCAAAATTATTGACGACCTTGGATTGAAAGTCAATTTAATTTCAAAACTAGGGGATGTGTTGAGAAGGAACACTCACATCATCGTCCTCCATTGATGTGACAGCAGCATAATACATAGAAAACATAAGAGCTTCATTTGCTGGTGATATTGAGGTGTTATTAATGTCCCTTGAACTGCGTGCCATCTTTTTGATGGTAGGTTGATGAACAACTGGAGCAATGATGTTGACATTCTCGAAGAAAACATCCAAGAGGAATGGTACCTGGGATGGTAATGGACGCAGCTCGCTAAGATCTGGACCTGATTGACCGAGGTTATGTCCAAAAATAAATGCATGGCGCTCTGAGGGTGATCTTTCAAGTTCATGTGTCGAAGGTGAGGCGCCAGAAGGGTCTTCATCATCTGAAGAGTTAACGTCAGCTTCAGCGAGATGCTGCGTTTCCATCTTGATTCCATCGATCTATTATCCCATCAGACATGATAACAATGGCAGCAGGTAGTCAGAGTTCAGACAGACAGGCTTACCTCATCATTGACATGCGACCAAAATCTGCTGCTCATGTAGCGACTACGTCCAGCATCGTTAAGTACCAGTCTACCCAACTGCGAATGAACACTGCTACCCCCCGCAGTTAGATGTGTCGCGGCATGGTGATCACCATCACGGTCATTCGCAGAGCTAGCAGGCGAGTTTCCGGTCGACGGATTGGAAAGAGCGTGAGCTTGCTCTAGTTGACTGGTTAGATCTTTGACAAGATTCTCAAGATTTCGTAGTCTTTCCATGACCTGGGCCGTGGGAGGAGCGACAGCACGTGCTGATCTCTCTTCAGCCGCCGCATTGTGAGCAAACCGTTCAAGACGTTTAGCCCATCTTGGTGGTCGATCAGCGGATGGGAAGACGCAAGGAATACCAGCGCGTTTGCAATTGGAGCATGGCGATTCTTTGTTACAGCGAACCTTGCGAGATCGGCAAACCACACAACTGCGCGGTTTCTGTGATGAAGCGGTAGCAGTACTAGAAGGAGTTGAAAGAGGAGTGGCGTTGGTTGCTGTAGATGGTACGGTAGAAAGAGATGGGGATGTCTCGTATGGTGTTAAGCTCGCGCGGTTTTCGGTCGCTGTAGGTGACAGACCCGCCATCCCCGTAACCAACCCCTGGTACTCAGAAACCGTCGGAAAGGACTCGGGAGCACTACCGGTATGCTTCACGGTGGTCCGCGGTATCTTATGCGATCAAATGGTCCTCGGCAAGTATTACCGCTAGTCATCCAATGTATCATTCGTATTGCCCCGAATTCATTGCGATCTTACCAACACCAGAAGCTGGCGGAGTTGAGATGGCTCCCTTGATGCAGGTGGGATGCTGACAAGATGCGTTAACAAGAAGTAACGCTTAAGTCGTAAGGACTCAGAGTTCAATTTCCAAAATTGCTGTAAAAGGGTTAAAATTATGCAGCAATCCTAGCAATGTACATAGTGAAGCCTCCAAAAGACCCGACAGAGCGGGTCAGTGGAACCTAATGCAAGCCCTGTAAGCCCTGTAAACCTACCTAGGTACTATAGGTACCTGTAACTCTGCTACTTAAGCTGTAGGTACCCCGGCATTCTCTCGCTCAAGATCCCTTTTTAGTGTGTCCGAGAAAAGCGCGAGCTGTTCTTGTGCTTCATTTCGTATGTGTGAGGGCTTCATTACGTAGATAAGTAGGTAGGCAGCTAAACATCCAGAGATACCGTAGAATTTTCAATTATATAAATAATCAGTCCATCCGTTCTTTTCTTGGAGAGATATCACATACCACTCACACCACAACCATTACTACATTCACACAACGCCAGTCTTAGACCCATCAATTATCACATCCCAGCTTTGCAGCTTGCTATTGCATTTATATCCTATCTTTACCACTACATTCTATACCATCGATATAATGACCAACGCTCCCGTAGAGACCGTCGCCTTCTTTGGAGCCAGCGGTGGAGTTGGCTTGACAGCACTTAAGGATACACTTCGATCAGGTCGTCACTGTGTGGCACTTTGCCGTACCCCTTCAAAACTCGCCGCAATTCTTCCCCCTGAATCCAACCCCAACCTAAAGATCGTACAAGGAAATTCCCACGACGTGACTGCCGTCTCATCATGTCTTCTTGCCGAGCCCGGTGTCCTTGTAGATAAGATCGTCTCGACCATTGGCGGTGCTTTTATTGCATCTAAGATGACTCTCGATGACCCCGAAGTCTGTCAAAAGGGAATTGCCGTTCTTCTTGAGGCCCTCACAAACCTCCGAAATAACGGTGCTGTAGGCAAGCCTCACATAACGGTCTGCAGCACAACCGGATTATCAAAATTTGGTCGTGACATTCCCATTGCCATGATCCCACTGTACCACATCATGCTCAAGGTACCGCACGCTGATAAGATTATCATGGAGGAGCGCTTGGTATCAAGCGGAGAGGATTTCACTATCGTGCGGCCTAGTTTCATGGCATCTGAAATTGAAACCACCAAAAAGGTTAACGTTGGTATTGAGGATCCTATTATTGGACGCGAATCGGCAGCGATTGGATACACCATCAGCAAAAGTGACGCTGGGAGATGGGTTGCGGAAAACTTGATCTTGCAGAAGCACACGAAGTACAGCAAGAAGATTGCTAGTAGGTCATCCTTTCCTTATACTCTTACTCTGTCAAACGGCTTCATTTTGCCTCTCACAACCAGCCAGATCCGTGATGAAGTTCATTCAGCTAATATTCTGTCATAGTGATTACAACTTGAGTTGCGATAAGAATATGGCATCAAACAAGGCTTGGGTTGAAAATAACGCGTTCGGGGTGTGTAGGATAGTGTAGACTTGGATTTGTTATATCATAGAATTCCGGAGTCCGGCGTACAAAGCGATTATAGACCATCGAATTCCTTATGTAGAATACACTTAGTACACCAGACTTACTATGTACAACAACAAGATGCGAACTTTGTAAAGATTTCTGTAGTAGTATTGTCGCTAACAACGCTGCAAGCGGTACTTTGCATCTTACTATAGCCGTAATATGAAGGAGTCGGTCTCTTTGAACTTAATCTTAGTATAGGTACATCTTAACTCAACTCTTCGGACATCATATTATTAGTTTTCCCATTCCAGAAAGTTAGAAGTGTTTCTGTGTTCGCCATTCTTGCAGTAGCCCGCTATCCGCTATCCGTTTCCCGATTTTCCGTCTTCCGCCTTCTACCCCCGGCTCTATTATCATACTATAGCTTGGTTGAAACCCCCAAAATGGTTGTTTAAGGGGTCATTATATTAATAACAAAGGCTTGAGCCTAGCAGCTCTTCGACTTTCTCTCTATCATCCATTTCCTTCGCGCATATACATCTACCCTTTCGATTCCCAAGTGTTTATACCCGAGAACCGTCATAATACAGAATAATAGTTTTGTCTCATTTTCTTCGGCTCAAATACGTCGCAATGCCTTCTCGGATCAAAGACCTTCAAGATTTACATTATGCCAAATTACCCGATTTGTACTCGCTGATATCCGCGAACGGGTTCCTTCCAGTCAAGCAGCCCCTGAAGCGCTTACCGGATCCATACTATCTTCAATGGGAACAAGTATTGGACGAGCTACCAACATCATTGAAAGAAAAGACTATTCGAGTTAAAGTAAACTGTTTAGAGGTACTCGGAACCGACAGACTAATTACAGAACGCGAATGGCAACGAGCATATGTAATCCTATGCTTCCTAGCCCATAGTTACATCTGGGGTGGTGATGTTCCTTCTGAGGTGTGTATCATCAAAGTAATACAGTGTTCAAATCTGACGTCTTGGAAGATCATACCCCCTTGCATCACAATACCACTTCTTCAAGTGTCAGGTCATCTTGAACTTCCACCAGTTGCAACCTACGCAGCCGTCAATCTTTGGAATTTCAGCAGCATAGGAGATGATTTTACAGATCTAGACAATCTAAAAGCCTTACACACATTCAGCGGTACTCAAGACGAGTCCTGGTTCTACGTCCTATCCGTAGCCATCGAAGCACGTGGCGCTCATATCCTCCCTTTGATGCTTCAAGCAACAGACGCCATAAAGCACAAAGACTATGAGAGGATCAAGCATGCCTTGAATACTATGGCCACGTGCATTAGGCAGTTGACACATCTTCTGGGCAGAATGTCAGAGAGGTGTGACCCCATGGTATTTTATCATCGAATTCGACCCTTCTTAGCTGGGACGAAAAACATGGGTGCCGCCGGTCTTCCTAATGGAGTCTTCTACGACGAAGGCGATGGAAATGGTCAATGGAAACAACTAAGAGGCGGAAGTAATGGTCAAAGCTCATTGATACAGTTCTTTGACTTGATTCTCGGCGTTGATCATACTTCTACCAGTACCTGTCACACATTACGAGAAGGCCATAGTCCCATCAAGCCAGCTTCCAAGGAAATGAATTTCCATCAAGAGGCAGGTCTAATTTTACTGTCGATGTGCGCGTTGTATGTTAATTGACTGTGTATTCAGGTCCGTCTTTACATGCCTGGTCCGCATCGGAAGTTCCTCGCCATCGTGTCTCGACTGGATAGCGTCAAAGACTTCGTACATTCGGCTCCGAAATCTCTAGAACAGCAACAGCTTATTCGAGCCTATCAAGGCGCTACAGAAGCGTTTGGGGATTTTAGACAAGCCCATATGCAAATGGTGACTCGTTATATCGTTGTGCCATCCCGAAAACCATGTCCCTCGTCATCACCAGGGATGAACTTGGCTACCGCGTCCTTGGCTGCAAATAGAGGGACACAAACTGAGCTTACCGGAACAGGTGGGACGGATCTAATTCCGTTCCTAAAAACTACTCGTGATGACACATACCGAGCTGGACTCACAGTAGCGTCTAAGGAGCGCGCATAACGGTGGATATTGCGCACAAAGGGCGTAATGTTAGATGAATAGCCTTGTCATATGGTATATATCGGTTAGAAACGGGACAGATAGAAATATCCAATAGTCAGATTATGGCCAGAGAAAGATCATAGCGTCGCGCATAAATATCTCAAGTAAAAGTTAGCTCGTTCATGCTTAGCCAAGTCTAGCGTATCCGAAGTTCCGACATCCGCTCCGTTGCTTCACGACCACACCCTTATCCCAACTATTGAACTTCACGTTCAACAGGATGAGGTATTCATGCGGCCGGCTATGAGAAAACCGAATATGACACAAGGATCAAGTACCTTCTAGCAACTGCCGCTATAGAGAATGCAATCAGACATAGACGATTTGCCGCCCCTCAGAGAGAGGGTATCTCAAGCTTGTGATACATGTAAACAAAGGAAAGGTAAATATTCAACCGATACGCATTGTATAGCAATGGCGTCTCAATCATTTATGCATTGGTCGGTTGACGCTATTCGCAAGTAAAATGTGACGGGAAAGTCCCCTGTGGCTACTGTAAAAGACGGCATCGAGAGAAAACATGCCGGTTCTCTCCTTCCGTCCGCCGCCGCCGCCTTCCTTCCGTTCTTTCCGAAACTCCAACGACGAACGTTTCTACTCCATCAAGCCGCATCTGGCCAGCTACTCCAACTACAACACCGACAGTCCCAATACCAACAGTAATTCATGTATCACCCACCTTGACACGTCAGAGTGATGTTTCAGCCGAGGAAGAAGCCGAAGTTCCTCGTGATGCACGTCTCATTTGCGATGCGCAGGGAAGACTAGGTGAGTGAGAGCAGCAAGTCGAGATATATTGTGCTTCCGATTAAATACCATCTGAAACAAGCATCTTAACCTAACAATATCTGCGTCTAGTCTTTACAGGCGATTGCGCACCGCTCTCGCTATTTCAAACGGTTCGTCAGATTGTGACGACAAGAGTAGACCCCCATGCATTTTCACCAGAAACTAGTCGAGTCTCTATGCTCGAAAACGTCAGTTCTGAGGGTCTAGTGCCGATTGATTCAGCGGGAGAGCCAGAAATCAATCAAGCATCTATACAACGGTTGGTGAACACTTTCCTGACTGTAGTAAGTTCAAACTCTACCTTACAGGATTGATTGCTGTGTCTAATTAAACTAGATAAGTGGTCTAGTGGACTTATTCGATAATAACACATTGATTCCCGAAATTCAATCATGGGCAAACCAAGCAAAGCGCCCAGTAGACGTGACAGCAGCAGTGTACTATCTAGTCCTGGCCATCGGGTCACAATCCGAAGATGAACAGCTCGCAACCACATACTTTCTCCGAGGGAAACATCTAGCACTGTCTACATTGACGGGGAATCTTAGTGTCGGGACCGTCCAATCTTTTCTATTGACAACATTGTATATGCTTCGATCCTGCCAGATTAACGCGGCGTTCTTGTTCTTCGGTTCGACACCCTCCTCCCTTCTCGCGAGAATGGGTTATTGATGAGATACTATATAGGTATTGCAGCAAGAGCAGCTTATGCAATTGGACTTCATCGAACCGAGGTGAACTCTCGTTTTGGCCCCGAGGTCCATGTCCGAAGGTATGTATCTACTTATGTCCCCTTCTCTTCCTTCACGAGGCTAATCCACGCACAGAGACCGTCTGTGGAAAAGCATCCGTGTCTTAGATCTCTACCTAAGCATATCTATGGGTCGACCCCCAGCAGCCTCAGATGCAGATTGTACAGTCCCGTATCACAACACATCAGATGATGGCAGCGAGCGATACGATTTACTGAACGCATCCGTACAAATCCTTTCTCTCGTCGAAGGTATCGTGCAAGAAGTATATTCGAGACGAAAGATCTCGTTGCAGCTCACAGAGGGCATATCGCGCCAACTCCGCGACTGGTCGAACAAATGGCTATCGGCCCTGCTTCGAATGAGCAGGAACCAAGATAACGGAGAACGAACCGGTGCATGTCAAGTCTTGTCGTCGTATTACTACGCCGTGATGCTTGTATCACGCCCCTTCCTCATGTACGAGCTCTGCAGACGACTTCCAGAAAGCGTCGCATCACCCCCTCGTCCCACAGCTCCCGCAGCCGAGACCAACGGGTCGGGTCGAACGAAGCTAGCAAACGCATGTATCGACGCCGCAACCCTCATGATCGGGCTGACATCCGATTTCATATCGCAAAGACCATCAGATAAACGCATGCCTCTCCTCGTGTACGTCATCGCCCCCCTCCTATCAATCAACGCAGCCTAACACCTCTAGCTCCTGGCTCTTCGTCTCTTCACTAGTAGTAAGCGTAGGCCACCTCTCAAACTTCGGCCGCGCGCTCGGAAAGCCCGCCGAAGAATCGATTCGCGCGCTAGAATACTTCGCATCGCAAGACGCGCACGCGTCGCAATACGCACGAATAGCGCAGTCCCTACACCGCTGCGCCCAGTCCTATCTAGCACGACAAGACGCCGAAGACCGTCGGCGGATCGCGGAGTCGTCGACGCAGCTCTTCGGGCTCATGCCTAAGGATCACGAGACTAACAATCAAAACAACGGCCGACCTAATACAAGCGGGACCCGATATCCAGAGGTACGGGTATCAGACCCGACGGGGTTGGAGCCGTGGTCATCCGGGCCGTTCGATGATTTCGACCCCGCCATCTTTTCCTTCGGCGAGTCGCATACGCCTTTGGCGGATATTCGGGTCCCGCAAGGCCAAGGGCATGGCTATGTGCACGAAGGTAGCGCGGATCAGGTTTTCGGGGCGATGAATCTTTTCCCTCTGCTTGATGGGAATGGCCATATAGATCTGGCACATCTGTTATGAAGCAAGGAGCGACTATCGGGCAGAAAGTGCTTTGAGAGCGTGCAACAAAGGATGGACTAGGAATAGAAAGTACGAGTCTAGTGATCGTACCAGTTTGAAATGCCGAGGGTGATGATAAAACTGAGAACAGCAGGTTTCCGATGAATATGCGAAAAGTTCGAATTGTGTAGTTGTATTATGAATATCCCGATTTTCGTATCCTAACAATGCTATGCTATCTAACAATATAAATTTATGTCTATTAAGACATGTGCGCACCTTACTTTACCAGTAGAGAGTTGATAGTCTCTGTTCGCCAGTCGTACAAGTCAACGGACGCATCATGATGCTCCTCAATGCTTCTTCCCATAAGCAGGACTCTGCACATACCAAGTAGACGAGCACCAATGATTCGAGGAAGACACTTCGATGCAAAGATTCCAAAACTGCAATAGGCAAGAAGCTCAGTGCTCCTTTGGTGTAAACATTAATTCGACATGTCCTTCGATTTCGTAACTGCGTTCTTATACTTATGGTCCCGAGTGATGTTGCTCTTCGTCTTCTCCTTCTTCAAACCCGTCATCAGTGCTTTCAAGACCTTGCCCTCGGATGGCATATGTCGCAAGCCAACCGATGAGCGCAATTCCCGCGAAAAGCCCCCAAGCCAGAGCCTCTCCTTTGGGACGTACATGTGTGGATGCTGTGAACAGTGCTCCTGAAAGAAAGGGTCCTACACTGCGTCCAGCTGCGGATAAGGTTTGCGCCAGTCCATTGAGGGTTCCAAGAGTTGCGTGTGATGGCGCGGAATTCGTAATCTAGTCGCGTTAGCAATCGTTATAGCATTAATAGTAATGGCCACCACTCACCAGCAACATGACGGAAGACAGACCCCCTACAGCACATATATTCTTGATAATCAGGATAACGCCAAGCTCTACGTAGAGCCAGATCCGACCATCACCTAGCTGGAAAGGTGGCTTGGAATCCACATAACCCACAAATGGCATCAAAGCCATGGTAACTGCGAATCCGAAGAGCGATATTCGGTAACTTCCCACATTGCCTATTTTGCCTTTGATCAAGGGAAACAGGAATAATTGGAAGACTATGGTAAAGATACCAGCAACGGATAATGAGATACCAATCACGACGGCGCGTAGATTTCGTCCAGTCGGTTCCTCGCCTTGGGCAAAAACAGGATACAAGCTGTTGAAGGAGCTATTCGACAGTTGGAATATGAGGCTCGTCGAAAGGAGGACTACGGTTGTCCGATTCAAAAGTTGACGCCAGGTTGCGATTTCGGATGCCGACTTGGTATCATCATCGTCGTCGTCGTCGTCGTCATCGTCTATCTCATTGGATTGCGGGCGTAACAGACGTGTAGTCTCTCCTGTTTCTGTCACGGACTCGTCCAAATCACTCTCGCAATCATCAGCTCCGTCCGTATCTCTACCACCTGGCCAAAGCCAGGAGAGCTTGTTAAGCTTCGGAGATTTTCTCGAGAAGACGCTTAGCCAGGGAAATCTTTCGGTCCAGGTACCTTGAGTATCTCGGTCTTCCAGCGTTTCCTCAAACCATATGGCAAGAATAACCACACTGAATGCCAGAAGTGCAGCAGCTAGTATATTGGGAGCAAGAAAAGGATACCGGTCTTGGGCCAACTTGCCGACCAAAAGCCCGCCAAGAGCAGGTCCTGTGATGCTACCTATTCCATAAACAACTGGTAGCCAAGTAAAAGCCTTGCTTTGGTTGGTCCTATCCGTTAGTTCACCTAAGCAAGTAGGAACAACGGCGGCGTTTCCGTTCAAGAGTCCCATAGCAACATGCACAAGGATGATTTGGTAGTAGCGAGTGCAGAAGCCGAACAAGATGAAGCACCCACATAGCAATGAAGTGCCAGCTAACATAGTAGGTTTTCTCCCAACAATATCCGATAAATATCCCCAAAACAGGTTCGTAGCCAGCTGAGCGAGTGCAAAAGCAGAGGCGAGAAGTCCAACGTAGAGGCCAACCTGGTCATCACGCATGCCGGGGAAGGACTCGACCATCTCAGGTAGGTATGGTGATATCGAATTGAGGGCGGATTGCTCGGCAAGTGATAGCACGGCTAATAAGGCGAGCTGCTTGACGGGGAGAGGCGTCGAGCTATCATGGGAGTCGGGTGAGGCATCATTGTAATAGTCGGATTCGGAGCTCGGTCGACGGCCGGCGGATTTGGGGGCAGGGGTGGGAAAGGTTTGGTAATGAGTATGGCTCGAAACGCGTTGGAGGACGGAGGAGAATCTCGATCGGTTTGAAGATATCGTAGGAAGAGGCGAGCCGGCGCGAAATGAGCCAGACCTAGCAGATGTCGGAGGAGGTCGTGAACGAGAAGCGGAGGCTGACGATGATGCCGCTACTGCCGCCGCATTGGTTACATGAACCATGGTTGGAGTGGATCTGATACAAGCAGATAAGGCAGGTATTTCTCTGCCCGGTTTGATACTCAGGGCTATTTTGCAGCAGTCGAGCGCAGAATTCGTCAGGGATTGTTCAAAGTTGAAAGCTAATCCCGTGCAAAAAGTGATGATGAGATCAGCCCAGCCATGTTTGTTTAGTGGCTAGCTGCAGGTGTTGCCGGGAGGAACGGAATCTCGGTAGTAACCCGAAGTGAGAGAACTTCAACGTATATGCGAGGTAAGATGGCAGATAATGCAGACTCTTAAGCGTAAATTAAAGCACAGGGCTGTCAAGAGATGAAGCTTAAAGAGGGTAAACTCTGTAGGTGCACAATTTGAAGCTATTTCTTTAGGGTTGGATTATATGACGACACCCAAATCAGTGAACTGGGGACAACGCCGGGGTCGGGGCTCTGGATCGCTGTAGATGGCCAGGGATCTAGCCTACCTGGGTACCCACCTAGGTAAGGTAGGTAAGGAGCTAAATAGGTGGGCTAGTACGCTATGTCCAAGCGCTAAATTTTTGGTGGGTACCTGCTGATAAGGCCAGGATTTGGAGAAGTTGGAGGCCAAGGTTGCGGTGTAAAGTGCTCCCAGGCTCGCCAGGTTAAGTAACTTGAGAGCAACCCATTGGCCCTTGTACTTCAAATCGCAATTTCTATTGTTCGAACAACGAATGAAGAATACATAACATGAATTCTATTCTTCATCTCATGTAATATAGTGTCATTCAAGACATAAAATCCGCTTCAGTTCCATGAACCCATAAACTCAGATAGAAACTCCATCTAAATGTGTAGATGTCTACTAGTTATACTACAAGCTGCCATTTTCGCTGGTATCAAAGTCATTGTTTTGAATCCTTGTTCTAGTAGAGTGTTCTACAGCTTCGAGAGATTCTTGGGATCAACATCTTTATCAGGAGTGCCTTGTAAATGAGCCACGGCATTGGTTTTGCTACAACAAGGCACAATCACGCTGGTTTCGTTTTGACGTCCTGGCATATCGAGAGCCGGGTTGCTCGTGAAGAAGTCTGCCGGGCGGATATGAAGTTGATGGATCTCGACAGGCCTGTATACCTAGGTTAGTTCCGCTGTACAAGGATATTTTGATCGTTCCAGTTAGAGTACTTACATCACCGGCCAATCCTCAACTCTAGGATTATGGGTGAGCCCGAACACGCTCCAGATGACGGGACTGCTACGCTGTCCAGTTCGACTGGTTACAGACGGGTCGGTGACGAACCAGTCGCCTCTTGCTACCATGTCCTTAACGCCACCCTCGTCCCTCCTGCTTTGGTTAGTAAACTCTCCTGCCGCCCATAACTCTTCATCACGATATCCCGTCACCCAAAGGTGGTGTTGGGCAAATGATGCTCTTGCCGCTTGGACACTGTTGGGGTCTGCGAGCAGAAGTTGTGTGGGAGAAGGCACGAATTTATATCCGACATTCTTGCCACTGATGGGGTTCTTCTTATTCATATTCTCAAGCTTGACCGTCCGGTTGAATTTCGGCTCGGCATCTGCAAACATGGCACTTTCAACCAATTGTCGTCTTATTTCGTAACCATTACCGTACGGGTTCGTTTGTGGGTTCATAGGAATGGGATGACTCTCTTCCAATACCACAGCAGTATCTTCACTTCCATATGAATCGATACTGGGATCGATGCGAACCGCAAAAATGTGCTGGTGATTCTGGGCTAAGGCGCCTGGGAATACCACATTACCATAGCCAGATACCTTGCCCTCGTCTATCGGTACGACACTGACAATACCAGTGGCTCGGGTTTCAAGAGTGATGCCACCAGCAGTATCGAGTTTGAAGGCGAAGACATACTCGTAGTTTGCGAGTGTACCTACAAACTGAACCACAAACTCTCGGAGTCGTGTTACTACAGCACGTTCGGTTCGGAAGTTGGTGTGCTTCCAGCCAATGCCTTTCTCGTATCAGCTTTTTCTGCTCAGTTCGTACTTGTAAAGCCCGAAATCACTTACCGTTGTCCTGTTCATGTAAGCACACTACATTTGGCTGAATTTCTGGCTTCCCTTCAGTGCTCGCAACCACAGAGCTCAGATAGTGGATAGCACCGAGACAGTCACAGCCCAATTTAAGGTTGTTAGCAGCCCGTCCGAGACCACCATCTCCAAAATCAAAGGCCTGCTTTCGGTGGAAGGGCGGCCTTGGATCACCGTACGGAACAGTCATCTCCGAGAATGAGATGCGGTACATAACTGGCCGACCATCGTAGCATACATCGTGTAGAATAGCACCCTCTCTTGGTGTAAAGCCAACGCGGAATCGCCATTTTTGCCATTCTACCAAGTTATCTGAATGAACTCTGAACGAAGCACCCTCGGGTTGTGTGATGTTTATAGGTTTGACGTCAGTGCGCAGCGGCCGGTTCATTAGCTCAGGCACGTATTCAGCTGAGGTGAAATCGCCATGCTGGAAGAGCTTTTTGGGTTTACCTGTCAGAGAGGCAGGGTACAGACTGTCACCTTTCCCACCCGTTGCTAGTCGGTCCACCCGGATCATCTCTTTCTTGGCGAAATCCATGACTGGTATGATGGGAAGCGGGTATGCATAGTGATTTGAATTGATATTGTTGTTGGTCGTATTGCGAGCGTAACAGAGCCCTTGCATATACCGAGGGACATCCTCGTCCGGTTCCAGACCTCCGTACGGCCAAGGATCTATGGTGATAACAAAACCCTCAGGCAGAGTAAACTCTTGTATAGCCTTTTGAAACATCTCTGAAGCGATACAGATATCTTGGAACTGGCTAAACTCAGCTACCGTGTAACTGGTCTGACAGTAAGGAGGGAATGTTCTGGTGCGACGGATCTCTCCCACTCCGATATCGACGATCGACTCATGAAGCTGAGGCACGCCATTTGTGATTCGGTCAAATAACACAGTTATCTGTCTTGGAACTGTGGTTTTGGGCGATTGGCCGCTATGCTCGGCGATGAGAAATTGCACGAGATCTTGCTTTCTAGGTTCATCTAAATAGATGGATCGAAAAAAGAGACTAATGCCGTTACCGCCATGTTTCTGCACGACTGCATTTCGAGCCAGCAATACCTCATCTTCGGTGAGAGGTCGCAACGGGTGAGGTGTAGACATCTTGAACATATAAATGCGATGATAGCTTGGTAATGGTCTTACTCCAAGCTGAGTAGTAATGAGCTTAAATAGTTCATGAAGCCTACCAGGAAATATTGATAAGGACGGACTGCCCCTTTGTCAATAAGTCGGCTTAAATTGTGGCAAGCTTATCCTTGAATGTCCGCTAGTGCAAGTCATCGGACTAGCCAAGGGCCAATGATTGATAAGGTGAGCGTATTACGGCGGACTTCGGAGCACGCATACCGGTCACGGTGCTCTTTCGATGTTGGGTTAATGTCTGGCCATCCCGCATAGCCGCATGTGGGGTTTTACCCCGTACCGTACCAAGCTGGAGTATCGGATTCTAACCCAAGTTGGATATCTCGCAGCAACAGTTGCATGAAGCCACTAGTCTAGTATCCTTCCAGTTATGTTATCGCTGGTGCTGGAGCCATGGAAGGTAGCAATGCGAGTGGTTTTGTTTTATACAAAAGATGTAAACGACGTGGAATCTATGGTGAGGGGTAATTGAGAGATATCCCTCGGTACAGTCTTACAGGGCCTGATCACAGCTTCATCGGGCAAGTCCTGGCGAGTCAAAGGCCGAATAAGGGTACTATTGGCGCACACGTAACCCGATGATTTGCATAGCTCCGCTCACCGGACGCATGCTAGATATGCATGCCGAGTTAATTACTACGAGAAATGGGTTGCGGTCCAAAATACGCGAACCTGTGCGTTGTTCCTGGTTCTGGGTACTGGTGCTGTGTTTGGGACCCCACGTCAATCATGTGGGAGGGTAGCAAATGGACGCCTACTCGCTTTTAGTCGGATCTTATCAGCCATTCTACTGTAGATAGCCGTCTCTGGGTTCATTTGCTGATAGTTGACTTACCGCCCTGCATGCATGCATGGTTTTCTCAGGCATACAGTATGTCGTAGCTTCAATCTAAAGCTTGAGCCGCATCTACGTTATTCATTTGTCTCAGATCACATAATTACTTACATCTATCGACAAGTTTTAGTACAAATACATAGACGGAAGGAAGCGTTGTCAAGTGGAATTTGACCATCACTGAATTGTTGATGCCACTGTCGAATCAACTGACGCACGCGATAAGCTTGGATTGTGGTATCAATGACATATTGAGCTAAGGCTCCCATCAAAAGTATTTTCCGATTCTAATATTGCTGCTGCCGGTTAGCTGATGCGAGAGCGACAGCACCCGTAGTAGAACCGTAGCGGCGACAGCTATACTGCTGTTGTCATGGGTAGTTGTAGCAACGGCGGTAGGGATGTTGCTGTTGCAATTGCTGTTGTCATACCGTAGTCCTTGTCGGCGAGAAAAGGGGAGGGCAGCTGACGCGCAACAAAGGCTATGGTGTCGACTGCGGCGGCGGTGATAGGGGCAGGGGAGAGGTAAGGTTAATGGTGATGGCTCCGTCGGGAGGTGGCAGGACCGGCGAGCATAGGGGGTATTAGTACGACTGCAGTGACAGCAGGTTAGTATCAGAATTGGCGAATTCTAAGAGAAAGGAGGTAAAAGTTACTTCTAGCACTCAAGGCATCATTTGCGTCGTCAACAGCGCACATAATCCGCTCTCTGGTCTTCATCTCCACCCGTATTCGTCATAGTCAGCCACCTCAAGTTCGATGAGAATATTGTTGCATAGAAAGCGAATTGAATCAGGAGAGGTGAGTTTCTACGACTATAGGCCGGACGTAGGAGTGGCAGTATGGGGAGATAGATGAGGTAGGCTGAGCGAGAAAATTTGCAAAGAGTTGTCAAGAAAGAAAGAAGCAAGAACGCCTGAGATAAGTAGTGCGACTGCCACTACAGGTGACTAGTCGTGTGTTTTTGCGAGGGAAGGAATTTCCATTGCGAGGCCATTCAGACTTTTCAACGTATTTGAGGGCAAGTACTTGCCTAGGACTTGCTTGAAGGCGAGCTTAGAATCATGGCTCCTTCTAAAAACGAGGGGTTCGAGACATCTAGAGGGAAAGAGGAGATGACTCCTATCCCATCCTATCTCCCACCCCTTATCTCCATCTTCGCTTTCCTTTTCACCTTGCTCTCTGCCGCTGCCCCTTTCTTTCCGACCTAGACAACTTCGATGAAACACTTCTACGTGTGTTCCTGTATACTGATGCGTTTCTAGGATACTATGTCACGATCATCTGCAGTACCTCTGTGCAATAAGTACTAGAGAATCGAAAGATAATCACGAAGTCCATTCTGATTAGAATACCATTCAAAGAACAGACGACGACAATTAGAGTGGTACTGAAAGCAGCGGTGCCGACGAGCCGACGAAGAGCAAGAGAATATTGGAGCCCAGGAAAAGGGTGTTGTCACGCGTGCCACATGGAGAGTTGGATTGTGGTTTCAAGGCGTGGAGTGACCCTTCAGATATAGAGAACGCGGACGCATCCATGCCGACGATACTACCTACACACACAACGTCAAGAACTCTGAGGGTAGAGCTAAAAGTATAAATGCCCGACTTTCCTCGATCTACAGACATATGGGAGGAAAAGCTAGCTCACTTTGGGGTGGAAGGCAAGCTTTTTTCTTGCTTGAACTTGTCAACCATGGTGTATGTTTCTATAACTTTGTGTTGTCATTTGTAGGGAAAGCTGAATTTTGGGTAATACTTGACAGAGACCCCAAAACGATCCTTCGAGTCTTGCGTTCAGACTTGAAGACTTTGATGCCCGCACTTCTACGTAGTGTTCTGGACAAGTATTAATTTACTGTGATGTAGGAAACCAAGACGGTCAGTATCTAGAATCATACTTCGATTTCAATATCAATTCCTCGTCTAATGATACGTGTTCCTTTATTGTTTGTTGCGAGGTTGTAAGGACGTGACTCTGTACAACTCAGAATATCCGACCATGCTCTTGGGTAGGTACAGTGGATAGTGCTGTAAATATGTCCACTAATTTAGCGGGAAGTGGGCCGAGCACCCGCCTCTAGCGGGCCCACCAGCTCCCTACGAAGTAGGTACCTAAGACTGCCTACCTAAACTTATCTACACTGCTGGTCATGACGTGGGGTTCAAACAAATCAAAGCCGCTAGTTATTCTGCTGTTGAGTAAACCAATCCAAGGTTTTGCTGCTTCTTTTTTCTTTCTGTATCTCTTTCTAATTTTTTTTTCTGATGTTGTTGCTGTAGTCAGTTATATTATACATCCCCCATCTCATCATACAAGAACGGGAGCCTGTCGATGGTTGCATGTCTTTTTCCTATTTACCTGAAGTAGACGGCTCATCCTTGCGATATTGTTTCCTTTCAAGGCGCCAATTACCCATTACCTAGGGACTAATAGAGCGTCAATTGCGTTTGTGGGCTGCTGCGAGCTGACAGTCTACTCGCCATGGCTTTTGCAAAGGAGGAGGATGGCAGAGAGACCAGGGACTTCGATGCGCGTTACTCTTCCGACCTTGACTCCGATCTCGACGCGACCGAATACCTCCAAACCGATCCTCTTACAAATTCCAAACCCTACGAAGCTTTCCAAACGCATCCCAAACCTCGTAGATTACGGAAACTCTGTGGCTCGTGCTGCGCCGCCCGCTCGACACGATGTATCATCATATCTCTCTCAATATTTTTCCTTGCATGGTTGATCCTTGGCACTGGAGGCTTCTTTGCCTTTAAGAAATATAAAGAAGCTCCCCCAGATGGGTTATCTCCTCCATGGTATCCCACTCCAAAGGGAGGAACAACCAAGAGTTGGGCTGAAAGCTACAAGAAGGCAAGCAAGATGGTGGCCAAAATGACATTGCCAGAGAAAGTCAATGCATCAACCGGGACAGGTTGGATGATGGGTCCAGCCGTGGGTAACACAGGTCCTGCGATCAACGTTGGATTTCCCTCATTATTTTTACAAGACGGCCCTCTCGGTATCCGTTTTACAGACAATGCAACGGCCTTCCCTGCTGGTATAACAGTCGGCGCAACCTGGAACAAGGAATTGATGTATAAATGGGGCAATGCTCACGCAGTTGAAGCTCGAAAGAAAGGTATAAACGCAATTCTAGGTCCTTGCATCGGTCCGCTTGGTCGAGCGCCTGCTGGGGGCAGAAACTGGGAAGGTTTTGGAGCAGATCCATATCTGCAAGGAATTGCTGCAGAACGTTCTATAAGCGGTATTCAAGATGAAGGTGTAATGGCTACAAGTATGTGACCTTTGCTTTGCTATCCTCAACTGAGTTTGAAAGGAGTATTGATTCTGATGTTCTATACTACAGTTAAACACTTGGTCGGTAACGAACAAGAACATTTCCGACAGCCTTACGAATGGGGTCTAGCTAATGCCCTATCTTCGAACATCGATGATAGAACAATGCATGAACTGTACCTCTGGCCTTTCGGTGATGCCATCAAAGCCGGGGTTGCAAGCGTCATGTGTAGTTACAATATGATCAACAATTCCTATGCGTGTGGTAATTCCAAGCTATTGAATGGCCTGCTCAAAGACGAGATGGGCTTCCAAGGCTTCGTTATGAGTGACTGGCTTGCCCAGGTTTGTCTTCTCTGTTGCCGTTGTGACTTAATTTCGGATTAGAGTTGCTAATTTGTTGCACGGCAGAGAGGTGGTGTCTCGACTGCTCTAGCTGGGTTAGATGTGAGTGAAGCTCGATTCTTGCCATTTACCCTCTTCAACCCTTTGGGGATAGTATTGATTACGGCCCATTCATTTTTCATGTCGCCATGTATCTGTTGGTCTTATACCAATCTGTCGAAATGGCTAACTTTTTTTAAAAGATGACTATGCCCGGGGATGGACTTTTCTGGGCGAACGGAGAGTCGCTTTGGGGCCCGGAGCTGACCAAATCTGTTCTAAATGGCTCTGTACCTCTTGACAGACTTAATGACATGGTCACACGCATCGTTGCTGCGTGGTATCAGATGGGACAAGACGACGAGAAGAGGTTTAATCGTAAAGGTCCCAATTTTTCTTCCTGGACTGACGAAGAAAAGGGTGTATTCGCACCTGGGAGCCCGACTGAGCAGGACGAGATCAAAGTAAACGATTTTGTGAATGTAATGGGAGATCATGCTACCTTGGCGAGGCGAATCGCTGTGGAGGGGACTGTTCTATTGAAAAACGAAGGATTATTACCCATTGCCCATGATGGAAGCACCCCGAACAAGGTAGCTAAGCGAGAAGATTCTCTATTGCGGATAGCCATCTTTGGTGAGGATGCAGGTCCTGGCGATGGACCTAACTATTGCAAAGATCGTGCCTGCAATCAAGGCACCCTAGCCTCCGGCTGGGGATCTGGCGCCGTGGAATTCCCGTATCTGGTCTCGCCCGATGAGGCTCTGGAGAAAGCCTGGGACAGCAAACGAGTCAAAGTTACGACGCATTTGACAAATAGCCCCGCTTTCGAGAAGCAGCCGAGCATCCTCGAAGAAGCCGACATCTGTATCGTCTTCGCCAACTCTGATTCCGGTGAAGGTTATGTTGCCTGGGAGTCAGTGAAAGGTGACAGGCCAGACATATTCCTTCAAAAAGGTGGCGATGACTTGATTGTTAAGGTCGCTGAGGGCTGTCATGGCGGTGACGGTCAAGTGCTAGTTGTTATACATACTGTTGGGCCTGTTGTGATGGAGAAATGGATCGGCCTTCCCAACGTGAAAGCTGTGAGTGTTTTTTGCGTCATATCACCCGAAACTGCAGCCACTAACCCTTAGTGCAAGGTACTCTTGGCCAATCTGCCTGGCCAAGAAAGTGGTAATGCCCTAGCCGATGTGATCTTGGGAACCGTTAACCCAAGCGGAAAGCTGCCTTGGACCATTGGCAAAACTCTAGACGATTATGGCGAGGGTGGTAAAGTAATGTACAAACCAAACGGTCTTGTCCCTCAACAAGACTTTAAGGAGGGGCTATACACCGATTATCGCTATTTCGACAAGTACAATATTGAGCCGCGATTCGAGTTCGGGTTTGGATTGAGTTACACTACATTTGAATTCAAGAATGTTGTTGTTAGGCAGATAAAGGAAAAGAGCGCGTTACCGGCTCCTCGACCAAAAGCCTTCGCCTCATCCCCCGAGTACGACTCTAGCATACCAGATGCCAAGGAAGCCGTCTTTCCTGCTGAGATCCGGAAACTAGAGAAGTATGTATACCCGTATCTCGACAGCATCGATGATATCGTCTCTGATCCATACCCATATCCTGATGGATATGACATCAAGCAACCCCTTTCTGGGGCTGGCGGAGATGAAGGGGGAAATCCAGATCTTTGGGAAACCTATGTTCAGGTGTCTGTCGACATCACCAATACCGGCTTAAAACAAGGCCAGGTTGTTGCACAACTTTATTTGAGCTATCCAAATTCATCCGACGTCGACTTTCCTGTTAAGGTCCTGCGTGGATTTGACAAGCCCCTAATCGAAAAGGGAAAAACCCGGTCCGTGACCTTCAACCTAACAAGGCGGGACCTCTCTTACTGGGACGTATCTGCTCAAAATTGGGTTATGGTAGTCGATGGCGAGTACAAGTTCATGGTTGGACAGAGTTCAAAGGATCTACCAGTCTCTGGAACTTGGTAGAAGCACAATATCCAGTTCACAGAAAATATGGCGCATACAATAGACATTTTTCAGGGGCGAAACAACGCGGTGAAAAATCATGGCGACAGGAGTTGGCATATCAATGTATGTGTTGATCTGATTTGATTGCGCGAACTCAAAGGGTATCCATCGATGCCAAGTTTACTATCACAAACTTTCAGAGTTTTGTTATACGGTAACAGCATATGAGTTTAGATTTGTCATTATGCTTTTACTACCCTGTCTAGAGGTTGACGTATTTTCCACTCAAGCATCTCATTTCAAAGAAACGAAGCGAGTCCTTTCATCTTACAGATGTTTCTCGTCGACCATAGCTGATTTTTTCTTCAGAGGGCTATCGGGGCTAGTTGAGCGTTCATCATCTGGCATAATTCTCTCTGCATGAATTGTCTTGGGGTGTTTTCTGCCTGACAAGTCCAAGAATATCGATTTAACCGTATGGATGAGTGTGTGTCGACCTTCGTATACGGGAAACAATCCAACGGCACCGAGCGAGATGAATATCCAGATAATTCCCACAGTTACCCATCCTGTGAAGAACTGCTTGGAGAAGACGTATGAAGAGCCGTATAGGGGGAATGGCCATAGGATCAAGAAAGCCAAGGTCATTGCGACAGTTGTCCACTTGGATATCTTGCTTGCGCGCAAGAGTTTAGCTTGCTCCGTCTCATGTTGATTATTCGCTTCAGCTTGTCTTCTAGCGTTGCTTTCAGGATCCACGCCACCCTCGTCCACTATGTCGTGATCATCTGCTTTGCGAATCTGCATCATAGATTTCCAGTCATATTTATCCTAGAGTAGGTTTGGTCAGCTCGCTTAAGTATAAGACCACGAGGGGAACGTACCAAGCCGAATATCAAGGTAAAGAGAGAGACTAGTAGAACTGGTGATAGCAATGCAGTCACTAGACCTTCATATTAGCTCATCTCGGAAATGACAAAGGGGTCGACGCGCCCTACCGTTACCAGCAAGCATAGGGTTGTTTGAACCAGTACAGGCGACATCAAGTGCGCCACATGTCTTCGACGAAGTGACGAGCCATGCTGTCAAAGCATATGCTAACCCAATCGGAGGAGAGAGGGCGGCGGCCCATTTGTTCTGTCCTGACCATACGAGCGTAAGAGTCGCGGGTATCACTGCAGAAGATATAATGCAGCCCATCAACAAGTAGAGATAGCCCATTGAGATGCCAGCATACCAAAGCCCAACGGAGAAAGTCGATATGAACAACGCATACACACAGACGATCACATGAGATATATAGATGAGTCGCTTGCCGCTTGCGTCAGGCTTAAAGTATGTTCGGTATAAGTCGTATGTGAAGATTGACGACACCGCAATAAGTTCAGAAGATGTGGCAGAAGTGACGGCGAGGAAAACGATAAGTAGACTCCCTATCGCACCACCCTTACCAAGTAGTGCCACGGAAGCGTATGGAAGAACTAAACCCGATGAAATCTCTTCTTCCGACATCCTGTTGGGGAACGTTGGAAACCGAGGAGTGGGCTCCAAAGCGATCGCCGAAAGTCCCATCGTTGTGGCAGTTAACCAGGGGATGGCGAACCAGGAAAGCCCCCCAAGAATATAACCGGGAAGCGCGTGAACAGGTGATGCGGCTATTGCTTTATTGTAGTAGCCGTTGTCCAAGAACACCGTTCCGAAATTTCCGACGATGTTGATGACGAAGAAGATGACTCCCTCGGTAGAGCCTAGAAACTAATTCAGTATTTAATGATGACCAAACGGATAGAAGCAAAAATGATGGTTGTCGGTAAGCTACTTACGCATAGTCAGATAGCTCCCTTGAGCGTTTCCTTCAATAGGATGAGCAGTAGCAGCTTCAACCAGACGGTCATAGACAGCAGAAGGCGATCCAAGAACATCTGATGTCGCATATGCCGTAAGTGAGAAGAAGATGATAATAATCAACAAGATGAAAGTGTGAATCCAGTCGGTCAAAATCGTCGCCTTTAACCCACCGACCATCGTATAAGCCACAACACCTACAGGGAGTAAGTAGATCGCGGCGATGGTATGCATGCCAGTGAGAGCGGTCACGGTAGCTGAGCCGCCTACAACCAACATTAAGCTAACGAGGATGTTTGTCACAAGTCCAAAGACCATGAAAACGAGATGTGCAATAGTGCCATATCTCGCCTTAATTCTGTATCAACCAGTTTCTATCAGTCCCTAGATATTATCCGTCTAGCTTTAAAAGGTGGAACACTCACACTTCGAGAAAGGTATGCGCGTTGGGCGCTCGTCTCTTCAACTCAATGGCTAGGGTAGCGAAGAGAAGAATCTGGACAGTAGCGCCTGATGCGTACCAAAATGGCCCGGAAACACCATATCTATAACAGACACCTGAGGATTGGAGGAGTGTGGCTGCCCATGTCCATGAACTAACTACTGCAGAACCGACAAGCCCACTTTTGACAGTTCTCCCTGCCGTGTTGAACATCTCCGAAGTTTGGCGCTCCGAGTTATACCTCTTGAGAATGACGGTGACCAGAATCTAGACCATACAATTAAACAGCTGTCCGCTTAAGCTCGGGGTCATAGCGGCAACTTCTTACCATGCCTAGAGCAAAGAGAGTTCCTAGCCCCAGAACGATTCCATATCCGACTCCCTGCCCCAGCGGCGCTGCCGCTGTTTGCCCGTCCATAGTAAGTGTGAGGGCCCCCTCTCGTGAGTAATGGGAGCCAAATGACACACGACAGGATAAATATGCAGAATATGACGAGATGTTTCAGACGATCTCTTTGTTGTCTTGCTCTTGTGTCGTATATCGGGTCACGTGGTGCAGGCAAAGGAAAACTTGTAGAAAAATACAGGATCAGACTCAAATCGATATCAGGTCGTAATCTTGTATTTATAACATGTATACAGCTGCGAGCAAGGACCTCAGGTGCGTCGACAGTTTCCCCCCACCAAAACCGACCTGGAGGCGTCTGCATCTCCGCTACCAAAACTTATGACATGCACAAAGCAACGCTCGCGCTTCTTTGGGATCGGCAGGTATTGGCTGTCCACCTAGATGTAGACTTGTCCTACGGTCAGATATTGCCAGACTGGGCTGAAACCCGTGGTTTCGTGGGGCAAAACCGCCCGCGATGCTGGGCGATCGACCCCGTGCGTCTGGATTGGTCGATAAGACATCAGTTCGAGGTTGCATGAGTGTAACCTTGATAAGGTCCGTGATAACAATCAAGACGTCACGTCACGGCTGGGAAATATCGGAACACATTTGTTCTTTTTTGAGCATGTCGGATACTGGCGAGACTAGTTCAATTGCCTCGTCCCTGCTTCAGCATATGGTCGACAAATACTTTCATAGCGCTGGATCTGACCATGTAAGCCTAGGATACTCTGTTAGCACTCGGCGGCCAATGCTATGCTAGACAAGTTTCCAACAGTCAGGAGAATGTATAATGCCTTATCATCGCACAACATTTACCATTTCAAGGGTAGTCAACCAAGCGGTGGTTGGACTGGTTCCATGACAAGGACACACAGCATGTAAGCAGTACATGGCCAATCACCAAGCTCAGATTGCCCTTGGCGAGTGTAGATAAGGGATTAAGCTTTACGCAAGAACTAGAGTTTTGGGGTTTCAACAAAGATGCGGGGATCGCGTTATCGGGTGCTTTTATCAAGATGATTACTTAATTGATCTCTCAATCGTGGGGTTGGGGATCGCGTGCCGAGGACCGGCTAAGGTTGTCTAAGCCCTGCCAATATACCAGGTCACAAACGATGCAGTTTTGACGACCTTTGAGTCTAATATTATAGGATGCCTCGATTGGGGACTGTGGTGATATATCTAATCCCGTTCGACCGTCTGCAATCTTAGAGGGTGAGGGCTGAATATGAGAAAACTAGCACATTCGTATCAGGCCAATCAGACTTTCGACTCGACCAGCTCTTAATGGTAAGAGAGCCCTTCTGATATTCCGGCAGGCGACTTGTCAGATCGGGATATTGTGGCGTCGATGAAACCAGCGATGCGCTCAAATCAGTGTCTGCCATCATATGAATACCCGTAAGAACTCGACCAAAGCCATTATAGCCATTGCTTGCCCATACGGCATGCTTGTGATTGGAATGTCCTTGTAATGCTGCAAATCATGGCCCATCCCCGTACCGAAAGACGTCTTCAATAGTTCACCATCCTGGTCAATGTTACTCAAGACACCTTGTATGGCCTTCAGCGCTATCTTCTCGTATTCTTTTCCAATGTACTTCTTCCGTTGCGCCTTCAGAATCCCAAAAGCAAAACCCGCTGTCGCGCTCGCTTCAACATAGGAACCCTCCTCCTCAGGATGATCCAGAAGCGTGCGCCACAGGCCAGTCTTTGTCTGCAGATTCTTCAGTGCCTCGCATTGAGCGTTTAACGTGTCGATGAGATGTATGCGGATAGGGTCATTTGACGGTAAGTCCAGCAATTCGAGAAAGTCTGGGATCACGATCGTCAGCCAGGCATTACCTCGTGCCCATCTTGCGTCCGCAAAGTTATGGCCACCTTCGTGGAACGTCCAACCGTGGAAAAAGAGGCCAGTCTTCACGTCAAATAGATACTTGATGTGAATCAGGAACTGTCGCTTCGCCTCCTCGACGTAGTGCGGCCTATTGAGGAGCTTGCCAATCTTGGCTAGCGGCATGACGGTCATCATGAGGGTATCATCCCATAACTGCTGGTCATTCTCCTCGAGATAAGTGATGTGTTGCATACCGCCGTATTTGGTGCGTTCTAGGTCATGATATGCCCATTCTGCCCAGCTGTCTAGCCAGGGCAAGTAGGTGATGTTACCCGTCTTCTCATACACGTAGGCCAATGTCAGAAACACTGCCATTGTGTTGATATTCTTCGTTGTACCTCCTGCGTCAACCCGACTTTTGAACCAATCCTCGATTATTTTCAAGTACTTTTCATCTCCTGTAAGGGAATAATACGCCCAGATGCCATTTAACCCGATGCCGTGTGTCCATTCCCAGTCATTCCATCCCTTCGTATCAATGACGCGGCCGTCTGCTAGCGTCATCAGGAATTCTCCTGACTTGTCTTTGATATTGACCAAGCCATCGATCAAAAGCTTTATCTTGTCATGGATGTCGTTAGATTTGAATCCGTACGCTTGTGCAGGCATTCTGCAGGGAGATGTATGTTTCAATATTGCTTATTGTTGAAGTAGTGGGATAGTATTACTGGTAGAGGAACTGGCCTACAACTCTGAGGTGAACTGATCAGTTGTTCTTCTTCTTCTACCTACAACATGTTCCACTATACTTACCTTCTATCTCTGCCACCATCGTGTTATTGAGCAGTGAGTAGCATATTGCTTCACATTTGCCAAGATTTCGCCAATAGACGATGTGTGGGCGTCAACATTACTTAAGACTCGGTTAACCCCCGCATTTCGTAGGCCAGTTCAATAAGACTTGAACCCACCACATAATTGGTGGTATCAAATTCCCAAAGATCTTTGGTGGATAATCCTGCCAATGATCAGGGATTTTAGATTCTTCGGATAATGTTATACCGATCACCAGCCATCTCATCAGGGATCTCAGTGGGGAAGCTGGGGTCGTCGGCAGGTCCTCGACAGGATGAAGACTGTCTCACTAACCCACAATAGGGGCATGTGGAAAGGACTATGTTCCCAATCTGCCCAACTTTTCGGTGCTTCGGTGCAACATCTGATTTACATACGATGCTGTTGGTAAGGTGGCACTGACCACGGTTAGAGAGAGAGCTTAAGATCTTCGGCGGGTGAGCAGATCCTTCCCCAGAGCCCCAGGTTATTCTCTAGGTCATATGTAGGGTAGTTCCCCGCTCCCCAAGCTTCGGATAGAGCGATACTTTTGGTGACATTAGCTGTTTAGGCGAGTACAATATGAGTAGCTCTAGAGTTACTCTAGGTGTCCATTCAGTCAACTGAAGGTGTTTAAATAGTTAAGACCACGTGCTTAGCCTTACTGTTGCGCACATATATACCGTTTGCGTGTTGTAATCCTTGTCACCGCTAGACAATTTCCAATATATACGCAAGCTAACACGTCAGGGAGGCTCGCACGACAGAATAGATTCAGAACAGTTACCCATTCGTCGGCTCTGTAGTCCGTCCAGTAGCAGGGGTCAGCCAATAAGACTCTATGGCATACTTATACAGCTGTAACGACCGGTATTGAATTCGCTTCCGGCCCATTTGCATGCTGGTTCCTCTTCAAGTATTGCCCCGGAGAAGCCAATCTTTTCCCCGATTCGTGAGTTGCTTTAGTAATTACGATTCCTAGCTAGTCGACACAATGTCGACGACCGCGACGCAGAAGAATGGTGAGGCGCTTGCCGACTCGATGATCGAAACTCGTCGGACATATTCGGCTACAGATGATATGGAGCTGAAGGGTGATCACACCCAGATCGACAGAGTAGACAAGGAAATCGCCAAATACGCCGCCCAAGGCAAAATCGATATTTCCCCCGAGGAAAATGTGAGACTTCGAAAATTGATAGACCGTCGGGTCTTGGTGATCATGATCTGTACATACTTCCTTCAAGCCATTGACAAAGGCACACTCTCCTTTTCGTCGATCATGGGTCTACCTAGAGACACCGGCTTGTTGACACCGGAAGGGACTGTCAGCCAGCTCTATAGTTGGTTGACAACATGCATCTACATCGCCATTTTGGTGGTAGAATACCCTCAGGTGCGTGTGAAGTCTCGGAGGCACTGATAGGTTTGCCCTGTGATATTGCTGACCATTGCCGCCACAGAACTACATCATTGCACGGGTACCTCTCGGGAAATACCTAGGGTTCTCCATCTTCGCCTGGGGAGCTGTCCTAGCTGGCCACGCTGCCTGTACGAACTTTATAGGGTTGGTGACAGTTCGTACACTGCTGGGAATATTTGAATCTGCGTGTCAACCAGCATTTGTTGTGCTCTCGGCCATGTGGTATCGACGTGAAGAACAGGCAGCTCGTGTCACGTACTGGTATATGATGAACGGGGCGCAACAAATCGTCGGTGGTCTGCTGGCATACCTCTTCACATTAATCACCACTGGGCCTCTAAAGTCTTGGCAGTGGCTGTTCCTTTCCTATGGAATCATTTCCATACTATTCGGCGTATTCGTTTTCATCTACATGCCGGACTCGCCGATGCGAGCTAGATGTTTCACCGAGGAGGATAAACGCTTGATGGTGGAGCGTGTTCGTGACAACCAGACTGGTCTCCAGAACCGTACGTTCAAGAAAGAGCAGGTATTCGATGCACTCACTGATCCACAGACATGGTGCTACGCCGGGATGCAACTTTTTACAACATTGCCTACGAGTGGTCTCGGTAGTTTTGCCAACATCATCATCTCAACGAATTTAGAATTTAGCATTCTTCAGACACAGCTCCTAGCCATTGTTCTAGGCGCCTATATCATCATCGTTCTCCTCGGTTCGGTATGGATAGTCAAAAAGACGGGTCAAAATATCCTGGTTGCGCTAGGTTTTGTCATTCCGTAAGCTTCGATGACCAAGAGTCCTGTTAGGTGCCACTCACATTGCTGACTACTGCCGACTGCAGGTCTTTTGTTGGAACCATTCTGCTTCTAACAATCCCCAATGAGACGTTCTCGCAACATGTAGGACTGTTGATATCATATTACATCACATTGTCCTTCTGGGCGGCGCAGACACTTGGTCTTTCTCTCTTGTCTCGAAACGTAGGTGGCCAGACGAAGAAATCGGTCGTCCTAGCCATCAACTTCATCTTCTGGGCAACCGGTAACGCAATTGGTACGTACTATCCATTTCCTGGAGTGCTTCTTGTAATACGTACGATGCGAATAAGCAGCTAACACTACTACTCCAGGCCCGCAGGTGTTCCTCGCTTGGGATGCGCCGAAATATCATGTAAGCCGAGACCTTGTCTTCTGCATGGTCCGTTTATTTTTGCTAACACCGGGTGGCACAGATTGCGTTTGCTACACATCTCGCATGTTACACGGCCTTGGTGTTTGTTCTGGCCTTCTTCCGTTGGTACCTTAAGCGACAGAACAAGAAGCGAGAGGAACTGGCGGCGGCGGGGGTCAGGGAAGCCAATGATGCCAACCTGACTCACGCCTTTGAGGACCTTACTGACCGGGAGAACCCCAATTTCCGTTATATGTATTAAAGGCGGAACAAAAGGGTCGGTTTGCCTTGCGTGAGTAATTGGGAGCACCAAGCTTGTATACGAGAGTAGCAATATGGTGTCCCCATTAGGTGGCCCAGTAGGCTAGGTTGATGATGAATGAATCGGGTGAAATTTAACCAGAGGCTCAGCCAGTCGAGACTCCATACCACTGGTCGCAGGCTTGACGCATATCGGCCTGCCGTGAGAGGTCTGTAGCTCCGAATAAATACCACCTTCACACAACGAGGCATAGGGGTGGGAATGATATGGATTAATTTAGGTACGTACCTACTTCAGGTTGGTTAGGTCTGGTTAGGTAGGTAGGCAGTTACGCATATGCACGGTATGCACTTACCTAGGTTAGATTGATTGATGCATATACTACGTATGCAGGTCAGTGGATACATATCTAGATGTACTTTGTACTTTGTAGTTTAGTGCAACAGCTGTGTGGCTTATCGATAAGATACTTCCTACTTACTTCAGTCAGTACCAGCATGAAGCTCACTTCCAATCTCCCACCGTCACCTTGACCGAACTTCCTAGAAGCCTCGATCAAGAAGCATTCCAACCATGGATTACCGGTCTGATCATTCGCGCTCACCTACGCCGCCGTCGCGGTATTCCCGCCGCTATTCAAGTGCATCGCCACCTCCCTCTCAAGCTAATAATAATGGCAACTATCGCTCTCCCGGGAGTCGAAGTCGAAGTCGCACTCGGAGCCGGAGCCGGAGCCCTAGTCGCGGCCGCGGTGAAAGTCGCAGTCCTCTCAGAGGAAGCACCAAGGTACGTCACCGTGTTGGTTGCGCAGCCGCCCCAACAGCTTACCAATTGTCTTTCGTACAAAGATACGAGATCGCGCTGCTGACTTAGCCCATGTAGATTGTTGTCGAGAAGCTATCTAAGACGATCAACGAAGATCACTTGTACGAGATCTTTGGTCAATATGGCACAATACGCGATCTCGATCTGCCTATGAGCCGCCAGTGTACGTGCTGCAAACGTGTCACGACTCTTGCACCAATCCTTTCCTTGTGGCGCTTGCTAATGTGATACGTCGTAGTCGGCACTAACCGTGGCACTGCCTACATTCTCTACGTCAACGAGGCTGACGCTGAAGCTGCCATTGCATCCATGCACGAGGCCAATCTCGACGGCTCCATTATTAACGTTTCCATCGTCTTTCCCCGCCGGAAATTTGATCCGTCTCCACCTACTGCCAGCCGAGGCGCAAACATAGACCCCCGAGTTCCTGGGCCCGGCTTTCGAGGTGGTCCTGGCCGTGGTGCAGGTGGAGGTGGAGGAATGGGTGGCGGAGGTGGCGGAAGAGGCTTTGGTTTCGGAGGGGGGGCTAGAGGGAATCGTTCACCTCAGCGTCCCGGACGATCAGCTCGTGATAACTTTGATACTTATCGACCAAGGTCCTACTCTCGCTCTCGATCGCCCCCTTCACGCCGCAACCGTAGTCGTTCAGAGTCCTACGATTCTCGGTCACGGACGCCTCCAAGACGTCGAGGTGGGCGAAGGGACAGTCACAACGACTATAATGATCAACGTGGCCGACGTCGTAGCCCAAGTTATGATAGTGATCGCGGCCATAGTCGCTCACGCACGCCAGAAAGGTCCTACCGATAATTGACAAGGACTAGAAACTAAAGGATAAGGGTTGGGAAGCAGGCAAAGAATTTCCATGGGTCATCATAAATGTGTCCAACGTGACGTAATACACGACCTAAGATCTGTGGGAACCGCGAGGGTCAAATGTTTAAGAGCAGGGGGGACGACACAAAGATGGAGGATGATGCGGCATGAATTGGGATTGATTAATGCCATTTGTACGTGTTCCTATTTGCGCTATATGGATCCCAAAACAATTCTCAATCGAGATGCAACTTACGAAGTATGAAGAGAAACTCTAATTAATCACAGGTCAAGATTTCCCCTTGTAGACCCATATCCATCAATCAGTAAATGCGCATGAGTCCAGTGTGTTACTAATGTTGTCTGCGTTGGTTAACAGCAGGAATCCTTGCTGCTAACGCCGGGGGAATTAATCCCCGTATCAAAAACCTCTAAGATTATCGATACTAGGCGCCAAAGGATCGTGATGGGTCCTCGATATTAGATTCTTCTTCTACCGCCTCGAGTTCAAACCTACTTGATGCGCGTTTGTCATCACGCTGATGTAATCCATTTCATGAGCTTGCGAGGAGTTCAAACCTACTTGATGCGCGTTTGTCATCAAGCTGATGTAATCCATTTCATGAGCTTGCGAGAAACCATGAAGACGATGAGCTTCGTCGTGTATAAAGCTTCACGATGATGCTAGTACCAGTCCAAGAGATGGCAGACTACACATCCGTTCGTTACCAGCACATACTCCCTCTCGTGAATTCTCAATTCCACCTTGGAACCGTGTACCATCACAATGGCTTCAACGGCACCTTTTCTACAGCCTCCAAGGCGTATAACTGCGTCGAATCTTCCTCTCACCGTTGCCAATGCTCACAATGCGAAGGCTGAGCCTGCCGTAGAGATCCTTGATGATGCTCTCAAACTCGAACCTATTCTGGCAGGTGCACTTGTGCGAGCTCGTGTGGCAACCCACAAGAAAATACCCACCAGTAATGACGGATCGTGAGTCCTCACCTAATCACTTTATACGAGAAGCTAGGCCACATACCCTCGGGCGTATTATGTATCTAGCGTAATATCCGACTCGAATGCTAACAGACAGTCAGCGGCACAATCCCACTCGACGATGTTCCGGGCTTTGGTATCGTAATGCCTAACGGGCTCAACATGTACTACCTAGATGTTGCACCCAAGACTGAAGGCGTCATGGTGAGTTTTAGTGGAATTGGAAATCAAAATTAGCGAGGCATAGCATACTGATCGCGATCTGTGTAGCACCGTACAACGTCTACCGACTATCTGGTCGTGCTACAAGGAACCCTAAGTTTGTTGACACCCCGAGAGTCCTTCAACGTGGAGACTGGCTATGGCGAGCTGAAAGAGACGCTTTGTTTCCCCGGTGACACAGTCGTCCAACGAGGAATAATGCATGCGTGAGTTCTCAAATTCTGGCGTCATCCGCAATGACCTTGCTGCACGCCGAGTATACGACGTATTTAGCTCAGTTTCTAATGAAGAGAACGCAGCCTTTCCAATCGTACCGATCAATGGGTCCGTGTTATTGGGATAGTGGCGGCTTCTGATCCCAATCGCGTGCGTATTGAAAGCAATTCGTCTTCAGCGCCACAAGAGGTCAGGATGCTGGATGACGCTTGGCTAGCTTAAACCAGCCTCAGCCATTACCACCAGTCGTCACTCCGCCTGTCGTCTCATTAGTCCTGTGCTGTGCCGGTGGGGGCAAGGCTGTCTTCGGCAGGATGTGTGCAAATGAAACCCCCCCAACGCGCTTAGCGCGGCTGTGAAGGTTCATTGGATGACGCCCTTAGTCGCCGCGGCGGCTCGTTTCCGCGGCAAATGACCGAGTTGTCAACCATTTGTATTACCACAGAATTAGCGATCAGATGTAAAGAGGCTCTTCGGGTCAATTCCAATGCAACTCGATGACTATTTCGACGTATCTTCGGCACACCTGTTATAACCTCGGTGTAAACGGCCTATACAGCTTCTTTCTCCATCATCCCCAAGTTAGCAGTGAGTCAGCTCGGGATATTGGGCACGGAGGGTCTCTATCATTAGTCGCCAGTTGTGCTTCGCTCTAGGCTACCCCGGCCCCCTGCCTCCTTCTACATTAGTAGTATAGGGTGCATTTGCTGTGCTCTTAATGGCCATCATAACTCAACTGCTAGTTATCACCGGTGCCAATCACACCGAAAGAGTGCTACGCTCGGTGTCAAACTCTACGGGCTAATTCTCTATCGACGCCTATGCTGACATGATGAAGCATTCTGCATACTAAACATTTCAATCGGTATGCAGTCTCGATTACTCTTCTCGCAAGTGCCTGGCCGCAGTATGGCGGGTCTGAGGCGCAGGATTCAGCTCTTGTTTGCTCAATTAGGTCATCTAGAGCTTGTCGTTGCTCATGATTCCTTCGTCTATCGTCCTATGTGTCTAGTTACGCGTCTCTACATTCTGAATGACGGCATGAAGGATCACGAGCCATGGTTGTTACCCTTTTTCGAAAGATATGGACGAATCCGTCGTGAGCAGTTGTCAGGTTAAGACCACTCGTCGTTGCCTGAGAAGTCGTTCTGGAAAGTATATAACCACTTAGGGATCACATGTTTATCCCAATGTTTCTTGTGCACCATCAACTTGTATTCAACTCACCACTCAACACTTGCTTTGAAATACACCGCACCAGTTCAGACCAACCGACAACATGTTCATTTCCTCACCCAGCTCTCACCATAACACATCTTTCGAGCCTATGGATGCTTTCCCAAAGATACCTGTCAAACAACGTCAACTCTATTACAACCGTTCATCATACAAGGATTCATCAGATATCATGAAGCAGCCAGTTTGCTTCCCTAACCCACCACGACCACCAACACCTGGACCTCCACGACCCGACCCGCCAATGCCACCTAATCCCCCGACACCAACCCCGCCACCTAGTCCTCAGCAACTTCTATCCTGCAGTATTGGCCGACAGTCATCTATTCTCGCCTCCGAAGCTGAGCCTATTCGATGTCCTTATCCTAACCCACCCCCAAGCCCAGGTCCCCGGCGCCCGGGTCCGGTTCGCCCAAGACCGGACGTGCCAACACCGCCCCCGAGCCCTCGTAGATCTGCCAACCCTTGGATATTGTCTACCATGTCCAGTCTGGTGGACCTTGCTCTGATGTATCTCGTGTTAACCACGTGGAATGCAGATGGAGTCACCGAGGATGCAGGGCTCGCATCAGAGGTTGATGTATGCTCTGAGCGGCACAGCAAGAGTAATCATGGCCCGGAACTCACTGAAGTTCCTCCTGTCATCAAGGTGCACTAGAGACTCCACGTGTTTAGCGTCGCATCGCAATCTTCACATGCAAGGCAGACATATACACAACAAGGACTCAGGGGTGGCAGTGGTTACTAATACATTCACGACAGCGCTCAGCGAAGACGGCCTGATTGTCCCAAACACCATCATCCCTCTGGCGCTTAGCTAGGAAGCTCAAAAACTCCATTAGCGATTGGGAGCATCATACTACTCCCTTGACATTATTGACGGCCTTTAAGGGTGTCTGTCTGAGTGCGACCCTGGTCGGTAGGGCTGACTGTTAAACCCTGCGCCTTCGCCGATTGGATGGTCCCCTTCGGAAGGAGCTTTAGGAAGGAATTCCCGGGGATAATCAGCCTACCAAGGCCCAATTCCAACAACCTTATTCGTCACAACCATTATTTCAATTCAACAACACACCGATGCAAGGCGGAGCCTTCACCTTGAGCTGCTTTCTCTGTTTTCTCATTCGCTGTTTCGTCTCAGTTTTCAATTTCCTTTGACTTTCTCGATTCGGAAGTCGTTATCTCCCATTGGCTAAGTAGCATCCTTTCTTTTCTTATTTTTTTCTCGTCCCGGCTATTCGGAGAATATCCGCCGAGCACATCTTCCCTTCGCATCTACCGAACGACTCTCAAAATAGAAACTAGATCTCTCTGTTTTCCTCGCGGATTCACGCACATTGCATTAGATGAGACTGGGTGGGATTCATATCGGATTAGACTAGGCGTTCGTGTTCACATGCTTTTTCTGGGTACACTAGGAGTTTGTTTGTTTGTCTTTTCCATTCCCCTTTTCTGTGCGGTGATAGACGGGTCTTGGAGCATACGCGGCGGCGTTTCATTGTCGAAGGTTACTACCGAAACTCACTATCATTTTATGTACCAATATGTCTACCTTCCTTTATCTACCTAAAGATTTATCAGTCAGCTTCTTTCATATATGAATTATGGCCAAGTGTGCTAGGCTGATGTCATCGTGGCTGCGATCATTGATTTTCATAAACCCCAACCCGGAATGGCGTTTTCCCTCTCCCTCTCCCTCTCTTCACTAACAACATATCATGAATTCTAATGCAGAAGGTCTCCATGGATATTTCATTATGCGGTTTCATATATATATTCAACATCTATGAGCTTCATCCGGCGCTCTCAGGATACAATCCCACCCCATCCTACGGTACCGACAGAAGGGCAACCCCATATCAAGATGGAACGGCGTACAACGATGTTGTGTAGCCCAACCTAGAGATCCTATAAAAACATGCAAAAGGACCACGCTGCATGGACTGTCCCACAGACGATCCGAGCATAACGTCCCCATAAATGATTGACTCAGCCGTGGGGGCCAGTGAGCTTCTTCTTCTTTTCCCCCATCTCTATTTCCGCTTTTATCTTTCCATGTAAAAAGTTCCAAGCAGCCGACCCCAAAGCTTCAGGCCCCCGCATGCGATGCTCCACTGGAGCCGTTACGACGTGGCGTTAATACGACAACCAGACACGCGTGTTGATGAAACAAATCCTTCAGTTTAAGGTTTTCGCTTGGCTGACAGGAGAGACGAGGACATGTGAGAGAAACTGAGCGAGACTTCTAGGTGGATTCAAGATGACACGTGGTCCCCGCTTACATTGTAGATGAAGCCGGACTTCCGTACCTTGCTCGTGCGCGCCAAGTGTGAGTAGGGATTAATAAGGTCCATATTTTGCGCCGTTTTCCAATTTAGAATCGCTTCTGTTAATACTTGTTGAGCGGATCGGTTGCAGGTGGTTAGGCAATCTTGCTTCACCCCCTAGAAATGAGGCTGCCTAACTCTCCCCTCCACACGACAAGCCAGATAGAGGCACCATTCGGTGAGCCAATTTTTAGTATAACTTGAAGCTCACACTGGGGCCCCTCAGCCGCACAGGTCCTTTCCAATGCCGGCCGTACATTGTATGAAAGTAGTAATTTAAGTCCTTCAACTTACTAGACTTTGCCCGGCCTGTCCGCCTTATTTTTTGGGGATACTCCACAAGCTGTTGTTTCGAAGCAAGTCGACGAGGTCTATTTCGACGGCCAAAATACTATTAGTCCTGCTCGTTTTCTATATTTATGACGAGAAGAACGGGGTCGGACGGGGTCAGACGGGGTATTGAGTGGTTGTGTCTTCGTCAACTTGGGTATGACTCCGACGGGCAGTTCGAGGTTTGCCGCGATTTTTAGGTGTTACACGTGCAACCTCTGCCAGCTGAATATGCAGTTCGCCTTACACTTCGGCCGTACGAAGGACCATTGCAGGCTATTCATGATCTTTCAAGACAAGCAGGCAATATTGGGCAATATTGGAAAGTGAGGTTATACAGACTTCGCTTCTTGAAACAGACCCCAGAGACCTAGGCGGTCTGGGCTGGCAGACCAGTTGTATATAGAGTCAAGTCAAGCCACCAACAGCCAAGAAGGAGTTGGTTGGTCAAGGACTTATGCAGCCCTAGCTGATCATTGTAATCTGAATTGCCTAGATTCCAAGCCCAGTATTACTGCCTTTGTTATACCTAAGGATAGACAGATGCGACAACTAGGTCTTCCCCCTCCCCCATTCAGCCACATGATGGAGAAACGACAACATTCTACAACTTTCTATAGCTATTTCAATCTAACTGTGAAGTCCAGTATATGAACTGACTGTTTCATATAAATGCCTTGTCACGCGTAAGCAGTTACATCTATAAAGCCGGGTAGAGCATTGAGTATCATAAGATCCTGTTGGTCGGTAGATTCGGTAAAACCGGGAGGATTGAGAGTAATGGACCGAATCAAGTATTATGTTCCTTGCTTCACGCTTTGGTCCGGTGTGCCCCTCTATATTTAAAATCGGGAGACAGTTATTCATGCAGATTCATTTCGTACCTTGCTCGGAGTGCGTTGTGCTTCATCTCCAAATATACGATATACTTCTTTCAGTGAAGGAAAAGGTGGACACTTGTTATTATTATGGCAGAATAAAGCTGAAACTCTCTCATCTGACGACAGGCTGATCTGGCCACGCATTCTTATCCTGTTTCAGTCCGGACTGCTATATACAGTAACGTCACTGTGAATACCTTCGCTTGTGAACCTTCCTGGCTACATATAATAGCTTGTACATACTATATAGCCTTTGATCGGTGTTGTATATCGGAAATAAGGTGATGTGTAATTCCACTGTGTTGTGAACCAGGGCTTAAGGATAGAAACAGGATATATATAGTCGAAAAGGGCTTGAATTCTTTCATTCGTGGCCTTCTGGACGTCGTGTAACATCATACTCTTCCTATATATATCCTATTTTGTTCATGACACGCGGCGCTTCGTTGCTTCATAATAAAAATTAATCGATTAGCCTCTAGGTGTCATAGGCAGTTTCTTGTCATAGTTGGAATTCATTGTGTTGCACTTTACACCACGAGGTTCCCTAGTTAGACCTCCCAGTGAGTGGAGGTTCGTGAATTTAAAGTTATAATATAAAGTTTTGTTGTATTGCCTAGGGAAGACCACGTAGTAATCTATCACGACGCTTAGAACATCACAAAGTGGTACAATACGGAGATGCTTAAGGGCTTCAGTGACCAAAAATACAACTCAACTTCTTTCAGCTTTAAATATCTCGAGTCAATTAGTTAAGTTTGAAACCTAATTGAAAGGTAGGTGTCTTTAAAATCTGTTTACGGTGAGCCCACACGTGTATTAGCTCAACCTCCGTTCGATAGGCCTTAGAATGAAGAAGGCTACACATCTGCTGGAGAATTGGAACAAGAAAATACCTCTATAGATGAGATATAGCTATTGATGGCGGATTACACGCGTATGGCCAAACATGCAGCTCTCCTACTGCTACGGCGCATGTCCTGCAAAAGACCACTCGATAAGATATACAACCTCGTATTGAAAAGTGAGGTTTTACAGACGTACCAGAGTTTGAAGATACAGCAAAGGCTGTACCTATTTTATATAGTATCCATCCAACCAGCAGGGCCAAGAAGGAATCTGGTGGCCGAGGATCATAACAGCCCAGGCAGATTGTTCGACCATGAACAGCCTCAATTCGAAGCTTTGATTTGCTGTATTTCTATACGGTGGTTGTAAACTTAAACTCATCAGATGTCAACTATGCATAATTTTAATATAAGTTAAACTTTAAACAGCTGAACCATCAGTTATTAAATGTTATAACCTTTATTATAGAGGTCACTGCTAAGAACTTACAGTATAAATGGTCGCATAAAGAGATATAGTTGTTGAGTAAGACGTACATATTATCTGGCTAAAGAAACATTTGTGATAAACAGGTATCTCCCTCTGGTCCTGTACGAATGACGCTGTAATAACACTGGTTGTTACTGATTATCGTCAGTATCGATATTGTCAAATTCAATATTTATAACCATTAACAGGATGACTCGGAAAATCCCTCGGATTGCCATATAGCAATTCTCTTGTTCCAGTCGACTTTAGAATCAGATATGAAAAGCCAATCTATACAGCCGACATCAGCCAAGATCTCTCCTATAACTAGATATAGCTTCCAAATGGCTATACTGGTATTCCGAGCAATACCTCAAACAACCTCATTAAGGATCAAGCTGTGAATCATTGCATACCACGTAATTATCAGCTCGAAAGCAAACTAATTCTATACTAGTAGACTAGAGCCTAAGGACATTCTCGCACCTAACATAGTTCGCCGCCGTCAGTCATGGCAAATTAGATATGTAGCCACTTAGTGTTATAGTTCCATCTTAGTTTGCCACGTTCTTAGAATTAGGCTATGAAAACTCTATTTCACATGTTTAATACTAGTACACGAATCGTACGTGGTAAATGCATTACTAGACAGGTGTCGACTCGCCGAAAGCGAAGCGTTGCGAGGAATCGAAACCCACAATTGGGTATCTCGCCCGACTCTCTTTCCTTTCGGAGCGCACATTCCACAATCTTCAATATCACAAGTTCCTGATTCGTGCCTCATCCACCGTGTTGGTGCAGTTAGTAAGGCTTACTCGCGAAAAGTCAATAGTTGAGACTAAGTCGGGCTAAGCGACGTGGAATACAAGTATTATGCGTGGTAAGAGTCTGATAAGCACCTAAGTACCTATCTTGGGTAAACCTGATAAGGAATACTGAGGATGAGCACAGCAATCAGATCATGAAGTACTTGTCCGTTTAACAACAATAACTGCACACATAGATAAGTTAAAATTGAGGTAGCGATGATAAGTCAATGCGAACCGGTGATATAGAGGCCAAAGCAAACGTATTAAAAAAGCGAAATGAGTATAGGTAGCATGGAAGACTCGTGGCCGCCCCACCATATCTCCATCTTCATGGTCGGTAGGTGCCGACAATGGAGAAAGGTGGGCAGCCATCAAGGATTAGGTTTCGAGCGACAGGATTTGAGTCTTTACTTATTCACGTAGTATTGCGAACCGGACCGTCTCTACATGCACATGTAATATACTATGTAGTGTGGAAAGGTGAGAATTGATTCTGTTGAAGTATAAGTTACCTAGTGTGTATTGGTTGGTAGACTTTCATAGTGGGCAGTAATTGCGACAAGCTCGTATTATGGCTGCCATAGATAGGAATTTCTCCAATGCTACGCTGGTGCATGACAGTACATCAAGAGATGACTATTGTAAGCTCTATATCACACAGTTCTAAGGTATCTGATCACCTCGATAACGAATCAACAAGACACAGGTCGCGACTTGATTGTACCTATAGTCATTCTATTGTATCTCTATGAGAAGAGATCTGTATAGCGATGATACAAGTGTTCTGGCGCGAGGAAAAGTGATTAGAACAAGCGCTATTTCATTGGCGCTACTACTATACTCTATGTATTCACTTTTTCTCGGGCTTTGGAGACAAGTGGTGAGGTGGTCTCGGCTAACCTACCGTGACTAGCGCACTCCATCGCGGTTTATCTAATGTGCAATGGAGTCGATGACCGCTTTATCCCCTCTTGTCACATCCGCATCATCCGTGCCTTATCTCGTGGTACCTCTGGTGTCATCGTCTTCGACATGGCAGCACCACACAACCTGCAGTGTAATGTTTACCAGTCTATGCTATAGCACATGTATCACGCCAGAAGGTTTCTCTCTTCGCGGTATCTATCAAGTTCGTAGGGTGTCCACACCGAGCTGGGAGGTCTCAGCCACTTTTAGGTCACAGTGGCACACTGTTGTATTGAGGAATAGGTAGTCAGGGGGTTTATAGCTACCTGAGACGGGGGCTAGGCAAAAGAGGTTGAACCCTGGCATCTGTCAGAGAGTAACTACATATCTTGTACGAGGAAGCATAACCAATCCCCCCCGGCTTCAGCAAATTGGGCGTCGTTGTACCGTTGTGGCTGCTTTGATAGGTAATCAAGCCTACAGCAGGACCCAAAAAACAGCTCTCGTCGTTTAAAGGACATTGAATTGCTGGTCCAGCCGTTGCGATAGTTGTACGACCACTGACACGTTTTTCGTTGGTTTGTCGGAGAGAGCGACATGTAGTGTAAATTACCTCGCGGATATCTAGCTCTTCAGCGTGGTCTAGATACTCCCTTGCTGCCAACTTTCATGACTCAGGTCCAGGTGCCCTCAGCTCGCTCTCCACGCAGAAAAACACTATTGACTGAGTGCAGAGGGCTGGATGCCTTGTCCGTATCAATGTACCGAATAATGATGGATGTACTGTACATCTGGCCACCGCAAGCCACCGCTCTAGCGCGTCGTGCCAAGTTCGACGCCAACCGCTCTAGCTGACCTTCAATACGAGGTAGTGTACATGTATCCTAGTGAGTGAACGTGCCGATCCGACGCTATGATCTGGTTGGACGTGGAAGTACTCCCGTTGCACTACGGAATATTATTCACGCTGGGTGTGCACAACCTGCTCGGCTTCTCGAGCGCGTACCTGAGAGCGCTGGAACGGGTGGCTTGGCAAACCGTTGCCGCGCGATGCCGACTCTGTGTGGACACGATATTCAGCATGTTTGGGCAGCAATTGTTGAGAAAACCACTGCTGGAAGAAGGAGAAGATGTTCCCGTTGCTTGAATGTGGAAGGGTAGCTGAAGATGGCAGTGAGTTGGTAACCCACAACTCCTTCTAGGATGATGCGATCGCTGGAAACACTATCTACGTGTTAGCCAACAACTACAGTAGTCTGCTTCGTAGCGTATGCAGATAGATCAAGTAGGTAACAGCATCCCTACCAATATCCTTGCAATGAGTGATTACCAGTGATGCCCCAGTACTGCCCTCTTCGGCTAGTTAGAGGATCATGTCACAAGTCTCGATTTCGATCTATGACATAGCCTCCCCGCCTCGCCTGGTCCAGATAGGTCCAGGGTACAGTCTAAGTACTTGTAGGGAGTCCAGCTGGTGCGAAGGCCATTGATCGCCTAGATCCCTGTCAGCCGAAGCAGAGCTGGGCTCATAGGGGAAAGAAAAAGTTAGCGAAGCCAGGCCAGGCCAGGCCATGCCATTGCGACCTGTGCTACTGCGTCTAGTCTTTCGTTGAGCTTTTCCTGTGTCTTCAGCGTTGCTTGCGAACTACTTCTTATATTGTTGCTGCCGCTGAGAAGATACGGCTTTCTCTCGACACTTCATCACACACTAGTCTCCTCGATTGCTTTCATACGGAGCCGCCATCATTCAAGGTCATCAACCTTCAATCCTTGTATTAATCAGACGATATATCCCCCCCATTGACCCAGTTGAACGATATTCTACGCCACCTCCCCACGGTCAAAAAGCATAACCAACAGCGCAATGGAACAAGACTTAGGCGGCAAGGGCCAGCCGGCAGCTTCTATCATATCCATGAACAACGAAACACCTCTACGACCGGGCACACCCAACACAGATAGAAATCCCTTTGGAGATGATCGTCTCTCAACCCAGCAACCAACTGGTGCCAATCCTTTCTCATCACCTTCTATCTCCCGTCCCGCCTCAAGCTTTGGCAGCTCTAGTGCCCTTGGTAGCCAACCAAGAGGCCAGCGCTATTTCCACTCGCGAAGAGTGAAGAAGGACGAAGTCGAGAAGCCATGGTTGGATAAGGCGGATCCCAAAGAGAAATGGGTTACTATCTTGCCCATTCTCGGTATATTTGTGGGATTGGCGATTTCAGGCATTCTTATCTGGGATGGTCTCCGCAGCGTGGTCAAGCACAAGTACTGCCTTGTCCTCGAGGACACCTTCCAGACTTTCAACACCGATGTATGGACTAAAGAAGTCCAAGTCGGCGGCTTTGGGTAAGTTCTACTATGAGGTTCCTGTTGATAACCGTAACAAATCTAACCGAACCCTATAGCAATGGTGAATTCGTACAGACTACTGCTGGTGACGAGAACGTCTACGTTGAGAATGGACATCTCTTCATTAAGCCTACTCTCCAGGACGCATCTCTGGTCAACAAGGATAACGTCATCAACCTCTTGAAGGACGGCAGCTGTACCTCGAAGGCTTGGTCTGACTGTGTTGCTGCAACCAACACAACTGCCGGCAACTCGACCATCGTACCACCCACTCGATCAGGCCGCATCAACACCAAGAAGGGCGCCACTATTAAATACGGTCGCGTCGAGGTCACTGCTAAGCTTCCCGAGGGTGATTGGCTCTGGCCCGCTATCTGGATGTTGCCTGTTGATGAAACCTACGGACCTTGGCCTCTTAGTGGAGAGATTGATATCATGGAGAGCCGTGGAAACAACCGCTCATATGGTCAAGGAGGTAACAACATCGTGTCGTCCGCTCTGCACTGGGGTCCTGATGTCGCCAATGTAAGTTAGACTTCTGATCCTCAATACTGCTAAATGCTTTGTATGCTGACTTCAATAACCAGGATGCATGGTGGCGAACCAATGTCAAGCGAGAGGCTCTACACACTACATACTCGGCTGGCTTCAACACCTTCGGACTTGAATGGTCTCAGAAGTACCTCTTCACCTACGTCAACTCTCGCCTCCTTCAGGTCTTGTACACCAACTTCAACGAGCCTCTCTGGGAACGGGGTAACTTCCCTGCTGCTAACAGCAACGGCACCCGACTTGAGGATGTTTGGTCGCAGACTGGACGCTACAACACTCCCTTCGACCAGAAGTTCTACCTAATCCTCAATGTCGCTGTCGGAGGCACCAATGGATGGTTCGAGGATTCCAAGAGCAACAAGCCTTGGCTCGACGGCAGTGCCAATGCTAAGAAGGACTTTTGGAATGCCCAGGACAGCTGGCTCCCCACCTGGAAGAACCCTGCCTTGGAAGTCAAGAAGGTCGCCATGTGGCAGCAGTGCGACGGCAACGAAGAGTTGTAAAAAAAATATTAGACGACTTTACCTACTACTGATGTCAGGGATTTGGGTTGGGTCACATTGGCGTTTCTTTGATTTACGATATCACATGGGAGTAATGGTTTGAGGCGAATAGATGGTCTATTGCTTATTGAGGAGTCCTTGGTTATCACATAAATCTTAGTATATAATGTTTGGACATGTTTGGGTCAGGTTCATATCTGAAACATGTTTTTGAGGAGATAGATAGACTACGGCAATATCTGAGACGCAATACATAATGATGTTGATACCCCTGCAATTCGCAGCTTACATTAATCTATTGAGCTCTGTGTTAGCTATTCCATCAAAAGTTTAGTTCAAGCCACTGCCGAGAAGTAAGACCACAGTCTGGTGTCTTATTACAGAACTAGTGGTGAAAGCTGAGAAGTCACGAATTTAGACGCGCAAGGGAGTGAAAAAGGAGGAAAGCCCAATGCCCAAAGCCCAAAGATCTCATTAGAACAGGTAGTTCCACCGAGGATTATTGGCAGTTTATTGCGAAGGCGTCAGCTATCTTTTAATCGAGGTGTGCTGAGTCTAGCCTCGTAGCGAGGGAGAGGGGTAGGAAATAAAAATAATAAAAAATTAACACGTAGCTGAGCTAACGGTCTGAAACGCCCGCACACCTCGTATCAACAGCTCCAAGCAATACCTAGAGCATACTATACTAGGACTTCCTTGGTTGCGTACACAAACCTAGTGTCAAATACAACAGATTTCGCAAGCCAACAAACATGCTTAAGAGGCGTAATAAGCGTCAACAAAGAACATGTGTGACGAATAGGCGTTGAAATGGCTTCGACGAGTGAGCGAGCTTCCCGCAGAATAAGACGCCTACAGCTTACATCAGATATCTAGTGTACAATACCCTGTAAACATCCAATAAACCACCACCCTTGGCTATACCACGTAGATCCGCACCAGGGTGGCCTTGCTACATAAGCCTCAAACGACCGCTCTCATTGACTACACACCTTATCTATCAGCCGGTGAGGGGTGAGTAGCGATGCTGAATATCGTGACCTGACTGATCATTATTCTAGTGGCAGCTGCTACTACGTGTACGTGTCTATGTTATCTATTCTTCGCTTCCTAGGCGATATAGCTTGTCACTTTCGTTATTGATGGTATTGAGATAGTGTCTTTTTCATATGCTGTCACCTAATCTGACGATCAGTGTGCTCGTTACCGAGATGTGTTGTGCATGTTGTGTACCCGTCATGCTGTACGTACCGGTACGGTCGTGTCAACGGCGCTGATCTTCTTACCAGCTTTATATGATAAGATGATGTCGCTTACCTACCTACCTACCTACCTATGGAGATAACTGAACGGTGAAAGTTCCTCACCCGGCTTATCTCAGACTTACCTATCTTACGGCGTTCGAACACTAGTGTAAGAGTAGGTTATCTTTGTGAACCACTGAATTACCATGAGAGATCGAGATTGGTATCAATGAGTTTTCCGTCTTTGGATGTCTTAGCGTCTTGTTGCCTTGGCTAAGGTATCTGTATCCAGCCTGCCTACACGCCGTTCTGTTGTCCGGTTCAAGAGCTTCTCGAATTTAGTTGGGAAAAATCCATGCAGATTACCAATGATCAGAATCGAAGACGTCAAAACTCTATTCATGTCCCCATCGCACTACAACAGCTACCGACAGCGACGGCCTTGTGGACTTTGGCCGTGTCGGTACCGAGCGTCAAAAAACTAGCAGTCGTATACTACTTATGTAAGCATTCGGCGGTTCTCGATTAGCATAGTGGGATTGAATTGAAAAAAAAAAAAAAAAAAAAAAAACCCTATACGCTATGACAATATTGGCCTGGTTTTAAAGACCATTAATGATCTGGCTTCCCCTAGTCTGTTGCACTATGATAGCTCAGCTCTAGCCTACATAGTACACATCTACCTAGTGTCCTGTACACGCTCTCACCAAGAAACTATTGTATCAAAATTTGTAAGCGCCGGCAGCTAATGCGGTTCGCTGGATTTTCTCCGATATGATGCCAAGGCGTTACCCAAGATTGTATACTGCAAAGGTACTGCCGCAGCCTAGACCAGGCCGCCCATTGCACGCCAGGCCAGGCTACCTCCTCGCTTAAAGTATTGAATTCAAAGTAATATTAGTGAACGCCATTAAGCTTGTCATGTCAGTAGGTTAGGTATCTATGGCAGAAGCCATTGGCTTGACCTGGTAGGTAAACACCAATTTGGGTAGCATTTGGCGAGTGTCATGCCACCCACGCCACCTGTGACCTGACAATAGAAGGAAGCTATCGTGGAATCTTCTGTTCATAGTGGGAGACTTTAATATATGTGTCGGGGCTTTGACTGCATGGGGAAGTTTACTTAAAGAGAATCAATAGAGTGCTACCTCTATACACTATATATATAGGTTATCAGCCACTGTCAGGCGTCTCGTGAATAAGGCATGTCGCTTAGAATATAATATTGGGTTGGCATCGCTTGTGAAGATTGTCTAGCTTCAAAGTGCTTCACGGGACCTCCTGTTGCTTTATGAGGTTTCACTATATGCCCTCATGACCCTATACATATAGGTATGCCATCTACTATATCGTTTCATATGTAGATCTTGGAATGTCTCACGATCGGACGGCACGAGATTTCCAGGTGGGTGGTCAGTGACTACGTAGTCATACGGGAGCCCGCAGCGCTTATCTCCGTCACGAGGTAACTTACAGGCCACACATTCTTTTCTCTACCTAGGTATGTTCTTTCTTTCTCCGGGTGTTCTCTCAGGTACGCGACCGATTACCTATTCTTAGACATCTCTGATAGAGAGCTGAAACATTTGCCCCCCCACTCCGAACACACATTTAATGGTAGAACATCCCGCGCCATCCTCCTCCAATGGCACCCAGCCAACGTTTGGTGATTATGTATGTCTATGTAGGTAAGATAGCTGTTACCGATAGGTACACCTACACTAGCGAAAAATACGAGGAGGATGGATAAAGGATCCGTAGACTTCCCCCTCTCAGCTGTCGCTTATCAAACCCTGAACCTTGACTAAGGAGAGAATCTGAATCCGCGAACTCGGTAGGTGAGATCCTGGACTCTGCGCTACTGTACTCACACGAACTCTCGTACCTATAGTAGTAGGTAGTGTCTTGATAAACTGGGAATAAAATGGAGATCAAAAGAGATAAAATAAAAAATAAAAAACAGAAAACAGAAAAACAGGATAAACAAGTAGCTAATTCCTCAACTAGGAGACATTTCTCCTGTAGCTCTGCCACTGCTCCGAATACACAGTAGACTGCGGATAGGGAGGAGCGGCTCGCTCGCCGATGCAGGATTGAATCGTTCGTGATGTAATACTTGCGTCGCAGTATACATGCAACAGCCCTGGAAATATTGTGGTCCAGCCTCTCAGCTGAAGTGGCTAGGTCAGGTAACAAAGAAGTGCTGATACCTACTAGGTGAAATGTCTGTACTATGTAGGCTCGCCTGCCCTAAAAGAGCCACGAAATTAACGATCTATGAAAGCTCTAAACACGTGGAAGAACGGGATTATCAACGCTGAATTAGAACAAGTTGATATGGGCTCCCGACTGAACGGAAATCCCGCCACTATAGATCGTTGGTCCTAGTGATCGATAGCTTTGCTCAGCCAATCTAGATACAGTCTGGGCAGTCTACAGAACAGAACTGCTCATTCTACCCTTTATAGTTAGATATAATATGGATTGTGACTAGATCCTACGAAGTAAAGCTTTCTACCCCCTGCTTTCCTAACCTTGCTTCTCATCACTCTTATCAGAATTTGCGTTGGGTTTACCCCTGTCAGACCCCTGTCAACGATCGAGGTACTGTACTTCGAGACGCGGTTACAATCCTTCTCGGCATCATTACCCTTGCCAAGACTGTATACCTCCAAGCTAGCTCTCGTGGTAGTGTTCACAATATTGTAGTGTATTTGCATATATACAAGTGCAACTGCATTAAGGCAGTATTATGCAGTACGGTGCGTGTATATCCATCCAATGCCCAGGAAGAGTAGAAATAAATTGAAAATAAAACTAGACAAGACAACTTTCATTGGATGCTACGTGTTAGAGACATCAATTTCACTGGGGCTATATTCAGGATGTAGAATACCTATATTACCTTACCGTATCCGGTAGTATAAACAGGCAATCTGCGTGAAAATCTGTGCCTCGGTCGAGCCTCTCAGCACAAACGATCGATATGCACGTCCTCACCTATCTAGAACAGTCTTAAGCCACGCTCCAGAGGTCTCCATATCCATCTGGTGCCGTTCATGGCTGCAGCAGCGCCGACAGCTAATGGCTCTTACCGCTCGCTTATGGCAAGCCTCTCCACCCTTTTCTCCCGCTACTACTAGCCAGATGCTAGTTCTTGGGTGGTAATGTACCCGCGTCGTTCTGGTCAGAATCTGGTCTTTTATCCCTAGAACCTAGAACCGCCTAGCTGTAGTTGCATTTTGACGGGTGAGGCCCAGCTGAGTCGTCGTCCCATTCGACCACTACGTCCAGGCCTTCCCGGCCAACGCTCGTATCAGGTACGACTTTGGTTTTAAGCGGCCCTCCTACCTCGCATCACTCACACTCATTTTCGGTCATTATCACCAGTCTTCTCTTCATCTTGACTGCTTCTGCCCTCCTCACTCACCAACATCAATTCCGACAATCGGGATTCCTGTTGTAGTGGCCGGACTTTCGCTTATCGGCAGGTAGAAAAAGTCAAGGAGACTTGATCAATCCATCATCACTAGTCCTTCGTTGTCTTGCTTCGTAAGTCACTCTGGGAACTGGCCGTCCACGCTCCCTTCTTACTTACGCAATATCAGATATTCTTCGCTCGCTGATAACATCACCGTCGACATCGAGCGGGCTATCTGCCGCTGCTCATCCTTGTCTATACAACTAATTAATCCTAATTAATACATAATCATGGGTTTCTCCAACTACTTCAAGGCCAAGAAGCCTGAGCCTACCAAGCCAGCAAACCAGCCTCAACCAACCGGCGAACCTGTTCTTACTGAGAAGTTTGCTGCTACTGGGTCCGGTCAAAATGATTTCGCTCTCCAGGCCCCGTCGCCAAACTTCGGCTCTTCAAGAGCTTCAGTCACAAGCTCCATGTTCATCGACGACATCAAGCATGAGGTCATGGTCAACTACTTGTATCAGCAACAGTGCTCCCACCTGTGGGTAGCTGATGGTTCTGGAGAGGTGGAGGGTGTTTTGTTGCGCAAGTCTCGAGGAAACTACATGGCTTGCCCTCCTAGATTAGCCGACTCAGCCTTTGCCATGGCTTGTGCTACTCTAAATGTTCAGGTATGTTGATTCACGATGCCTTATCATGATCACTACTGACCCACCATCTTAGTGTGCAATGACTGTCAACTCTCGTGTCATTAAGACCTTCTTGAACTGGTCACCAGATGCCGTTGACGTGCCATTGATGAACGGTCTGCGAGTTCAGATTCTGCCTACCATCGATGATTTGCCCCGGGCGAGGAAACACCAGTTCGCTGCCTTCGTCGCTTCGGAAGCCCTTCTCGTAGTATGGGATGACGATGCGCTTCACCTAGTCCAGCGCGCTCAGGCCATTGAGTCTGAGCTGATGGAGCTCGTCTGGCAGACCGGCGAGGAAGACGAAGAGGAATCAGAGAAGAAGCAGAACATCACGTTCGGCGAAGTCGAGATCGATGAAGAGAGCGGTCAGATCCTGCCTGAGAAGCGTCCTGTTCACATGCAGAACACTTACCTCGTCTCCATTGTCCTCGTCATCATCACTGTCTCACTCGGTGCAGCTGCGCGTCAGCTTGTTATCGAAGTGTCTGTTGACAACAGCTACACTCGTCTCGCTTTGATTGCTCTTGCTCCTGTCCAGATCTTCTTCACCCTGTTCTTTGCTCAAGTCATCGTCGGTTGCTTGGCCCAGATCTTCGGTCCTATTCGCCAGCTTACCATCAACTCCAAGTTCTACTCGGCCAAGCCTCCCACAAGGCTGCAGAGCACCATCCTGCCTCACGTCACTGTGCAGTGCCCTGTCTACAAGGAGGGTCTTGGTGCTGTCATTGTGCCCACAGTTCGATCCTTGAAGCAGGCTATCAGCACTTACGAGCTTCAAGGTGGCTCTGCCAACATCTTCATCAACGATGACGGTCTTCAGCTGATCTCCGAGGAGGAGCGACGTGATCGTATTGAGTTCTATGCTGATCACTCCATCGGCTGGGTTGCTCGTCCCAAGCACGGTGAGAACGGCTTCCTGCGTCGCGGCAAGTTCAAGAAGGCTTCCAACATGAACTTCGCTCTGATGATCTCGTGCAAGGTTGAGGAGAAGCTCGCTCAGTACAACCGTGGACCCGAGTGGTCTCAGGCTGATGAGGCTATCGCTTATGAGAAGGCACTCAAGGAGGCCCTCGAAGAGGATGGACGAGCCTGGGCTGACGGTAACATTCGTGTTGGCGACTACATCCTCATCATCGACTCCGATACCCGTGTTCCCTCTGACTGTCTTCTGGATGCCGTCTCTGAGATGGAGCAGTCTCCTGATGTCGGTATCATGCAGTTCTCATCCGGTGTCATGCAAGTCGTTCACACTTACTTCGAGAATGGTATTACCTTCTTTACCAACCTGATCTACACCGCTATTCGGTACACTGTCGCCAATGGTGACGTTGCTCCCTTCGTCGGCCACAACGCCATCCTTCGGTGGAGTGCTATCCAGCAGGTCTCATACGAGGATGAGGATGGATACGAGAAGTTCTGGTCCGAGTCTCACGTGTCTGAGGATTTCGATATGTCTCTACGTCTCCAGTGCAATGGCTACATCATTCGTCTGGCTGCCTGGGCTGGCGAAGGCTTCAAGGAAGGTGTCTCGCTAACTGTATATGACGAGTTGGCTCGATGGGAGAAGTACGCCTACGGTTGCAACGAGCTCCTGTTCCACCCCATTCGCGTGTGGCTATGGAAGGGTCCTTTCACGCCTCTGTTCCGTCGCTTCCTGTTCTCCAACATTCGCTTCACCTCCAAGATCACCGTCATCTCATACATCGGTACCTACTACGCCATCGGCGCTGCCTGGATTCTTACCTCAGTCAACTACTTCCTGATGGGCTGGTTCAATGGATACCTCGACAAGTACTACGTCGACTCATGGCAAGTCTGGTTCTCCATCATCATCGTCTTCAATGGTCTCGGAAACGTCGCCCTTGCGGTCATGCGCTACCGTGTCGGTGAGCGAGGTCTGCTATACGCTATCTACGAGAACTTCAAGTGGACTTTCCTCCTCGCTATCTTCCTGGGTGGTCTCTCTCTGCACGTCAGCCAGGCTATCCTCGCTCACATGTTTGAGATCAACATGACCTGGGGTGCCACATCCAAGGAGGCCGAGTTCTCCAACTTCTTCATCGAAGTCCCCAAGGTGCTCAAGAGCGTAAGTCAACACCCCTTCTACCCGACTCAGATCATCAGCAGTTGCTAACATATGTTCATAGTTCAAATACTCGATCGCATTCTCCCTCTTCTTCATCGTTGCCATTGTTATCTTGGCCGTTGCACCTTTTGTACCCCTCGACTGGCGCATCACTGACTTCGTGGCTATCCTGCCCATGGCTACCGTGGCGACGAGCCATCTGTTGCTTCCCATCGCCCTCAACCCTGCCCTCATGACCTTCTCATGGTAAACAGTTGTCTGCTTCCCAAGGTCTAATCGTATTAATATTCATGTCCTATCTTATCACATTTATCGATTTGTGGACATGTACACAACACAAAGCAAAAGTCACATATCTACTATATATACTACATCACTGTTAACATGGAGGAGTCCGGGCTTTTTGAGTATTCGGGTTTTCTGGATAGATTTGGGTCGGAGTTTGGAGAAACGAGGCACAGCATGAGACATGTCCGTTTCGTACGAAGGATGGTAATACGGTGTTTGAATGCACATTGCAGCGTCATATTCTTTTTACAGCATATGCATCGTGTTAGATGATATATATACCCACACTCTACATAGAATGTATATCTAATGATGAATTACTCAATCTGTTCTTTGAAGTCCCTATTGTGACACAATGCTTTGAGCTGCAGCCTATTCTGACTTGGATTTCTAGAGGTACAAAGAGTTACATTCCAGCAGCTAAACAGTCGGTGCGGAAGGGCGCCTAATTCCGAGTAGATCCGACTTTGCTAACCTAGGTGGTTATAATGTGTATCTTTCCAATCTTCTCATGTCGCACATGTACTAGATAAATCTGGTCGGGCGCTAAACTATTGATCAAAGATATTTTTCTATTGCTCGCTAAGCTCATCGCCAAAGATTAAAAAATAAAATAAAAAGACCAAGCGGCTATTCTTCTGGGCACTCTGGGCGTTGCTTCAGGCCTGATTGATATGCATTCTTCGATTCTGTGAATGGCACAAGCTATAGCGTAAGTCAAAACACACCAGAAACATGGTAGCGAAGTGATCTAGACATCCTGTGTTGCATCCACAGTAGATACGCGTGGATGCCGATTCAACGTCATGATAAGTTAATACAAACAGTACCTAGCAACCGTTGACTTTGACATGCCACGATCCCTAACTCGAAGATGGATGGCAGGCATACTGGTAGAGTCGAGCGGTTGTCGAAGCCAAGCCAGGGGTCAATTAACAATGACCAATAGTCTGACCTCGTTACCGGTAATTGCGGTGGTAGAGGATTCTGGGATGCCATCATGATTGGTCTCCTGAATTCGACACTACCCCGGATAGGAAGAATACCAACCCCATTGTAGTGTTAGATCCCCAGACCCTGCAAGATCCCGCGCCTGTACCCCTTTATATGTCTCCAATGCCGTTGTACAAGTCATCACCTTAATGGACAGCGCGCGCCACCATCCCTTTTCCCTCTTCATACAGTCACCCTCCTTTGCAGCTGTTTGTTTCGAGTTGGACTAGGGTGAGTTTGTTTGCCTGTCTATCTGTCTGTCATTCCATCCTCCGTCTTGCATCTGACAAGAGAGAGAGAGAGGGGTAAAGGAAACAGACCTGTCGTTCCTTTAACATTGTAAATTGTGTTTCGCTTTTCACCTTCATTTTTACCCGACCTCGAGTACGGTAGTTGTCCGTTCGTACGCTACCAAAACTACCGTTGCGCGCTAAAACATCATCGCTTTGTTCGGTTGTTGTCGAAGTCGCTGTCACTCCTTCGAGGGCTGTGCTGCTGGCATCAGAGCCACAAAGAATAGATCGCAGTCAACTACACTCCTTGAACATCGGAAAACATCGTCACTCTCTCGTCAACGCGACAGCATCGTGTCCTTGAAGGGCCATCTATCTGCCGGCGTTAATCAAACGACCACATCAACCTGATCGCACAATTATTGTCGAACGCCACTCATTTTATTTTACCGAGACATCCAAGCCTCTTACGTACCTGACCTGACATCCGTCAATCGTGCACCATCCGCCGTTTACAGACTCAGATCTACCAACGACGGACCGCACATGCATCATTACACGCAATCCTTATTTGACTGAAATACTTTTACGGTTGACCGAGCAGACGGCCATTCCCTTAATCTACACGTGGGGAAGGGTGGACTCGTTAGTTGACCACCAGCAAGTGCCGGCTTAAGTACCTCGCAACACCATTCACTTATTACAGGAGACATAACACATCATGCTGTCTTCTCCGAAATCCATCCCAGCGCTCACGCTGTTGGCTTCGGCCCTCGTTGGCTCCGCCGTCGCCCAATTATCGACCAAATGCAATCCCATGGAGAAAGAGTGCCCCCCCGACCCTGCTCTAGGAACTTCCCATACCTTCTACTTCAACAGCACCCCTCCCGAGGATACCTTCACTTCCGAAGCTATCGAGATCACATACGACGAGACAGAGGGTGCAGCCTTCACTATCGCTAAGCAAGGTCAATCAACCACCCTCGCCTCCAACTTTTATTTCTTCTTTGGCCGGACCGAGGTTTTGATGAAGGCTGCTCGTGGACAGGGCATCATCAGCTCGATTGTGTGGGGTTCCGATACGCTTGACGAGGTCGATTGGGAATTCAAGGGCGGGAACGAGACCTGGGCATTCAGCAACTACTTTGGCAAGGGCAACACCAACGTTACAGGCACTGGAGGTGACCATAAAGTGGAGGGTAGCATATACGACCTGCACAATTACACCACAGTGTGGACCCAGGATAAGCTCGAATGGCACTTAGACGGCGCTCTTATCCGCACCCAGCTGGCCAAAGATGCAAACAATACGCACAACTTCCCCCAAACTCCCATGACGCTTCGTCTCGGCAGTTGGGTCGGTGGTGATCCTAAGACACAGCAGCCCGGAACCATTGAATGGGCTGGCGGTGAAACTGATTTCTCCCAGGGTCCTTTCACCATGTACGTGAAGAGCGCACGTGTTGAGGATTTCTCATCAGGCAAGGAATACACATTCACCGACAAATCAGGGTCATGGCAAAGCATCAAGATCACAGAGTAAGTTGCTTGAAAAAGCCGTTTTGACATGTCAGTCAAAATACTAACCCGGTATTAGGGGCAATTCCACTGCTGCCGAGGCCATCAACAAAGAACCCGAAAAGTCGCTCTCTGAGAAATGGGCTGAACTCCCCGAGAGCACTAGAATCGGCGTCTACGCAGCAGCCGGTGCCGTAGGAGGTCTGCTCTTCATTGCGCTCGCCATCTACTACATTAAGCAGCGACGTCGCGGTCAAAAAGAGGCTGCATTAGCCGCCAAGCTACATGAAGAGGAGCGACTTGAGCTTGAGCGATTCAAGAAGGGCGGCAGAAACCCCGATGATCTCGATTTCGATGGCACGGAATATGTAGGAGCTGCTGGAAAGGGAGGCTTAATGAGCTCCAAGTACTCGGCTATCACTGACTCACCACCGGGAAGCTCGGCTGGACTTCCTGAAAAAGCCTGGGACCCTATGGGATCTGAGGGCGTTAACTCCGGCATGCCTCTTCTTAACAGGGAAGTGAACGGCCCCTCGCGCCAGAATAGCCTCGCGTCTCCTATTCACGCCCATAGCCCCGGTTTTCCGCCTTCGTCTCCTGTCAATCGAAGTTTCTCAGCCTCTCCTTATGCGCCTTCAAGGTCGGGGTCTACCGGTCCTCAAGTCGGCGGTTACACCGACCGGGTGAACAGTCCAGGCCCAAATTCGCCTCATATGCGAAGCCCTGGGTCACCATCACCTCATGACATGTACGGAATGTCGAGGGTAAATACCAATAGTCCTGGACCCATGCAGTCACCCCGAGGGCCGGGCTCGCCAGGTCCTCAGGGTGGCTACTGGAACAACGGTGGTCACAGGTAACACATTCTTTAGGGCATTGGTGACAAGGCCATCTGGCTACGATTCCTTGCGCCAAGACGTTTTTTCCTCGGTTGAGCTCGCGTTATTGATGGCGTTGGTTGAATTTATGCACATAGAAATCTTTTAGTACTGGGCGAGTTGAAAGTGTGCCCAACGGTTCTCGTATCTTGTTTTCATTACCTTATTGTCTTTGTACGATTGTTTTGCATATAGTCCTTCCCTGCTTCATGGTAGGCCATTGTTGGCTGATGAGAAAATCAGCCGGGGAACCTGATCCATGGTTTCCAGCTACACAATGCAAGATACCCACCCTTTATACTGCGAAATCTTAATGATTTATTCGACTGTTGCTCGTTCCATATCCCAGTACCATGCTACGTGTTTCTGTGTAACGAAACGTGAGCGATTATATCTTCGGCGATGAATATCGACTCAAGTTGAATATTGTATGGATGTAGTGAAGTTTGGTAAACAGTAAGGAGATTTGCGAAGCGGCATGCCCTCGCCAATCATCCCTTAGCATCACGAACGAGCAATACTGTCTGGTTGATGTATCTTCAGTTGCGAACCATTGGGCATACGATGGGCTGCATGCGCTGCATGCGCTCGTTTCAAACTAGACGAAAGGTCGGCATCCGACAACCGTACAAGCCCTTAGCTGCTGTTCGATGAGCTCTCAACCTGTCGCATCTCCTTGTTACGTAGATTGGTCGTACAATCATTCCACCCTTCTCATCAACTGTTTCCCTGTCTTAACGCCGCTGTTTGGTGCTGAATTCTAACATACTTAAGAAATCGCGAGTCTCTTTATCAATAGTTACCTAACACCAACGCTAAAATTGCCACCGTTATCGTTCATCGTCATGAGCTTCTCTATGCGGTAAGGCGCCAACTGAGTGCAAGACAGTGAGCGCAACGGACCGTAGAGAATCAAGCTAAGGACTTGATTATGGCTTCAAATGATGATGTCTTAGTTAACTCGTTTGACCTAAGTCATCGCAAGCCACCTCGTTGCACCATCAGACACCCATCAAGGCAAAAATAAGCTAGCCCCTTTCTAGGATGGCAAGGATTCTCCAAGATTACCCCAGTCTCGGTCATCGGGTTCCTGCTTATATCATACACCACATTCTAGTGACTTTTCCATAAACCAGAGTGCAAAATTGTGTAATTGGTGGGATTGGGCTCTCACAAACGTCTCCTCGTAGCACCGCAAACTGCAGGAAGGTTTATAAGAAGTGACTGAACGTGAAGTCCTACAAGTTCTGATCCTGGCTTGAAGCAATTGGCTCCCGATTCCCTGCATAAGTAGATTTGATAGCGTGCTGATAATCCTTAGTACAAGGAGATCGGCACAACGCGAAATGAGCATGCAGTAACGCGCCTTGGCGCTGATGCTCAGTCAGAAAAGAAATGAGACAAGCCTCAGACTGGAGAAGATATAGCATTACCAGTTAGACTTGTTGAATGCTTTGCATGTTACATGCAGAATTCATCCCATTGTTGGTGAGAGAGCTGCTAAAGAAGGGATTACGGTGCTTGCAGCGGTCGGCGCATGAACACATCCCAGATGGATTCCCGGAAAATGACATTAAAACATGTTGATCCAAAGGCTACCACCAATTGTATTGACTCTAAGTTAGTTGAGCATGGGTTACGGCAATATGAATAAGGCGATAAGGAACCACCATAACCACCTACCTAATCCGGAGAAATCGTGCTCTGGCTCCGCGAAGGCGTAGTAACAATGGATCAGCTAGAAAAGCTGCCAAGGGGACGCGTCCCAGCTTTCTCATGATGTCTCTTCCACTCCGTCTTTGGCCCTCTTCTCGGAGACAGACAAACACATTGGGACCTTAGCCATGAAGTTCTCTGCTCTTCGCGCGGCGGCCCTTGCTGCGGCCGTAAAGGCGACATCTGCTGCAACGCCAACAGAGCCCTGCGCCGTCGTTAGTTCAGCATGGGCAGCTCAAATCTCTGCCACAGCTACTCCGACTATTGAAGCGTCAGTAGCTCACGAATGCCTCAATTCCGTCCCGATTAATAAGGAGGGGGCTCTGCGATACATTGCATCGTCGAGACCCTACATTGAGTGGCAGTCCGACACAATTTTCAAGAAATTTCCCCCGGCGAGCTACTTCTACCCACCGCACGATATATGGGGTGTATTGGACAAGATTGAGGCCGACATTAAGGCGGACAAATACCCCAATGAGTATGCTTGGCAGCAGGACTTGTATATCAAGCTCTTCGGCCCTGCTCACGACGGACACTTTGTGAGCTACCCCGATGTGTTGACCAATGCTATCGAGTGGCAGCGTCCTTATGCACTGGTCTCCATCAGCGACAAGCCAGATGGTTCGATCCCAGAGATCAAGATATACGAGGATATAATCTCTTCTCCTGATACTGCCTCGGTCGTGAAGAAGATCAACGGCGAGGATGCCGAGAGCTTCCTCAGCAAATGGATCTTCGCCGTTTCCGGTAACCAGGATCTCGACGCCGCTTATAACTCATTGTTCTACGAGAAGGCATACGAGGCTGAAGTTTCTTCCACGGGCTATTTCCACAATGGTGGTCGCACCAGGTTCGTTTCCGCACTAATCCAAGCACTGGCTATATGAAATATTGACAATGAGGACAGGTATGTGTGGCCTGGCAGCACCACGTCATTCGAATTCGCCAACGGAACGTCCGTAGAACTTGACAACGTGGCCCGCCTTAAGGGAAACTGGACTGGCGTTGTTGATGGAGCTTCGTACTTTGCCAAGTTTGCCCCCGGTGCCGCGACGAATGTCAGTCCTGCCGAGGCAACACCTACTCCCGAGCCTACTCCCGCCGCTGCCGCCGTGACCGGTGTACCTGGATACCCCGAACCAGTGATCGTTTCGAGCGATGGAATCATCTCCGGCTACTACCTCGATGGTGACCAAGACGATACTGCAGTCATTGTAGCCCTTTCGTTTTCTCCAGACGATCCCGTTGAGTTCCAGAAGGTTGCAGAGGACTTTTTTGCGAAAGCTAAGAAGGATGGAAAGAAAAATCTCGTCGTGGATGTCTCTGCTAACGGCGGTGGTTACATTTTCTCGGGATATGATCTCTTCCGCCAGCTATTCCCCGATATTGTACAGGAGGGTCTGGGTCGTTGGAGGGAGAACCCAGGCTTCAATGCCGTCTCGGAAGTCTACTCGGCTAACTCGGCCGATTTCGATGCGGATACTGCTTCGGGGGACATTATCTACCAATATGAGTCTGTATTCAACTGGAGGTACGACCTCGACGAAAACAACAAGCACTTCACCTCTTTCGAGGACAAGTTTGCTCCGCAGGAATTCCTCGGCGACGAGTTCACGGACGTCATGCAATGGGACTTCAACGACCCCTTGAATACCATCAACGCTACCTATGGATTTGGCACGGATATTACGGGGTACCGCAGCCGTGCCAACTTCACACGACCCTTTGCCGGCCCCGAAAACATTGTTGTTTTGCTCGACGGTTACTGCGCGTCCACTTGCACGCTGTTCTCACAGTTCATGGTCCACGACGCCGGTGTTAAGACCATCGCGCTAGGTGGACGACCGTCGAAAGAGGGTTTGATTCAGGGTGTTGGTGGTGTCAAAGGCTCGCAGAGCTACGGATATGCCGATGTCCTAGCTAACGTGCAGGAGGCTCTCGCGTTTACCAACGACTCTGAAATCATCAAGACGCTAAGCGCCTACGACACGTACGTGTTGGAACGCAACCAAGTATCCAGCTTGAACGTCAAGGACGAGATCCTCCGGGACCATCTTGAGGATGGCACTCCTTCGCAATTTGTGGCCGAATACTCCGACTGCCGACTGTGGTGGACCGAGGCTATGGTTAAGGACGTCTCCGAGGTCTGGAAGGCCGCTGCTGCGTCTGCATTCCAGGGTGGAAAGTGCGCTTACGGTGGCATTGAGAAGCCCGTGCCATCCTACCCGTCTCACTCATACCCATCCAAGTGCAAGAGGACTACACCTCGCCCTCGTCCATTCGATCGATCGCGCTTCACTCTGAAGGGACCGCTCCCGATCCCGTCTACCAAGCGTACCACAATGGCTAAGCGCAGCCTGAGCAGCAAGATGCAGTCCATGACTCTAGCTAACCAGTACATGAAGGTCATTGACTAAGGATGCTGTCTTCGCAGTTAGGTAGATGGTGGTTGAGGTGGGGAGAAACCCACGAGCTACCCTTGGAGGGTACAGGCGCAAGCTAGGGTCACATGACCGCTCTGAAAGTTTAAACAAGGCACTCGCTGTGTATAATTAGGATTATTCTTGGATAATGTGTATTTATGAATAGTTACTTTATGATTGATATATTGTTATATAGGATACAGTCAATGAAAACCAAAGAACACCAAGGCCCCAAACTCACGCATCATCCGTGCAACCACGTCCGCATCCAATGATATGAGCTCTTCGCAGCTTTCAAGTCCTTCAGGGAGGGGGTCATATCAATCAAGACTTAAGCTGTGAATAGATTAACGAGTCATTTCTCCTGTCTCCCCTGACATTCACTCTTGTTAAGACGATTCCTTGGTTCTGGGTCCAGTCCGATGCTGCTTTCCGGATTGAAGCCAAGCCAACAAGCTCGTCGTAGCCCAGGCACTCATATTTTGAGCTGAAAGCAGGATAGGGTCAGCGTTGACTAGGTACCTACATAAGCAAGAAACCTCGCTACTATGCAGTACTTGTGACTGCAAAGTAGATAGAGGAGCAGGGGCTAGCGAAGTTGATGAAGCCAACTATATGAGGCTACATCATATAATCTTAATAGCAATAATTATGTCTTTATCTAGCATTACCCCGTCGCCACTTCAGCCAGGGTGAAACCGTCGGACATGCGTGATATACCTAAGGATATTATTGCCTTTCAGATGCCCTCGACATACTCGCTTTGGATAACTAGACTATGTTCAGAAATACAAGAAGTTGCTTATAGTAAATTGACAAGTCTCCCCAATACCCAATACCTACCATATCTTGGTATAGCGTACGAGAGCTGATGGAAAGTGACAGGCATCCATGCTTAACTGTCGCGATCTATTTTTCAAGGAACACTTATCTGCCGCGACGTGAACCCCAATGTTCGCTTGCGGAATCGACGGACATTGACCTAGATCTAGTAGATTACCCCTCGAGGTATTCCGGTTTGCGGCCATATTGGCCTATGCTGCACACAAGATCTCACCCCATGGAAGCTTCTCTCCCCTGAAAGCCCTTGACCAGGGGTTAGGTAAAGGTGTGAGATACAGTATGTGAACCCGTGGGTGCCAAGATCACATCATCAGTGCCTATCTCAGCCTTCCGCAGTCTAGATCCCAACTGCATTTTGATAAGCTTGAAGAACCATGGCTCGGACGTGCACGTGGTTTTCTGGGTCGAATTAATTCACATCGTCTTAGATATGCTGCAAGCGGTCCTCGGTGTCCGAAGCAATCCCTATACGTTGTACGACCCAATGGAAAATCTTCGAGGCTCGTGTAATCACAAGATCTGCGCAGAGCCTAGCTTCGGTGAGAGATAGCAACCCCCTCTCTGAAAGTTTCCAGGCCTGAGCGAGCATGTTCATCAACTGCCGAATGCTGGGCAAGAGAGGATCGCCAGCGACCTTGAGACTCTTGACGGGACATTCCACAATCAGAACTAAGACCACGACCAAAATCAGGTTCCTCAATCTTGTCCGATAACGTTACTGTGATTCAACGTCTTGACCGCCTCTCCCACTCAATCAAGACCGTGTTTGCGTGTGATTGCAGATCATGTGCGTGATGCGTTATGCGAAAATCATGCCCGCCCCGCCCTGTGATGAAACCCAGACGAAAGGTTGCATAGCTTCCAGAAAGGAGCAAAGAATTGGGTTCTGTGGTGAAGAAAGTAAGGCTCAAACTCACCTCCATCTCATGATTCCTACAGCCCGATCCGCTTCTCTGATCCTTCTTGTCTAGACTAGGTAGGTATAGTCGAAGGAGTAGGCGAATGCAAGTTGAAGCGGAATGGATGGTACATATTTGTCAAGAGCTCCATGTGTGTGCAGCCTAGGCGACTCGTGACAGCTTCCGCTCCTTCTCCAGTACTCTCGACCTTGTGAAGTAACATATTGAGCTTTGTTACCTTGGCGCTCAGGCTTTTACGAGCTTTTGCCTCCGTCGTCTTTCTACTCTGCCGCAAGAGTGTGGCACAGTTGCACTTGAAGAGTATAGTTTACGATACTAGAGAGAGCTTAAACATCACACGACATGAATATGTCAGGAAACACCAAGCTAACTTCGACTAATAGACCTGTTAACGTGGCAGTAGTGTTGTGGCTCTGATGGACTTTACCTGTCCCATCGCAAATGCCGACAAATACCTAGGTACCTAGGTAGATGACAAGATCGATGACGATGATGACAATGGAAACAGCGGCAGCAGAAGCAGCAATGCCTAACCCAGTCGTATGCTCCTTTTAGATATGAAGATGTCTTGGCCGTTGCCGCAATGCACGCCTAACGTAGCATTGCGTTTGGCTATAAAAATAAAAATAAAATGATTTACTGTGCATTGATGGTCGCATAGCGGCCGGCCACGGGAATAATCTGGGACTCAGTCTGGGCTTCAATATACGTACTTAGTATACCTATGTACATGGTATAGTGTGATGAATACAGTATGAGTGCCGGATGTCGTGCAGAAACATCGAAAACGAAACGTGTAACAATAGCCTACCTTAGTCGAAATCTGATCATCCCATCGCCCGTGTGGCCTATCCCCGACCTGGACCTTGTCCTTGTCCATGTCCTTATGATCCTACCGATATTGATGGCTATTTCATGTATACTGACCGCCCGTCCCGTCCTACCTACCTACACTTTCTTGCAAGTCTCTTGAGCCAATGCTACCAATAATATCTAACATGTGTACTATTACATTAACATAAGTAAGCAAAGTGAGACCGGCCTCCTAACCGGGTCGAGATAGTATTGCTGTGAATTTTCCGCTCGTCCGTCCATCTGTCTGTTGTCTATCTCTCTTGGACTTCAATTGCTTGCCTCGACGGGCAGGGCAAGAGCCGATACGATCTACTATAATAAGGTATGTAGGCAGATCATACAACAGTGCTTACTATCTAACCTCTTCTTCGATAGTCGTCCGAACAGATCAGATGCGTAATTTTGGCATTTTCACGAGCAGTACAGTGCTACAGAGCGGGCCGAAGCTAGGATGGCTGCGATCCGGCGCGGTGCTAGAAGATGGGTGCCGGGGGCGAACCCGGCTAGTGAAGAAACCTTCGGCTTTTTTGCACCGAAGGATGACCGCAGCTTGGACCCATTTCGAGTAATACTGTAAGTAAGTATGCTGCGGTCTATTAGTCCACAACAAGAATGCTTTCTACTCTCCATAGTACTTACGTGGCCAGTCCTTGGTCATCTCCTCCTTTGTATATACTTGGTATACCTAACCTTATTGTTCAAATAGGTAGCTTGTGTTGCTGAGACTTTTGTCAGCGAATTGCCGGCAATGAAACATCAGGGTCAGGGTTCAGTGAAGCAGCTAGACGTGCGCATAGGATACACAAGATGCGCATAGAATACGACAGTAGCATTCCTAATTTCCTGTCTACGACCGCTAGTAACATTTGTTACCTGTTGTCACCCACTCCCCCTTCTACTATGTAGTGTCAAGGACATAATCCTAGGCCGTGACGCTCTGAAGATGGAACGATAGCGAAGCATCATCTATCCCCACTACAATAAATCCACATTGCCCATGAATGGGGGGAAACATGGGGAAACGGTGCGGTTTAGGGGGACTGAATATGTGGTGTCATCGACTAGGTAGGTTGATGGGCATATGCAAACGGGTGGTGAACAGTATCGAACTTGCTTCTATGTCCTTCCCGGCGCATAACCGATTCATTCTAGCCAACCTGGCATCTGCACACGTGCGTGCGGGAAAAGGAAAAAGGGCCACACCACTATTCCTGTAGGGCTTGATCTAACCCCATTCTCTGCCGGCCAAGCATGTGTCTCATCGGGGCCAACGAACCACAAAACATCTCAGCCAAGTACATCAGTACCCAACGGTATCACCAAGCACACCTTGACACCGTTGTCCACGATGAAGAGTAAGAATAAGAATCCTGACTAACCGGAAATGTGATCGATCGCCCACTCATTGTACATGATCTCGTAGCTTGCGCGCGCGCGGTACATCCCGTCCTTCACACATCCCACCCTGCCCCCCTCCACCGATACAACACTGCCGGGTTACCGCGAGACATACAGAAAAAAAAAGAGGGTGCATGTGGTAGCGTGGGCAAAGTGCTTCACAGCCGCAAAAGAAGACGGTAAACGCATATCTGGCGCCGTGGCATGAGGATCTGACATCCGCTTACGAGACGAGGAAACCCCAATCGCAGAGCATTGCTGAGTTGTGAGTGGGAGCCCTCTCGCTTGGTGTGTGTGCGACTACGAATTGCGCAAATCGTGAAACGCATCCAACAACAGACCTGCGTTCAGCCAATATGGAGCCTGGGGTCCTCCGGCTATCGATTTCATTATTGTCATTATCGCTACATTGCTATTTTGGTTCTCGCCTTATAGCAATGAACAAGTGCAATGCCGAGGGCTGGTGATGCACTTCTTCTGACCCACGATCTTTCCCAAGCACATATATACATACTTACACGGCTTGACGCTACTTACAGACGGCCATCATTTATTACCACACCTGGGTGCTTTCATCACACTACGATATGTTATAATCCTACCTGCATAGAACTTGAACCATAGACTGGCAGTCCTACACAGATGCATGAGATATACGGCGGCGTGGCATAAAGACATACAGCTATATCCCTTCTTGCAGAATCTCACACGCAAGTAAGACTCGGACCCAGTCCCCGTGACGGGCAACTCGGCTTCATTTCTGTCTGGAGGATTCCCCAATCACACCTTCTTTGTCTCTCGGCCTTTTTACATTATACTTTACCAGGTTGCCAATGCGTGAGTCGGCGAATGTGAACGGAGCGAAGGGCGGGACCTTTCGGATACATCCAACGCAATCAAGCAGCACTCGACTGCACTCGACGCCAACTGATAAATGGAGTAGTTTCGGCGTTCCCATGTATTGTTCGACTGATTGCATATGATTTGCTACTAGAAGGAGAAAAAGAAAAAAGCAACAAACAAAGCCAGCTCCCTAGACTACGAGCTAGCGTCGAGTTGTTATTGACAGGTATAACTGCCTACAACTATATACAACATAGAGTCGAACGGCAACGAAGGATGGCATCTCGCCAAAAGGTGAGTCTATAACATCCAATCTATTCCTACAATTTTGTTTCATCCTCTCAACTGCTCATATATACAGAAATCATCAGCATCAATAGACCGAAGCAAATCCAGCTCTATGGCGACCGGAACTGAAGAGGAACCGCCATATATCGAGGCGTTCGGCCATAAATATCACCATTCCGGTAGGATATTTGTGCCTTTCGATGAAAAGGAACAGCAACGCATGGAACTTCAGCACAAACTATACAGACACTGCTTGAACGGAGCACTTACCGCTACACGGATCCCTCTGAATGTCGAGAGCATAGTAGATCTCGGGAGCGGAACGGGCCTCTGGCCGCTAGAGATGGCTGTCAGATACCCGCAAGCTAACATTCTCGGCATTGACATATCCCGCATTCAGAGGACAACTGCCGTACCACCCAACGTCAGCTTTACTATTGACAACGTCGAGAACCCTTGGGCTATCCCTGCGGGTTCAGTGGACTTCCTACACATTCGTGGTCTGGCTGGTGGCGTTTCAGACTGGCCGGCCTTATTCAGACAGGCTTACGAGAAACTCAAACCAGGTGGCCTCCTCGAATGGACAGAGCAGGCTAATCAGATATTTGATTTCGATAACGATCTTGGTGATGCTGAACTGTGTCCCCAATTTCTTAACTTGTGGCGCGATCTTAGCAAACAGAATAATATCGACTTCAGCCCTTCTCCTAACGGTCCCGTTTGGCTTGTTGACGTCGGCTTCGAGGCCATAGCTCAGCGGATCGAGATCCTACCTATAGGGGAATGGGCCCAGGATGAAAAGCTACAAACCCGGCAGAAGCTGATGAATCAAATCTCTGCCGAACACTTTGGTATGCCTTCCGCTCTTGACGTCATACTGTGATCTTTACTAACGGCATGCACGATATCTAGAAAGTCACTGTGGACTCTTATTTACAAACTGCGGATGGACACGAGAAAAGTTTGACGAGATAGCACCTACCTTTTTCAGCGAGATTCATGACCAGTCTAAAAAGCCATATACTACTATGTAAGATATGCTGTTCCTTACTTATATCACGCCGATCTCTTCTTTACTCTTTTTTAGTCCCCATCCCGATTTATCTTGATTTATCATCCACTAACCATGTCATCAGAGTTTTCACGACCGCAAGAAAGCCCCGCTAAGAAACCTAAGAGACCATTTACGATCAGACAGATAGACCAGTCTAGAGGCTGCGGCTATGGATGACAGGGTGGCAAATTCCTGCAGATAAGACAACTATGGTGTTCCCACCTCATGCTGCGTCCTGCGGGCTCTCGGTATCACGGCTCTCCCTTCGAATATACTCCTCTGAAAGTAACTATACCCGTCCTCATTGGAGAAGAAGGGGGTGTGGAGGGTAAAGAGGAGGAGGAAGAGGAGGAGAAAGAGGATCTTTCGGTTGCTTCGGCCTAGTCTGCTCTGGATCACGTATATGCCCGCCCCTATCCACTCGGCATATAACATATATCCCTCTCCACCTCAAATACCTCCGCATCTGAACTGTCATCCACACACATTCGACGCAAATGCTTTTAATCATTGAGAGAGGCCTAGTCTAGTCTGACACACGCCATGCCTTAGTTACAGGTCTTTAAATCCCGAACACCAATCATCAGCCTTAATGGCTATGTGCTTCAAACGCCGTCACGTCAGCTTGCACTGCATGAGATGCATCAAGTGTCACATTTCAGCCTCTTGACCGTTATATGCCATATGCTCACACATAGAGGTATTTTGAGTTAGCCTTTTCCTTTTCAGATACGGATAACAAGGGAAGGAACATGTATATAGATGCGGCCAACGTGTCAATGTACACGGTACAGGTAGCGATCCCTAGCATCACGTAGACCACAAAGACTCCTAAAAGCTAGCTCCGTTGTTAGATACCTCTAATCAAGGTCTGAATCTCATTTTGTGACGACTATAGTGAGCACTAGCAACCGAAAGATAGAGGATTATGTCGGCAGTTGTCTAAACAGACCAGTACTAAGACCATTGTGGCGACAACTACTGTTATACTGTTACCTACATCGCTTATACCTACATGCTTCCTATCAGCACGTGTAGCTGGCAATAGGATTTTAAATCCGCATATCTCCATGCTCGTCAGGCATCGTATAAATCACCGGCCAAGGTATTCGTGAACTTGCAGATTCGGCTGCATCTTTACGTTCGACTCACCTTGCATCTGTAAGTTGACTTGACCTTCACCAACCGCAATATCACAACACAAATAGAACTAACAGCAATACTGCATGCGTAAAGTGGCCCCTGGCCATCGTTCCAACCCCCTCTGTTCTAAGCAGTTTTGATTTCCGTTAGCTGCAAGCCACGTCCGCACCTACGCACGTCTATGTATTATGCATGATCCGGTTCTCCATCCATGCCTACCCCCATCTGACGAACGCGAAACCTTGACGGACCGCACTTGTTTCATGCAGCTCTCTTCCTCCCGCTCTTATCCCCCGTCAGCCCCCTCTCTTCAACTGCGCATTCACGAGCTTACATGTTCCCTACCTACTTATGCATAGCCAGGAGAATAGGGCAGAGTGTAGGGTACATACTTGTGTAACGGGCGCTATATATTCACACTGCCTACATATGGACATCACGGCGAACCACTGGCTACACAGCATCAGTGTCACCTCGGTTAAGTAGAAGAAGAGAACCAGAAGACTTCCGCCTAATCCCGTCTAGACGCCCATATCCCACTTACCGTTCCTCGTCCCCTGAACCGAACCATATTCCATCAGACGTCGGTACCGGAATAGACATACTGCAGCCAGGTAATGTATGTAAGCAAGTCGGGAAGCACTCATTCTCCAGGACGCGCGCATTCAAATAAGTAGACAAGGAGCCAGGTAGTTGACGTGCGTCTAACGAAGCGGCAAGAGAGAGTGGGGGTGGGGGGAAATGAGCGTCAACATAGCATCAAGTATACCTATACAAAAACACCAAAAGAGATGAATCCTGGAAAATAGAAGGGCCAGGCCAATATATTTACAAATCAAGTAACTAACTGATCAACCATTAACCCATAAGTAACGCATTATAGGTACTCCGGGAGGTCCCGAAAGTGATAGGCGGAGAGATGGGATTTTGGGCTCGGAACCATACCGAGAAGGCAGTTGGTACTCGAAAATCCGACGATCACCCATCAGGCAATTATAGGATGTCTAGCTGCGCGTGCGCCTGTCACGGGTCATCACCATCACAGTCACAACGCCATGGATAGGTATTCATGGTCGAGACGACGCATAATCTCCGTGGCATTCAGCTTACCGTACAAATACCATCTTCGTGCGTTGGTGATACACTGCGTACATACATCGCTATGGACATGTATGCAGTCAGCTATATGGAGCTTTCCTCGGCACTGGACGGCACATTGAGTACGGTGAATCTAGACCAGGACATCTCACTAGATAGAGGTGATTCTTTCTTCTACGACTTCATGAGAGAAAGCGAGCGCCAAAAAGGGAATTAACGGTGAGACATCGATAGAAACATATGTTGATAAGACAACAGCTAGATGTAAGTAGTAAGCAAACTGCAGTGTGCGGACCTACCCGACGGCCAAATTAAAAAAAAAGAACAGTACAGTACAGTATAGTGTATAGATACACAGGCATGCAATACACCCTTTCCCTCCCCCCAGCTTCAATATTGTAACTATTTATTACATCGCCTGATTAGAATTGATCAGGGCTGGTTGATCTTCAACGAAAAATCTACATGTGGTGTGCCCTGATGGATGGAGCTCGTGGAGATGATGTCGATATCTAAAAAATAAAGAGAGCGCGATTGTGGTTAGCTCTACTTCGAAAACACTTGCTTCCTTATGCACATCGGAACGGGGGAAAGAAACTAACCGTTATTCGCATAATCGAACACGTTGTCCTCGCGTAAGCCGCCACTGACCTCGATTAGAAACTCTCGTTTGCCCTTCCACTTCTCCCGTAGGCTCTTGGCGGCGATCTTGACCCCTTCACCGGTGAAGTTATCCAGCATGACAACGTCCGCGCCGGCAGCGATAGCCTCGTCGGCCTCTGCCTCGTTCTGCACTTCGACCTCGATCTTGAGCGAGAAACCAGCGACCAGCTTGGCAGCTTGCACGGCCTCGGTGATGTTCCCGCGGCTCCAGACGTGGTTGTCCTTGAGCATGATCATGGAGCTCAGGTCCATTCTATGCGTGTCGGCCCCGCCCACGAGCATGCCGTATTTCTCGACGATGCGGAACCCAGGGGTCGTCTTCCTCGTGCCGGCAAGGATTCCCCTGTATCCGGCGCTGCGCAGGCTGAGAAGCAGGTTTCGGCTTACGGTGGCGATGCCGGAGCAGCGAGCTAGCAGGTTCAGGCCGACGCGCTCTCCAAGAAGCAGACCTCGCACGGGACCCGTCACGGTGGCGACTTTGAACTTGCTAGATCCGTCCTTCGGCCTCTCGATATAACTGCCCTCTGCCGCGTGCCACTCGACCGTGCAGCCGCATTGCTTGAAGATTTCCGTGAAGAATGGCACACCGGCTATAATGCCGGCGCTCTTCCCCCACAGGGTAGCTGTGTGTTCCTTTTCTCCCACCACGTACCCGGCGTAATCGTATGAAGGCGTGTCTTCGGCAAGCCAAGACGTGATTGTTGCCTTCCAGCTTGGAGGCAGTATATGCTCAAGAGAGCCGTGACGGATTGGTTGATCGGGATGCATGGCGAATCGCAAGAAAATGGGAGGGTTGCTTCGGGTTCGTCTATCGCTTATCGCATAGGCTCATCACAAGGTGTCGATTCGCAATATCTGATGATACTGGACAGGTAGGTTAATGAAGGCAATTAGTAGGTACTTCGAAGATAGTTCACTGTGCCTCTATGGGTAGGAGTTTGTAATAGGCCAGACTATTAGAAAGAATATCTCAAAGATGTTGGAGCTATTTCCCCCGATTATCGTTTGTCCCTCAAGGTATCTATCTACCTACCTGCTGAGCCAGATGAGCCGCCTCCAACCGCGGGGTTGTGGTAGAGGTGAGGGGCAGTAAAATATAGCGGGGTAACGCCGATACAGGCCGAGTGCTTAGTGCTGTATCAACTGTAGATTCCCGAGGTCATCTATGAGCCTGGGCACTCTGCGACTTCTAATTTAGGCGCCTAGGTATTCATCATCGTCACATCATTCTCGTGTTGACCAACTTCATGTCTGTTTCCCTGGACAATGCCATCTATTGGGGGATATTGTGTTGAATCATACTGCATCCAACTCGCCTACCAAACATCAAATCCTCGCGTTTCCTCACCCTCCGTAGCGTTTATGACCATACCATTCAGTAGAATGCGCTGAAATCAGCTTCCATTTGCTGTGTCGCATCTGCCCTCACTTTGTTTTTTCGGTTCATTAAATTATTGATATTTGATCAGACTTGTACTCCTCTTCACCCGATCGTATCAAATACCCATGGCTAATGACCTAGGTGTTCGTTCATCTCGCCTTGGAAATGGCGATTTAGGTGCTCCCTCTCACTATAGCAACTGTGGAGGATGCCAATAATTCTCACCCAACTCTGCTAGGACATCAGGACAGGGAAGTGATGTGGCTCGTCGCTGGACACGTAAATCAGCAATGATCCCAACTCATAATACCGTGTATATTCAGTATTCACTTACTCTCCGGATCTTCTGTGGCTCTGCGGCTTCTCCTTCGCCGCCCGATGGTCTAGAGAACTGTACCGCCACTCTACTATCCCTCATAGAAGCCTCGCTGACTATAGGACTGAGATCGTCCGCAGCGTCGTGAACTAGAGAGCTATCTGTGCTCTTATTCGCTTTGTTAGGAACGCATTGAATGATGATTGTCGTCGTCTTATCCCACTTCGGTAGATCAAAGGTGATTCTACACTCAGTGAAGGGCGCCAGGTATTTCGAGACCCAGACCTGGCGGATGCGATCCATGAGATTTGTGTTTTGCGGCGGAATTCGCATGATAAGCTTATGTCTGCTTTCGTGGACGATGTAGCCGTATTGTCCGATGTTTCTGGAGAATGAGTTGGCTTCATTGAGGGGTATAGCGAGAAAGCGACAGGTGACTGTGCCTGGTGTTTTGGGTTGCTGTTTGAGTACTTTGGGAATTAGATACGGGTCATCGAGGTCGTAGATATCATCTTCAGTCTGTATTTGTTTGTGGGAAGTATCGGCGGTCTCGGTGTCTTGAATCACACTCGCCATCTTGGGAACTTGTCGGGACTATGAGCATATGATGAGGCGGAACCAATATTGAGTATGTTATACTGGATTGAAGATATGTAGGTGTAGATTTGCTCAAAAGACCCAAAATGCTTGCTGATTTAATAGAATGAAAATGAGCTGAAAACCGAGATGAAATTGCTTTAGTATGACAGGCGTGGGTAGCCACAGAGACCGAACAAACAAACCAGGGAGAAAGTATTCAATCCTCCATTGTGTCTCCATTGTATGCTAACTATTTACAATTCATTACACAGTATAACACGAATAAAACTTTCATATCTTATAAAACCTCTGGAACGGTCCTTTTATTCAAAACAATGTCTAGCTCCAAGACGCATGGGGGATTGTTTACCATTTTCACTGCAATTCTTGATGCTAATATGAAAAGCCACGAAAGTAAAATGCATAATCTATGTCTATGTAATGAGCGGATATCTATATCTTATTCTATTCTTCGGTCCCCCATTGTGTAAAGTCAAGCCAAGCGTCATACACACTCATAATAATACGTTACATCCATTCCGTACCCCTCGCTTGCTTCTCTTCAGAAATTTTCAGATGAACAAGCAAGATGCAATTGTCTTGATAAGGCATTAGCATCCTCAATACCAAACGGGAGCCGTACGCCAATGTCGAAGCATCGTGTCCACAGCATGGCTCCATTCGTACACGAAACACTGTGTGAGCTGCTCTGCTTCCTCGGGAGATGGATATCGACCACCCCACATCTCCGGCTTTTGAGCCTCGGATTGTGCGATACTAAGCACCAAGCCTCTGTGTAACCAGAAGTTAGTAAGCGTAGAGTTGACGATAGGGTATGAGCCGTGGTTATAAGGGGGAGATGGTGAATGCAAAGGGATGTCGACATACGCATCTCGAATTTTGGATAAGCACAGCCAAGCCATATTCCAGCTTCGACTTGAATCCGGATCTTCACTGACTAGAACCCTGGCTTCCTCAATCAGGGAACTCGAGATAGGGTAGTTGCGGGTCAAGCCTCGCATCTCTAGCAGCAACTGGTTGCTGCTCACGTAGTAATCCCATGCCGAAGCCATGGGTTGTTGAAATGCTTGCAACTCTTCCTCGGTCTCGCAAGTTGTCGCGACCCGTTCGATCCGGCGTAGCTCAGTCAATGTGTTGACCGTATGGTTTCGTAATGACTCAATCATCTGCTTGATCGAACGCTACAATCATCAATGTAAGCACATGGCGCTGTTCAAGTGGCGGGTTTCCCAACAATATCTCGTACGCGAGGAATGACGGTAATGCCGAGAGATATCTATTACGTACCTGGCTTCTGCGTTCTCGGGAACTTCGGCTGCTTGACTGCATAGCTATAAGATTACTTCCAAGTTTCTTGGGTATGTGTATGTCCGTGTTTAGTAAACGGAAATGATAGTATCCGCCTACTGAAGTGATCTGTAGAATGAATTAGTCCTCAATACGAACGGAATTTGCCATATAGAAGCCACATACCTTGAAAGTGTATTTTCTAATACAAGAGACTTGCAGTATGAATGTCTCCCATCCACCGTCACTCTCTTGAGTGTAAAGAGTTCCTTATATACTTCAGGAAGGCTGCGGAACCCTCCGGGACACAAAATGACACCAACTTAAAATAAATGACAGTATACAGAGGAAGAACAGGCAAAAATAGCAGGAAATGTCCTATGAGATTGCTTATGCTATGCCGGAGTTTCTTCGCACGAGGTATGGCCAAAGAGTTTCGATATTTTTTAATTTCGGTGTTTGACCATAATGCCGTTACATCAGCAGCCTAAAAGTGGCGAGCGCTAGACGAAGCAGGAAATGTTGATATACAAATGGAGAGGAAAGATCGACTTGGCTATGAGAATGGAGCTATCCAACAATGAAGGCGGTGCGTATCATGGTTTATATACACTGCGTATATATAGACAGATGCCTTTGGCACAGAGTGATCATGATCATTCATCTATTCTGGATACGGTATACATAGTAGCTGTAGCCAACACAACAAATTTGGATCTGACTTGAGTTGGACTTAGGAGTTGACATGGCTACGAAGATTCGCTGATGCTGACAATTGTAAAACCTGGTAAAGTTATCAAATTAGCATCTTGGTTAGCGCTTGGCGAAAGGAATGGCCTGTTCTTTGAGACGAAGAGGAGTATCAGAGCAGAGAAAAGATAGAAGCATATAGGAATAGAACCATAGTCGACGCCCTGTGACACGCCATGGAAAGAGGCTGAGGCCGGAGAATAGAAACCGGCGGCGTGTACTCTCCTTATTTCCGCGATCAGCGAGCGAGCTCCGTGTTCGTCTGAAGCGATCGAATTCACTCATCTCAGCAATGTCATACCAGTAGGCACGACCCAAGCAGCGACGGCATACTTCTAGAATAGCTAGGCGATCAATGGTAGTGGAATTTCCCGATATGGAAACCGAGAAATATCCTGAGCTAAGTTAAGGGGGGTTGGAAGAGGATGGACGAAGAGGATGCAGTCTCTTGGTTGTAGTTCTCGTGATGGTGAGGCGATAAGACCACCGACTGTCCAGGATCATGGCCATACAAGCTGACCTAACCATGCTCCACGCACCATAAGGCTGATAGCCAAGGGCGGCGGCCAAGGGCAGCCAAGGGGGAGCTTCCCAGGCGGTTTAGGTGCCGCATGTAGCGCGCTAGGGCCGCCGGGTTCCAATCCGCTGTTGTCAAATAACCATTCCAGCGGGTGCTTAGCGCATGTTGGGCGGGTAGCGTGCGGGTTCCATAGCGGAATAGGCGATCATCAATGCCGGGTGACGTAGGAGATCGTTGGATTGTTGGATTGCCGGATTGTGGTAGGTAAGGTATTGTTACAAGATAGTATTGTTGTATTGTTAGATGGCTGGATGGTTGGATTCGAGGCACGGCAGTACCAATTGCGCGGCCTAGAGAGCGGCCTAGAGCCCGGCAGCCGCCCAGGTTTGGATCAGGAATCAATTACAGGAATCAATTACAGGATATGAGAATCTTTTGTCAAATAGCTGTCCCTCTGGGTCTTTCAGATGCATGCCAGAGGGGCGCATTCAACGCCGTTCTGCCACTTCAGAGTGCTTACATGATTCAATCATGGGGGATCCCATCCATGCCGTAGATCAGCAACTATATCTTACCTACCTACCTATACCTATGTCATCTTATGGTAACATCACCTCGGAATCTATTACCACTTCCTTTGCATGAAGTTGGCGTAGCGTTGGGTTGGAGGCGATAGGCATCATCAATGTATCACCAAATGGTCAGCTGCCGCACGGCCATGTTACGCCCGTAGACATTAAACATTGCACCAAAAAAGTGTGAATCACCGGATGAAAGTCGAGGGAGATAAGAATAGATTTGTCAGCTGTTGTGTAGTACAAGACAACCGGCGAAGTAGATACCGACCGAAAGATTGGTGGGCAGTTTCAAAAGACGTGATTGGATATCTAGCCAAGCCATTGTGGTTGAAGCAACACAACCTTGGAATCAAAAGCTCGGTCCATGGGCTTGCGCCAGCAACATCTCTGGTATAACGGTCACCCCGTTAGACCAGCGCCACAAGTGTGAGTCTTACTGGCCTCCACGACAAGGTTAGATCTGATATTATTGGCGGGAAGGATTCAACCACGAGGGAAAGACGCCGAGACTTGGCCGTGACGCCCACTGGTACTGTGGAGGAATGGGGATACTAATTCCGATTCTACTACATGCATAGTATACCAAGATAGGTAGTATACCAAGATACAATACCTACATTAGATCAGGCAGCTATCGTAATTACGAGGAGAGGCGAGCGGGCCAGGTTGATGATTGGCCGTATGTTAGGAAGGTGTTCGATCTTACATAACCTCCGGTTTAGGTAATCATTGTATAAGACGGAAATATGAACTAGGGGGTTTTGACAGGCCAGGTGCTTTGAGAAAATGTTGTGTTGCGGACTGAACATGTAACTTGAATCTTGACAAGTTGTATACTGACTCTAACAAGTGCCGGCTTAATTCCTTCGGTGCGATATCCACTAAATGTAAGACCGAATTTGAGTTGGCGAGACTCTGCTGCTACGGAATCTAGAGCATGGTGAACGTACTAAGCTCTATCCCTGTATCTGCCATGTATATCTTCAAAAGCAAAAAGGAGTAGATCATGTGATCTGAAATACCTATTGATGTGGATTAAAGCGTGCCTGCTGATCGTACGTACTTAGTCCTATATGTCTTGGTATCAGATTTGTATGGGGTTCAAGCTTCGTTGATGATGCGCTAGAAGCCTTCCAGAAGGTCGCTAGTGTAGGTCTTGATCCGATGATCTTAGCAGAACCTACCTACCCTTAAGTATCTTCTACAATACCCAAGTAGCCTCTAACTTAGTAACTCCTTTTAAGATGCCTAAGTAGACGCGTCAATGACGAAGAGATAGTATGATGTCTTTTACACCAAACCTTGAGTGCTGGTTGAAGTGGCTGAGTACCAAGGGCTACTCTCAATCAGGCACTGATGTGCTATGTATAACAATGCCGCGTAGCTTGGACAGCCATTTATCACGATTACTCACCAACCTAGGTACTCTAGATTGTATTCAACCCAGGTTTCCATCTCTTGAAACGAAATTCCCTCATGAATGAAGTCTTATTTTAGATTGTTAGAGCAGTCGCTTTGATTCGGCTTTTCTGTTGTACTACATACATTAACGGACCTGCCGATGTGACGAAGGTGTCGCTTATTGGAGGCTATTTCGAGACCCTTGAATTTCAGCTTGGACCCCAAACCCTCACCTTGGGGAGATAAGATCTAAGAAAGAAAAGGCAAGCGCCTTATGTTGCTCATGAAATCAATGGGTCTGACAAGTTACGCCCTTCGCCTTGGCTGCGCGAAGGTTCCAGATAGAGAAGGAAATCCCTTTCTGAAGACGATGATATGGGAACAAACCAACACCGCTTTCACTCAATCCGAATCCACTTCCAATCCCATTTAAACCTCCCCAGAAAACGAACAAGGGCATCATACCCCGATGGTTGAATGCCTAGCTATAGTGCTTACTCAATTATGTCTTTCTCTAGCTTTGTCAGCGTGCCATGTGATTCTCTAGGAGAGTTGAGCCAAGAAGGACTGGTCTTCTGCAGGCTACCTAGAGAGCCGAAAACCCACATTCCCGGTATTTATACCAGTCTACAAACCCCTCACTCCCCCTCTTAGTTCTGCGGAGAAGTTCCAGCACAGCAAGAAGGGCGTTCTTGACACCTGAGGACCTCGCGGATAAGAACTGACTAGCTCACCGACAAGTATACCTTGATTACGAAAGGATGCAATTAAGTAAGTAGGTGTAATGTGAATGTATGTGTTTTTTTTTTTTTTTTTTTACACGAGCGCGATATGATGATACAATTACCTTGTACGGGAGAGATCTGTTATCACCCATTTCACCCTCTTAGCGGGATCTTAGGGCTGTTTAGCTCTTTGCAACGGACCGACACGTTGATTTTTTTTTTCTTTTTTTTTTCTCTTTTTTCTCCCTCTCTCTCTCTCTCCATATTCTAAGCTAAGTCTTAAAGATGTTGTAATGCAAAGCATTTCGCGTCTTCCTCTAGCCAATAAGCTAAGTATCATAATGAGCTTGAAAAGCGCTAAACTCCCTGGTTAGTCTCCCAGCCATTGAGATCGCAGCTCCATGTGCCGCGCAGCTCTGCCCACGTGCGGGTCTAATCACCTCAAACTCGCTGTCGATGATGCAATTTCGCTATGCTCGTTCTCGTTGGCTATTCATCCAATACTTCCCATGCTCAACGCACTGCTAGCCCTGTCGTATTCCCTACTTAGTAGACCGCTTGGATTCGATGATCCGTTTCGGTCACACCATCGGGTCAAGAACTGTCGAGTACAGTGGGAATCGACCCAGTAACCAGGGCCTTGAGCTCTCGAACTCCCCTGTTCCAACCCAACGGCGCGATGATGTGATCACACCCTTGGGATATGAGCTCCGCTTAGGTGTTCACGTCGTGAACTACCTACTAGATCTAGAGCCAATGTGAAGAATCTGCGGAGTGTGTTTGGTCGGGGTTAAGGTGGGAAGCGCCGGCGCTTCTACTGACACTGTCTGTCTCTTCCTTGGAGTCTCATCTATCCATTCTCGTAGGTTAGATCATCAATATATAACTCGGACTTCTCCTCACCGACCCGTACCCCTCACCTTCTCGTTCTGTGTCGCTGTTTCCGTGTGAGAGACGTATTAGCGCAATTGACAAGATGGCGTCGCGCGACCAACTAGGGATGGCCGAGGCAAAGCATTCCCAGTCAACGGATCAGATCACATCTGTTTCACAGGACCTGGATGAGAATTATGAGTTCTTCAAAGCTGGGAGCGATGTTGATGCGACGGAGGGCGAAGTTAAGAAAGTCGTTCGCAAAATCGACTACCATGTCGTGCCAATCTTATTCGTCATATATTTCCTACAATATCTCGACAAGAACGCCATCAATTTTGCCAATGCCTACGGGCTTCAGATGGGCACCAATCTTCACGGACAAGATTTCTCTTGGCTCGGTAGGCGCATAGTCCTTGCACACACGTGTGTTGACAGCAAGCTAATCATAAATAGGTTCGATATTCTACTTTGGTTACCTCGCTGGGCAGATTCCCTCAGGCTACTTAATACAACGATTACCTGTTGGTCGTGTTGTATCTATCACCGTGATTATTTGGGGAGCTATTGTCTTGACTGTGAGTTGACTCTATAGAATGTGCTTGGTTGCGGACCTACGCATCCCTTATTTGAATATGTCACTGACTCTGGCGAAATCAGACTCCAGCATGCACATCATTTGGTGGTATCGCAACAAACCGTTTCTTTCTAGGATTCACTGAGGCCACGGTATGAATCTTGTAGGGAACCAAACGAGAGAATAGAACTGACAATATCAGGTTAATCCTGCATTCGTCTTGATCATGTCCATCTGGTATAAGAACGACGAGCAGCCGCTACGTCTCGAAGCATATTATTGTACAAATGGTCTGGCCACGATGTTCGGCGGCTTAATCGGTTACGCCGTGGGCCACATCACGACCGGATTGCCGAGGTGGATGTACGTCTTCCTCATTTTCGGCGCTATCAGCCTCGCCACCGGCATCGTCAGCGTGTTCGTGTTACCCGACGTTCCCGCCACGGCACGGTTCCTGAACCAGAGAGAACGGACAATTGCCACGGGCCGTGTGGCAACCAACCGAACTGGAGTGAAGAACCACCATTTCAAGAAATACCAGGCCATCCAATGTATCAAAGACCCTAGTAAGTTATGGTACTCCATTGCATAAATCCCGAGCTCCCACCATGAGAGCTATGCGTCATCATCGGCATAACGCTCACCAACCTTACCTAGAAACCTGGATACTCTTCATAATGGCCATCGGCGCACAGATTCCTAACGCAGCCATCACAAGCTTCACAAGCGCAATCATCAAGAGCTTCGGCTTTGATACTCTGGGCACGCAGTACCTCCAGATTCCCGGCGGCGCGGTACAGTTCCTATCGCTCTTGCTCGGCGGCGTGATCTGCACGAAATGGCCGCGTGGTTCGCGCTGTCCGACCATGATTACCGCCAACACGATATGTATCATCGGCTCTGCGCTGCTCGTAAGACTGCCTGATGAGAACAAGGTATGTGCATCCTCTTCCATACCCTCGATCCTTCAACATAAACTCGAAAGCCGCAAAATAATTGAGCTGAACTGATCTCATCTTTGAAATGAACAGTGGGGTCGTCTCGTAGCTTTATGGCTCTGCTTCTTCCAAGGCCTAGGCTTCAGCATGTCTTTAACAATGATATCCTCTAACATCGCGGGCTCGACTAAGAAGCAGTTGACCTCAGCTATCCTCTTCGTAGGCTATTGTATCGGGAAGTACGTATACCTCTGCGCGCCATTTCTCCTCCTTGTGGACACAGATGATTAACGGAGACACAACAGCATCATCGGGCCCCAAACCTTCCTCGAAAGCGAAGCGCGTAAGTATCTACTTCCAAATCCCCGTCTTATCTTGCTTTTATTCCTAACCCCTTCGATCACAGCTCACTACCGCAGCGCCTATGTTGCAATGCTGGTAGGATATACAGTAAAGCTGTTGAGCATAATTACGCTCTACATCTACATGTGGCGCGTGAACGTTGCCCGTGACGCCGAGGGTGTCCTTGATGAGAAAGCCGCCGTAGAGGCTGGCATGCACGATCAGACGGAGCTCGAAAATAAAGGCTTTCGGTATTCCTTGTAGATCTGGTGTAGTACCTATTGGGGTCATATCAACTACCTAGAAGCCCATATAAGTAGGTTTAAATTGAGCCTGCAAAATAAAGACCGACATTGAGATCGCCATATGCCGGAAAAGAGTAATGAAACAAATAGATATTTAATAAGTATATTGAAATGGAAATGTTCATGCAGGGTATATACGGTATATCCTATAAGAATGCAGTCGCCGGTGTATAAAAGCGGTTGGGTGAATAAATCCCCGATGTCTACCCAATTTCCCCGTCTATACAGTCTCAAGGTATCGCTTCATTTCCCAATCCGTGACAGCTTCATCCCAAAGCCGTATCTCATGGTTCCTTGAACCGCCGTAATGTTCAACAAAATCATCTCCAAACACCTCGCGCGCTATACTGTCTTTTCTCATAAACCGTGTAGTGGCCTCCTTCAAGTTCTTTGCCAAGCGCTCACCCTTATCATCAGCGCCGCCCACGTCCTGGCCCTTGCCGAGAGGTGGCACGGGAATCTCAAGCTTCTTCTCGACGCCACGCCAGCCGAGGGCTAGGATCGCTGCCATGACAAAGTGAGGGTTAATATCGGCGCCTGGTACTCGAACCTCGAATCGTGTTGCGCCGGGTTTCGATGTGGGAGGAGCAATCAGACGGATAGATGCAGCGCGGTGTTCGAGACCCCATGAAACAGTTACCGGGGCCCAGAAGTTCTCTACTAAACGTTTGTAGCTGTTCACGTTTGGCGCTAGTAGAGGCATAACATCTGGCAGGCCCTCCAAAAGTCCAGCGAGAAAGTGTCGCCCCAGGTCGCTAAGGTGTGCGATATCGGGATATTCCGGGTTTTCGTCCTTGGTCTCTCGGAAGAGTAGGTTCTTCCCATCCTTATCTACAACGGAGACGTGTGTGTGTCCACTGCAGCCGGGGAGTCCCTGTTTCGGCTTCGCCATGAAGGAGGGCGTGATTCCATACTTGTTTGCCACCGATTTAACGGCATACTTGAAGAGAGATGCCCTATCTGCCATCTCGGATATCTGTCCAAATTCTAAAGCTGCCTCGTACACGCCGGGGCCGCTTTCTGTATGCCAGCCTTCGAGATCGCATTTGAATTTCGTGCATGTATCGAAAACATCGTAGTAGTATTCTTTATTGAGGGTTGGGCGCGTGATGCTGTAACCAAACATGCCTTCGGTTAGAGGAGGGATCTCATGTGGGATATTGTCTTTCATGTAGGCAGCGGCTGAGGAGGTCGAGTCTGAGGGTGCTTTGAACTGGAAAAACTCGAATTCAACTGCGCAACAATGAATCGTCAGCCTATATTCACTTTGCCAAGTTAGGGTGGTATAGAGGGCGTCATACTTCCTGCCATGGCGTTGTAGCCCTTCTCTTGGAGTTTATCAAGCGTCATCTTTAGCAGTCCGCGTGGGTCGGCGCAAACAGGGTTCATTGAGTCTGGATCGAAGAAGTTGACGAGGAAGAACGGAATATCATCCTCCCAAGGTATGCGACGAAAGCTATTGAGGTCGGGAATGGCGATAAGGTCATGGTATCCATTCTCTTTGTTGCTAATCTTGAGCTCCTTGGTGTAGAGTAAATCGTGCATGTCCCAGCCAAAGATAACGCTGCAGAAACCGAAGCCCTCTTTGGCGATAGACAAGAATTTCTTCTTGGAGACAACTTTACCACGGAGCATGCCATCGACATCGAGACCGGCTAGCTTGACCTTGTTATCATCTTTTAGAAGCTCGGGTAGTGCTTCGGCCGATATAGGCCCAGAGGGGGCAGACATCTTTCGGGGGAGAAGCAAGAACGTGCGAAGCAACTGGAGGGGTTTGGACAAACTTCGATGAGGTGAAGACGGACTAGGTATCGGTTTCAGAGTAGGCTGCGCGCAATTGTTAATGTGGGATGGCAAACGGGATGGGCGATGTGGCTTGTATTTATATATACTCTCGGGAGTAAGGCTGGATGAAGTAAACAAATGCAAAAAGTGAGAATGACTCGAGCAAGGGAGTGGAGGAGGACGTCTGAAGTGTCGGTGAACTAAACTAAGGTGGCTTGATTTCCAACCCGAGCTGGGCAAGGGGATATGACGATAGAGAAAATCGCAGCAGCAGCAAGCACTACGTAGGACATGCAGTAGTACCTACCCAGATCAGGTGTATCACGATGCCTGCGAATTGAGGCTTGGCACAATTCGACTAGGTAGGTGGGGGATTGGGACCTGAATGGCAAGCATTGTACCTAGGCCGCAAGAAAGCGGCGCAAGTGTACTAACCAGACAATGACAGGGCGAAGTGCGGACTGCGAGCTGCATGCGTCATTATGCAAGCCCCACGTGTGGACGATGGAGGGGGGACGATAGAAGGAGACGAGATGAGGGACATGACGAACTACAAAGTCCGGCGTCCGCCCATCCATCCATCCATCCTATGAAAGGCAACAAGCAACCGACTAAGAGGGACGGACGAGACCTGGTATTGCAACGGTTGTTATCGCCTGCCGGGGTGGCTGGCTGACGAGCTAATCAAGTACCGCCGCTGGCATGAGTGGACGATTCATGGCAAGGAACCTCTGCGAAACCTTCACGGAGGCTTGAACCGCTTAAACCAACCTCGAACCGTTGTAAGCCGCCCACCGGTGCCTGATACTACTTTGCCAGCTAAGGAAATCTCCGAACTTAGTGGACTCGGTTAGGTAGGTAGTGAGCTATCAGTCTGGCCAGCAATACAGTAGTCAGATCAGATCTTACTTACATTAAACCTAGGTAGTCAGGCAGATCAGACCTGTCATCGAACAGCCCTATGATTTTATCGTGCCAATACAGAAGCCTTCATGTAAGCTTCATGTCAGCTTCTTGCTACGTAGGTCGATAGGGAGGCCGGTTATGACATTGCTTGCATGTTGGTTTTCTTTGCCCAACATTACGCGCATACTGTTGATACCTCACCACTCCATCGCGAAGGAGACCGTCGAGCAAGTCCCGCCTTTTGACTACTGCAGCCTGCACGCCTGAGTAAGATTTACAGGTCACATTCCGCCTTTCCACCAAGGTTGTCATACCTATGTGCCCAGCCCAATTAGAGGATGCCTGTCGTTGTGATAAGCAGCACTTCCAAGCAAATATCTCACCCCGGGGTACGGCTTTTCTGTTGCCTCACGTTGAACAATAGCCCTTCCATAGGATTGCTCCGATCTGGTGTCTCTCGATGAACTAATATAGAAATCCTTCGAGTCCAGCTGGTCGGTATCAAGGGCGCATCATTGCAGCACAACCAAATCGCCGCCGAGGTTCCAACTATGACTCTAGCTAAGACCAAGAGTCAAACAGCGGAGCATCCGACATCGAGTCCGGAGGCCGCTGACCGCTTTTTCTTCTGGAAGCAGGACAATGTCGAACACGTTGCCGTAGCGTAAGCAAGACGAGGCATGGAAACGCGTAACGACGGGAGTAGAAAATCCAATATCGTCGTGTTGTATCCCACTTTCTTCTAAGCATAGCGCTCCATATGCTTCCATGCTTCTAACTCCTTTTCTGGCTCCCAATCAACATCCGCTTTCGGTCGCTAAGCTGACTATAGTGGTTGTTAACATGCCCGTCCTCTGACTCCGGTTGCTCCGAAGAAGTATGGTAACAGCAATGATAGTAGGTAGTCAGCACGCCCGGAAGAGCCAAGTTGATCACAATAAGTGGTACTACCCACAAGGTGCGATGTCCGGCCGTGGTGGCGCCGCAACTTCGGTGTAGATTAACTGAAGTGGATTGGACATATGCTGGCCTCGCACTTCATATGGAGAGACACTTCACTTTTGGTATGTAGTTGGGCTTCAACGACGGAAGAGGGTGGCATAGAATGAGCTAGAGGGCCTTTTATATGTCGACCTTTCTGTTGATTTCGGTGAAGCAACAAGTGTATTACATCGATTTGACGACAATGGGCTCGTCGCTGATAAATGATAAGTCAACAGGTTGGAGATGTCCGGATTCTCCGTCTGGGAGAAAAGGGGAATGTGACCTCAACGTGTCACAACCGGGGCACAATAATTCATTAAGAGCATAAGCTAGCTAAATCATATAAGCTCCTACAAATGACATCGATGGAACACGTTTAACAGAAATTATTGGTAAACGTTGTCTTTGACAATTGTCCCTGGCCGCCTTAGGGCTGCATGGTGATGGAACTCAACGTTCCTTTCCTTTGCTCTCTCATTCTCGTTGAACTCCTCATAAGTAAACATCTCGATTTCTATCAGGATGAAGTGACATAAAGCGCTCTCCCTTCATCTATTCACTATGCCTCAGTATTTCTCCGGTATTACCGTGACACACATTTGTGCCTGCTGTAGCCTCAACAGTAGATGTCAGCGCAGTACCAGTTAGGACTCCACTTCCGTCACCAAACCTCACTTGGCCTCCTAAGCTGCTTCGCGGCTGCTTCTACAACGTTGATTAGAACCCGAGGACATACAGACGCCACTCGATAGATAGGCGTTTGTCCGATCGACTAGCGGAAACACGGCAAAGGCAATCCTTATCAACACATGATAGGCAACTTGCACAGTGATAATATGATAACCTACTTCTTAGGTAACTCCACGATGTTTGTGCCCCACGTCCGTTGTCGGAAGAGTAGCCGTTTGTGCCCCTCCTCCCTCCCTCATTACTCAAGTCAAGAGAGTGCCTGACTACCTAAATTAAAGCGCCTTATCTCGGGAGACCCTTCATAGTCCCTACCTAATTCAGAGTCTATTCTTATCTAGCCTGTAGCTAGAGAACAACGTGTCAAGGATCAAGGTTGCGCCCGAACGTGTTCTACTAAGTAACATTCTCCTGAATACCTATCGTCTCTCCTACCTTTCCTTCCAGCCATTTTCGTAACAGTCCCCTCAGACTTTTTGCGGCCGCTATCAAGTGAAATTGAAGAGCAATAATGACTACCGAATCCAAGGGTCGTCTTGCCGGCAAGAATGCTGTCATCACTGGAGCAGCCGGGTAAGTTCAGCATCCCCATGGAACATAGCCGGCAGTACCATAGAGCTCTGGGTCCTTCACAGCCCCTTTGAAATAGACTGCTAACAACGAGCTGAATAGCGGCATTGGTCTTGAAACAAGTATTCTTTTCGCGAAAGAAGGAGCTAATGTCTTGATGGCCGACATCTCCGCCCCAGCTTTAGAGAAAGCTAAGGCGAAACTGCTTCAGCTCGTGCCTGCAGCTACTCGAGTCGAGACAATTGTACGAAGCCCCCATTCCTACAAAACTCCCCCATAAACGGCATCTTTATACTAATTTTACATGTTCCAGACCTGCGATGTATCCAAGGAGGCGCAAGTCCAAGCCATGGTAGAGTCGCTAGACTCGTGGGGTGGTCTGGACGTCATCTTCAACAACGCCGGCATAATGCACGCGCGCGACGACGACGCGGTCGCCACGCCCGAGGAGATCTGGGACCTGACCATGTCGATCAACGTCAAGGGCGTCTGGTACGGGTGCAAGCACGCGGTGCAGTCGCTGCGCCGCAACAAGAAGACGAAGGGCAGCATCATCAACACGGCCTCGGTCGTGGCGCTCGTCGGCTCCGCGACCCCGCAACTCGCCTACACGGCCTCCAAGGGCGCCGTGCTCGCCATGACCCGCGAGCTCGCCATCGTGCACGCCCGCGACGGCTACCGCTTCAACAGCCTGTGTCCCGCGCCGCTGAACACGCCTCTTCTGCAGGACTGGCTCGGCGACGACGTGCCCAAGCGCATGCGGCGAGAGATCCATTTCCCCACCGGCCGTTTCGGCGAGGCCATCGAGCAGGCCCAGGCTGTGCTGTTCCTGGCCAGCGACGAGGCGAGCTTCGTGAATGGCCACGATATGGTGGTGGATGGTGGCATGAGCAAGGCCTACGTTACACCCGAGGGTCAGCCGCTAGCCGCTCCAACCAACAACGCTTTAAAGACCGAGCTCTAATTTCCGCTTGATACCATTGTCTCTTCTTGTCGGCCAAGGTTTGGAGTTCAGGCTTGAGGTTGCTAGTGGGTTAGATGACGGTCCTCTTCCATGACCCCGTAATGATGATACGTTAGTGACTAGATTATACGGCATTGGTTTTGGAATGGAATTAATAGAGACAATAATAGTGTGATCCAACGAATGCAATGTGTATACATCTGTACCCAAGAATGTGCACGCTTTATATACAACGTGTAACCATAGATGCCATGCCCTAATAAACGCCCCACTCCTCGCAAACAGGTAAACGAGCTTCTCAAGAAACTTTGTGCTTTTTAATCAAACTGTCCCTCCGTGTTACCCTCGCCCATGCTCTTACTGCTACTGCTACCGCTCTGGATAGCACCGAGGATGCCGTCTATATAGCTAGCACCACTCCATTTCTGATGTGTCAGAACATCGCAGCCGAGCTCTTTCTCGCGACGTTGCACAATATTGACATATGCTAACATTCCATCTTTCTTGAACTCCCGAGCCAGCTCGTTGGTGATGGTAGCTGTGCTGTGAAGACCTGCGAGCGAGATGAGCTGCAGCACGAAGCCTTCACGTGCTAGATCCCAAATGAAGGACTTGAGCGTCTCATCGTTGAAACCGTGCGCCATCCAGTTGAACGATGGAGACAGGTTGTACACGAGTCCCTTTCCGGGGTTGACGGAACGGATGGTGCGGCCGAGCTTGGTTGCTACTTCAACGTTAGGATCGCCTGTCTCAACCCACAGAAGGTCGGCGTAAGGGGCAAAGGCGAGTGCTCGTTTTGTCGCTGCCTCCATACCCGCCCGATAGTGGTAGAAGCCTTCCCGTGTGCGCGGCACGTCCCAATTCCAGACGATTGGCTTCTGTACCAGCACGTTGGCGATTTGTCGCCGCCGAGAGAGACCTACGGTACCATCCGCTGAGACTGCCGCGAGGTAGCCATCGATCTTGTCTTGTGTGACACCTTGCGCGCGCATTTGCTCAACGGCTGCCTCGTCAAAAGTCACGAGCTTGTGTGTCTCGACCCATTTCGCTTCGAAAGCATCAATCTCAGAACCTGGAACACCATTGGCTTCCATCTCTTGAAGAGTCTCGGCAAGGGGCGCATCATCCTCTTCTGCGACGCCAAGAATGAATTCATGATCGCGAGTATCGATGGCGCTCGAGATGAGCCTACCACTTTCCGAGTCTGTTCGTGCGATTACCAGATTCTCGGTACCCATGACATCCCACTGGAAACGCGCGGCAACAAGACGATTGATGTGATCACCTATGGGCACAAGCACCTTGCCTGCGAGATGTCCGCACTTCTTGCCGCCGTGTAACTGATCTTCAAAGTGTACACCCGCTGCGCCATTCTCGGCAAATAGCTTTGCAAGCTTCAATACGGCGCTGAGACCTCCGTGACCCGTATCGCCGTCTGCTACAATGGGTCGTAGATAGTCAACGTAGGGTGTCTTCTTACGCTCCTCGGGGGTCATCTTGCGGCGAAGATCCCATTGTTTGCGGTCGTGCATAGATTGCGCCTTGGCCATACGCTGGACCTGGTTGGGCACCGTGTTGTAAGGGTAATCACCAAAATCGGGAGAGACCTCGTTTGTGGTCGTTAGAACGCTTGAACAGGCCCAGCCTGAAACGTAGAGGACTTCCTGGTGTGGTGCCTGTTGTGTCATCTGGACTGGATCAATAGCTCCCACTGTAATGAACAATTTCAATCAGCGATTTTTCTTCAACAGCCGAGTTGGAGAATTCACGCTTGCTTATTTCGCGACGTACTGGTATGTATTGGTTTTCCTGCTGCCTCTCTCTCTTTTATGAGGTTGAAAAGCTTGCGTGCCATGATGGAGCTAGGATAACTTTGAATTTGGGAGCCACGCTTAGACACAACATCGGCAGCGGTATAGGGTCGCCTAATGCCAGCAAATCTAGGCGAAGACCACCAAGCCTCGACATCTCTAATCTGATTTTCGTATAGGGCGTCCTCTTCAGCGCCCGCCTTTCGCTCTTCGGGTAGTAGTTGGAACGAGCCTGAGAGTAAGGCTGACGTAGAGAGCGACATTCTTGTGGTGGTGGGAGAGATATATCGAGCCGAGGCTAAACAGAGGGGCGTGCGAGGAGACGCTATCGTGAGCCTTCGAGGGACTCGAATGATAGCTCGGCGAAACATGATAACGCGTACAGCTCAAAGGAGTGGGAGATTGGCAGGATGAGTAGATGATGTACCGTACAGTTGAGCTAAGTAAGGGTCTGAAAACCCATCCGAAAAAGTCAGGCAACGCGGAAAGAAAAGGCGAAAATAACCAAGTTGGAATAAAATAAATACAACGTCACAAGCCGCGGAGATAAAACGGTCGGGGCATCCGACAGCGCATCGGATGCCGCCGTGGATGGCCTATCACCTGCCTGTGCACAGGCTGCCCAGGTGCTGAAGCACCGTTCTTAGGCGCAGTGGATACGGTATACCTTAAAGCCGCTGTTAGTAGGCACATGTACTGTAGCAGATGCTGCTAGCAGGCCGATGTTGGTTCGGCCTGTTCCCTACCTCTTTGGTGACCTGACCCCCACCACAGACTCCTTAAATCGTGATCAAATGCACACTTGCATCGCTTAGTTAGTATTGATACAAGACGGGATGGTTACTTGCAATTGTATAAACAAATACTGTAGTTCAAATGCAAGATATTGCCTTTCTTACCCATGTTCCTTATAAGGATTCGTGCCCACAACATCGTCACTCACATGTACCTACACATGTAGATGTGCTGTGCCTTTGCCGAGCTTACCAGTGGGCTGGCTACAAGATGCTTGCCTAACCGGGAATGGACAAATGGAGACGTAGTGATTGGACAATGGCTAAGCCACAAGCGCTTTCTGGGGAACCAGGCGGGCCAGGTCACTAGAGCCCTGCTATTTACAGGCCGGTTTCCCTCGGCTGATGCGGGGGAGGGGGAGGGGTGGAGGAACCAGCCGGACAGAGGGGTACCCCACAACCATCAACTCAGCATCCCCGCCATGTATCGTTCCCTATAATCTTGGCGCGACAGTGACATGGAGTGCAGCGTCGGCATCTTGATACTGAGGTGTCCATACAGTAGATAGGTAGGTACCTATGTAGGTAAGGTATGTGGAAGAGGACCTGAAGCAGTCGGCCGAGATAGGTAGGTACCTATTACCAAGGTAGCAGATCAATTGCAGCTAAATTTCCCGAACCGAGTGTGTTATTTTGCTTTCCTCTCTTCCTCGGTCGTTCTTTTTGACTTCTTCTTCTTCTCACCGACTATTCTCTCTGACCGACTTCTTCATTTTGCATTCTTCAAGTTCCCTGTTTATTCTGCGAAGTGGTAACCCTTCTCTGAGCTATACCAGTCGCTAATCACCCACCCGTGTTGTTACTACTTTCCATACTTGACCGATCATGGCCGTGAGCATCAGAGCGCCGACGAGGGCGTTGAATGCCTTGAAGGTAAGGAATATTTACCCATGTGGTTGACATACTATGGCTATAGCAGTCAGTCAATTCATTAGCAGTCACCTTCCTATTTTTGGACTATGACCCGCTAACACTACTGTCTGTCCCTAGCACCAACGTGCCGTGTCCGTCGCCATCCCACGAAGATGTTATTCTGCTTCCTCAGAACCCGACCTCAAGGAGACTTTGAAGGAGGTCATTCCCGCCAAGAGAGAGCTGTTCAAGAAGGTCAAAGCCAATGGCTCTGCCGTACTTGGTGAGGTCAAGGTTGAGAACACCATTGGTGGTATGAGGTACGGTGGTCAAAGAGCACACCTATAATCTTGAATAATGAAGTTCCTGACTCGATCTATAGAGGACTCAAGGCCATGGTGTGGGAAGGAAGCGTCCTTGATGCTAACGAGGGTATCCGGTTTCATGGTCGTACCATAAAGGACTGCCAGAAGGAACTCCCCAAGGGTAAGACGGGCACCGAAATGTTGCCTGAAGCCATGTTCTGGTTACTCTTGACCGGCAAAGTTCCCTCAGTACCCCAAGTTCGCAAATTCTCCCGGGAGCTGGCTGAACAGGCCCAGCTTCCCGACTTTGTGAACAAAATGCTTGACAGCTTCCCTAAAGACTTACATCCCATGACCCAATTTGCTATTGCCGTCAGCTCGCTCAACTATACCTCTAAATTCGCCAAGGCCTACGAGAATGGGCTAAACAAGGCCGACTACTGGGAGCCCACCTTTGATGACTGCATCAGCTTGTTGGCCAAGCTACCCACAATTGCCGCTAAGATTTATCAGAACTCATACCGTGGTGGTGGCGCCTTACCTGCTGATGTTGACATCGACCAAGATTGGTCTTACAACTTCGCAGCCATGCTCGGAAAGGGTGGCAAGGAGAATGAGAACTTCCAGGATCTCCTTAGACTATACCTCGCCCTCCATGGTGACCATGAGGGCGGTAACGTCTCAGCTCATACCACTCATCTCGTTGGCAGTGCTCTCAGCGATCCTTTCCTAAGCTACAGTGCTGGTCTTCAGGGCTTGGCTGGCCCTCTGCACGGGTATGTAATTTCTGATCTTCTTGTTCATATTAGTGGCTCCGTGTTAACGATCTATGTAGTCTCGCCGCTCAGGAAGTCTTGCGCTGGATTATCCAAATGAAGGAGAACATCCCAGAGAGCTACACCGAGAAGGATGTCCACGATTACCTCTGGTCTACTCTTAACAGTGGACGAGTCGTGCCTGGATATGGTCACGCCGTTCTTCGCAAGCCTGACCCTCGCTTTGAGGCTTTGATGGACTATGCATCTGCTCGCCCTGAAATCGCCAAAGATCCGGTTTTCCAGCTTGTCAAGCTCAACAGCGAAGTCGCCCCTGAGGTCTTGAAGAAGCATGGAAAGACAAAGAACCCTTATCCTAACGTTGACTCGAGCAGCGGTGTATTATTTCACCATTATGGCTTCCACGAGACTTTGTACTACACCGCAACGTTCGGTGTTAGCCGAGGGTTAGGTCCTCTCGCACAGTTGATTTGGGATCGCGCACTTGGTCTACCTATTGAAAGACCTAAGAGCATCAACTTGGAGGGTATCCTGAAGCAGATTGGGGCGTAAAGATGAATCAATTGCATTTGCTGGCGCGCGTCTTGGTGGCGTTCACTCGGTTATATCCAATCAGTTAGATTTCATGCAAGCTTCTTTTTTCTAGAAATGAATGATATGATGTTCAACTTGCCTGGATTCCTGTCCCCCAGATTCCTTCGCGACCTTTGCCCAAGCTAATGAGCAACTTTACTCATGATGCCTTACGACTCAAAGTGTAATGTCTCTTAGCATCTTTTGTAAGAAGCTATCAGCATTGGGCCATGACAAAAGACAGAGAGTATTTCTGGGAGGTGACAGTGATGAATTGAGAAAAATCGTGCTAGATCACCATTGTATGGCAATACCGGCCTTCGCGGTTGAGATTTTACAAAAAATGATAGTGTCGAACACGAGCTTCTACAATTTTACCCCTCAGTGGGGTTATCATCACCATACGTCAGTGATGCATGAACTACCTTGTGTTTCGTGAGACTGGCCCTGGCCCTAGACTGCTCCCGTCGAGTGTCTGGGGTATTCGGAGCGGAAGGGGTTTGCACTCCGCCGTCGTATCTGGGGCCAACGACCATCCAACAGTACCCCCTTACGATCCTCGGACCAGGTGTTGGTAGGCCCTTGCAGCCCAGAGCTCCCGCATACAGATTAAAATGGCCTGAAAGAGTACTTCCGGCCAAAGCTGCCGTCTCATTCTAGCTCCATCACGTGGTCGATCCCGTCGCATCTGGAAGGCCATCATGGATACCGAAGCTCTCTAGGTTGCCTGCGATGCAACAGCATGACATATCACCTAAGAGATAAAAAAAGACATCAATCTGGGCTGTTCGTTTATCATGTCTCTCAAATGGAACGTATGCAAGGCTCTAGATCTAAGCAGCGTCTTGCCCTTGTTTCTGACACTCTCGTCAACGCGGCTAAAGAGGTTAAACACAGAATCGATCCATCAGACAGGCCGCCCCGGTGCTCTGGACCGCGTCGATGGATATTGTACCCACCGGGCTCGATCGGAGACAAAACGACTCAACGTAACATTGTAAGGTAGCAGTGGCCTAGGCCTCGGTTTTATAAGTATGGGTTGTTATACTTCATGCCTCATACCGTGTCGACTCACCGGTAGTAGTTCCTGTTATTTGCGCTCTTTTATTAGCAGGCAGGGCACTAATTCTACTCAACTATGATTGCAATCCATCCGTTAATTTCATAGAGTATACTGTTTATGAGCTTCTCCGAAACCCCATAAGCTAGGCAAAACGTTAGGCATAAGTCCACACTGTCTCAATAATTAAGCTTAATCTATCACTATTATGTTTATTCAAAAATAGCATCATGCCCCAGTCATACGTGCTGTGAGTTATCTAACAAGCTCTTGCCGCTTTCATATCTGCATCTTGACCTAGATCACCTGTAGTGTGACCCAAGTACGCATGGTTGAGCTAAATCTGACAGGTTGCTGGATCTTACCCACGAAAACGCACCACATTCAGAGTCAACAGCAGCCGAGGTGATTTCTTGTCACCGCCTTACTCACATCTCTCTTACCATCTCGAGTTCGCATCAAAGTTTCTCTTGGTAATAGGTTTCTATAAAAAGAAGATCTCCACATAGCATCCACGGAACTCAAGGAGCTAGACTATGCTCTTTAATATGAATTCATCTATGAAGCCATGGTTCTAATTCATCCGCAAATTCGCGAGGTGGGCTGGAAGGGTCATCGTCAGTAACGTTTCCGAGGCTGAGGACTTGGTCCTGTGATCCACTCGTGTTTGGAAAGGTGAGTTTCTATCTTTGATGATGGCATCAAGACACTGACCGTCGCTAGTGGAACGTTATCGGCCGTGTCCTTGGATGACCAAAGTATGAACTTGATGTAAAGCGTGAGTAACTTTGACGATGTGGAAAAGTATAAATAAAGGGCTTCTCACAAGACCGTCGATCAATTTTTTCATCATCACTCATCAGCACACTCAAGCAACTCAAGCCTGTCCAGAAAGCCCACGGCAAATCATACGCTATTCATAGCTACGATATCCCCTCAACATCTTCTCGAAAATTCACGATGCTTTCTTTCATCACTCTCTTCGGCGCCGCTATGGTTGCTGCTAACCCCTTGGTTCTTCCTAGCGTTGGGAGTGGCACTGCCCCTGACCCAACCACCATCAGGATCCAGAGCGTTTCTGCCAGTGGCAACGGCTGTCCCCAGGGAACCGTCTCTACTGAGTTATCTCCAGATCGCCAGGTATTTCCAAGTTCCTCCCTACCATGAGAATATCTCAACTACTTCTAACTCATCTAGGTCGTCACTTTCGGTTTCGATGCGTTCCAGACTTACATCGGACCTGGCACCAGCGTCTCCGACAGGACCAAGAACTGCCAGCTTCACTTGAACCTCGTCTACCCCGGTGGATTCCAGTACGCCGTTGTGAGTATATGTCTACACTCAGCTAAGATAGCATTGGGTTCTAATACACCTCGCTAGGTTGAGTCTACCTACCACGGCTATGCACAGCTTGAGAAGGGTGTCACTGGGACCTTCTACTCGACTTACTACTTTAGCCAGTCTCCTGCTGACACTGTAAGCTAACTCGTTCAATATAGGCTCAGAATGATATGAACTGACTCCTAAATAGACCACAACCTCCACTTCCATCGCTGGAGGCGTTAGCCCTTGGCTCTTTGGCGATGTAAGCGCTTCTTTTTACCACATTTCTGGCAAGTGAAAACACAGCTGATACTCATCACTTCTCTACTCTAGGTCTACACCAAGCAGGATCTGGTCCCTACTGCTTCCATCATCTGGTCGCCTTGTGGTGCCACCGGCATCCTCAACGTCAACAACCGCATCGCGTTGACGTCGTCCAACTCAACCGCCTACGGCACCATTTCCGACGACGATGCCACAGTCGCACTCACGCAACAGGTCCACGTTGCCTGGCAATCCTGCAAGTAAGCAGCTGGCCTAAAACGACCTTTCAGCTCATCTTGGGCGTAAAGGGCAGGTCACTGCGAGGGAGGCGATGAGAGGGAAGCTTGCAGATTTCAGTCATTTTTCTCCTATGTGGTCAGTTGGTACTTGCATCATGTCGTTATCGAATCGGGAATTGGAAATTTTGTTCATGTGCACCGTTGGCATGAAATCCCTAGCATAGCGCTTAGCCCTTGAATTTGAAAAGCATAATTTCCTATATAACCTATAATACCTTAATGGTACGTGACATTCCCCTCAAGTGCACGCAATTTTTCATCGCAACACACTCACTGCCTTACGCCGCATTAGAGTGAGAATGTGACACGCAGGCTTAAGGCAGATTGAATACCTTGAGTAAATTCTAAGTATTAGACGAAATAAACATGCGATGAGTTCAAATCGATGAACTAAATGAAATTTCTATGATTTTTGAATGAGATCGCGATGAAAGTGTCCATCTATGATCGCCTTCTAGCTAAGGAGTTGATGATGTTTATTGACGTCACCAATGCCCGTATCTCGTTATTACAATTCCGACCTGCACTCAACTTCGGCGGTTCTCCGAATTATTAAATCGCGAAATCAAAGATAAACTAGGTTCAATATTGAGTTTTCAAGAAATAGTACCTGTGCATAACCAACATCATTATCAATTACTTCGAAATACACAATGCCTATCGACTACCAGGGTGCCCAAGTGCCAACAAGCTACGCAACATGTAGCATCGGATACAAGGACTCGCACACGCTCCCCGAAAAGCTTAAGGCCATATCAGCTGCCGGGTTCGATGGGATCGAGCTGTCAATGCCCGATATTCTATCGTACGGCAAACAACTACGCGGCCAAGAGCCTGACCCCAAAGACTACGACACGCTTGTAGAAATCGGGCAAGCCATTAGGTCTCGGGTCCAAGAAAACAATCTCAAAATCCTCATGTTGCAACCCTTTGCAAACTTCGAGGGCTGGCCCAACGGCAGCAGAGAGCGCGAAGATGCCTTCACCCGTGCGAAAGGGTGGATGCGCATAATGGAAGCCGTCGGTACAGACATGCTTCAAGTAGGCTCTTCAGACGCAGAGGGCATCTCGTCCAACTTCGATGAGCTAGCTGCGGACCTCGCCGAGCTCGCGGATCTGTGTGCGCAGAAGGGTCTCCGCATCGCCTACGAAAATTGGTGCTGGGCTACGCATGCGCCGGACTGGAAGGATGTCTGGACCATTGTGCAGAAGGCGAACAGGCCGAATCTAGGGCTGTGTCTGGATACCTTCCAGAGCGCTGGAGGGGAGTGGGCGGATCCAAGGACCGCGTCGGGATTGCGGGAGGGAAAAGAAGGGCTCTTCGGGGAGAAGTGGAGTGAGAGTCTCAAGGAACTTGCTGCTACCATTCCTCCTGAGAAGATTTTCCTACTGCAGATATCCGATGCATATTTGATGAATCCGCCGCTAGAGGACAGGCCAGATGCGCAAGGATTACGACCTAGGGGGCAATGGAGTCATGATTATCGGCCTTTGCCTTTTGATGGCGGGTATTTGCCTGTCAAGGAGTTTCTTGATGCTGTCCTGAGGACTGGTTTTAGGGGGTGGTTATCTGTGGAAGTGTTTGATGGGCGGGGGAAGGACAAGTACGATGATATGAGCGAGTATAGCAAGAAAGCTATGGGATCTCTGGAGAAGTTGTTGATAGATGGCTAAAGTCCGAGTAGTAGCTATATGATTCTACATAGTACGGTAGACATAAACTCCGTCTCCGACAATTATTCCAATGGGTTAATGGAACTAGGCAGTTCACGTTATTTATCTAAGATAAATACTTTTATTAGATAAACATAAGTCAGCAAAGACAGGACTTGGGTCACATTGACGGGAATTCAAAATCTGAATCACTTGACATCACCGACGAAGCCGAGCTGAGATGGCTGGCGCTAACGGCGGGCCACCTCATATCACCAACGTCATCCATTTAACCAGTTTCGTCTTGATATGTACTTTATCCACTCGACAATAATCCATTATTAGACAAATTATTGATTTCACACTGAAAATGAGAGCGTTATGATATTTTAAATTAGAATGAAACTATAGAGACCTGCATTGAGAAGCGAACAACCACTTTTAGATCCATTTACACCATGAGACACGAAGACAGCCTGTAGCAAGACAGCAATAGAAAGAAATCCTTCACGAGAGGAAGAAAGAGAGCCACCGATCATGACAGCATCACAGTCCAACTTCTCTCAACTAAAAGACTTCTTATTCTACCTAGCCACAATCAAAGGCGACCTCTCCAACATTTCCGCTCCCCCATTCCTCCTCTCCCCCAAATCCGTAACTGAGATCCCAGCATCATGGGCGTCACACCATGATTTATTCCTGCAGCCCGCGCGCGAGACAGACGCAGCTCGCCGCGCCCTGCTAGTCCTCAAGAACTTTCTCTGCAGTCTCCATCACCAACTTCACCGGCCAATCATAGAATCGGATTCCGGGCCGAAGAAGCCGCTCAACGCGTTCCTGGGGGAGCTGTTCATAGGGGAATTCGGGGAGGAGACCTCGCCGACTCGTCTAGTGGCGGAACAAGTCTCGCATCATCCACCGGTCACGGCTTGTGCGCTGTATAACCGCGTCCACGGCATCCTCTCGCGCGGCTACGTGGCGCAGGAGACGACGTTCAACCCCGTGTCGGGCGTGCGCGTGGAGCAGACGGGACACGCCATCGTGCGCGACGAGAAGCATGGCGAGTCGCATCTGCGCACACTCCCCACGATGACGGTCAAGGGTTTGTTATCTGGACATCCGTACCCGGAGCTCGAGGGCGTGTGCTACATCTCTTCTTCTTCGGGATACCTGTCTACCATCGAATTCACGGGAAAGACGTCGCTTGGAGGCGGGATGAAGAATTCAGTGCGCGCAGAGCTAATTAGCGTGAGGGAGGAGGAGGGGAGAGAGGAGAAGGGGCGCAAGCTGTTCGAGGTCACCGGCCAGTGGAGTGGACGGCTCGTTATAAGGGATTGCGTGGCGGATATGGTTCTCGAGGAGTTCGACGTCGCTGATATCCCTACGAGCGAGGCCCGCGTCAAGCCTCTCGAAGAGCAAAGTCCGTGGGAGTCGAGGAGGGCGTGGGCTGGTGTTGCTGAGGGCATTCGCGCGGGGGACATGAAGCGGGTCTGCGCCGAGAAGGCGGAGATCGAAGAAGCACAGAGAGACATCCGGAGAGCGGAGGAAATGACTGATGCCAAGTGGTCGAGTGTTTTCTTCCGCGCGATGAACGACAGTCGGGAGTTCGAGGTCCTCGCTGGGGCTATACCAAATGCTGAGGCGAGGCGGTTGTTGCAGGATAGGACGGCTGGTGTGTGGGAGTTTGTCGGGGCAGATACTGCGGAAGCTTTTATTTCTGAAGGCGTTTATCATCGATCTCTAGAACCTACGGGTCAGATAGGGATTTGATGATGAGGTTGATTGATGCTATTATATTAGGCACTTAGATATAGACCGAGGCATATTACGTCTTAGATCCTTAATTCTATTTCCTTTTCACTTCCAGCCTATGGAACGGTCGCCTTTTTCTAACCCAAGCTTAAATTTCATCTTGATATATTCTGTGATGCTATCTCATTGGAATTCATTCTAGAATGGAATTCATATCTACTCGCTGAATAGGTGTCGACGAGTCAATCGCTGATCTCAAGATGGCTGTGGGATATCTACAGGGCAGATACAGGGGTTATCACAACCTAGACACAGCCCTACAAAGGCGCCTGTAACACCGCTAGCCAATCACCATGCATCCGCACACCCCGAAATGGCAACCCAATTCCTTCAATTCTCAACCTTGGAACCGAGTGATTTTCCCAACACCCCCAACAAGCAGCTCAAATTCCCACGGCACCATGAGCTCACAAGAAAAACTAGAGCAGAGCCTGCGCCGCGCAACAGGAGACGCAAACCCATCCCTGACCAATGCAGCCATCCCCGCTCTTCTGCGCGGCATAGCCCGCACGGGAGTAGCACTGCGCAAAGCCCACAGCGTCGAGACAGCCGGGTCGGAGAACGTCTTCGGCGACGCCCAGCTCAACGTCGACGTGCTCGCCGAGGAGTTCTTCAGGGGCGAGCTGGCGGCGTGTCCGGCCGTGGTAGCAGCTAGTTCTGAAGAGGACCCCGTCGAGACAGATGTGTCCACCTCGAGCGAGGACACGGATGACGTCTACGCCGTGGCTTTCGACCCGTTGGACGGGAGCTCTATTATTGGCCCCAATTGGTCTGTTGGCAGCATTCTTGGTGTATGGGAAGGTCGAAGCGTTCTTCGCCAGGACCCGAGCAAACAGGTCGCTGCTGTCCTTGGCGTGTTTGGACCGCGGACTACGGCTGTGATTGCTGTGCGGATCCCTGGTCATGAGCGCGATGCTGTGTGTGTGGAGGTTGGACTTGCTGATGATGGGTCGTACGAAATCATCCGCTCTGATGTGAGGCTTAATGCGGAGTGCACGAGTAAGACGAGGTATTTTGCGCCGGCGAACCTGCGCTCTGCAGCTGAGGACGAGAGGTACATGGGACTTGTTACCCGGTTCATCGCTGAGAGATATACGTTACGGTACAGCGGTGGCTTGGTGCCGGATGTCGTGCACTCTTTGGTGAAGGGACATGGTGTCTATTTGTCCCCCGTCACGGCAGGAAGCAAGGCGAAGCTGCGCCGGGCCTTCGAATTGCTGCCTGTGGCCTTGATTGTAGAGTGCGCGGGTGGTATGGCGATCGATCCTGCTAACGGACGACGAATCTTGGAGACACCCTTAGAGAACCTTGATGAAAAGGCCGGGCTAGTCTGTGGGACTGCCGGGGAGGTTGAGAAGGTGAAAACTGCATTATTGGGATAGATTGGGGATACAAATATACAAATAAACGTTACATTAGGCTTAGATAAAGGATAGGCTGGTAATAGACACTAGAGGACACTTGAACATTGCGTTCATATTCCGCAATGCCGTGGTACAGGCGATGATTATGTACATTCCCATCGAGATGCTATATCACGCTGGTACCTCGCCAAATCTATACATAGCCCATCCCATTGAGAAATCGTGATGCGTCCACAGCTGCTTTCCCTGATCCTCACCACCAGCACCGGCGGTGATATAAGCTGGCATCAAGTGGTCGAAATGCTGCACACACCGAATTAGCAATCATTTTCTTCTAAATCTAGAGAGCGATCGAATAGTGAGGATTGGGTGACTTACAGGATGAGCCTGATGAGCATCTGGTCTCTGCGCTACTTCCGCCAGTTGAGCCTGTCTCTCACTGGGTGATGCCTCCATGCCGGATTTAAGAGCGTTGTCAAATGAGGCTACGTAAGGCATAGGTTGCGTGGCGTTGAACGCGAAACGATAGTCACGTAGATTGTGTACTGACATGCCGGCCCCAATAACAAGAATGTTCTCGTCGCGGAGGGCTTGGACGGCTTGACCAAGACGATAGTGCTGGTCTACATCTTGGCTCTTATACTGGCTTACTTGCACTATGGGAATATTGAGAGGGTTCTTCTCGGGATGAAAGGCTTGTCTCTGTTAGATAGAGTGCACTTGGCAATTAGGAGGCACACCTGGATCTAGGAAAACTTACCGACAGAGAAGCCAACGTATACACCATGATCTAATCCCCGTGTTGTACCCTTTGCTTTTATTCCTGCGTCTTGGAGCAGGTTGATGACCTTGGAAGCCAGCTCAGGGCTGCCTATATTGGGATATTTGACATCGTAATATTCGGGAGGAAAACCATAGTAGCTATTTCATCACAATTCAGCATTTAAATCATCAAACCAATGAATGAGAAGAAAAGAGGGTAAACTAACTCGTAAATCAAGTCGGTCATCAACGCTGAATTGACCTGTATCTCATTTGGACTGGCCTCCCAGTGCGCTGAGAAGATTACGATGGCTTTGGGTTTCACTTTTTGGGTAATCTCTTGACCCATCTTTTGTAAGACTGGATATACCGGATGCTCCGTGTCAAACATCGTGCTTGGCTAGTCATAATTCAGTATGTACTTATGTTATGAGGTGCCTTTCCACGGCCGTCGAACCATGCGAGGTAACATGGACCGGTGTAGGGCAGGGGCTTACATACGCCGCCATGACTCATGAAGTACACTGGGGTGCGTGAAGGCATTTTCGTTGACAGGCTACTGATAGGTCTTGCTATAGATGTTGATGCTAAGGATGGAATGAATGAACGTAAGGTGGGAGATATCTTGGCTCCGAGGAAATAAGCCACGATGGCGACGACGAGTGAAAAAATGACGAAACTTCTTCGTTGAAACCTTAGCTCCATGTAAAGGCGGGAGCAGTATTCTCGAAGTTGAAAGAAGATGATATGCTACTTATGAAGGAATCGACTGAGTACTCTAGGTTGCGTTGATCTCCTACACGGTGTAACAATTGGCGATAGCTTCAAACATCGGGTAGGTACTAAGTAGCTATGGATTTATGGATTAATAATAAAGAGGCGGTGGTCAAGTGAGGTGCTTATGAAGGAATCTGTAAGCAGATTTATACGCTTGGATAGACTTTTTTTAAGCCGAGTTGCAATTCCGATCTTCCAGCGCCCGTAGATAGATTTACCTAGTTCAAGTTACTAGGTAACCTTAGAGATCTGGCGAGTTTGGGTGCTGCTAGCTTTGACCACTACTGCAAATCTGGGGTCCGTCGGAATAAAGCAGACAGACAGTCGGAATAAAGTACGGTAGATGCAAACAACTGCCTATAGCTTCTCTCTTCCCCTCTATCAATCTTCTTCTTCCACTTCCTCTTCCTACCTCTCTTCCTTGTCAGGCTTTTGATATATTGGATATCGTTTCTACTGTGCTATAGATATATTTTATCGAATAGAATTCAAGTTGTACAATGGTGAGAATAAGCCCATGGCGATTTAACACGTACCACAGATTCACAGAATGGGGTGACGGGATAGCGTTGGAGGGATTAAAGTTACCTAAAGCAAAGCGCAGAAGCTGGTGTGGGGCTTTACTACCACCACCCACCAGTCCTGCGCCTTATCTCCTACTCAAGAGCAATCGATCTGATCTGTTTGATGTGAACCATCTCCAAGTTGTTTATAAGATCTCAAACGTGGCTGAAGACGCTGAATGATTTTAGAGCTTCACCCACTAAAAGTAGCTCACTATCTTCTTCCCTTTGTCACCTTCCTCAGTTTCTGCAGCCTTTCTTGTCTAGCCGATCCCATCTCTTCGGATCCTATCAAGATGGAGAGGCCGATTTCGATCGCAGCCAAGGCGACGCACACGGCTACCGTCATTTTCCTACACGGCCTTGGTGATAGTGGCCGCGGTTGGATTCCGGCCGTAGCAGATTGGGTGAGAGGCAAGAAACTCGATCATGTGAAGTGGGTTCTGCCTCATGCCCCACACGTTCCCATCACGGCTGTATGTGCCTCATCCCAATGAAGACCAGTCCTTATACTGGTAAGCAAGTATCATGGCTGGAACTGACGGCGAAGGTAGTTTCAAGGGATGCCCGTGCCCGGATGGTTCGACATTGTAAGCTAAACCCTCCTATATTTATTAGATTTGATGTGCGATATGTTATGTCGCGCAGTAGGTAACTGTAATCTGTAGTCTGTAGTTGCTAACTTGACGTTTAGCATGCCTTGAACGGTGGTATCGAAGGCTTTAGAGCCAGACAAGATGAACCCGGCTTACTACGGACCCGAGACTATGTCAACAGCCTCATAAAAGCCGAAGTTGACGCTGGAATACCCGCCAACCGCATCATTTTGGGTGGTTTCTCACAGGGCGGTGCTATAGCCCTACTTGCAGGCCTGACGGCCAAGGTTAAGCTTGGAGGTGTCCTTGGTCTTTCAACCTGGCTTCCCATTGATTCCAAGTTCTCTTCCCTGGTTCAGGAGAGCGACCTTAACCATGAAACCCTAGTATATATGGCTCATGGTATGGAGGATAGGGTTGTCCCTACAGTGCTTGGGCAAATGTCGTATGAATTACTCAAGAAACAAAACTTCACCGTTACCATGTCACTATTTCCGTGAGTTTCAGATTTCTTTCTGTTCATTATTGTCTACCGGAAATTTTTCTAATTGATTGAAACACAGATTCATGGAACATTCGACTTGTCCAGATGAATTTGTCGAAGTTGAGAATTTCCTTCAGTCATGTTTGCCGGTGCAGGAAGAGAAGAAGTCAGAACTATGAACCACACCTTTCGAGCAATCTTATAAGTTTTCAACAGTTGGTCAGATAGGCATTCTCTCATATGCTAGAAAAGACGTCCCAAGATAGAGAGCTCGGTGGCATGGGTAGACTTAGTAGGTATATTATGGTGCTCTTACGCAGATGTCAGACGAACAGCTTTGGGCTCGAGCCAAGATAGAAGTAGAATACCTCCTTGTCGGCCGTATTAGTATTGAGACATGATACGATCGAATAACTGCAGACTTATTTAATCTACCGCTAGTTTCGAGTGTCACGTAGTTACCAGTGTAATTTCAAGCTTATATTAATCGTGACATGGAGAGGACATGGAGAGCAGAGGGGTTGAGATGTAAGGCGGAACCCCCAACGTGACCCGTAAGGTAATCTTCGACGCCCCCAGCACTAACCAACGGTACCTAAGCTGGCCTGGTCATTGGACGGGGCGCTAAAAGATAGCAGCATGACCCAACCTTCAACTTTCATGCCTACGCACACAAGCATGGCCACTTCCACGATCCTTTTGTACAGCATTATATCACCAGGAAGCCAATAATTGAATTTCCCTTATGCTTCTTTCCCCGTCAAGGCCATGCCATCATAGACACGAGATATCATACAGCTATCCGTCTTGACATTGATCAAATCCTCATCTCTAGGCTCCATTTGCTCCCTAGGCGAGGAAGTAGGAGGTGGTGTGGACGAAAACCAGCCAGTTGTATCCGACACCTACGCTTCCTTTAGACCAGTCGAACCGCCGACGACACTCCATAGGTGCCGAAAGTAGAACATTGCATTATGGCAACAAGGGCACCCGAGAGGGTACGCACGCCCTCACCATCTCGAGTTCCGTTACCCGGCTCGCCCACCTACTCCTATGCCTCGACCGCAAATCAGCTCTCCTCATTCAACCTTCCGATGCCGCCTCCGCCAAGACCATCACACACTGTTCTATCCAAGGCCGACCTTGAGCAGTCACAACTAGCCTATTCAGACCTTCTCGCTACAGCAAAATCCTATCGCGTAGCTCTAGCCTCGTTATCGACAGCTGCATCAGCCTTTGGCTGCGCTCTCGAAGCCTGTGCGCGTTTGAAAGAGTCTCGCGCTGATTCGCTCCTAAACGTACCAGCAGGAAGCACGTCTATTCCCGCGCTCTCCAATAACTACCCTGGGAAAGCCACATCTTGCACGGCCGACCATTTGCTGAGTGCCAGCGGTGTCCACCATCTCATCGCAAACCACCAGCAGATCCTAAGCGAAACCGTCTACCGATCCTTCGAGGTGCCACTACTCCATGACCTCGATAAGTGGAAACGGGATATTGAGGATGCCGACGAGGCGTACCAAAAGGAGGTAGCTCTGCGGAGTCGGGAAATCCGTCGTCTGGAAAAAGATGGGCTTAAGCTACACAAGCAGCGAAGGCGCGACCTGTCTAAGTTTCGGGAGCATCTGGTTCAGCTGACTAGTAAGTTGGATGGACTGTCAGGTTTACATGGGGATCATGCACAGGGGCTACTGCGAGAAAGCCAAGAGGCCAGTGCGAAGATCCTCGACGCGAGTTGCTCGCTTGTGCGTGCCGAAGTTGACATCTTCGAGGGCTTAGCACGGAAGGGTTGGAGCGGAGGGGGCCTTGATGACTTATTGGAGAAAGGGAGAGATCTGTTTGCCGCCGATGATGACATGGTAGCCTTGTCAGGCGGTTCAGGGTCTGTGGTGGCGGGTGCCGCGAACGAAGGGGCAAAGTTGTTTAGTATACTGCCACCCAAAAGCATCCTGGCAGACTCGGCGTCTGATTCAGGGGCGAAAGGCCGGCCCGGGCACCCTCGCTCAGATAGCCTGCTCGCAGAGACTGAGCAGTACCAGAGTCTGACTGGGGCTGTCACGGACCAAGGAGACACGGAAAGCATCTTCTCCGAGTTTAATCAAAGCCGGGGTGTGCGACCGTTTAGTCCCCAGCCCATACGAAGACAGCCTACGGACGTGGTCATGGATCCAGAATCGCTGCTCCAAGGCGATGACGAGTTTAGAGATCACCGCGATTCGAACAGAGATAGCATAGAGCACGACGGAAACTCTAATCCCGACGAAGACGATGATGATGATGGTGATAGCAGGAACGCGACTCTCAGACCGGGGAAGCCTCTTTCACCGCAGGATCTCCAACTAAGCGAAGACGAGGGCCAAATGGAAACACCCGCTAACGAAACCGGTGCGAGGGGGGGAACCATCGGCTCGCCATGGCAGGACCACGAAGAACACGGCGATCCAAATGCCCCGTCCGCAAGCGACACCTAGGGGAGTCTGCGGGGATGGAGTTTCGCAGCCGAGCGGCTCTCGCATCTCAATCCGACGCTGAACCTAGACTTGAACCCAGAGCTAGATCTAGAACTAGAACCAGACGAAAGGTTTCCAAAGAGACTTACTCAAGACCAACGCGCTAGGAGCGAAGGGAGAAGAACCGAAGATGAGAATGGCAAGGAAAGCGAATTGGAGTTCTTGCATTTCACGCGTGGCGTTGGTTCTTCGGACCTTGATTGAAGGATTGCATCGAATACATGACATTCACTTGCCGTATGTCTTGTCAAAATCATCGAATAGCTTAGCCGAGCACGATACGGCTTGTACACTCAGTGTCTACTTCGCTGTCCTTGTGCAGTCGATGCATACCTACTGAAGTCGCGTGTGCGGATTATATATCTATATACATACTTACTTAATATACCTGCTCAATTACTTGGGCAAACATCAAAGCAACGTGCATGTATTGCGTTTAGTTTACTGAGAATGCCACTTAGTCACAAGGCACGATGGTTGAGCGCAACAGGAGGAAACACGTAGGTAAAAGTACACTTGATTTGGTATTTGTCTTCATTACACCCGCTACAGCTACAGTAGTCAAGCCATCGTTCTTGACAAGAGTCCCCGGTATGACGATAATAATTCAACGATTTAGTCTCTTCTCCACGCTGCCACCACATGATGTCGTATTCCCTAAGCCCAGTATCCCTGATACGACATGTTGGTGTGTTAACGTAACCATAAACTGCATATCCCTTTTTCGCTCAAGCTATTCAAAGGCTTCAAGGCGCGAATGGAGAATTATCTCTCGACTGATACGAACTCTCGAATCCGCGCATCAACTCAGGTTTGGTTGAATTGGATCTTCTCGTTATCCATGCTTTATTCCTTTCTTTCCTTATGACTCTTCCAAACATTCTTTAGTCGTGAGCCCCTTCAGTCTTCCTTATCACCACTGACGAGCTCGTGACCAAAGAGACGAAACCAATAATCCAGCAAGTACATGATTTTCCAGTAAAGACTGGCCCTATTCATATCGAACTCGCCTATCTCATTGCGAGGCACCTCGTTTCCGATCATAGCACCGCTGAACCAGCCTAATAGGGGTATTAAAGCAAGTAAACTCTCTGACCAGGTAGGACTCTTCTTGAGCGCTTCATCAGCTGGTAGCAGTTTTATCCTCCTGGCCGAGGGGATGAGTCGACCTCTGACTTGGGGGGCGGCTTCCGGTTCAGCTGGGCTCGTAACGACTTCACCCTCGACTGCTGTTACCGTTGCCGAAGACATGGTTCCTGAAGATGCTGATACAGTCGCGGAGTTCATAGTTTCTGTCGAGGCGTGTGAAACTGGTGGTGATGTACGGCGGGCGCGATTTGGTCTGCGACTCGTGTGCGAAGACCTTCTAGGGCGATCTCGAGAGAAGCTTGACCGGACGTTATCTTCAAACATGCCTGCATCGCCTACAACATCGAGAACAGCTGCGTTCTCCATAGGAGGTAAACTTCGGTACGGCTCTACATAAACGAGATGACCCAGGATCTTTTGGGGAGAGGCATATAGGGCGGTGCTTGCTGCTTCTGCAGACTCGAAGGTGACCTTGACCCAATGCTCACCACTAGCAACCTTGTTGACCTTTGCTCTCTCCGCTTTTGTCAGGGGCTGTCTTCGTGTTAACGCAGGGTCGCGTAGATCTGACTTGTATCTTCGTGCCTCGGGGGGTGGTTCTCTAGAGTAGTCTTCGCATATCCTGCCGGCAAGCTGCTCGTAGTGGTTGATGGCTGCATATTGTTGAGCAGGAGATGCATAGCCTCGGAGGATCATCTCGGTAGGTTCTCTGTGCGAGATCGGGGGTTGATTTGTTGACTTGGATTCCTCTTGTCTTGACTTTCGCTGCGCAGGCTCGGCAGCGTTTTCTGCATGCTGCTTGGCTAGGTAGTTGGAGAAGACCCTATCGGCACTTTGCATAGTGGCATCTTCGCGTTTGGGGGGTGCACTGCCTGTTCTAGAGCGCGAACGCCTTGTCGACTTTCCGAAAGAGCCTGTCTCGTTTATTTCACGAGCTCGAGTGCGCGGTGCCATACGCTGACGGTCGTGTCTGTCAGAGCTCATGGTAAGTAGGCGAAAATTAGTAGCGGCGAGGATGGGACTGGTGATCGAATAGATGCGAGGAAAGGAGAAAGCGAATGGATGGATGGATGAATGGACGAGGAAGATGATAGTGACTTACTCAGGCCAGACCATGGCATACGGCCGTTGAATACCATCATCGCCTGTATATAGTTCGTCATCTGGCACGTTATGCAAGATTAAGGGCGGCATTGTTTATGTTGTGTTTGACAGGCTTGTCGCGGACGTGGCTGGTTTATTCGAGACGTTGTAATAGATTCCAGAGGATCGATGTTGGTTCGATTGATTGGATATTTGTGACGGCGTGATGGGATTAGCTGATGAAGAGGAGAGCAGTTTGCTGGTAGACAGTTGAGACAATCTGGTAGGTATGGGTGAAGCTCTTGGGGAAAAAAATGCGGCTCCGACCTGATTGGCAGGTCACTGCGAGTAGCAACTATCCCCCAGCAACGGGCCGGGGGGTCACTAAATGTACCACTAAATGAGCCACTAAGCCGCCTATATGTGCTAGCGTGGGTGATGTACCTGAGAAAGGATCCAGCTACCTGAGAGAACATGGAAGATCACGCCAGAGGGTCAGTATAGTGTACATGGCTAGGCTGTATTAAAGCACCGACTCTGACCGACCTAACTGTTAAGAAGCTCCAGGCTTGTATCTAGGTACTGCCAGGTACTTGTCTTGGCATCTGATGTAACAATTATGCCCCATGTCGAACTATGTCAGATGAGCTTAATCGTAGCTGCCCCAAAACGGCAACCTTGAAACTCCAAGCTCCAAACAAACGACGACGACATCATCTTCGTCAACGCCTCCCATTTCCACCTTGTCATTCTAATCCCAGTCACTGACTCGGGCTATCAACGCTACTTCACCATGTTTCGATTTGTAAGTAAACGCATGATTAGCATACCACCCATTTTTTATTATATCTCGAGTAAGCCAAGCCAGTCGACGACACGACGCTGATGCAAGAGAGGACAGCCCAAATCTCTCGATATTATCAGCCTCTTCCACAAGGCTGGCTCTCCAGCTTCTGTGAGGGCTGCCACAGTACTAAAGCAGGCCTCGGCCAATGCTACCGAGGCTGCCACCGAGGACCAGGCCAGCGATCACTCGCACCAAACAGACCCCCATCGTGCTAGCTTCGAATTGAACATTACCGAGGACCTTCCTACTACCGACCAACTTCAGACTATTCTTGAATATGTTGGCAAAAACAAGATCAGCTCTGTGATAGATGGGGCCTACACGGAGAGAGATGCTCACAAGAAGTACAAAGAGAATGCCGAAAGTTTCCAGCGCCCATTGGTTCGTCACCTTGACAGATCTCCCTTCTCTATCACTGTTCGCTCATGTATGTGTAGATTGTCGACTGGAACAATGGCAGGGTCCTTGTTTCGGATAAGGAGTCAGAGATACTCAAGATGTTGAACAATTTGAATAAAAAATAGGTACTCTATACATCTCATTAGGGACTTGTCAAGTAAGTGCCTTCGTGTGGTCTATTGCTTGAGGCAAATTGTTCGCTGAACGGTGGAAAGTTTCAACCCACGGGAGGATGAATATTTGTAAATTCAGAATGCGATGGAAGGCAAGGTGCTTTGAACACTTTTCAATTCACCTGGATAATCGACTGGCTTGTCCATTGCCGTGGTCTGTTAGAGAAGCATATATGTGGTGACGCTACATCACCTCCCTTGGCCTGTACTATATTCCCCAGCTATGCTCATGCAACTCTCAGCTCTAGCCATCCGTTATTCTGTTATCACTCTATGATCGACACGAAGGTGATGCTGTTTTAGCTCAATAGATAATGACAACATTGTAACTACTCGCTCGCAAAACCCAACGGTTTCCTGTCAGCTCAAACGGAGGAGCAGACACACTATTGCGAGACACATGCACATGGCCGATGGTCAGGCCTCACTCTATTCATCCATTCGGTACGTACTTTACTCGAGTCGTCTTGAGCATGTTATTCAATGCAACTGTTACCTACTTGTCTCCCCTCCAGAACAGTTAACTGTGCTGTGCACAATAAGCAAACAATTGCTCCTCCTGTATCAACCCTCTGCCACCAAACCCACCCACTCTTATTCAATGTCCCCCATTCCCATTCCCATTCACATTCACCAGCCTACATTGCCCTGGAGACGTCGTTACCTGGCGGTACCTTACGCGGCGCCATTCACTCCTCCCAGTACTATATATGAAGTGCTCAACACCACTACTTCTCGACATCTCCTACCTCTCCTCATATCTACACTGCCCAAGGTATGCAATCATCTCTATTTCCGAGGGTTTTTTTCTTTTGGTTTACCAATTACCAATTCTCAACCAACTTGTTTTCTGTGCACTGGATGCCACTGCACATTGAACCTAACCAAACAGCTACTTCAAGGTACACCTCAACCCTCCACTCCCACCACTCACCCTTTCACACCCGCGAACCTCATTTTTCCCTCTACAATCCGGTACGCTTCACTGGGTGGACTGCGACCTGACCATTCTGCCGCGCCTGTTTGGATACAGGGTCTGTCCAATAAGAAAACACTATCAGCTTAATCAATCTTATTCCGTGGGATTCCTCTTGTAATCCACTTCACGCTCTTGTAGCCATCGCGAGCAAGCACTGGCGCAACCCAAATATCTTTCTCCTGATATCAAACAGATAAACGCATCATTACCATGGCCCCAAAGTACTCACTGTATAGCGGTACCACGGTGGACGAACTACTGGAAAAGGCTGGCAAACCACAAGATAATGCTCACTATCTGGCGGGTGAACCACCGGTTTCTTTCTTCACACAACCGCCCAAAGGATATGCCGCCGTCTTCTCGACTATGCTCGGCACGAGGCCCTTTCGTTTCGTTAAGAACCCCACCTACGAACGAGAGGGCTACTACTGGTGGGCTGCAGAGATTCAAAAGACATGTGATGGACTACGACGGCATATGCCAGACATTTGCAGAAACATTGAGACCCCTAGAGATTTCTGGGATTTATACAGATACTTTGACGCCATCGACATCTATCAGCGAGGCGCTCAGAATCTGTGGAACGTGCTCATGACTCTTATTTATGAGAACGACTATGCGCGAGAAGTGGTCGAAGTCGAACAGAAATGGCAGACCGAGCAACATTTACCCTTATTCAAAGTTCTGGCTGCCAAATTGCTCAGCAAACCCGACATGCAGAGTGCGCTTTTGCAGTGGGACGAAGGAAAACAACCCGATATCCTCAAAGCTTTGGCTCCACGTGAATTACAAATCTTCTTCAAAGGCTACAACAAATACCCCGAACACTTTCTTGAAGCAATTCGAGGGGTTTTTAGAAAACACTACGACAGTCTTCAGAAGAAAGGATTACCACTCGCTCTTGGTCTTGATAGTGTGGACAACCCGAATATCAATGTCAAGGAGGGTCTCAGTAAGTATTTTTCCTAAAGGGACTTGGGATTCTTGCTAATCAAAGAGCCAAAGATGCTTTACGGTGTCATCTAGATGGGGCCCCAGACGACCCATTCATGGACAAGTTTGACATACCCAACAAGATCGTTAATGGAGTCGTTATTGCCGATGGAACGTCGCAAACCGCAGCTCGTAAAGCTGGCTATAATCAGCTAAACATTCATTCTACCAACCACCCAAAACGACATGAAGGTATGATATTTATCCAGTGTAGTCCCTATAATTCAATTGTGCGATTGCTACCTTGTACTCAACTAACCTTACAAGATGCCCAAGCTAATGGACCCTCTCGACAACGCCCTGAATCAGGTGTGCCGGCTGAGGACACAAACCCGAGCTGCCAGAATGTTGAACAAAGCCAGGATGCGGTTGACCTTGCCACAATCAAGCGATGCTCAAGTGCCCCCATTGGTGTGAAACTCTCGAGTAATTCAACTAATTTCGCCACCAATGACCCTCGCATTCACACCAGTAACAGTCATGTAGCTGACCAGAAGCACACTGGACATGAAAAGCCGATTTACCCTGAAGGTCATATCGCAGCAAATGCAGCTCATACTGCTGCTGCGTATGCTCCAAACAGTCACTTACAAGAGGTTCCGCCGGCTATGCATAACGGTTTACCTCCTCCGCATTATCAGCCTGGTGTAATAGAAGCTAGGTACTGCCAAGCTCCCTCAGTTCGACAACCGGCGTTTCCAAATCCCCCTGTCTTTGTCCCAAATTCTGTAGCTCCAGCCCAGTTACCAGAGTATCGAGATCGTGGTATGTCCCAAGGTGCGTTCGCTAATCAGATTCCAACATACGCATTATCGCAACAGTACATGCAAGGTCCTCCACCCATTATGCAACAAGCCCAAGGCCCTGCTCCGGTTTACACCCATGCCAAAAAGGGCGGTAACAACGTGAATGGAATACCTCCATATGCCCAGACACAACATTACAACACGCCTCCTGTACATACTGGTAACTTCAGAGGCTCGGTGGAGCATAAGAAAAATCCCGACACCAAAAGCAACGGCAAGTGGCAACAAGTCGGATCTGACGACATACACGGTCCGAAGGCCATTTTCCGTAAGGACAGCATTCGTGGTCAGGCACACCACAATACTAGTAATGACCAGTGGCAAAGCAGAGAGCCTCATCATACGGACAGGCGGACCTCGACTACCAGTGCCACTAGTGGCTTTCGACAGTTCAACAATAGTCGCCCGCAGCAATACAATAACTATGATGGCCTTCGTCCAGCGACATTGGTCTCTACAATGGGAAATACGTATCGATCTCCAGCGACTGCAAGTCAGCTGTTGAGGGATTACGGGTGTGTCAACGCCGATACACAACCCAGTGTCTATAACAAGTTCGATCCTTGTCCCTGTAACAAATGCAATGAAAGAGATCGAACAATATATGTCATCGGATTCAAAGACAACGTTCTCAAGAGAGCCGACGCCAAGGACCACCTGAATAAGCACTTTAGCAAATTTGGCCAGATTGAAGACGTAAGAATAGCCGAACAGAACTTTATTGCTGTCCACATCAGGTAAGCTGTTCTTCCCTTAGACATAGATGTTATGGTAGTTTGGTACTAACGTAAGCCCTTGTAGGTTTGCTAGCCCCCAATCAACAATAGCTGCTGTCAGATCAGAACCTGAACCGGTGATTGAAGGTCTGGGGGATTCTCCAGTCACTGTGAATTTCCGGACCGGGTCTCAGTTCTTCGTTCCAAAAATCCCCAGGCGTATGGAGGAGTTCGGTAACTACCGACACTTTACTCGAGATCCCGCTCAAGCGCAGCCTACAGTCATGCCTCAGCCGCCTATTGTTGCATCAAACAACTTTAATGCTCAGGCTCGACCTTTCCAGTATCATCACCAATTCCCTCAAAAGCCTGTGAGTACATCTGGTGCTGTGGTTCCTTCAGAGCATCATCCCGGCGCTACTATTGCGGCGGAATGTGCCATGAGCGTATTAGATCGAGCGGCTACACAATCGGGCTTTGGGAAGAAAGAGGCCGAGAGATCTTCATTTAGTGCCGCCACAAACTTGATGCTCCAGCCTTCACAGCGACTTCGGCCGATTGATGTGCCGCCTTCACACTCTGTACCAAATCAGCAGCCCATTGAAGACTCACAGCTTGATGGGGCTCCTCAAGATTCGGTCAAAGATATCTCTAACTGCACAGAAGAAACCAATACGTCTAGTCAGACTAGCATTCGAGGCACTCCTATCAGGACGCCCCAGTCGGATAATGATACGCCACTGGCAGTAATTCCTCTAGTAACTGGTCAAGACGACCTGGCTCAATTACCGGACAACAAAGACCCAACAACGCCAGACGAAGAAATGAAGTTTGACTATGGTACAGTTCGTGTACGCCCTGGAAAAGCTCAATATGTACCGATTCCCTCGGATTGGCGCCAGAACCCCACGTCTCCCCATTGCATACAGGATGAGCAGCAAAAGCCAACCACAACAGAAATTGTCGTGGCTGGGTCACAACCTGAGATTGGGGAGAACCAATCGCAATTGGACAATGGCAAGCATACAAGTGAGGAGCTTGAAAGCAGTTCCCACGCAAAGCGCAAGGCTAGTCGCTCAGACGATGTCGAGGAGGCATCCGGTCAGCTTTCTCCCAAAAAGAAGTCGGCGAAAACTGCCCAGCCGGGCGAAGCTATATCAGATGGTCAGAGCTCCCAGTCTGTAATTCATAAGGAGCCAATTTCTGGCCGGACTACAACTGGCAAGAAGAAAAAGAAGAACAAAAGTAAGAGGCGCCAAAGCCAAAATGCAGGGCCAGCATGCCCTGAGAACCTTCCTACCGATATGCCGTATGAGACACGAACATTTCAACCAGCTATTGCCACTTCCAATTTGCCTCAATACCCCGAGAAAATCGCGCAAGAGTTGGAGTCTGAGAAACCAGAGGCTATGGGTACTTTGTCGCTCGTTCAAATGCCCCCGGTTAGCAACAACACAATGTCTAATGGCAATGAACCATTTCCTGCTTACCGAGACGTCATGTCTGGTCCTCAGCTCCCTATTCGCGAGCGTCAGGGTAACACCTCCAAGTGGTCACTATCCAGTAATGAATCGGCAGTTGTTGAGAAGCTCCAAGGCTTGAATCCTGTTGCTCAAGATTTCGTACCTCATCGCCCCATTACTGGTGCCGAGAATCAAGCTTTCAGCATCAATTTCCTAGACTCAGCAATACCCTCATGTATCCAGTCATTTCATGGCGAATCCACTCAAGAAGGCCAGAACGACTGTGCACCGAGACTTGTCAACAAAGAATATGACTGGGGCAGATCACAATCGGGAAGTAGGTCATACGGCGGCAAAAACAGATATAAGAACAAACAGGGATACAAACATCGGATGAGTGTGAACGATCAACCGCCAATCGGTACACCTCGGGCTGAACCAAAGCCCGATGCATTCACGCCAATTGCATCAAAAGAGACAATAACTTCTAAAGATGTTCAACTTCGGGCTGACCTCCAACTCAAGCCACTAAAGCAAGAGACATCGAAAGAAGAGAGCAACGAATCTCGTTCGGTAGTAGAGCCTCAACCAAAGGAAGTCTCAATCACCGACACCCCAAAGGACATTAAGGTAGATCGACAAGACAAAGGGAAGGGGAAGGAAAAGGAAGCAAATTCTTCGGAGGCAAAAGTTCAAGAGACAGTCACAACCAAAACTACGCCTAAAAATAACAAGAGGATCGAGCCGAAAATTTCCAAACGCCCTGAGTTACGACCAGAATCTCGTCCCAGCAAGTCAACCAATACGACTTCAACCGTCCATACATCGACGCCTTCTTCTGCAACAGTGACAGCCACCACGACGAGCACTACCACTACAACTGCAAATCCCAAACCAAAGCAAGGGAAGTCGAAGAACCGAACAGCCCCCAAGAAGGGAGTCGGTACACATTCTCAAGCTGAAACCAAAGGTCAGCCACTGCAAGCCAGCAAACGACGAGAACTACCCTCGAATTCAACCTCAAGGAAACCTACCCTATCCCTCGACAACGCGGACGATTTCCCCGCACTCCCCTCTAAGCCCGCCCCAGTACTAGCTCCAATCCCACTAGTCGCTCTTCCTCGTCCGAATGCGTGGCAGAAAACTGGGCGGTCGACTTCGTCGACGACTGTTACTACTACGAAAGCTAAAGATGAGGGCAAGAGTAAGGACGAAGGTCAAAGTGAGGTGGTGGATATGGTGAACGACAAGGGCAAAGAGAAAGAGAAAGCGCCGTCGCCTTTTCCTAAGGGTGAGAGGAAGGGTGGTTGAAACACATGATCGAGCATAAGTGGTTTCTGCTGCTAGTTTCTCTGTGGCAGGTCTTCACGGTGTGGTTTCCCGTGTCCTTTGCAGAATCTCGAGAAGATCGTTCAGGATTGAGCTACGTATACATTTTCTCTTACACTTGTACGCGGCTCTTTTTGTTCTCGAAAGAGAGGGAAGAGCAAGAATGATGAAGAGAGCAATGAACGGCGGTAGCACTGAGTACGATATGGGGATCAACCCCCAAAACGGAATGATGCGATGAGAGATGCATAAGTTGACGACGATACCCAAAGCTTTCCCTTCTTTTCTTTCCTTTTTCTAGTCTGGCGTTAAAGGGGTATAATCCGGTGTATTCGGAAATGGCGTTCGGGGCACTGAAAAAGGTCTACGTCTTTTCCTTTCTACTCGATGCATTTCGCAGGATATAAAATAAGGGAATGGGGTATGAGTTAAGTCGTGAACGATTTTGTACGAATGACGATTTATGCACTGCATTCCATACTGCATGGGGCAATGATAAAGGCATGGCTCACTTTGCTCTCTTGATAAATGGCTAGAGGCAGCAGGGGCGTTAGGAGTCCGGAGTTAGACAGCTTTTGTTTGGGAATTGAGAAGCTCTCCATTAAGCTTGCCTGACTCTAATCTGTGACGTGATGCAAGCTATGTGATTGTAATTAATAGAAAACCATGGCCTTTGGTCTGTCTACTTAGCCACTCATAAATATAACTTGACGTAATCGTTTGTTTTCACGTATACTCATGAACTTGCTAGCATGGTATTCCGAGTCTCAATGCATGATCTCAAACGGCCGATGGATTTGATATAGTTTTCTTTTGTTATCACCTTGCCTCTAAGCACCGTCTATTTGGTATTGTATAGGTACAGTATAGACATTGATATCATACATCGCTCTTCACGAGCGTCGAGACGGTGTCCTCAATTTGCTTGTCGTCGAGTCCTACAGTGATTAGAGTTAGTCTCTTGATCAAGATTGGCTTATTTTCTCTCAAGGCAAGAAAGAGACCGCTCGTGTTCCCTTCGGTCATCGCATACCTTCTAATGACTGGCTCTTCTCCTTTCCGAATTCTGCATAAAGCCGACTGTTAGCGTTCCGCTCTCTCCTTATCTCTTCTCCTCTTGTTCTGGCTTCACGAGACAGAAGTGTTGGTAAATTCATAATGTAGATGACGAACCGTATCGGGCGTAGATTTTAGGGATTGTGCCGGCGGCTTCGCGAATGAGGATGGGTGTGTGCGGGTTGTTCTTCTTCATTGTTGGGTAGGCGCGCGTGAGGAATGTCCTGTGCGTAATACTCATCAGTCTCCAGGCTCACTTGCACGCTGACAGGCCGTCATATCTGAAGTTGGTATCGGCGAGGTATATGGATATTGGGGCTCGTTTCGGCGATAGAAAATCGAACGCACCTCGTCGCAGCGCTAGTTTCGCCCTGGCAGAACAAGAAGCGGACCTCCTTCAGGGTCTTGCTGAAGGCATATTTGGCCGACATCGTTACGGGTACCGCCGACTGGGGATTGTCGTGTCTGGGGATTGATCGCGACGTTGACGTCGATGAAATAGAGTTGGGATGCCTTAGCTCCAAAGCCGACAGGGTGCAGTTCGAGGCAGACGATGGTGCTACCTAGCCGATGTACAAGTGCCCAGGTAGCTTCGGCGCCCCATTTAGAGCCGGTGCATTTGCAAGCAAGCCGTTTCAGCCAGTCAAATTAGCCAATTGAGCCCTTGTCTGCGGACTGCATTAAGTCGGAATCCCGCTTACTTGCACTTCTCGGTATGGTAATGTATCTTGCAAGTAGATATTACTATACTTAGTAACTTGGGCTTGCAGACCTGTCAAGTCGGCGGGACTTGACCAGGGGGGCCCCTCCGATTATCTCCGGAATCCCCAATCCTTTCCAATATCTTTTCTGTATTATTGGCGACGCCCAAGTCAGTCATCATAGCCACCTACCGACGGACTATCGCCATCAGACAACTCTCCTCTCTCCGCCCCCCTCGTCCCGACCACTGCTTTCGACCCTGCGATCGAACAGCTCTCAACATCAACACGTCAATTGCGACAGTCCCGTCTTCATCGGTACACAACTATGCCTGCCACAACCACCATGTTCCGCGCCGCGAGGCCCATCTTCCAACAGACCTCACGTGCGACATTCCGGAGCCAGTTTGCCCGCACTTCCGGACGCCGATTCCAGAGCACCGCTGCCGGGAATGGTCCCTCTGCTCAGCAGCAGCAGAGCTGGTTCAAGCGCATGTGGGATTCACCCATCGGTTTCAAGACTGTGCACTTCTGGTGAGTTTCCGACTACCTGCCTATCAAGACTCTAGTCCTACCTTGCTTTTCGACGTCGCGCTTTTGAATGTGCCTATGTCGCTACTCTACGATTTGTCGCACAAGGCTGTTTTTACTACATTGCCTTTCCAAATTGCGCGAAGCCCAACTAACCGCCAAATTTCGTATCTAGGGCCCCCGTAATGAAATGGGCTCTCGTTATCGCCGGAATCGGCGACTTTGCGCGTCCCGCCGAAAACCTCTCCGTGACCCAAAATGCCGCCCTTACCGCCACCGGCGCCATCTGGACACGCTGGTGCTTCGTCATCACCCCCCAGAACTACCTCCTCGCCGCCGTCAACTTCTTCCTCGGCTGTGTTGGTATCGCCCAGCTCACCCGTATTGCCATGTACAACTCCTCACAGAAGAATCTGCCTGAAAAGGTAGAAAAGGAAGCTGCGGCGGTAAAGGACGCTGTCAAGTCATAAAGACGTTGCGATATAGGGCTATTTGCGAGAGGATGCCGAGTTTAACCCTGTAGATGATAGTCGGCATGGCAGAGTTGGTCGGAGTTGATCACAGGAGGGAACTTGGGAAATGGGTTCCGCGAATTGGGTCGAGCATACTTCGCATTGACGAAGAAATCTGTGCATGGCGAGAGCACTCATATAGACAGCATTTCATTAACCTTTCACAACACACGAGGCGGCGTTGGATTCATGGGCGGTTAATATACCTCCATATAACTTGAGAAGAATGAAGCTCATTCGCTGTGTGGTGTGGACATTAGATCATTTAGGGTTCATACCTTTTCCTATCCCTAGGTCGAAAGTGACCGGGGGATATCAAATTGCTTTTGTATACTACCTAGATACTCTTGAGCAAACAAATTCCCTAGACATCTTAGCGACATCGCAACACTTTTTGTCTATCAAGAGGCTATTGTTGAAGTTCGCGAATGTAGGCATATCTACGTAGTAGTCGGGGGAATCACATGCTGCGCAAGTATGAATCGAGATGCAAGAAATACTCATGTAAATATTCGATCCGGGTGAGAACTCATGCCCAGCGACCATCACATCCGATTCCATTAAGACCCGAGCGTAATAGAGAGCAAAGAAACAATAGGTCTTATCACATATGCATTGACCTTGACTAGTTTAGCATTCATCGACCATACCATCTGATATGAAAGCCACCCAGCTTCTACCGCGAGTTGTGCTCGTCATCATCTTCAGTGCGCGGCTCAAAGCTAAGCTGGATATACTATTAGCGCACAATCAAATCAACAAGGGGAGAAGAACAGAGAAGTGCAGATACAAAGAGCCGGGAAACATACCGAATTCCCATTATAAAACTGAGGGTCTCTCCTCCGAGCCCGTAGGTTCTCCATAGGAACGTCGTTGTCGGAGTTCTGCCCGGCACTCCCGCCGCCTCCGAAGAACAGCGAGAAGATACCCGCCAGAGAGGCTAGTACGCCGCCGTACAGCATGGAGAAGACCCCGAAGACGGGCGAGAAGACGCCAGTCCGCGCGTACGCGGCGCTGTACGGCTTGGGGACTAGTACCATCGTCGCAGAGGGCACCAAGCCGAGAGAGAGAAGGGACTTGCTCTCCTCTTGGGCCTCGATGACTTTGTTCGGAAGCGGCGTGAGGACGACGCGGAATGAATACGGCGCGTCGCCGTCCGTGCGCTCCTCGTCGACCCATTTGCGCACTTCGGCGCTGAGCGTCTTGTCGCTTGCGAAGCGCGTGCGTATCGTCGAGCCGTCTAGGAGTCGCACCTGCAGGTTACAATGATCGCCTTGTCCGGCTTTCGGCAGCCGTTCGCGGAGAGGGATGGATGACCCGGCACCGTTGCTCTCTTCTTCCGCGTTCGCATTACTGCTTAGTTGTTGCCTTGCCCTGCGTTCTGCAGCTTCACGCTCTTTCCGCGCTCGCTTGTCGTCTTCGATGCGCTTTAGTATTCTCTTTCTCTCCTCGTTTGCCTGCTGCTTGCGTAGCTTGATTTCATTGGCGTGGGCTTGTTCAGCGTTTGGTGGCTCACTGCCGCATCTCTCGTTTACCCGTCTACGAGCCTCATCTTCAGCCTCAGCTCGTGCTTTGCCTTTCTGTTCGGCTGTGAATCTCTTCTCTTCTTCTTCTTCTTCTTCTTCTTCCGATGCTGCTGACGGCTGTGTCCCCTGTGGAGGTGCAGAAGAAGTGGTTGATGAGATGGCTGGCTGTATATCATCATCATATAAGCTATCAGTGGTGTGTGATAGCTGAGGTGGAGCGCTCTGTCGGCTTTGTGCAGGAGCTGCTGTCGGTGCTGATGAGGCTTGGCTTTGCTGTGTTGTACTTGAGGGTGTGCTTTTCCCAAGCCTCCTGATGAATTCTTCCTTGCTTGTTCCGGCTGCAATGTACTCTTTCAGCTGCCCGTTTCTATGCCAGCGTAAGCAATTATGGTCGCTCAATAGAAAAATATAGAGTTGCGTACTGTATTACTACAACAGTGGGCTTTTTTGGCACAGGGAAAAGGGCTTCTAGGTAGCCCGCCTCTTCCGAACCCGCAAGCAGTCTTAGAACCACAGATGAGCTCTCAAGGCCAGGCCGTATCTTTTGAAGTTAGCTAAGTAAATATCAACATCAATGAAGCCTGTCATACTGAGTCATCAGCGAGAAACTCATTCTCCCATTGCTGGCTCTCAACCCCATCGTCTGCCGATAAATGTTAGCATGTGAAGCCGTATATTGAAACCGGAAGTAAGGGGGAGACTCAAGACTTAAGAGCAAGGGATAATAGGATGATAGAAATGGTACATGTAATAGGGCTGGAGTTTTGTTGTTTCATGTCACTTGATAGATCAACGCAGTAAAGAGACATTTGTCGTTACCTGTGACGAGGCACACTACCTGCTTCGACTGCTGCAAGGCAGTTGATATGCCATCTTGCAAACTACCCTGGAAGAACATGGCCTGATTTTATAGCCTACTTAAGGCTGTGTGGTTAAAGCAGGGGAATGAATAGACGTGGCGTTTGCTAGATTACCTAGATAGGTGTCTTTATGGATGTTATCGCTAAGGTGGGACGGTTTCTCGGCGGCGAGTGAGATCAATTGACAGCCTCTTCTTTTCGTCAGCTTTTACTTCAACGACAGCAGCTTAGTGCAAGTTTCAGCACGGTCCAGGGTGAATCTTTTAGGGAATTGTTTGAACTCCTCATAACATATAATATTTGGAAGTAAATGTAGGTTAGAGAACATGAGAAGCTTCAGGGCTGACTGCCTACCTACCTACCTAGAGGAGACACGCAGGATTGCATCAGCTGGAGTCTTCACTTAGGTATCAATGTGGGCTTATGCATTTAACCAGAACCCCTCTATCCGAGTTTACGTGGCCCCGTTATAAGTATCAAGAATTGGAAATGGCCTCACTCGGGCCTATCTATAAACAAGTGACACACGTTACTACCTATCTTCCCATCTTCATGTGAAGGCTAATTAATTCTCGTAGCCTTAGTTTTTGATGGAGGTGCCACTTTATAAAACATACCAAACACTCTCTGGTGCGATTTGAAATACATTTTTTGTATCATAATCCGGCTTTTCCGTTTATGATCTGATAACTAAGTATGGTAGATACGCACTGCAATTCTCATCTCGCATCGAACACTCCTCAAAGTGGTAAGCCAATCTCTTTTGTATTCTTGCATTTAGCTTTTAGTACCAATCACAATGTCTGAAACGTTTGTCCAGGCACGCCGTTGTGTGATTTAGGATAATTTCCTAGGATCTTTGGTCGTTATGGCGACACCTAAAGCTTCGTACTATACATATAGACGTCGAGCCAGGACTTATCGATGACTCATGGTATGATTACGCTAGCAATGCATCTCCTTTCATTGCTCATCGTCAGATATATCTCGATATTACCAATCTGGTATCGCACCTAGTTTTGATTGACCGTTGATAATATCTAATAACCTCGTCGGTGCTTGAGCTCATTGACGAACCCCGCAGACAGGCACCTGCTACTTATTCCACAAACCTTCAACATAATGTCACCAGTGCTTGTTTCCTGGCTAAGTTTTAGAATCATATGAGTTAGGTATATATCGTCCAGCTTCACTATGGCGCCACTCAGCGAGGAAGAAAAAAGCGACCTTATCAATAGAGTCCTTCATGCGCTCTCGGAGACACCTTATGCGTGCTCATCACTAACGCAGCTTACCAATGGAACGACCAACTTTGTCTTCCGTGGACAGCTGGTTCATCCCATTCGTCACATTCGTGGGGAAGGCAACGAAGACGACACCACTGCTAGTACTGTTATTGTGAAACATTCTTTGGAGCATGCCGCCCTCAACAAGAACCTGCCAATCGATGGATCACGCACTGTATGTGCTCTTCATTCTACACTTTCCCGATTTTATTCTATTATACATATAGTAAAAGTGGGAGAGCAGTAAAGATTATTAATCCTTAAGGCATATACAGCTGTATGAAGTGTCCATGCTCAGTTCCTTGAACGAGCTTCCATCTAGCACATTAGGAGTCGAGACGCCGCGTCTTCATCTCTTCATACGCGATATGAATATCCAAGTCTTGGAAGATTTCCCAGATGTAGATGATTTGAAGAATGTACTAGTATTGTCGGCTGGCAAACAAACCCTTACTGCGCAGGTAGCAACATCCATTGGCCATACCATAGGTGCCTGGTTAAGGTCATTTCACAATTGGGCGATCGTTTCAAATACGAAGTTTAAAGATTTCGGCGACAATGGATCAATGAGGAAGTTGAAGTACGCTATTACATATGGCGCCTATCTTGATGTGCTTGAGTCCAGTTTTCCCGACCTCTTGGAAGGTTACCGTCTACCTCTACACCAAGTTAAAGAGCTGGCAATGAAGGAGTTCGATCATCCGTCAAATGACAGGTTTACGGATAAGAACTGGGGACTCATTCATGGAGATTTCTGGTCGGGGAAGTAGGTTTATCACCAAGCCATTGGATTTTTCCAGCTCGATGATGTAAGCGATTAACAAGCTAACAAGCCTTCAGCATTTTGCTGTCATCACATTTGCTGCATCACCTTCCTCAGAGTATCAGTAACGAGAAGCTATTCGTCGTTGATTGGGAATTCGTTCAGTTCGGTCACCGTGCCTATGACATCGGCCAGATGATAGGAGACCTCTACGAAAGATGGTTATTTAGGGGCGTTGAGGGCGCTATACCAATGATTGAGGGGTTCATTGAAGGATACGGACAACTGGAAAACGATGAGTTTGCCTTCCGCATCGCTATTCATGCTGGGGTTCACCTCATCGGTTGGTATATCAGAAGAGCCCCAGGCTCCCCTCTAGGGTTTCCGCTGGACCTGGTGACTGATGCTATGAGGACGGGGAGAGATTGGATCAGCAAAGGATGGCAAAAAGATAAGAAATATTTCGAAAACACTCCACTCGCACGCCTGTTTTCGAGGGGCGGGGTTCGGTAAACTTTGAAGTCGCTGCAGCGGAAAGATGCGTTGCACATCGCCATCAACAAATCACACGGTGGAATTTAACGGGGTTGCCTAGATATAAACCAATGAAGAATCATTGAACACAACCGGATTCGATCGATGATGTTCGTGCAGCTGTGGTGTCACAGTGGCAGATGAGTCTATCATGTCATGGAAATGAAGTCTACCCGCAGTCAAGGTTGATAGTCGCCGTCTTCGTTGCTAGTTTGGCCACCTCTACTGTCTGTTATTAATGACGCAGCTAGTTTCTCATACCCGAGAAAAGAAATGAGACGATGTGATTTTGCTTTTCTCTTCCTCATCTGTATAGATCCATTCATGATAGTGAGGTGCCTGGGGGACCTGTTTGGTATCGACTACCTCTCCAGTGTGTCGCCTGACATCAGGAGTCTGGAATAGAGTATCCTCTCAGGCAGGGAGTAGAAATCACGACCCCTATCCTGCATGAAGATCGTTCCCTCTTCAAAGTGTAGATTTGATTCTCATTATATACCGCCAAAACTCTCCACCGAACGCATTCACCCCTACTTCATGTACAGGACCGCATTCAAGAAAGACCTCACCGGTGAAGCGGTAGAGAAAGCTCTAGGAACGGGATTCCAGGGTATAGACTCAGCAAACATTCCGACAAGCTACGAGTTTCAAGTCGGAGAAAACACTGAAAAAGCTCTGCGATCCAGGCATCGAAAAAGATAAGAATTCTTGTACGCAGTATTTCCCTATTTCCCGCCCTTGTTCTTCTCCTCTCTTCTAACCAGGGGACAGATAGGGAAAGACATACCTAATGCGTGAATCGATATTTAGGTGCAAACGAAATTCGTCCCGGCCTGGATACATGAGGAAGGGAACATCCCGTATGATGTGAATCAGCCTGTTGAGGTGCAAGTGTGCTAGTCAATCGAACAGTCCTTCACGAATTTACAGATGGATTACATTGACATAGCATTATCATTCAACGACCCAGCCGACAACCTGGTGGCCTGGCGGTTCTTTGAGAGCTATGTGCCTAATCGCGTTGGCGTCCTGGGTGTGTGCAGCTTTACGCTCCCACTCATCGAGAGTCTACTATGTATATGGCGAAGCGGTTATAAAACCCGAGATCGAGCAGAACAGCATCTACGAGAAGGTCGGCTATGACATTGCGCTGCGAGCTTTTCTAACGCGAAAAGGGGATATCATTTATCAGTGCTTCTCCCTTCTGGAAAAAATAAGGCTCGGGCGTCACAGGTCGTTTCTCGTCTTGCTCATCGCTTCTCTATTCAGAATGAGGTTGCTTTTTTACATATTGGTACTTGGTCTTGGGAAGGTATCTATACTCAATGGTACCACGAATAAGAGGCATATGCAGACCGACTTGAACGGCATCAAGGATCTTTTAGAGAATCCAACATGCGGAGGGGTTCAAGACATATTTGAGTGAATTTGAGTCTGTACTGCAGGATATTGCGTCACGAGGAGTAGCCAAGTCCCGTGAATTTGTCCTAAGGGGCGAGGTGATATGTGGGGCGTCCCCGTTGGGGTTACAGTGTATTTGACAAACCGGCATCTCATCTCAAATAAATGATCACCTATTTGTTCACGGCCTGGAAGAAAATAAAAACAATAAACAAAACAAAGCTACACGATGTCAAGCAGCGCGTGAAATGACCATTGATTACTCCATACTTGTCGCGCTTATTGGGCCTGGTTCGTTCTGCCCACTCTGACCGCCTAGTGTGGGTTGCTATGATGCGCCCTTCCCTTCAAGCATCACGGCTTCGAGACATGGAAGAAAAGAAAGTCGGTAAGATATCAAGGTAAATACTCTTCAGGACTCCTGGCCTCTAGTTCAAGTACGTTGGTTCTCACTGTTTTAGCAGGCATAGCAACTCAAGTCTTGGTTTTTGCTGCGACAGGCAGACACTGGGTGCGGCTTAGCATCGAACTACTTGGATAGTTGGACGATAATCCGAGCGTTATGAAAGGCTACATATCTAAGCGCTCGTGGGAAAAGTGATTTGACGGGCTGGAATATATGAAGGTATGCGGGACTGTCACCGTTCTTCTTCCCAGTGTCCACCCTACAGCATCGATATCTGCAAACCCAACTGGAATCATTAATGTAATACCATCTAATGCTAGGCAGTGGTCATGCCGCTGCGTCCAAATCCACGATGGCTACTTTTGAGTGATATCCACTTTCAAGTGCGTGATCTCGAACGTATAAAAAGAACGGCAGAATGGATTGTGACGTTCACGCGACAGACGCCTGGCATCAGCCGTGTCATCATCTGCGGTGATGTGCTGACCTCGCGTTCGATGCAGCCTACTGCTGTCATCTCTGCCGCCTACCGCTTTCTCTCGGACCTGAGTAGTTCCGTACCACACGTCAACGTGATCTTGGGAAACCATGATCTCGCCTATCGCCGCGATTACAGCACTACTGCCCTCGAAGCGCTGAACATGTCACGCCTAAAGCCCTTCATATCGCTTCACGATGGAGTGAATAAGTATAATTGGGACGGTAGAGATGTGCTGGTTTTACCTTTTCGTGAAGATCAAACCGAATTGACGGCCGCTGTGGCTAATGTAAATTCAAATGAGGCTGCTCACACAGTTGCGTTTGCACATCTGGCTCTAAACCGCGCTGTGACGCAACGTCATGTTGTCTACAGTGATACTACTAAGACAGGATACTCCATTCGATATCGGGGGTTTACTGGTCCAGATCATTTCAGTACTCTCGCAAGGCTAGTACCCGCCACTGAGCCCTGAAACTCCTCGCTCTTACTGACCCATGTTTTGCCGGTATAGAACTTTCACTGGCCACTTTCACAGTCACCAAACCATCATTCAACCCGAACGAGATGCCTCACCGGCGAGTTCCGAAGGTCGTCTGCAGGGCAGCGTCACATATCTAGGTTCACCGCTACAGTTGACTTGGGCAGACCTTTGCGATGAAGAACGTGGTGTTGTCCTGCTAGACCCTGTGACATTAGAGCACGAGTTAATCGCCAACCCTCATGCTGTAGGCTATATAACCGTCCAAGGCCCAGAGGTATTGGATGAGAAGATCGATGCCTCAACAGTGCAGGGCAAACACGTTATGATGCTGGGGGGGCTTACACGCTTTCAGTATTGGACTGCCCGAGATAAGTTGCTGTCGTTTGGTGCTCAGAGTGTGCGTGAATCACGACCAGCACCCACGTCGCAGGGTGACGCAAATTCTTTTGTGTACCATGGCTTAGGCACGTCCATACCAGAAAGTGACCGGGGTGTTTCTCTTAAATCTACTGAGCCACTGGAGATATATCCGCCTCTTGCTGATGAATTGAATACGCCGCCACAGCCTGATGATCTACCATCTGTCAAGATTGACCCCGTGGAATGTGTGTCTGGCTATGTTGAATCTGTGGCAGCCGAATCCATGGACCGAGAAAAGCTGATTCAATTAGGCCAAAGGTTGATGATAGCATCGGAAGATGCTACAGCTTTTCCTGAGGAGAATGCAGCTTATAAGTTGCTATTAGACCCCTCCCATTCCATCGCCACTCAGGATGTTTCTCAGGCTCCTACCAAACAAGTCTTTGTGGCCAAACCACGCTCGATTAAAATTTCCAATTTCCTCGGCATCCAAGACGAATTCACTATTGATTTCGACGGGGATATGGGTAAAGGCCTATCATTCGTTGTTGGGAGCAACGGTTCAGGGAAAAGCACGCTCATTGAAGCAATCGTGTGGTGTCAGTTTGGACGGTGTATCCGGAAAGGATTGTCGGTCGGAGATGTCGTCAACGATATTACTGGCCAGAATTGTATGGTCAGTCTCTCATTTTCAAACGGATACACAATTTCTCGGTTTCGGAAGCACAAGGTACATGGCAATCGCGTTATCGTGTCACTTAACGGTGTAGAACAACCGCAATTTGAACATGGCGAGGCTCGCGCTACTCAAGCTGCGATTGACGAGCTTTTGGGTATCGAATATGAGGAATTCATCAAAGCGGTGGTTTTAGGACATGAGAGTGCCGCTAGCTTTCTAAGCTCAACGCCCGCTCAGCGTCAGGATTTCATTGAATCGACACTTGGGCTATCAACCTTGGATAGGTCGGCTGATTTATCCAGAAGAATGCTGCGGGAGATTGACGATGAATGCACTGGCCTCCGTAGCCAAATTGATGCAATCGAACAGAGCATGTATCCCATACAGCGTCGCATCGAGAATGGAGAAAAGGAATTGCGGCGTTTGCGCTTAGAAGAAGAAGAAGCGAAGAGAGCAATTAGCCGCGTACAGTCTCCTACCCGGAACGAAACGAGCGATGGTAATTCCAAAGATGACCGAGCCCATCACACATTTGATCGATATCCAAATACACTAAATTTAAAATTAGAAGAACTCAAGTCAAAGGTCAAGCAAAGTCAGCAAGCGGTAAACGAAGCCCGATCTACTTTAAAGAACGCCGAGAATTGGGACAAGCTCGCCGCAAAACAGCGGCCTTCGGTTCAAATTACTCATCAACCTAACAGCCAATACCAAACTTTGCGAGATGAACTCCTGAGGCTTAGCTCAAGACAGCGCGATTCAAAAATCATGGAGCACATCCATTCATTCGAGTCGACAATTGGGCACATTTCTCAAGCCGTGTCATGGCTTCAATCACATGCAACGAAAGCTACAAAATGGGTTGGCTCAGCTAACCCAGTAAATCGAGCGGCACTCCATTTCATTCGGATTGGCTTGATGACATTCGGCCGACTCTCAAGTCATCTCAACAGCCTCCTAGGCCCACTCACATCGTCTATTGCTAGGCAGCAGCAGGAAAATGTAGACGCGATTCAGAACATAGTGAAGACACTCGGAGCAGCATTTCCTCAGGAAAAGGAGAAGACGGCCAAGTTGCCCAAGCGGGACGATAAGAGCGACATCATAAGGTCACCAGATAAGAAACTCAGTGAACCGAAAATTACCTTAGAAGAGGCGAGGCAACAACTCTCCTACTCGCTAAATCATTTGTCAGAGTTGTTGGAAGAGCAGGGTGTTTTGCATGAAATACAGGCCAAACAGCAACGTGAAATCACAAGGATGAACGAGGGAACGCGAAAACGAGAAGGCCTCATAAACAAATTAGCCGAAAAGAAACGGGAAATCGAAATATATCAAAAGATGATCACAGAAGAAACTTCAATTCTACAAGAGCAATCCTCTAGCCATGCTTCGTTAGTCGCAGACGTTGAGTCAGTAGCATCTACACGGGAGCTGTTCGCATTCTGGGAAAGCTCGTTATCGCGACGACGACTGAAATCTGCCACGGCCCCAACATTCCGAGGCTATATGTTCGACAAAAGTCTGCAGGAGCTTAACACTGTTGCCTCGAGCATATTGCTCGTCCTGTACGAAAATACTCGGCATGCTCGCGAACTCACTAAAGGCATGTTACGAACGATAATTGCTAGCGACCCAGAATATGATCAGGACCCCAAGAATTCGCAAGGCACCGGTCTCCTAGACCAGGGGTTAGGCGTGACCAAGACACTGTCGTATGCGAAGCGAAGCGGCGGTGAGCGGAAGCGCATTGACCTAGCTGTCTTCTTCGCTCTCGTTCAGATTTTACAAGCCAATAGCAGGCACCGTGCACGCTACATACTGATTGACGAGGCGTTCGACAGCCTAGATGTGGCTGGACAAGCGGCAGTTGTACGATGGTGCTCACAGCTCACATCGCGGATGGACTTTCAACTCGTCGTCACTCATAGCGACTACTTGATCAGCTCTGCGCGAAGTCCGTTAAGTGACGACGATGGTGGTGAGCTACAAAGCCAGTTTTCGGTCCTCTCCGCCACAATGACCAAAGAGGGTACCAAATTCACGTATACCATAGCATAGACACGATTAGTACCAACTCCCCTCAAATTTCATGCACACCTTATCTACACTTTGTCCCTTTCCGTAGACTTTATCTCACCATCATAGGAATCGTCCTCACTAAGCAAAGCAATTTCATGCCCCGAACCTTCACGTATCACTAGCGATACCAACCAAGCGAGAATTGCCGTTGCAGATGTTACCCACAAACTGAGACCGATAGTGTCATTTGCGATTGCAATCCCATGCACTAAATTTCAGTCAAACTGTCAGCTTATGTCTACTCTTTAACAAAGCGAAGGGCTACACGTACAATATCCCGCACATACGGGACCAAGTGTTCGAAATCCAGCCGCTGTAGCTTGACCGATGCCGTGGACAATACCAAGCACTGACGGATGTGGTGAGCAATTATTCAGGAGCATGATAGAAGCAGGCACGCAAAATATGCGGCTAGTACTGTGGATGAACAACAAAATGAGAATGAAGATCCAAGTGAATGCCTCAATCGGCGTCGCGGATGAGCCCGCCATGACAAGCAGGAACGGCGACGTCACGTAGACTATTGGAAATAGCAGTGAGAATAAACGATAACACTTCAATGTCCCCCATTGCTTGTGAACAGCAGGATAAAATAAGAATTGAAGCAAGAGGCCAGCCAGCCCAGCAAATGCCATTGTGTAGCCTAGATTCTGCGGCGAAAGACCTAAGCCGCCCTTAAGGCTTTGGTGAAGATCGTCCACACCGGCGCTGGACTCTCTAGTACCCGAAAGTAGCAGAGGCCATGCACTACCAAATGCCCTATATATGATCGTTAGCTTCTATATATCCGTTCACCATCCACAGAACGAACCCTAAGTGGAACTCAAAGAATGCCAGAGATATCATGGTGAGGACTACATTACGTGTCCAGATATGGCGAAAGGGTGGCTTGGATTCTGGGCAAGGAAGCTTAGATGACTCTTTTTCATACAGGCGTGTCCTGTCATATCTAGTGTCACACGGCTCCTCTGAAGCCAGCGGCGAGTAGCCTCGACCGTTCATTCTCCCGACCGAACGAATTATACCGTTCCACGCTCGTAGCAGGGCAGCTGATTGTAATTTTGGGTCGTAGCTCTCAAGGGTCTAGCATTGCATCAGAATGAAGGAACGTAGATACAAATATGGAGAGAACAAACCTCTCGAAGTGTTAAGAGAACGGCTATGGAGGTCACCATCAGAAGCAGCGCACTGAGTAAAGATGGGAGGCTATGGGTGTAGCGCCTCAGCCATTCGATGTGACCGAACCTATTAGGATAGGTCGATGCGGGATCAGACAGCCAACCAGTGAAGACTTTGATGGGCGTCAGCCATTTCTACTATATATAATTTGATAGCCCAAAGAGAAGGCAACACGCACCTGGGCTGATGAGAGCTGCTATACTGAAGCTTGCAGGTAGGAGCAAAAATGCTCGTGACTGATGTCTAGCCATGATGTTCGTTAGCAGCAGTACATCATTCAAGAAGGGAGATGGCCCTTCTCGCAACTTGCCTCTTGTGTCGTATAACCTCAGACATCATCGTCCTTCTAGTAGGCTAATGTCAGCTATGCATTTCTACGACTGCACACCCGCCTGGCTTACATGACGCCGACTGTCCCATTCATGGCACCCCCGATGGCGCGAAACACAACAACACTAGCAAAGGACGTGGAAAAGGCCACTCCGATACACGATAAGCTAGTGCCCATCAATCCTATCAGTAGGACGTTCTTTCGCCCACCCCATTTGGCGTCCGCGACATATCCCCATGGTATCGCCGTGCAGGACTGACTTGCGGTGAAGCTAGCTAGAGCGACTCCGGTCTGCCAGGACAACACCTGCTCGGTAGCTGATGGGTCGAAAGATTTGAGCTGGTAGTAGCAGATGGTCTGGAACGAAACTATCTGGAAGAAATCAATGGCCCGGCACAATGTCAAGACCGCGAGCTGGTCTTTGTGTGGCAGGCTCTTCCATGTGTCTGATGCCTCGAGGGACATTTCCGGCCGGATGACTCTAAAATAGGATAGATATCGCGGGCTCGAGAAGATCACCTCAAATGAATCTATGTCCTTTTGGCTGACGCTTGAACTGTTATGAGCCTGACTTTCTTCTTTCTCTTTGTTCGGGCGAGTAGATATTGACACGGTATTGAACCCCAGCCGCTGCCATCTTCAGTAGTGCTAGCTTCCAATTTGCGCCTGAAGCAACTGTAATATAATTGTAACATGCCGACGCGACTCGTAGTTCATTCCATTGATAGTTCGTTTACCCGCGAATCTTACCCCTGTGGCGTGGATGTATCTACCGCTAAAGCACGATGTCTTGGACTATAGTCTCACAATGTGCTAGACTTTCGAGGGATTCACTCAAGCTAATGACATACTTGGCATTCTGCGATCTCTATATTTACAGCACATAACATAAGAGTGTATACCCATGTGTGCAAACCAGACGGCTTGCTCTATTCACCGAACCGAGGCGTACGAACACGATACACCAACACGGCTATGAACCAGGCGTTACCAAACTCTACATTAACAAGAAAACTCTCCGCGGCGCAGGGCAGCCGTATAGTCACTGTTATGAAAGCTTTTACCAGGGTATCGTGAATATCTTAGAACAACTGTTCTATTAAGAAGTTCAGAAAGCTATAAACGATCAATCCGAAACAAAGATTGAGGCTAACTTTATGGGAAGTACAATGTCATCAATATCCCTAAAAATGGACATGGCCTCAAAAGTATCGAACGATCGCTCCTCGCTCATGCAAAATAGTAGGAAAAAACTTCGAAATTGTCGTAACATCATCGTCCCGCATGTTCTCATGGCCCTATCAACTGAATAACATCTACGGCTTTTGCCCGTATACTGATTCGACTATAAAGTACGGTTGCATCCGCATATCACGCATTTCTTTGCGCATTCGGGCCAGGTAGACGGTTACCTGCTGCGGGGACCAACCCAGGGCGTTTGTGAAAAGGAACATAGCATAGCCTAGTATCATGTTCAGTCAATACTTGCTGATTGGAGGCTATTGGCAGGACGTGTCACGAAGGACAGAGCGACACCAAACAAGGGACACAGGCCAAACATACCGTCGAGATCCTGCTCCATAGCAAGCTGAGAGAACGCGCCGAGCTGTTGCATCTTGTGGTCCTTGGCCCACGGCGTTGCAGGGAGCTTGAACCTTCTCGATTGGGCATTTACAAACCCGGCTTTCTTGAAATCCTCTAGCCTTTTCCCATCGTCGACCATGCTCATGCTACGTTTGTTAATTGTAGCTGCCTAGATCATGCGCAATCAATGTCAGTTTAAGGAACATTGCTTGAAATAAGATTATTACCCCGAGGGCAAGAGTGGAAAGGGGAAATCTCCTTGGTTACTGACTTCGTTGAATAGGCGGCCCCAGTCGTACATGGCGGTGCCTTCCCTCACACTTCCATCATCGCTCCGCAAGTTCACCGAGGGATCGACAATCTCGACCCATCCGCCGGGCTTGCACGCCCTATAAGCCTGCTGGTAGAGCTCATCCCATTTCTCGATGGCGCCGAAGAGGTAGCGGATGTGTATGAAGTCTTGGGAGTTCTCTGCGTATGTCCATGGCTGTGTGCAGTCGTCAATCTCAAACTTGAGGTTTGGAGGTACCCACTCCGGTTGCATGGGAGATAGGTCAGTGCCGATGACCTCAGCCTCGGGATGGGCGTCTGCAAAATCACTAGGTTGAGAGCGCGTTAGATTAACACTACGGGATAAGCTGAGTAAGGACGCTTTACATTGCCCAGATTCCTAAAGGGATGTTGTTAGCAGCATTTCGGGATTAATACAAGGTCGATGTTTTCTCACCAGTTCCACAGCCTATATCAAGGACCTTCTTCGGTCCCTCGGGAACGGGTGCCAGGCACAGCTTATTATCAAATAAAAGCGTGAGAAGGTGATGGCTATATTAAATCAAGAAAAAGAAGAAGTTAGCCTCGAATTAAGGGTTCTCAACGACCGTTGAGCGATTAGTTGGGTATCATCATACACGCAGTCCATGCTTTCAAGGTGCGCGTCATCATTTGGCGTCCTACTCTCAAGTTAGCGGGATTCATCAACGAGCAACGAACGAGCTTTAAGCTTTAGGCTTATAAATTGAGTGAGACACGACTTACCAATGATCAGCCGTGCCTTGCAACGAGTGATATGTCCGCCCGTGCAACGTCCGGTATTCTAAGATGCTCGCAGACAACGAGGCGGTCGTGCTAGCGCTGCAATTGGGGTTCGTCAGCGCCACAAGCTCAATTCGACTGGTGAGTGACAACAGCAGTAACAATAGCCGCTGTTCCGATGAGACATGACTCACGCGTCATCGCCAAGAGCGGAATCCCCATCATCGAAATAGTCTTCTTCCCCTTCATCATCTCTTTGATCGCCCTGCTGTTCAGTAGTCATGAAACGTCAGCCTTTTAGCGTTTGCGCAAACGTGTGCCCAGTCATCTAGGGTAGGCAACGTGGAAACACCTTCAAGCCATGCTGACACTTACTGGTTGTGTCCAGTGAGTAGTTGGTATGACGGGCGCTGCAGAGATAGACGCCGGCGTCGCGGCGGGTTCAGCAGCAGATTGGGATGCCTCAGCGGCCATGACGACAAAAAACGAATACTGTAGACGGCTCGATATAGGGTCTTCAACGACTTCTCACTTCGTAGGCTGATGCCGATGAGGAAAATGAATGAGAGGGGTAGACTCCAAACGAGGGTCTTATGGAATCTCCAGGATTTTCTCGACAGATCGAAGGTCTAGAATCTTAAGAGGCCAATACAAGGGTCACAGGCTGCTGCTACTGTTGAGATTGCAGTGCAACGAAACAGATTAAAAAAAGAATCGGAAAATAAGCCGAAGATTACTTGCAGGACTCAGCGCACGGAGATCGCCTTCGATCGATGGGGACCTCTGCTGAGCTGCCATCTCTGTACATGATCTGTGCTGACCACTACAAGAAATCTACACTAGAGTCGGTCCATCACGAACTGGCTCTGTTACAGGGGTCCGTCCAGGTCAGTTGCAGTGGGAAAATAGCCATCTCCATTCTCTGCCCATCCCCCGATCCATCGGTTTCCATCCTACCAATCAAACGTGATCAGCAGTATCTGTATGACCGGGATACACCGAACTTTTCTCTTTCTATTTGCTGGGCGGCTTGGTATCTTCGCACCACATGCCATCTGCGTCCCTTGCTGCCCACGTGAGAATGGGGAAAACATTTGACAAGCGCTGTTAGCCCATGTGCATACTGTATGTGTGTATGTATGGGGCCCATCACTGGACTCCATATTCAAAGAAGGTGTTATCATCAATTGCTCACCATCCTCATGATACCATGCCGAAGTCACACCCTCCTCCCTCTTTTGGTGCTCCTCTACTATACAGGGCAGTAGTAGGCCAACGAGGATAGTCGACGGTGCGCTAGTCTCGTCGAACGGTTCGCGTGGAGCCAAGCTAGTGTGGTGTAGTGTATGATCTATCTAACCTAGCGTTGCTCCAAGGCGGAGATTACTGTACTTCACGAGAGGACGGCGTGGTTACTTAGATGGTCTCGAAATCAACGAAGAAGAGCTGGAGCGTCGCTACTACAAAGGATCACAAAATCCTGTCAAGTTTCACCGTACCTTTCTGCCAGCGTATCCCTGGTTTACAACGTGCTTCGGGTCTACCAAAACCGTTATGCAAGACGCCACGCTGACGCGTCGGCGGCCCGTTAAGCGATGCGGCAAACTAACCTATGTAATGTATAACACATGTAGAGAGAAAGTTTCCCGCATATTGCAACCAACATGCATCCTGCCTGGCTCGGCCGATCAAAAACGATCGCTGCTTATCCGGTCGGACAAGAAAAGGGGTACTCTAGCTGAAAAAAGGGGCAAACACGGCTCACTGCGTTAGCGATGTGGTAGTTGGAAGCAAACAGTTGTGTTGTGCGTCTCTAGAGTTACAACTGAGTAGCATTACTATGTAACACCTTCCCGACCGCGACAGGATGTATCAACAACATGCATTCTTACGAGGCTGTTGGCACGTAAGCAAGCCATTCCTTGACACCCACGTCCCCAAACTGGTCGCTCGCTCCTGATGCTGTTAGTGCAGCCCTGAGCGCTGTCGTCGACATTGTTTGGAAGCCAACCTCAGGCGGCGAGTTGGTCGCCGCCGTTGGGTACATTCCCGATGCCGTGAGCGATACCGCGCCCCCAGCTTACATGTCAGTCCTCAATGCGCCGATTTCGAGCCAGCGGGTTGTCTGCGAAGTAGGCCATTGCTACGCCGTCGAGCTGCGTCGTTGAATTCCACGTGTATATATACGTTAGCCTGCGGCTCTGCGGCTCCTGCTCGACTGCATACGAAAGACACAGCAGTCCGGTAGCAACGGGTTCGCTTCGACGCATTCTTCGTGAATCGATTCAATCCAATACTGGATCGGCGTCATCTTTGCGGATGCAGTGTTCACTCGTGGTGCGATATTGCGGGATGGCGCCATGGCACGTGCAGGTCGATGCGTCTGCGTCACCTTCTTCATTGTGGGCAAAGAGGTTCTATCATTGCTATCAAACTCGTCAATTACCATACGGTCATGCCTATTGGCTCTCAGGTATGGTTACGTTGAGTAGTTCGTGTTCTCACCAACGGCATGTGACGTGGTGCTAGAAACAATTACAAATATGGCCCAAGCGGAGAGCTTGAGACTGTGCCATATGCAATGCACGCGTTGCAACTTTCAGGTATGTAAAAGTAGGTAGAGATTGACATTGCTCCCCCGTACGGTCTGTGCCGCGTACGTGCCGCGTCCGCCGGGGAGTACGAGCCATTTGCGATAATGGGGTTTCCGGTTGACGCTCTAGTAGCGACGCGACCGTGAGTAGAGTGACACTCCGTAAGACCAAGTGACTGGCGTGCCCTAACGTCCATTACAAGCCCTTTCAGAAGTCCGGCTCCCTATTGACGTTTCCATGTGAAGCCATAGCCGTCGTCAATATCTTCGCTATGTCGTGCCGGTAATCACATATAGTTTGGACTCGTGGGCGCGTCATTTCTGATTCTCCACGTGTCTTCTCCACGCGTCTACCTCTTGGAAACTACCTGGTTTAATATATCTATCCACGATCTACTATGGGGTTCATTGAGGCAATGGAGTCACTTAAGGCTGTAGTGAATCGCTCTGAAACCAAGATTGGGGGAACAGATTTCACGAATGAATGATTTCTTGAAAACACTTGGCATTCAATATTATATTATACCATCAAGCAACTTGGTCTCTGTGCGAATGGCTTGAAGCAAGGTGAACCCCAATGAACTTTAGATGATGTGAAAAAGCCATGGAATCATGCTTACATATAAAATCAACACGATTAGTATGGCGTACTACGGAGTGCATGATTGCAGATGCATGCCACAGCTCTTGCGCGAGTCTGCCTTACACAGTACAGCTGGGGACCTCGCCGCATGGTGAATCACTGAATGCAAACCTCATCCTCGTAGCTAGTTGAAGATTGGCAGGGCCCAGTGAAAACTTTTATACTATTTTCGAGTATTAGTATGATGAAGGAATCTCCAGCATACCTACTGAATCGGCTAATGATAAGAATACTGTTAGGGACAATTTCTCCTAGAAACGCGTAGAATTCGAGATCATAGCTACCCCAGGTCTTCAAGATGGCTAAGATTTATAACCTAACTCCGAAAGCGTCACGTTATCATTGGATACCTAAACCCGCCTTGCGCCAGGCAGGCAGTGTGGCACAGCTTACGTGCAGGAGTAAGGCAGCCATGGCAATTGTTGACCATAAGGCTCTGAAGTCAAACTCATCTTCGATCTCAGCAAGACCGATGCTAGCATGTGTCACGATCGATTAAGCGGTCGGGTTGGTTGATACCTTACTTTCGTATCAATACCCCGATGACAACTTGAGAGAACTGCAGTTGCGAGGATAATGGACCCGGTAACAGCTGTAGGAGTAGCCGCAGCCGCGGTGCAATTCCTTGACGCCTCAAGTAAGTCACCATTAAACATCGCATACTTAGCCTGGAAACTCTCGAACTCGATTCTTTCCGCCGCTTTATAGATGCTTTTCTTCATCCAGTGCATAGCTGTGGCTGCCTATCTCTAACAACCGATATCACAGTCAAGGTGTACAATACGTTCCAGGAAATCAGAGGCAGCTCTATACTCACTACGAAGCATAATGAACAGCTCGAAGATAATATTCGATCTGTCCAAAGTCTGAGGTCTAGCTTGAAATCAGCATGTACACCTCAGGGAGCAAATGACCCGGTCTCTAAGCTCTCAGACCAGTGTATATCAAAAGCTGATGAACTCTTGAAACTCCTTGAATATATTCGCGGTTCTGGGAAGGATATAAGTCGAGCACGAGCCCTCAGCCGCGCAGTTCGCAAACGGAAGGCTATAGAAGAACTCCATTACTCCCTTAAGGAGGGCCAGGACACCTTGAACCACATGATAACCCAAAAATTACTGTAAGCATATGATAATCACGAAGGACGATTCCTAGGACAATTTAACGCTAATACAAAACTAGACCCTCCATTGACATGTTGAAGGTGGAGCAGAGCAAGGAGTTTGCAAATATCAATTCGATCGGCCAAGAACTCATCAAAGCACAGCTCGAGCAGCAAAGGATTCAGGAAGCTCACCATACCACATTAACTGATAAGCTGGATAGCATTCAGTGCGACACACAGCTTCGTTTGAATGAAGCGGATCATTTGAAAAAACGCGAGAAACTCTTGGGGAGTTTATGGTTTCCCGAAATCGATCAACGCCGAAATGAAATCAAAGAGCCCGCACCGAGAACCTTAGAGTGGCTATTTGATCCAGAATATTATACACCCTCGGAATCTAATGATCACCAACTACTCTGGCCAGACTTTAGACGGTGGCTCCGCGAAGATACTTCCACATACTGGATATCCGGCAAAGCCGGGTCGGGAAAGTCCACATTGATGGCACACATCGTTGATGATGAGAGAACATGCAAAAATCTAGAAGTATGGAGCCGTGGATATAGGCTCAGAGTTTTGTCGTTCTTCTTCTGGCGTGCTGGATCCCAACTCCAGAATAGTGTTCTGGGGCTTCTTCGCAGCCTTCTATATCAGCTTTGCATTTTAGAACCCGAAATCGCAGACATCATACTGTCTAAGTTATCGTCACCTATGGCGATGATACCAACCTGGACAGAACGAAGTCTGCTGAGCTTTGCTACTGAGGCAATTCGTTCCAGTAAAGGGACTCGGTTCTGTATCTTCATTGACGGACTGGACGAATACACAGGGCCTTACGATGATCTAGTCGATCACATTGATAAGCTGAGCAGCTTTGGCAATTCAAAAGCCTGCCTTTCTAGTCGACCAGAGGTAGCGCTTACCACGAGGTTCCAAGGCTTGAAACAGCTTCGCCTTCAAGACTTGAATAGCAACGACATCAAAGCATTTGTTAAAGGTTCCCTTCAGAAGACGCAACTGAGCAAGCATTTTCGTTCAGAGTTAATCTCAGAAGTCACCTGGAGATCAGATGGTGTCTTCTTGTGGGCGTCTCTGGTAGCCCAGTCGCTTGTGAGGGGGTCTAATGCGGGTGACAGCGAGGAAATCCTACGGGAACGCCTTGATACGCTACCCAACGACATGAACCACCTTTTTGAACATATGCTCTCCAAAGTTGACCCTGTTCACCGAAAGTCGTTGGCCTTCTATGTACAGATAATGAACATCGCTCGGAAAGATAGCCCCGTCTGGTATTACGGTTTAGCTAATACCCTTCCAATTATTGTAACAGCACAATTAGAAAAGGATATCAATTCCTATGAAGAGTTCTTAGATGAATGCAAGCTCACGGAAATGCGTATTGCCACCCGAACCGCAGGTCTCCTTGAAGTCGGCTGGATCAGCGGCATGGTATCTCGCTTTCTGAACGAGTATTATTGGGAGGCTGCCACTTTCAGATTTGCCACTACTCACCCGAGATTTATGTGGATACCAGATATCTCTAACCGTCGCATATGTTCTAAAGACGAACCATATCTTGCCATGTCCTATTCTGAATGTAAAAAACTGAAATGGATACATAGGTCGGCATTCGAGTTTCTCTCCAATCTGGATAGCAGTCCACTACTCGAATACAGCTGGAGCCCTGAGGCACTGTTTCGACAGATCGGCGAAGCTCATATAACCTATGCGATAACCGCTCCATCATACGTTACAGATACAAAAAGTTCGTTACTACACGATCTGTTGACCCCCACCATGATTTTTCTAGGTGCATACTATGATGACTATCCTACAATCGCTTCATCCTTGCTCGATACCTTATGTACTGTGTGTACACAACTTGACAACAATGAGTTTCAAGGAACAGAGCAGCGTCAATTTCTAGCTCCTGATGCCATTACGCCTGCCGGAAAGTATTGGTTCTGGATTCAATGTGTGGAATCCCCCAAGCTCCAACCCTATGCCTTGTCTCGTTTAAACTTTATCTTCACTGGATCCACTTGTGAAAGTCTTGTTGCACATATCCTATGGAGGACCCTCTACACCTTCAGATCTCCCGACTACCTTGTGAATACTCTTTCCACCCAACTTGTGAATAGTCTTGCAGACGTTCTATCTCGCTCTATAATGGAGGGGCATGAGGTTGGTGGGTTTTCAGAAGCTGCTGAATATAACAGCATTATTATAGAGAAATTCCCACGAAATGATGCGCCGGTCATTATTCGTAATTTCAATAGTGCGACATGGAAAGAGTCAATTAAGAATAGATGTATGCTGGACATCATGAAGCGGCTGATGAAGATTGTTGACGACCATACTCTGTTCTATAATCGACTAGTGCCAATATCACTGCTTACTTTGATGGACTTTATGGGCCTATACGTCTCGCCGACTATTTGGCTCAACAAGATACGTATCCAGATATCTGCCAAAGCGTGGACCATGCTATGGAGCGCTATTGATTATAGAACGATTGAGACAGGCACCATTGGAAGGCACATCTCGGCCACGGAAGTCGATGGAGCCGTTCAGATCCTGTGTTGGCCATCCCATACGAGCACACAGAATGTTTCACGTAGATTCAATGATGATTACGTACACCTATCTGAAGTTAAAGAGCTGCAAGTTACCGACTTCATTTGCCTTCGACCCAGTGCAGCGACATCTGACCGAGTGCTAAGCCTTCTCGGCTACCGTTTTTATGCCAATCAATACAAGTTCGAGTTTGGCATATTGCCGGATACACAGAAACTACTCGAAGTGACGGACATGTTACTCCAGGAGATCAAATCAGATGAGCAAGGTTTGGATGGTGGCCAACAGCTCCTGGCTGCTGCTTGCGTCAAGGCAGGCCTGCTGAACATCGATTCTGACCAATTCCTCCACATCAACGATCCTGCCCAATCTTCGCACGATGGTAACAACTGATTAGCACTTGCTAAGTTTTCTCGGGCACTGAGTAACCCAATGGAGACACGTGTATTGCAAAAGCCAGTCACTCATCCGATATTTCTGAGGCATAGATAGTTACACTAGGCTCTGGGAAATTAGCTATTATGATTTGATCACCGGAAGATGGTAAAGGAAAACTTGATGAGAAATCCGTTGTGGCTCCCCTTGCAACACAGTCCCTAAAACACACCGACGTTCAAGATCTTGACTTCCTTCTCTCTTTCTCTCTCTCTTTTTTTTTTTTTTTTTTTTTTTTTTTTTTTTCCCATCTGGCCGGAGATTCCAGCTAGTGCACCTCTTCTAGCCTCTCATCGCCATCCCTCAATACACCCTCACATACACCGCTAATCTCAAGCCCCCCCAGGTATCACAAAACGTCAACGCCACCCCTTCCATCCTGCCTCTCCCTCCTCTCTTAGCCTCTCTTCACCTTCACAGCAGAAGCCTCCAACCAACTCCCCAACAACCCACAGACAGCAGCGAACGCGAACAGCGGCGCCTGCGGGAACCCGGGGCCGCCGAACTCCGGGTCAAGACCCATGGTGCCCGGGTAGAGGATGGAGCAGATACCCGCGATCCAGTAAATAGACCCCGTGAACGCGGACACCAGCATGAACTCTCTCTTCAGCGTCGGCGTTTCGGCGCTCCGCCACGCGTAGAACAGTGTCGCTGAGCCTAGGAGGAGGGAGAGATTGATTGTTTGGCCATTGTGGAATCTGGGGACGTTAGAGAGGATATCGGAGTGGAATCTGGTACTCGAACTCACTTCGCATGAGGCGGCCAGTTGGGATTGAACATGTGCGTGGGGCCGTAGTCGGCGATGGGAGCCCCGAGGAGTAGGAGAATGCCATCGATTGTGAGGAGGATACGGCCTAGCATTGTGCTCGGATTCCAACAATTAACGCCTTTTTTTTCTCTTTTTCTTATTTCTCTCTTCAATTTTTCTGGGTTTCTCGTGGAATACTGCTTCCGATGGCAAGAGGTCAGACCGAGATGACGTAGGTTAGTTAGCATGTAACAGAGCAACGTTAGTGTATGCGTAGCGCGACACAGACGCGGTAGATATTATCGATCAATGATAGCCGGCGATGATGAGAAGTAGAAAGAGACGCAACCACATTAAAAGCGGCCTGTGTACTTCCAGCCTTCGCTTCCTCTTCACGACAACGAATGAAGACGCTTATGAATTCGTCCGATCCGAGCGGACGACGGCTTACGATCGGGACGCCTGAGACATCCGAGCATAAACGAGCGAGCCCGTCCCAGCAAATTACAGTCCACGTCGGGGACCTTTTGTCCTACCTCCAACCCATCCGGCCAGTCAAGTGTCCCATTCATCACGCCACGGAAACGCCAATGTCAGCAGCAAGACGTTAAAAGCAATTGGCTGGCTAGCCGTGCGTTACCTACTTGACCCGCTGAATCATAATGTACAGACACAATCTCTGCTTCTAAAAAACCAACTCGAGATACCGGCGGGTTGATTCAATGAACATTGCTATATGATGAACTGGAAAAGCTCGCGCTTCTACCACCTATCCAACAAGCCAAGAAGAGACTCTTAAATATCAAGTAATCCAGACGCATGAAGAGGGCGCGCACAACACACGCCAGCGCGGACTTCCCCTCATCACCCCGTAGACAAACTGCCCTTCAACGAAGGCGAAGACCACCAAGCACGTGATCGAAGAGGTGAATGAATGCTTTGAATAGTGTTATAACAGCATACAGACGAATTCACAATCCCGGACGGAAACGTCGCACGAACTTGGTAGGTAAGAATATTAAGAGATTTGTGATATGATATATAACATACAAGAATAAGTCGTGGCTATTCACGTGGCAAAATCTCTGCCTTGCAGCAAAGGGAATCCAGAAGCCCTCCTAGTGCCTCATACCACTAGCTCCAAGCTGAACACCAGACACCGAGCTCCCTTGAAAATATGTTACCATCTGGGATGCTTTCCTAAACGTCCATCTCGTGGTCAAGAAGACCTGTTTTCCCATTTAGGGTTCCACGGGGAAGATGGGTAAATCCCAGGGAAAAAAAAGAAAAATAACATGAATGGTCTTGCAGGAGACCGGATATCTTCCTCCTTCATAAATCCAACAAGAGGTAACATGATGCAATATGCCAACTTATCGCTATTGCGTATACGCATGAATCCACTGTACCGTCGCTGAGCCCCCATTTCGCCATCATTCCGCCAATGTTTTGGTGTTCGTAATCATCATGCCACCGTATTGATCATAACAAAGAACTACTTTTCCGTATGTCCATTGTTGAGCAACATTTCCAGCACAATCTGTTGACCTGCAACTTCTGGGTGTGCCATTGCAATTTTGACGGTGCCTTTTGAATCCATTCCATTTTCAACCTCGTTAGTTCCCGCCCCAACTCCATTAGAGTTATAGAAGCCTCCTGTAGGCCCTCTAACACCGTAGTCCAAAACTCGAACATCGCGACCGGCAATGATCTGGCGTAACCGGCCATTCTCGGCATTTCGTACTTCCACATAGTCGTCGTTGAAAAGGACAAGATACTGTCCATACATCGTGGCTCCCTTGGCTTTCTTTTGTTTTCCTGAATATTCCATTATGACACTACGACTGACATCGCCATGCTTGTCGACGTAGACTGCGCAGTCTTCATACGCCAGGATATACTCCTGATCATTGAGACGGAACATACCCAAAGGCCGCTGATCCCTGACTCGGCTTGAGATGTTAGCAATAGCCGGTTGCCTAGCGTCCGGTATGGACATGGGTATTTTCTTATCGAGTGTCATAAGTTCGAAGCCTTTCGCTGTCGCAATGGCGATGTAGGAGTGGAAAATATTCAGCGAGTAACACTCGACAGGGAGATAAAAGTCGTCATAGTCTCTGAACGTCTCGGTAGCACCGCTTCCGATTCGTCGTGAACCGCCAAAGAGGCGTGATTTCTTTTCCGTTGCTTTCTGAAATACAGGCTCAAGGACCTTGAAAGTGCTGTGTAGGTTCTCCTTCTTTTTGTAGAAAACTAGCATCCGATCCTTCATACGGGCCGTTGCAAAGAATGCTACATCTTTCGCTAGCCGTTGTGGCGAGCGACGAGGATTGTCACTGGTGGAGGTAGGGAAGTTAGAGGGTGGTGAGACCACATCGAGTGGATATGATATGAGGTTACGGTCCGAAAGCACAAGAACAGCAGAGAATTCCTCGAGCACTGCAATTTGTGTGACACGGGCTACCGAGATGGTCTATCAAGTGCGTCAGTGCTATATTCCCAATATATAGATGTGGTGAGTATCTTACCTTAGTCCAACCTCTCTGGTCGCTGGCCTCCGCTACGCAAACACCGACATCAGTCCCTACCGCTACCATGTTTCTCCCAAACGCCGAGAAACCAGTAGCACAGTACACAGCCGCACGTGATATCGGTGGAGGGCCTCTACCAGGACCGAAAGTTTTCTCTAAATCTCGAATAGCCCTGTCTAGGGGTGTGCCACGGATGTGTACGCCACCCATATACTTGCCCACGCCAGATATCGAATCATAAGCGAAGGCGCTATCTGCCATAACACGCAATTTGAATGGTTCTGCATTCTGAGCGTGTAGAGCCTTAGCAAAACGTGTCTTTGCTTCAATGATCCGGTCACACCAGTCCTGACGTGATTGTGCAGATGAAGCGAAGAGCGTATAGACTTCGTGACCCAGATGTTTAACGCGGAAAGGATACAGGATTTTTCCCTCGCTGTCAAGGGGTGCTAGTCTATTCATAGCAGAGCCTACAGAAGAGCTTGTCGCCGTGTGTTCGAGGCCGGGGCGCTCACTGGCATTCGTAGCAATCTTATTGAGCTTGGTCTCCGAGCCGGGATTGGTGGATCGAGTCAGCGGCGTCGCGATACCTTTCTGTTTCGAAATAGGATCGTCCTGGCTGCTCTCTAGGAAAAGAAGTGACATAGGTATTGGCTTACCATGTTAGTAAAAATGCCGTCAGTCACAGAGTTCCAGCAGAAACTTACCTCCTTTGATACGTCATACTTTTTCTCTTGTCTAGCGTCGCGTGTCAAAATGAGTTTGGCGAGGATTAGATAATGATCGAAAAGGAGAGCATGCGTATCGACCCATCTTACGCCCTTAGAACCCATTCGTTGCAAATCGCCCTGCAGAATGAGCTCTCTACCAAGATGATCTAGATTCAAGTCGGCATGGAAACCGGGGCGCAGGACAAGCATCTGATCCAGCTCAATCATGGCTACCTTCTTTTCCATCTCAGCAACCTTGGCATCACATTCATGCGCCACAGCCTTGATTTCTTCGATAGCCTTGATCATGTTCGCCTTTTCCTCGCTATCTTGCAACATCTCTTTTAAGACACTATCCAGCAAAAGGGGGTAGCGCTGCAAACGGGTAATCGGTGATTTGATGTATGTATCCCAGCTGAGGCGTTGTGAACGTGGATCCTTACTTACGGCATCCAAGAATTGTCGAAACATAACATTTCGATCGGATTCTCTCTTGATAAGGAATGTTGCATAATTAAAGGACGCCGCATACTCAATGTAAGCTGTCCTGGCCTTTCGAACCCATTCTCGAAAGATATCGCTGAGACCAACGACCCAAGGGCCTTGTTCTCTTTGCCGATATTTCATCTGAGCCAGTAAATGGTCTTTGTTGACACGCTGAACAGCGTCAGCTTTACCAAAGACAGCATTGACGAATTTTTCCATCCTCGCTTCTGCTATGATCTTCGGCTGAGTAGCCACAAGCCGGTCTCTGTACAGGTGCCTCAAAACATCGAGTTGATCCATATATGACTCTTCCGTCGTGATGCATTCGTGTAGAATATTCTGCCTCTTGATTTCATGCTTCGACTTGTCTCCAATGCTCTCCTTAGTCAGTTTGTAAAAGCTAGCCCAGTCGAGGGTCTTTGCTCCATCCATTACGATCTCATCGAGGTTTGCTTTCTTCAACGTCCGCATGCAGTGGAAAGAATAGCACCGCCCAGCCATATCTTGAGACCCCATAAGTGTCTGATTCTCATGTAACTTTGGCGCGTAACAGCCGACTCCAGTCAACTGCCATAATACACCAGATATGGATCCATGACCAAATTTGAGCCATTCCTCTTCTGGCACCAATATACCAGCTCGAAGAAGAGAGTCGACTACTTGTTCACTAAGAGTTTCCGCATCTGCAACGTTCATGGTAGGGACTTTCAAGCAAAACAGCCTTGTAATTCCATCCTCGACAGTTTTGCGTTTGAGGTCAGGCTCGCCCTCTGCCATGTCTCGGATCCATTTTGCGATTTCACTAAGGGCCCACGGCTCTGTGCATGATTGAACGTCAACCAGCGTAAGCTTGTCCGGTTGAAATTTGCGGCGTCTTCCGGTTGGTAAGGTGATCACATCATAATTGACGGACGAAGGGGTGCCGGTCTCATAGCCTTCATACGGTAGCCCTTGCTGAGCTGCGAGTTGTTGCTGCTGCCTCATATGTCTTATTCTCGAATTACGCTCTTCGGCGGCATCAGTCTTGGACCTACCAGGGGGCTGAACATGAGGTGACGTGCTATGACTTGATAGTGAGATGGATCGCTCCACCTGCAATTGCTGCGCATTTTGTCCGTAATACGCATCGGGGCCCGTATACGCTCGGGAATCCGCACTCAGAGAGTAAGTATGTTGTTGGCCGCTTCGATTCGGAGACTGGACGGATAGTAACGAGCTACTGTCGGATCCTGGGGGGATTGCGGGGAGAGGCCTGTTCCCAATCCCTGGATGATAGAACATATCGGGATAGTCGTCTTTAATTGGTGACTCGCTGTCGCTTCTTCTCGAGTGGATCGAAACATGCTCATCTCCGTCGTCAAAGCTAAGACGATGCGCCCTTGGAGACTGTAAACCACCAACCCCTCCATAGTCCATATCAGCCTGTTCAAAAGCGGGATACCCTGCACTGTCGTGGCTTCTTTGAGAGGCGTGGTTACGACGAAGACCTTGCATATCGAATTGCGTCACCTCGGTGCTAGGAGGAGAGCCGAGGTTATTGTCGTAGGTGAGATGGCCTTCATATCCACCACCCACCAAACCCAGATCCATACCGCCAGCATAGTCACTATCACTACTCGGTTCCTCCTGATGAGTAGGAAGGACTGGTTGAGCTGCAACGTCGGGTTGGCTGAATAACGCGAAAGAACCAGCACCGATCGAGCTGAAACGGCGATCGTCTTCCTCCGCCGCCAGTAATGCCGCAGCACCGGCCGCGCCCTCCGGGTCGCTCTCGTCATCATCGTCTTCAAGAATAGCATTGGGGTTCCTTGAGCTGTTCCTATTTAGTGTAGACGCATTGGAGGAGTAGCGGTTGACACCAGAAGAGTCATCTGAGCTGTTAACTGTCGTTGCGGTAGAATGATAACTTGCAGTTGACGCAAGGCGGCGGAGGTTTTGATGGTCACTATCAGAATATCTTCCATTACGTTGATCATACTGAGCAGGTCGTCCACGTTGTGAGCCTCTTACCCTCCCAAGTTCCGCCTCGATGTCTTGCATGATATTATCCTGTGTAAGATGCTCCTGAGACAGATCGGGTCGGATAGTGCCATTAGATCGATAAGACGCAAAGCTCGGCTCTTCAATGGGTCTACTTGGTAATGGCGCATTTGTCGGGTGTCGCGCTAAAGCAGGCGACGCTTGTGGAGAAGGTACTGGGGATGGTGTCGAATTTGAGTCGGATGCAAGATTAAGAAAGGAATGTGGATCCCGATCAGAATAGTTTGGACCGACAGGTATCTGTGACGATACTGGATAGGGTGCTTGTGATGTTGCTGGCGGGCTCCTCCCATTACCCCAGTATGTTGACCCATATTGGGACTGAATAGGCTCATGCGTGGCCGCATAAGTAGAAGCAGGTATTGTCTGGTCATATCCTGTATAGGTGGTGGGTGGAGAGGGCGTCGCTATCTGAGCTGAAGACTGCGCCGGTTGATGGACATATGTTGGCTGCGATTGGAAGTAGGCAGATTGGCCTGTAGGAGATCCCAACGATGGGCTATTGTAGTTCTGGCTATAGCCTGCATGCGTTGGCTGGCGCTGGGGAACAGTTGAACCCGAATAAGCCGCAGGGTTGTAGGGTGCATGCGCAAAGTTTCCTGTCGCTGCCGTTGGACTATACGGAGCGTTCGGTAAACTAGGCTGGGGCCATCGGTTCGCAGGACGAGGATTGGGGGGTAGACTGTTCGAGTGGGAACGAACGAAAGCCTGCGGGTTATAAGTCGAGGGCGTTGGCGGAGTTTGAGTCTGATACGAGTGTTGATAGCCAGCCATGGCAGGGGTCGAGTTGGCATAGTTTGATCTATTCGCCTCAATAGTCGGGCTCGCTACTAAAAATAATTCATCGTCCATACCAAGACCTCTAGCCGTCGTATTTAAAGTAGGATGGTATGGTAGGCGTGTTGTCGTAGACGAGAAGCCGGTGGAATCGTCGCCATTGTTGAAGCTTGTGGTTCTGGAGGGATAGGCGGGCTGGTCTTGCGAAGGCTGACTGACGATGGGGTATTGAACGGGAGGGACATGGCCGTATCGGCGTTGGTCGTCGCCTCTGAACGACATGACGAGGCTCTTGTGGCAAAGAAAGGACTAGCTTGAAAAGCCAAAGAAACGGCAATTATGCTAGCAAGCTCAACGAGACAGAGAACCAGAGACCAATAATCTGATCACATTGACGACTGTAACAATAACAGAATGGAGTTCGCTCTGGCCCGGTCGCGGCAACTACAATAGCTGGAAAGTCATGCGCCGTCGCACTGCTTATGTCAGGATCAGCCTTATTTGCGACCAGTGCTCTGGCTAGTAAATGGGAAGCGGGTCGCCCAAGATCTCGCGGTAGGTGAACTTTACGGGCGAGTTGATTCCAAAATCGGTGTTTTTAGTAGCCACGGGAGAAGAATACCGAATGAGCAGGCGGTGCGGACAGGCCTTCAAGGGTGCGTAGAGAAGAGGAACCAGCGGTGGCTGCTCGATTTCTTGTCAGCTCGTAACAGGGTAGTGCCCCTCCGACAAGGGAGAGACTACCTTCTTAATCCAAGACAATAGGGTATGAGCTGAACCGATATAATTTATCTTCAATGGCTGTCGTTCGCGACAGGATACAGGGCTAGTCTTGATGCAAAGGAATATAGCGTGCGTGCATACGGCGTGTCGAGGTTGGATATGCGGGCTAGAAGGAACCGCGCACCAGGCGAGTAGGATAGATACGGTAGACTACTTCGTAGGGAGGTATGATCAGGGAGATTGGAGGGATCTTTGTGTGGTAAAGGCCGACGTCGAGTTGGTCATGTCGAACGTGGTGTATCGGCGCACAAGACAAGGCGAATGATCAAAAACCGCGTCGTCAACAAACGCTCCCAAAGACTGAGGCCCGAGATGATATTAGGTGGGTTTGGCAGATGTGAGATTCAGACCGGGGACGTGACATTAGCGTTGAGCGTAAAGAGACGGGAGATTTCGCTTTAGGCCATTTCTCGCTTCATGCATCTGTACATGTAGGTATCTCTACTATGTATTTACCTACTTGGGCGTGTGTACTAAGTAGGTAGGTACTTTAGTCAGTTCAATAGGTATATATGTATGTCAACTACCTAGTAGAGTATCTCGTGAATCGGCGAGAGAGTGTTAGTACCTAGTATTTACACCACACCTACCTCGATACAGCAGGTAGCAGTAGAGGCAGGATAGGCAGGATACCGGTAGGTGAGGGAGACGGATAGGTAAAAGACACAGACAAGGTGGGTGTGGGTGATGAGAGCCAGAATTGGGGCCCTCACTTCGGTAAGTCGAAATGGCTAGGTACTTTCGGCCTAGGTGCCCTGTAAGTACCCCTACATATCACATACATGTACCTATTATGTATGTAAAGTGAGAGAGGTACCTAACATGTGAGCCCCGCTATCTGTCACAACTCGCACCTTGGGTGATGACCTGCAAGTTGCAACCCAACCAGCCCTATGAACGCGAAAGCCGTGACAGCCGGGTCTACCTACTCCATACATGTCATGATGTGAGTAGGTAAGTACCTACCTACCTACCTTCCTACATACATACATCCATTATGTATACACATAACTAAAACTCAGCCACATGGTAAACATAAGTACGTCCAACATGTGGCTAAGATCAAGTCTCGTCTCTAAAAGATGCTGAGCCGCCAACAACACGTGTAACACCTCCCACGAAGATGAATCTGATCTACAAGAGTTCCTCTGTTTGATTTGCCATCGAAAAGCCCAAGGCACTTCCCGTGGCTATGCCATACAGTATTGTAAGGTTGCTGATATTGGCCTATTAGCTTCGCCTAAACTCCAGGTATCCAATCAAACCACCTCAGTCACCGGGTTATGGAGAGTTGCGAATTGGAAGTTGTTTGCTTTCATGTGGTACTTGAAGGCAGGGAGACAGGTAGTACCTAGTCGGTGCCCTAAGCTGAATCCCAAGGCTGGGCAGGTAGCAGTCTCGCACCACTGATCCCTTGATCAGGTGCGAAGAAGCGGCGCAGCATCAGGATCAGCATACTCCCGGCGGACTAGCCGAGGCCGCCCAAGTCTGAATGTCACCTAGATTGCCTCGATTGCTTCTGGAATTCAATGGCCTTCTCCTTTTGGTCGCCTGCCTGCAACACTCCATAAGCAAGTGGTAGTTGAGGATGAAAAAGTGACCAGCGCCCATGCCAACGTGTCTCGCTACCTAACAACATCGTAGGCCTATTCCGGCCTATCTCTGACTCTTGGACACAGTCTACATAGTGGTCCGTGTGTAGGGCTGAGATAAGTCTCATGCCGCCGAGACTAAAACAGGTTCAGGTAACTATATTTGGGAGTCTAGAACAGAACAGCTCAGATGGTATAAAAGGGTCGAATCTTGCCCTCAAGCTACCTAATTCATCACATACAGTAGTATCGTTCAGGATCAGAAACAGACATCTCTCGACGCATGCCAATACCAACTGTTGCAAATAGGTTTCGCTCTCCCCAATTGTAAGTATACCTACCAGGTTAAATAAGCTGTAAGTACTTCTTTGCTACTTTCCGTGACAATAGCCCCCGGTGTCAGGGTAGGGTATCACCATGCATATCTGCTACAGTACCTACAGGTGAGAGTGCTTCGTGCCACCAATCCGCAGGCCGCAGGATGCCATTTCTAATTAGACACGTGCAATTAATTGCCAGATATCCTGGAGGTGACGCTTGCTGCATCGGCGCCGCCGGCCGGAGGTGTGATCCAGAAACGTCCAGTACTAAAGTGTGGGCTTAAACCTGTATCAATATGTCGGCAATGGACAGCCTTAGCCAGACGTTCGTTTACCTATCTGACCTATCTACCGCATATGACGACTCCTTGCGTTGGCTATGCTGTCAAAAGCTACTTGAAAGCAATCAAATTCAAGCTTCTTTCATACGTATGTATGCAATGCTTTATCTGCACAGCTAAGTATCACTACCAAGAAGGTAGGTTACGCAGCGATACAATTGGTGTAAATTTCATTGACAAAGCGCCACCCTCGTATCCCAGACGCCTTTTCGTCATTCTGCGAAGCACTTGTACAATAGACACAGCCTCGCACCTAGTAAAGAGCCCTCTACATTTTGATTAGGCTCTATGCTGAATGTCCCTCATTGCCATTTCACTGCACCTTGCAAGGCCTATCTGGTAGTCTGTCTGTCTGTCTGTCCGTCCGTCCTGCATGGTTAGTCATTCATAGAAAACTCACCAGCCAAATGTTTCTTCGCCAGATGGTTAAAGCAAGCCAACCTATGTCCTATCCTGCTTCAAGAATGACATACGCGCGGATGACATAGAATAGCCTCAACGTCGTGAAAGAAATGTTATTCCTTTACCCAGCAGTCTCTTGATGGGGTGTTATACCACCTACCGTAGGTACCTATCTACTTCGTGGGTAGGGTAGGTATCCCCAATGCTGGCTTTTCCTAGCCAATTCAACATTAGAATTAGTTGGAAGATAGACAAGGCTCCTGCTAACGACATAAGTAGGCAGATCCCTCAATGGCCAACCATAGAACGCACACCCGAGAACAGACAGAACAGAGTTGTAGAAGAATCTACGTGAGAGACCGAAGCTTAGCTCCGAAGCTCTCATGGCGGGAAAGGAAGAATGATATCATTTGTAAGCGCCCCCTCGGTGACAATGACGGAATATATCTCCATCTGCGGGGCAGATATACACTACCTACATAGAGGTAGGTAGCCTCGGTAGCAGGTAGTATGGGCGGTACGTGTACTATAGGTGTCTGTCTCTCTCCGCCTTAGCCCCTCCTCTCTCTCTGATGCCCCCCACCACGAGAGAAGAGGAGTGTCATGGAACCTTCTCCGTCAACGGTGTCACGCCCATACTGTACCGATCACGGCATCTCTGTCCAAAGAGCACTCCAAAAGCAGACCTGTGCAGACCTGTGGTCGAAGTGTAGCCTGCTCCATACTGTCCTTACAGTGATTGAGCTACTGTGGTCGCGCCGCGACGCCTATTGTCCGAGACAGCATCATTTCCTTTACCTTAGGTAAGTAGGTAAGTAGGTAGGTACCTACAGGGGATCTCAGTCCCGTCCTGTCCCCTCTTCCAGTTATGCGGGCTGCCCATACAAATTTGTAGACAAGCACTCCCATTCTCCCCTCTATTTCCCATCTGACAATCATCTCGTTGACTACCAACTAAAACCAACGACATCCCTTTTATACCTCAACCACGTAAGATCCATTAGCATCTTATTAGCAACCCTTAGTCAAAATGGTCAAAGCTGGTAAGTAGAAAGTCCCACACATCTATGAATTGGGTTTTCCTTCGACCCCGCCGATCCGGTGCTCTGCGGGAGGGCATGAGCACGATTGCGCATATTTTTGTATACTACCGGCCCATGCTCTTCAACTGCCACCAGCAGGACCACCTTGCTGGCTGGCACCTTGATGGACGGGCACGACACATGGCAGCCATGCTCTGCGCAGGGTCTTAACCGAGTAGCCGGGTTTGCGGCTATTCTTGGACATCAAGGTTGCCTCTTGACTCGTCTCTCTTGTGGAACTCTCTTCTCTCTCGCCTGTCCTCCGAGAGGCAGCGCGAATGCGACGGTTGTGCCGAGTCAGTGCTAATGTGTCCATCACCGTGTAGTCGCTGTCCTCCGTGGTGACTCCAAGGTCTCCGGCACCGTCACCTTCGAGCAGGCCTCGGAGTCGGAGCCCACCACCATCTCATGGGACCTCACCGGCCACGATGCCAACGCCAAGCGTGGCTTCCACATCCACACCTTCGGTGACAACACCAACGGCTGCACCTCAGCCGGCCCCCACTGTACGTCATCAGCTCTGGCGAGCTGAGGAAGGATATAGCAGCTTATCGTTATATAGTCAACCCCCATGGCAAGACTCACGGTGACCGTACCGCTGATGTCCGCCACGTCGGTGACTTGGGCAACATCGAGACCGATGCCCAGGGTAACGCCAAGGGCTCTATCCAAGACAGTCTTGTCAAGCTTATTGGACCTGAGAGCATCATTGGTGTAAGTGTGCCTCATAATTGACGCTTACATGCGGGAGACCGTAGACATTGACTGACACGGATCCACAGCGCACCGTAGTAACCCACGCCGGTACCGATGACCTCGGCAAGGGAGACAACGAGGAGTCTCTCAAGACTGGCAATGCTGGTGCCCGACCTGCTTGCGGTATGTATCGAAACTTTCAATGGACATGAATTATCTCTCTAACCTGTGCTAGGCGTTATTGGTATTTCCAACTAGTTAGCATACTAACGCTCGAAAGTAAGTCGTGAAGTAGGGGTTAGCTTTTAGGAGTAGACAGCTCGTTAGGTAGCCAAAATTCTGAAAAATCTTCACCCTTAGAAGCCTCAGTGTTTTGTGAAAGAAAACAGCATAGTTGGAGGTGAATTTGTTCTAAATCATCCGAGTCTCCAGCATCTTCTCAGGTACAAGTAGATACCAATGTCAGTTAGCTCTGGAATGTCGGCATGGTAGGGGTTTACATGTAAAGTGAACTGAAACTTATTGTCCCAAATGAAACTTCTCACGATTTACTTGCTACACTTAAATCAATCGGAGTCAGGCCATATATAATATTATTCCAGCCTCTTGAACGATTTTCTTGCCAGTTGTCAGCTCATCAATGACAGACTCACGGTTGGCTGATGATGCCATCCGAACTTACCACTTTACCCCGCCATTGCTCCTCAATAAGGCAAGACTGAGCTAAGTCCAATCGGTAGCTGCGCCAGGTACCCACCCAGGGAGGTCCATTGTACCCTGAGCTCCCCCTTTAGGCCATGTCTGGCCATGCTCTCTTAGTCTAGGTCATTTTTCGGCCACTAACCTCAGCGAATTCCCCCGTTTTACTGGCTGATGCAGCTTGTACCTTCTGCTTCTCGAGGGGACTTTTGCTCCACACATTTTGATGAAACCTGTCAAAATCCAAGACCACGCGACATCAATCCCTCGACGCCCCTTTCTAGTCCTTTCGTTATCCAGACAGGAATAAAATCCAAATCTTCGTACTTATTTCTTTGATATAACTCCTTTTCATTCTAGGCGTTACCGTGTAGCAAACTGTTTCTTTTCGGTCGGCAGGTGAGTCTCATATGCTTTGCCCTATTCACTTCCTGTCTTAACCCCCCCCTGCATCTTCAAGCTACAGCAGCCGGAGCTCTCACCTTCATTCTAGTCTCGGATCATGTATCTGGACAGAGCTTCGAGCTTCGATAACTCAGCGAGAATGCTGTTATATCGTGCAATGATTCTTTGATTCCATTCTGCCTGTTCATCCTTTAGTCAAGATATCATCATATATTCTCCCCTTTACCCCTCTCTCTTCCAATGGCGTCTTCCGAACTTGCCACCATTACCTCCGTCCGTGGGGTGGAGCTGGATGGTAGCCTGCCAATATCAGTTTCTACTATAATCGTAGTACATACCCTTCGTTCTGAAGTCTTGTCACTGTTTCGCTGCTGTACATGATTCTTATTTACGAAGCTTCCAACGCAGCATCTGCTCATGTAGCTAGATGCTACTCTTACCCTATTCACATAAACCTAATACCAAGTCTGCTGCATTCTTCACCGAATATCGTTGCACTTTATGTAATTTTCATATTGTCCATAAAAGCATATTCAGGACTCAACCAACCTTTCAAGCTATCTCTACTTTTCCTTCATCCGTTCATCCAAGCATATCTCACAACTTCTTGACATAGCATTCAACTAATCAATTGTGTAGGGATTTGAGGAAGTCTTTGTTTCTGTGGTTCTCTCGTCTTTAATCACAAATCTAGTCTTTCAACAGCCATGGCGAAAAGCTTTTTTGCTAATGTCAAGTCGGTTTTGAGTGGCGATACTCTGGTGCTGGCCAGTCAAAACAACCCGAATGCTGAGCGCACCTTTTCTTTGGCATTCGTCGATGCTCCTCGCCTGAGGAGAGAGGGTGACGAGCCTTTCGCTTTCCAATCACGAGACTATCTTCGGAGTTTGACAGTTGGCAAACCCATTCAATGCACCATTCTCTACACGGTCCCTTCTTCCGGACGTGAATATGGCTATGCTCAACTTAAAGATGGCACTCAGCTTCCCGACGAGCTTGTAAAATCCGGCTGGCTCAAGGTTCGAGAGGATGCCGGACGCAAGGAAGAGTCTGAAGATACTTTGGAGCGCCTTGACTCCCTCAGAAGCCTCGAGTCGCAGGCCAAGGGCGAGGGTAAGGGGCTTTGGGCGGCTACTGGTGGTGTCATTGAGATACAGAACGATATCGGATCCGTGGACTTCAACCAATGGAAGGGGAAAACTGTCGATGGTCTCGTCGAACGTGTACTCAGTGGTGATCGTTGCCTTGTCCGGCTCAAGTTATCTGACAAGTCTCATCTCCAAGCGATGACCTTGATTGCCGGTATCCGCACCCCGACTACTGAACGCGTGAACCAGTCGACCGGTCAGACTCAAGCTGCCGAGGAATTCGGCAACGAAGCACGTCAATTTGTTGAGCAGCGACTCTTGCAGCGAGACATCAAGGTCGAATTAGTTGGCATCAGCCCACAAGGACAACTCATAGCTTCCCTTGTACACCCCCGTGGCAGCATTGCTGAGTTCTTGCTTGCTGATGGCCTAGCGAGGTGTAACGATTTTCACTCAACTCTACTCGGTTCAAAGATGGCTGCACTACGCGCAGCAGAAAAGAAGGCTCAGGCTGGAAAACTCCGTTTACATAAAGATCATGTAGCTAAAGCGACCGGCGGTGGAACCTCTGACATGATTGTTTCTAAAGTTATGAGTGCCGATACAATCTTCGTTCGTACAAAGACAGGAGATGATGAGAAACGCATCAGCCTCAGCAGTGTCCGCGGGCCCCGAGCGGGCGAGCCATCTGAGGCTCCGTTCCGAGACGAAGCTAAGGAGTACTTGCGGAAGAAACTCATTGGAAAACATGTCAAGATCTCGGTAGATGGATCGAAGCCTGCGACAGATGATTTTGAGGCTCGTGATGTTGCTACCGTAACTGAGAAGGGCAAGAACATCAACCTTGCGCTCGTACAAGATGGTTGGTGCTCAGTAATTCGGCACAGGAAGGACGACACGGACAGGGCTCCCAATTACGATGAACTTCTCGCTGCTCAAGAAGAAGCCAAAGAGCAAAAGAAGGGTATTTGGTCGGGTAAAGCATCCAAGGCAAGGACATACGCAGATGCTTCCGAATCCGTGCAAAAGGCGAAGCTTCAAATATCCACCTTGTCACGTCAAAAGAAGGTTCCAGGTATTGTCGATTTCTGCAAGGCTGGTTCACGATTTACTATCCTGATCCCTCGCGAAAGCGTCAAGATTACAATGGTACTTGCCGGTGTTCGTGCCCCGAGAGCACCCCGGTCAGCTGGTGAAAAGGGCGAGCCATTCGGACAAGAAGCCCTAGACCTAGCTAACCGCCGATGCAACCAACGTGACTGCGAGATTGATGTTTATGACATCGACAAAGTGGGTGGATTCATAGGTGATTTGTATATCAACCGTGAGAGCTTCGCCAAGGTTCTGGTCGAGGAAGGTCTTGCTCAAGTTCACCAATACTCAGCGGAAAAGGCTGGTAATGCCACCGAGCTGTTCGCCGCCGAGCAAAAGGCAAAGGAGGGCCGTAAAGGGCTATGGCATGATTGGGACCCGTCTCAGGATGAGAACGGCGACGAAGACGCTGCACCTACTGAAACACCGGCGCAGACCGAGGCGACTGATAAGAGAGCATCTGATTATCGCGAGGTCGTTGTCACTAACATCGATTCTAACGGCAAGTTCAAGATACAAGAAATCGGCAAAGGAACCTCTGCTCTTGAGATCATGATGAATGAATTTAAGAAATTCCACCTGGATTCCAAGAACAACAAGGCACTTGCCAACCCCCCCAAAGCGGGCGAGTACGTTGCTGCCAAATTCTCAGCCGATGGCCAGTGGTACCGAGGCCGTATCCGATCGAATGACCGAAATGCCAAAGTTGCAGAGGTTATCTACATTGACTACGGTAACAGCGAGCAGATCCCATGGTCTGCTCTCCGCCCTCTAGACCAGCCTCAATTCACAGTACAGAAGCTTAAGGGGCAGGCGATTGATGCCGTGCTGTCATTTATCCAGCTTCCCACTTCAGCGGACTATTTCCAGGATGCTATTGACTTCCTCGCTGAGGCCACGGATGGTCGCACGCTAGTTGCCAGCTTTGACTTCGTAGACCCGAAGGAAGGCCTGAGCTACATCACTCTATTCGATGAGAAAGCCAGCGGCTCTTTTGTTGACTCAATCAACAAAGATGTCGTGGCCAGTGGCTATGCTATGGTGCCTAAGAAGCTGAAGGCCTGGGAGAGAGGACGCGCTTCCGAGGAGGTACTCAAGAAGCTACGTGAGGTTGAAGCTGAGGCCAAGCAGAACCGAAGTGGGATGTGGCAGTACGGTGACATCACGGAGGATTAAATCATGACTCGATGTTTCGCGCCCATGACAGTTGGCTACAGTGGAATCCATGAGATGAGATTTCGTTCTGTACGAAAGTTGGTTGGGATCGAGAAAAAGATATTTCGGGGGTATCAATTGATATGTACACCTTTCATTTCAATGGATGGGCATTATCAAGGACGGCAAAAGCATTAGGCATTTGTTCTGGGATAAAAGTAACTTGTTTTCTCATGACAAGCATATTAGCGAATTCGCAAGACCTATCTCGGCTGTAGATAGCTGTATCCCTAGAGTATGAAGAGTACAACCCATGCACATGAAGGTATATATATATATACTATAAGCTAGACTTGCGATATGAATGTCCAGCCTGTTGAAGTATTCAAAATTCCAAAAGGTTTAGTCGCAGTGAACCGGTCCTCTATCGACTCATGGAGATGGAGAGAATGGCCGAAGCGGCAGTGAGCTAATAACCAATCACGGATTCCCAGGAACCCCACGTGGAAGACACGAATGTCGTTCTCTTCTTTGGGGGTATTCTCTAAACGCAGCCTGAATATATCCCATATGTGAGCCCGGGTGAATTGTTAGCGAAATACGCTCTAGTCCGATGTCGCCTATGCCTTTCCTCAGCCTTGCATGTGAGCGATTACTTTACCCATCGAGTATCTATGCGAGAGCTGCGTCTGGTTTCGCACGGCGGGAGCCAGAAGCTTCCAAATAGATGTCATACATAGTAGTAAGACGAAAAGGCTTGGCAAACCCCGTGAACGAGTGTGTTTGTTTTGACAGAGTGACCGATCTAGGCTGTAGGCTATTCTACCACCACGTTCCCTCCCCTCTTTCCCTGCTCGGCCTCGCGAAAGGAAAGATGGATACTATTAGTATAAATACGCCCTAATTTGAATCTAATGAAATTATGTCCTTAAGAATTGGGGGATGAATCTGGAGAGGGATACGTTTTTACGTGTAGGTATTAAGTCATCGGATCTAGAGGGCGAATAATTTTTTTTTTTTTTTTTGGTTCAAGTACTTCCGGATTCAGCGGAGATGTGCATGACGAGACAATTACCAGAGATGGACGTCAGGGCCTAGATAAGGGAGAAATCTCGAACTGTCACCCGACACTTTGGAAATGTAGAGTTCCTTAGCTAAGAGGCAAGGAAATGACGCTCGACTGGGTTTCCTATATCGCCACTAAGAAATAGCCTATCTCCATCTATCGTTACTTGTTATACAGAAATCCTAACGTGCTTCTTTACCTTTTATAGGTACTCTGTTTTCTACTGTCCTCTCAGATGGTACTCGGAATTCGCCCTAGGTAGTATATATGTGTATAGGTACCTATATAGGTAACTCTACTACGGAGATACTGGATACTTTAAGGCTCTTGTACAGTAGTAGTAAGGCATCCCATCTAGTTAGCAGTACATGTACGTACTATGTAGAGAGCCATTATTGCCCCTAAGGTCTAAGGTACCTAGGCATGCGGTGGATTTAGTCGACAAGGTTAGGTAGGTACTTACTGAGACTGGCCCCGTTTTGAGTCGACACTCTCCGTGATGACACGCAGGCGAGTAGGGTGAACATTTGCCCCGCCAAAGTCATACAGTGCGGACACGGCGCGGGGTCATAAAACAAAGCTTGCCCAACGGTGCGTGTTCATCATTTCTTCTATGTCGTCAACTTCATACTTAACAACTAACATCATATTCTCTCGACAATTTTGCGACCATCTTCTTAACTTTGAACACCAACCCAAACCAACCGAGATCTAATACACCATGTCTAGCTCTCTTGATCAGTTGAAATCCACTGGCACCGTAAGTCACGGCTTCGCTGTTTACCCCTCATACCGCCAAACTTACCCCTCCACCTCCTGTCGTTGCAGCTTGGGCTTGATCTTGTCAGGGTTGCCCGGCCTCATTTGCAAACCCTGAGAACATTGAGTCACGTCAGACAACAACAATCATTACATACGATACAATCAATCATTTGTCTACACTCTATGGAAGCTTTGTACTGACATCTGTCTCGACAACTAGGTGGTTGTATGCGACTCCGGTATGTTCGGCGCAGAACCCCTCCTCCCCCTCGACGATCTGAGTCTGGTACAGATGGGCGCTGACTGAGACATTTTTTTAGGTGATTTTGCAAGTGAGTAATCCCCTTTTCGTACTTACCCATACCCTCAATCCTTGCATTATGGAGTGCTACTTCACGCTTAGCCAGGGGCTTTTCATCATCGAGTCTAATGCACAGGTACCTCGATACTAACATGACGTAGCCATCGGAAAATACAAGCCTCAAGATGCCACCACCAACCCCTCTCTCATCCTCGCCGCCTCTAAGAAGCCCGAGTATGCTAAGCTAATCGACTCCGCCGTTGACTATGCCAAGAGCCAGGGCGGCGACGTTGACACCCAAGTCGATGCTGCTCTCGACAGGCTCCTTGTCGAATTTGGCAAGGAGATTCTAAACATCATTCCCGGCAAGGTCTCCACTGAGGTCGATGCTCGTTTCTCTTTCGATACCAAGGCTTCTGTCGACAAGGCCCTGCACATCATTGATGTACGTTTTCTTAATGTCGCCATGGGGATCCCGCTAACAGGCTCTTCGCTATGTAGTTATACAAGCAGCAGGGCATCTCCAAGGACCGTATTCTGATCAAGATCGCCTCTACCTGGGAAGGCATCAAGGCCGCCGAGATCCTACAACGCGATCATGGCATCAACTGCAACCTGACCCTCATGTTTTCTCTCGTTCAGGCTATCGCTGCCGCCGAGGCCGGTGCTTTCCTCATCTCTCCCTTCGTTGGCCGTATCCTCGACTGGTACAAGGCTGCCACAAAGAAGGAGTACACTAAGGAGGAGGACCCTGGTGTCAAGTCTGTCCAGAGCATCTTCAATTACTACAAGAAGTTTGGCTACAAGACCATTGTTATGGGCGCCTCCTTCCGTAACGTTGGCGAGATTACCGAGCTGGCCGGCTGTGATTACCTTACCATCTCTGTTAGTAACATTATGATTTCCATGATGATGAAGTATGGAACTAACTAATAATCCTTAAAACAGCCGAACCTTCTCGAGGACTTGCTGAACTCCAACGACAGTGTACCCAAGAAGCTTGACGCTGCTGGTGCTTCCTCCCTCGACATCAGCAAAAAGTCATACATCAGCGACGAGGCACTATTCCGATTCGACTTCAATGAAGAGCAAATGGCCGTCGAGAAGCTGCGTGAGGGTATCAGCAAGTTCGCTGCCGACGCTGTTACCTTGAAGGACATCATCAAGAAGAAGATCTCTGCTTAAATGTACTTAATTAAATACCTAGGTGCGCAATTATGGAGGGCAATATAGACCGTCAATGAAGGAGTAATGAAAAAAGTTTGCCAATGACAAAAGAAGAAATTTCTATCCATTTCTCAGGGCGGTCGTCAGGACATGTTGATATCACTTAAATTGAGACAAAGGCATTACGATATATCCGACACCATCCCCCTAGGTCATATATATGGTCGCCAGTATGTGCTCCGTATCAATAGACCCTTAGATTTTTGATTGGGAGTCGAACGTAAGTATTCAACCTGGGACTCGGGACTTTGTTTAATTCGGATTTTTGGGGGGCTGAAGATACTTACCTACCTACTTAGTAATATTAAGGGTTATAGAATTGACATGCCCAAGATAGATAGTAGTGAATTGGGGTACTGGGGGTTTTTGTGAGTTTCTTGCAAGTCTATGGCATTGTAAGAAGTATCTATTGGTATTTATTTTGTATTATTCCTCCCGCTTAATCTCCTTGCTTCTCTCACCCCCCGTCTCACTCTCGCTCTCATTCCCTCTATCATTCCCGTTCTCTCTCTCCCCCTCCGCCTCTCTCCTTGTTTCCCAGTCCCTCATCCATTGTTCCCTACTCGCCTGCTCAGCTTCGCTGTCGATTTCATCTTCGATCTCGCTCTCGCTCCCCCCCTCTGTTTCTCTCTCATCCTGTCTCCTTGTCTCCCACTTAGCTTCACTGTCAATCTCATCTTTACTCTCACTCTCATGTGCCTCTTTCCCTGTTTCGTGACACGATACGCTGACGAGTCGATGGCGTATCTGTTCCCGTCCTAGGTTCTCTATGCCTGTCACGATCTTCTCGATCTCTATGTCTGCTTCCCCTTCGCTTAATTGTTCCCCGCCATCGCTGCTGTGGGGAATAGATCTGGGCTCGAGAATCAAGGCTGTAAGCGTATTGTCACTGCCGCACCCGCTGTCTAGTCCGAATGTGTACCGGCGTAATTGTAGTCCGGCTTTGGCATCGTGCCCGTAGATCACTGTTGTCGGCTGCTCGTGTGGGTGGGCCAACATGTAGGCTTTCTGCAGAAAGGACCATGTCTTCGCCCATGGTGTGCCGTCACGGTTGGGGCTGGGGATCATTATGTTGGGACGGTTGTTAGACGTTGTCTTTTCTAGATTCGTTTGGGACTGGTCTGCGAGCAGCGGCTCCTGTTCAGAAACAGAGGTGGGGGATACAAGTGTCCGCATGTTCATCACGGCCTCTGGATCTTGATCCTTTAACGGCACGCCGGGGACTAGGCCTGCGTGCACGACGAAGATGTTGCCGTACCGTGGTCCGAGATCCCCTATCCGCAAGATCAAAGGGAGCTTCGAGAGCCATTTGCGAGACTTTGAGCTTAGCGATCTTGCTGTGTCTAGGTCTGTGATGTGTTTGTGTGATTTGTCTTTCCCCTTCTTGTCCTTTTTTCCTTTATCTGTTCCCTTTTTATTCCCGAGTGATTTTCTTCCATATTCATTTCCGGGAGATTTTTTTTCTATTTTGTTCCTGGCGGATATTGCGACGCCTTTCTCGTTCTCTGGTTCCCGTTCTAGGGTCTGTTGGTTCTTAAATTCGACGTTTTTGGAATTTGTCGACTCTGTAGCATCGTCCGCTTCTTCTTCCTCTCCCTGGTCTTCATCTCCGTCGTCTGTGTTACTGTCGATACGAGCCCCTTTCCTTTTTTGAGATTTCTTCCACTCCTTCCACATATAATTGTCATAAGCTCGCAGCACGCGGTCTTCATGGTTCCCACGCACTCCATAGGCGCCAATCTCTATAGCGAGCTCTACGACGCCGTCGCTGTCAGGACCTTTGTTCACCATGTCCCCCGCGAATATCACGGTATCGAAACTCCGGCGGAACTCAGCTTTCTTTAGGAGTGCCTTGAGAGCATCCCTATGTCCGTGTACATCACCGATGAATATCAGGCGACGTGGCGTACCTTTATGATAGGGGGTGTTTGGTAAATGCTGTTCAGGTAGGGTCGAGATATGGGGATACCGGGTCGACAGTTGAGGGTAGGGCATCTCTGCACTATCCTTCATCTCTGCTACATATTTGTCGTAATTCGGTAGGTTCAAAGCCATGTCGGTGTCGGTCCTAGGTTCGTCGGGCTTATTCGAGGCTGTGTGGTGAAACGGAGCGAAAGCGGTCGGATTAAGACGCAAATAGCTGGTAAACAGTGTGATTAGGACCAAGGCGATAGTGGTCAGGATGAAGGTTCGGACGAGCGACCGTCCTGGAGTATCGCAGGCCATTAAATATTAGGTGAGACTTGTAGGTTCTAACATAGGCAATTACAATGTATACGTATATCTGAAGACTAGGCTAAGAGAAGCTCAAAACGCCTGTTTCCAGCTCTTTCTAAAACCATGCTGTCGTCATAATTCAGTCTTGTCTAGGCGATCAGCACTCGGTCGTTGATGCTGAGGCAGTCAAGAGGTATTTGTAGAATGAGAAGATTCTAAGACAAGGAAAATTTGCGGAAACTGTCAAGTAAACCCTATTCGAGTTCTTTAATTGGTTTTACATGTTATGCTTCTTGCCGGCATCGAACCTTAAGAAATGATTGATCCTAGAGATTCCGAGGTGGAAATCGGGCAAGTGGGCATGTGCTTACGGCTTAGTTGCATAACCTTCCAAAATATTGTATATTTTGGATACCTAAATTTTAGGGTAAACGCTTGGCCATAGCGGTTTACCCATTGATTGGCTTTTTAGAACAGGTTGTTGAAATCAAAATTGTTATTGTAGTAGTTGATGAAAAGCAACCTTGGCAAGAAACGCATCGTTCCTAAAGAGTGTACCCAGGTAGGAATGCCTTGTCAAAGTTGACCTTCAATTTTGATCAGGAGAGGAGGGACTTGTAGGTAAAAGCTCATAAATAATTATCGGTGTCCTAGCTTGTTATCTTGGGGCCAAACTAAGCACAGGATATCTCTCTGGGAAATTTCAATGCCACTTTATCAGTTAACATGACTAGTAGCAGAATGGGGTGTCGTATGTTTGTGATTCATGAGCTCGTGTTCCAGATTCAGCAATGTATGGAAAATGATGGCAGACTCGGCCTTGCGGAATAGGGAGCCGGAATAATAAATATTTGCACAAACCTTGAACGCCGCCCAATGCAGTATGTAACAGTTCGCAAGCCTACTTCTCGCCTCTTTCACTCGTACAACTTTTGTTCTTGCCCCAATTCAGTAACCCCATTCACATTATTGCTTCTTGTCTTGCTGTTGCGCTTCCTGGGCGCGAAATTTCTCATTCTCAACTTCGCGCCAGTCTCTGGGCTCGGGCTCGTTGCCATCGGTAGCCCGGACACCGCCAGAGAAGGCAGACCGACCGGCGTATAACTGGTATCCCTCGCCATCTTTCTCGGCCGCCTCGAGGGTTTTAAAGGTGATGGGCTGGTTGCCCCGGAAGCGTTTGCGCATGTCAATCATACCTCGCCGACATTCGCCAAATCCCTTCTTGAGCTGTTGGCACTTGGTTGGTAGCGTCTCGGCTAAGGGGGGTCGCAGACAATCGGCGGCTGTGTTTCGCTGGACCATGACACATTCGGACTCCTGTAGGCATTGCGCCAACGCGGCTCCTGTCATAGTGAAGTAGCGGTTAGCATGACAATGCACCCCTGCGCACATTATTCAAGGGCGAACAATGAAGTAGGCATACTTATTTCTTTGCAGGAGCTCGGCATATTCGCGAATAGAGAATAGATTGTTGGCTTGCGACCGGCGGGTTTTCGGAACGTTGGCTCGAACGATGGTATCGCCAAAACTTCTGGGTCTTAGAAATCCAGGGTCTTGATTGGACGGGACTAGTTCAAATACTCGATAGTTGCAAGAGAGAGAGCAAGGTGCCTTATGCACATAGCAAAGAACTGTTGGACCCACTATTTCTGACTTGTCACTGTGGGGGAGGTCGTGTAACGTGGAAGTACAGCTTCTAATTAGTGTCATACTAAGGCGCTAGCATGTACCTGCAGGCAGGTACATAGTATATGTAAGTAACGCCTAATTTGACCTCGAGTATAGCAATCCTGCCTACTGATTTCCTGTCTGGAATACAGAGTAATAGCATAAATGAATTTGCGGAGATATTGAAGTTAGAACTGCTACCTCAGCTTACAACAACGAATCGGTAGCAATGAATGCGTAGTTCTAGTGTCCCTCCTACGAGAGTCGAAAATAGGTACCCGACACCGTTGCAACTTGGCAGGAGCTAATCTATAAGGGGTACCTACATAGCAGGGGTGTCCTTTCCACAACGAGTTAGGTATTCTTCACCGACTGCTACTCCATTCCATAGTACTTAGTACATACTTAAGAAGAAGCACGAAGTAAGTAACGGTGATGGATTCTTGCATGTGACATCACCTTTCAACGGCCGGTTACACGTAGTGTAGATTCGTGTCTACCCTTACCGTCGTCCCAACACAGAGTTTCCACGAGTCACCACATACTTTGAACCCCTCGCAATTCCTGCGTCGTCTTCATGAGAAAGCCCAATGACGCCGATTGAGGCTGCAGGAGTGCAGCTTTAAGCTTCTTGATAGCTGTCGCGTCCACCACGACGCCTTGTTTTTGCCAGCAGCTTGGAAGCTTTTCCACCTATCTATATAATATCAATATGGCCGTACCATTTATCGGCCGACTGAACCCGTTCGTCCTCTTTTCAAGTATTTCTGTGAAATCTGGTGTACCATGGATCTGATTCGATATGTACTTAGAACCGAATATGTTGCCTTGATAGGCTCATTTCTATTTGTTGTCTTTGAAGCCATCATCCGAATCTTGACATTAGCGCTGCGTACGTGCGAGACCCGAACCTAAAAAAAATCGTGTTCTGTTGCTGACTAGACGACTTGATTAGCTGCATCCTTAATTAATCTCTTCACCGACGCATCGCGATACATATTCAATTGCATTTCCTCTCCCGCTCACAAAAGAGCCGAAGAGAGAAAGCATGGTATGTTCCCTACGTTCCAACCAGTCGTATATTTCTCCAAACCCTTCCGCTGACGCCCCTTACCAGCCATCTCAAGTTCCATCCGAAATGCCCCCGATTTCGTCGCCATATGTGCTACCTACGGATACACTGCTGAGGAACATGTGGTACAAACCAAGGATGGATACCTGCTCGGGCTACACCGATTAGCATGGAAGCAGGGTGAAGAGGATACCAAGGTCAACAATGGGCCTAACAGCATCAAGAAACGCATCGTTTACCTCCATCATGGGCTTCTTATGAATAGTGAGGTTTGGGTCTGCCAAACCGATGCCCAACGATGTCTCCCGTTCATCTTGGTCGAGCGTGGCTTTGATGTCTGGGTAAGCTCTGCTTCCTTCCTGCCACATTCCAACTCGGAAAATCAAACTGACAACGTTATCCAGTTAGGCAATAACCGCGGAAACAAGTATTCTAAAAAATCAATAAAGTGCTCGCCTAGTTCGACCAAATTCTGGAACTTCTCTATCGATGAGTTCGCCTTCTATGACATTCCGGATTCGATCCAGTACATCCTCGACATTACTAAACAACCGTCATTATCCTACATCGGGTTTTCTCAAGGGTCAGCGCAAGCATTTGCGAGTTTGGCCGTCAATCCTAAGCTGAACGACCAAGTCAACGTTTTCATTGCGCTTGCCCCTGCCATGTCAGTACCTGGATTGCAGAACGGCATCGTTGATGCTCTTATCAAAGCTTCGCCGCAAGTTCTGTTTCTTCTTTTCGGTCGACGGTCCATTCTGAGCTCCGCAACGACTTGGCAAAGCATTCTCTATCCTCCGATCTTCATCAAAGTAATCGACTGGGGCAACAATTTCCTGTTCGGCTGGAAGTCCCAGAACATGTCAGTCAGCCAGAAACTTGCAGCATATCCACACTTGTATTCGTTTACCAGTACCAAGTCAGTTGTTCATTGGTTTCAAATCATTCGGAACAAGTCTTTCCAGATGTTCGATGACGACGTTCAGACGGCTTTGGGGATGAACATGCCGAATAAATATACCAAAGTGGCAAAATATCCTACCCGTAACATCAGGACACCTATTGTTATCGTATACGGTGGAAGTGATTCATTGGTGGATATTAAGGTGATGCTCAAGGAACTCCCAAAGAGAACTGTGGCCACCGAGATACCTCACTATGAGCATTTGGATTTCCTTTGGGCACGAGACACCGATTCCCAGGTTTTCCCACATGTGTTCGATGCGCTAGATAACTTCACAAGTGCGGAAAATCCTCTGAAGGAGTACGAAAGCTACGCTCGTGCGAGAGATAGGAGTCTGTCTGCCTCGGCAAAATTCAAGCAGTAAGTTGCCTCCTATGTGGTATTCGCGATCACGCGTATGTCTGTTCGGTATCATTAAATTAACTTTTCTTGACAGTGTGCGTGTAAATAGCGATGCAGTAGAATCTGACAGTACCTCGAATAGTCAAGATAATAGCGACAGCGCTAGTCACGAGCACAAAGCAAGGGAGACCCTCTTGAGCCCACTGTCTATACCTGAAGATCTCGCACCTCAGCACCCGCATCTAACCCAGCCGTACATTCAACCTATAACACTAGGTAACGAGACGAGGGGCACAACCCCTGAGAGTTCGGTAACTCTAGATGGTGCAAATGAAACGCAAACGCCGCCACAGAACAACTCGCCCATAACCTCATCTCCTATAGCCAGTAGGCTCCCCCGACATCGTGGTACTACCGGGAGAACTCTTAGTATAAATTCTCCAAAAGACGGTAGGCGAGGCTACATCAAAATCGGCAGCTCACAACCCGCGACTAGTGTTGTAACGACAGGGAGTAGTGACGAAGAGCATAAATATCAGAACAAAGGGCAATAGCTGGTGGTAGAAATGGTAGTCTCAGTTTTCTATGCGATCAGACAACTGTAAAATTCACACAGCAGACATAACAAACGGCAATGTTCCCGCACATGATTTTCGGTACGGCACAACAAACATGAGTACTGGCGTCTATCAGGTTGATGCACCTACATTCTTATTCAGGTATACTTTTCTTAGGAGCAAGGATAAAAGCACAGGCATTGCATATAAAATATAGTTATGGCTCGCCATATATGGGTTTGTAATGAGGTGAAGATGCGGTTCTTTACTCTCTCACTCGATTATCGATTACGTTCAATTAGAATTAAAGGACAGGAGAGGTTTTCAATAAGGACCTCCAATGAATCAATGATCAACGACCACATCACCCCCCATTAATGGATAGAGTAGCTTGCTTCATGTTCACTTCTCAAACGAGTATTTAATTTCAAACCCTACGATGTCATTAATTCATAATGCTATCAGCTATTTTGCTCAGTTATTACAGCCCGTAGTAGACGCGCCCGCGCCTCGATCCCAAATTAATACCTATGATACTTGAATCATAACGCCTTGTGCTCGGCCGCTCATAACTCGCCAATGTGTACAACTTGGGTAAGTGAGTCCCGGTAACAATACACAGCCTTTGAACAATCTCGATCCATGGAAAGACAGACACGCCTGCCAACGATGAAATACAATAGTGTAGAATGGAACGGAATGGAGTAAAGTACAGCACAGCGCTACGTCAGGTTCCGCACATGCGTATCGAACACATCGTTCCTCCAGCCTCCAGCATCGAACTGCTCGACCCTATCACCCGCCATCTCGGCCTCGTCATGCCAGATCTTGACGACGCTACCGGGCGCATACACGCCCTTGAAGACGCCTCTACCAGGCTGATCCACGCCGATGCGCACGTTCAAATCGGGGTCGTCTTCCGGCGTCAAGCGCGCGGCCACGGCGCGGAGGAAGGTCCACAGATCATCAGGGCTCGCGATGCGCGTGGCGCGCAGGCGTTCGCGCGCATACAGCAACTCGCGGTTCGCAGCGTGCAGCAGGTCGGCGATAGCGCTAGCGAGCTGGACTTCCATGGTGGTTTTCAGCAAGGGTCGCAGGAGCGGCTTGATCAGCCAGCCGAGCCATGATAGTTTGGACTTGCGCAGCTTGTAGTTCAGCTTGTGCACGCGCACGCGCACGCCGCGCAGCGTGAGGATCTGCTCGAGACGCTCGCGGCACACCTCTACTTCGAGGTGGATGTCGATGCCGCGCTCGTCCAGGGCGAAGGAGGCGATGCCTTCGTCTGCGAGCCGGAAGAGTGGCCCGCTGTGCGCGCGCAGCCAGAAACCGACTTCGTCGGCGCGAGCCGAGAGCCCGTCGATCTTGATGAGCATCATGTGCTTTGTGCTGGCACCTGTGCGGAAGCGCCACTTGCGGATCTCGAGGTGGTTGTATGTCTCGATTTTCAGACGGTAAGGTAGGAAAGAGGTGTGGTTTACGGTGCGACCGGGCTCGATGATGAGGTTTTCTAGGAGGAGGTCGATGGCGGGGGTGCTGACCTCTAGCCGGGGAATCGGGACATATTGGATGGCGGCGATGACCAGGGGAATGAAGACATGGAGGGAGTCTTGGATAAGCTCTGAGTTGATGAGAGAATCAGATGGGGATAGAGTGTGGATGATGCGGATGGTAGTTGTCACGAGGTTATTGACATCGGTATCCCTGAGGACGCTCTGCAAGGTGACATAAAGTTGTTGTAGAAGTTCATCGACATCCCGTCTCAGGCTGCTCTCTGATCCGACTTGTCTGCTTTTCTCTCGGAGATTTTTGATCTTCTCGTCAGCATTGCTGAAGAACTCGGGGTCTGTCAGGAGCTTCTGCACGCTATCTCCAACCTGCTGCATAAGCTCCTCAAACTCTGGGTCTTGATCTTTGTGGCTCACAACCTTTTGGAGAAGTTCTTTGCACTTATCCCAATCCTCTTTGTTACCAAAGCTCCGGATGAACTCCCAGAGGTTGGTCAAGGCGCGATCGGCCTCTCGGTTCTCACTGATGTCTTCCTGGGCCGTTTCCACAACCTCTTCCACAGCACGCGAATACACCAAGGCATATCTCTTGATTAAGAGAGCTAGTGTCGATACCGAGTCGGAATAGTCTTTCCGCTTCCTCAGATTCAGAATTGCTGTCTGAAGACGTTTTAAGAGCGCCTGTCCCTCATCTCCAGAGGCCTTGTCTTTGGCGCTTTCAATAGCTGCACTCGCAACATCGGCGCCACTGTCTTTTACGACTTTAGCGACATCTTCAACCTCATTTTCCAGTTTGTCGGCAGAGGGTGGCCCGCCGTTGGTCTCTAACTGTATTACGTCGTTCTGCTCTCCAGGGGACGGTTCAAGCTGCTTCACAGCTTGCTCAGCGGCGTCACGCAAGGCAAATGCTGAGTCTGAAAACACCTGTCTACCAACCACAGTAAGATCTCCGAGAAACGTACGAAATTCAGGGTTAGTGAGAAGTAAAGACCCAACGGTGCGCAGGCTCTGGTAGGCAGCGGCAGTATCGGCCTTGGCCTTAACCTTCTTCGCTCGCGCAGTAAGGTCTTCAACGTCAACGGATACCCTACTCTTGGTGAGGAACCAAACCAGATCCTGAAGCTGGTCCTCGCTGTTTTTGTTGCTCAAGAGTTCAATGAACTGGTGGAGCCACTGCTTAGTTAAACGCACGAGTCTCCGGCCAGAGCTGGACAATTCGGGATTGTCTGGGTTCAGTAAGTCGCTCGCTAAGAGTGTCCGAAGATTCACGATCGTCTGAGTCGTGCTAGGCATGTATCCCTTGGATAATGCACGATACATTTGGTAGCTGTGAAGCTTCTGGGCGAGCTCGCGCTGCAAGTGGGTATCTTGCTCATACTGGGGGAGGAGTGGCTGTTGTTCGGGATCGCCATCTCCTCTTCTCAGCCCAAAGCACGATGAAAACATCCTGGGTAGGGGTAGCCGTCCAGCAGCACAGAATGCAAAGAGTGTGGTTGTGGGAGATATATATCGAAGCAACTAAGCGTCGACAAGACAATTTGTCTCGTAGCAAAACAAAACGTATGATGAACCAAGTCACGTCATTCCTACAACATGAAAGAGACTCATAGATTTAGTCTCATGGCCGGAAGATACGAAGGTCGGCAGTTGAAGCTTTGACTTTCACATACCGACCAGACACCGAATATGGTGAAGTAGTAATGACGTAGTATATCATGAGCTGCTAGCCCAATACAGTATGAAAACAAACGAAACTGTGTATATGCACTGTGCTCATGTCTTCGTGGCTTAGACCTAGCTATGTCACATTGATTGTTTACGGGTTGAATATCCTGACTATGCGATACATGGATCTGATCACTAACATTGGATCTTGAATGAGAATGGGTAAACATTTGACTACGGCCGGCTCACTAGCGTCTACTTCACTTAGAAGCGACCAGTCTTCCTCGTATGGCAATACGAAGCATGCGAGAAGACTGCTAATCTCCTAAATATGTTCCTAAGATGTGGAATGAAGTCCTAGACATATTCTGCTATTCTCTTTCCACGTACACACTACTCTATGCCCTCCTCTTGTCTGCGTATAGCAGCCTCTCAACCACCGTCGAATTATACGTTGGTCTTACTGCACGGGTCAGGCCACAGGCCCTCCGCGGTATTAAATGCGAAATAACAGGGTATCGTGCATTCCAGCAAAACAAGGCGCCAATGCCGCAAGCCTTTGCTTGAGGCTCCTTCTACAACGCCATAAAGCAACCATGCTGTTGCCTGGGGGTGGGGTAGGGTATCGAAAAAGTGACCGGAGCTATGAAGCTACTGCTTGTAGAATAAGCTCAGCGCATCTGGGCGCCGTCGTCAAGCATGACGATGGAGATGAAGGTATAACTACAAGGGAAAATGTCGATGCGAGCGCGATTAACAGGACTGACGTGAGTATACTACGAGATTACCTATGAGGCGCTAGAATCCAAAGCTAGCACTTTGGTTTTGTCACCTAGGAATTCCTGTCTGTGTTTGACGATGGCCTTGGTGATACGATCGAAGTCTTTGACTCGGTTGGCTTTGAGGTCATTAAGCACCCTCTTCAGCCCTTCAATGAACTTGGTCCTCGTTTCTCCCACAAACATGTCCGCAGAGCCAAGCTGCGTAATGATCTCGGCATCTAGAGTAATACGCCTTGAAGTCAGTAATCCAACGAGGGGTTGGTCCGGGACAAAGGGGCTTGGCTGAGGTTATAAAGTAGGTAATGTTCATAGACTCACCCTGAAGAATCATCGAATCGAAATGCTGATACTCGCAACTGGAACCCTTAGGGCAAGGTTCTCCAGCAAGTACCTGGGGGCACAGTTCCCGCATTGGGTCAATCCTAGCATTAAAAGTCATGGATTTTAAGCCACCAGAAACTTCCTCAAAGTATTTGGGGTGGAATCTGTAGGCACGGAAATATGAAAGAGGGCTCTTGTATGTGAGCAAATCCTCCAAGGGAGATTTGTTTTGACTATCCTGCGAAGTAGTCAGTAGGAGAGGCTCCTCACTGGAGCGGCTTTTTACTTCGTTGCTTGTCTGCTCCGATTCCTGGTGCTCCTGATCAATGGAGGTGTGGATCGGACTTGGCTCTTCGGGAATATCATCGAATTCCTGTCACTTAGTGAGTAAATAGCCCCCAGGAAAGGGAGGACTTGGATTACTTCTGTAGCTCGTTGCTCAACGTTTTCTCGAGTAGCTTGAGAATCAGATATCTCAACCGGCATAGGTTCGTACGTGTCATCATCGCTTTGAGATAAATCTGGAACGGATTGCTGCATCGAGACATCAGACTCGCTCGATTCATCATGCGGTTCGCTTGAAGAGCTGCTAACAGCAGGAGCTGCTGACTCGACAACAGATTTAGCCTCAGGATCTGTACTGGTGGAAGGCTCTTCAACTTTTTGTTTCGTCCCGTCCATCGTTTCGATCATATGAGGTTGAACTAAGCCATCGGCATCTAGAGAGCTCGGCGAAGTATCTTCTTTAGGTGTTTCGTCGACAATAGGCGTGGTATTAGCAGTGCTAGAAGCGGGCAAGTCCGCATCAGTCATTTCGAGGTCTATAGTATTAGTCTTCTGGGTAGTATCAGCGACTTGAAGTGACTCGTCGTGAGTTAGTTCGGTGTCCACATCTGCCCTAGCTTCAAGTACAGGTGAATGCTCGTCGTGCGAGGATTGCGGTTTGACTAAGCACTCATCCTCAGCATTATGTTGACTATTGGAAACTAAAGTCGGCTCTGGGGGAGGCGAAACTGCATGTAGGTGAGTGGTCTGCAGAGATATTGGTAATACAGGAAAAAAAAAAAACTTACCATCCCTTGGTACCGGCTGCTGCTCATCTGGCTCTGGAGAATCTGTAGCGCTGGGGCTGACTAACTCTTCCATCTCCGCCTTGAGCTCTTGTTCCTCAGCTAAGCTGGCTTGCACCTCAAGTTCTAGTCGCGCGGCTTCAGCAACGATCTGCCTCAGTTTATCCTGCTTCTCCTTAAGAGCAGCACTAACACGGGGCAGCTCATAGCTCACGATCCTATCACGTCTATTATGAGTAGCCTTGATCTCCGTGGTGTTCCTATCAGTCAGCTTCGGTACGCTGATTGTTTGTTCCACAGCTGGACTTAAAGGTCTAGGTGACAACTGTGTCGTTGCCTTCTTCGCAGCTGTTTTTGCCTCGGCTTCAGCTATTTGCCGCTTCAAATCTTCAATTCGCTTATTTAGTACATCGACCCTGGCTCCGTGAATTGGTGGTGTAGGGGCAGAACTCGAGACTGGGCTGTCTTGTTGTCGTCGACTTGGTCCGTCAGAAAGCGGTAGGAACGAGTTTAATGCCTGGCGAGTAGTTGCAGAACTAGAGTCCACCGGAGGAAGATCATCCGTAGGAGAGCCTATTTCCATCTCCACATCCTCATCGTCACTAACATCAATTACCAACCGCTCATCAGTCCGGGTGCGTTTGAGTGTTTCAGAGCGAGGTGTGTAATTGTCAAAATCAGAGGCTACTGGCCGCTTCAAGCTTCGGTTTGATCCTTGTGGTGGTTGAGGTAAGGCGAGCGATTGGAAAGACAATCCAGGAATGCCTTCATCATTCTGGTTTACCTGAGGTGTGGTAGATGAGATTTGCTGCGTTTCGCTTTGCTGAATGGGAATAGTCGATCGAGACTTGGGCGTAGAGTCGCCGTTATGGTTTGTGTTCGGTGGACTGGGGCCTGTCCGCGCGGGAGATGAAACAGCTGTGCTTTCATTTGAGGCAGCCTGAGCTTTATCGGCTGCTGACTGAGCCTGCTGTCTTCTCAATGCAGCGAGCTTCTGCTGTAGAATAGCAGTGTTTTCGGCCCGAGTTTTAGGGACGTTTAACGGTGTGTTTGTGGCATCCGACTTTGTTCCTACCGAAGCGACAACTGCAGCAGGGGCTGGGGGTGCGATCGTGGCCGGTACTGGAGCTGGCGCTGGAGCGGAAACAGGAGCAGGCGCCGGAGCAGGCACAGGTATAGGTGTCGATACTGAAGCACCTTGTCCCGGCGATTGCGTAGTTGTCGTTTTCTGTGCCATCGCGGCAAGCTTGCGCGCAATCTTATCCTTACGCTCCTCCGCAGCAGACTTCTGTGTCACTTTAGTCTCGCTACCTTTGTCCTTGTTATCCTTGTTGTCGGGTTGCTTGGCAACTTCTGGTGGCGCTTGTGTTGCACTCATTAATGAAGTTTGTGGTTTGTGCGACGCATTTTTTGTTGGGGCGGTGGCTGCAACAGGAACGGGCGGTGCATCGCTAGTGGTTTGTGATACCACTGAATTGGATTTCGAGACAGGTACATCTAATCCTATGTCCTTGAAAAGAGCCTTGACGACGTTTGCATCAATTCCCTCTTCAATATAGTCCTGATATCGAACCTTTAACGACCATAGGCCAAGTATCGCTTCCTGGGCTTTCTTCTTAGCTTCTAGAGGGCTTCGAGGTAGCGATGAACCATTAATGAAACCTTCATGCTTAGTAGCCGAGGATGCAGTGGGAGGTTTGCTGGGAAGACCTGAGGAAGCCGGTGTGATATCCTTAGATTTTAACAACGTGTCGGAAGTCTTAGTTGCAGGTACATGATCGGTAGCTGGAGAAATTTAGTTGTATACAGCATGTTCAGGATTTGAGTATACGTACCCTGTGTATCGCGAGTTGTGGCCTTTGCCATAGAAATTTTGCGGTGTACTTCTCTGGGGGAGAGATATGGCGAGTATGACCCCGACCGTTCTCTGTCTGGATATGATGGTTCCCAGTCATCATCCATGGGATAATCTTGCTCTGAGTCAGCTGGAGGATTTTCCACGGCTTGAGCAACAGCGTTATCCTGAATAACATGGGGGTCGTGGGGATCGTAGATGGAAGAACCCTCGGCATCGCCAACGCTGCCGTTACCACTATCCAAATTGTTTAAGGATCGGTTTGATTTGGACTGGCGTTCAACTTGCGAGACGTCTTTAGGAGTGTTGATCGAATCCTTGGGGTCATAGAGGTCTTCGAACTCGCCTAACTCGCCATCTTCGAGAGGGACGACTGGTTGTGGGTAAGAGGCAGGCGGTTTCTGAATCAGGGAAGCAGGAGGCGGTTGTTGGCTCTGGAAGAAGTTATTCGCGTGCGCATTATGTCCTTGGGTGGGCCATGGTTGAGATGTACTGGCTGAGAATGTGGTAGCCGGGAGCATCTGTGCCCCTCCAAGTCCTAATCCAGGTATCCTATTTAAGTTGTGATCATATGCATTATGAGTTGCCACGTAGTTTGCGGGCGGTATTACCCCATTTCCAGGTGTGGGATAAGAGTAGGGTGGATGCGCGCTCGGTGAACCCAACATTGAAGGGTAGGAAGAGGGTGGAGGATAATGGCCAGTGTACTGGCCATAACCGTGAGGATTGTCGGCCATGGAGGAGCTAGTCGAATGAAGCGTTGAATAATAGGAGAAGCCGCGATAAAGGCAAGATGGTAGTTTCTATATCGATATGAATCGTCGTGGGTGCTACCACCGTCAATCAATGCCTAAGAGAGCATACGCCAAATGTAGCCACCCCTAGAAATAAAGATGAGCTGATCGTCTTTGTGTTGAGCTGTCTCTTCCAATGCTAGGTTGAATGTTCATTGCAGACCACGTTGTGAATGCCTACAGTTAAGCTACTGATGCACTAAGCGATGTGGTGTAGGATAAATGGATAGATATACGTAGCAGCCAAAGAAGTCGTGGTGAAAGGAGCGCTAAACAAACTGGAAAGTATTGTGACCAGGAATCTCTGCTTTATATGGCGCGACACCAGGTATACTATGGTAAAGAAATCAAAGAAGCGACGGAGAATGAGCGAGGGAACGATATCGTATTGCGCGTGTCTCAGTGCAGCCTCGCATAAGGAGACTGTTGGGAGGTTGGTCTGATATGTGGTGATAATATCTAGGTCAAGTGCAGAGATTCACTTTAGAGACACGATACCTAGGTAGGTACTGAACACTAGCCATACATATTCCTGCTGACTAATTGTGGCGGTGCAGTGGCGCCACCATTCTCTGCCCTCCTAGATAGCCAATGCCCTAGGTAGTAGGTAGAATATAACCTCTGCCAGACTCTGCATAACCCTTCAAAGAATACAGCGCAATTCACTTCCTTATCCCTTCTGCAGTTCTACCAAAAACCAAGTAATCTTCATCTGAGCTCGTTTATGTAATTTGATAAGGGTACAGTTATCAGAAAGCGATGCCGCCAGCCGATCTCAAAGACATACTAATATTACAGTCGAGTCGAGTTTGGCCTACATACGCTTGACTTTGTGGACTTACACACTACCGCCAATGTCAAACATGTCCTCTCAATGGGTGTCAGTCTGGTATATCCAGTAAATGTCGTCATCTATGTCTTTCATGGCATTTCAAGGGTTTGCTCATCTGGCATTCAGGAATACACTTGCTTGCTGCTCCGAACTATATACCTGACTCTCCTATATACACCAGGCACCTAACTTTGCAATATGTCTTCAATTGTATTTGGAACCTTGGCCTACGGATCCTCCACTCCCCAAGATTGTAGAGATCGACTGCTTATCGGGCCAATGTCAAAAGGCCTGGACGATATGGCAATTTATCATAAGCGCCGCCGGAGTTAGGAGCTTTCCCTTGATAGAGAAGCTGCAGGTTACATGGATCGATGGTCATTGTCTGATCGGCGTTGCTACGGATGAGATCACCGTGACTAATATCGTTGGTCCAACTGGCGCCGCTGTTTGCCTTTCCGGCAAATGGCGCGTTCTCGGATGTAGCCTGTGGCGTCCATGAGCCGCCCAGACTGGTCGCTGTGTATGAACGGAAGTATCGCCCCTGCGATCCGATTGATTCCACAATCATCAGATACTTGTTTTGGCCTTGAACGGTGTAGACCTGGACGGCCTCGAACAGGTTGTTGGTCGAGTCGCTTAGAACGACGGTCGAAGCCGAGCCAAAATTGCCCGGGAAATTTCCAATGGGCATGCTAGCTCGGTAGATCTTGCCATTGTCCCCTGCAAAGAACAGGTACATGTTCGAGCTGTCGCCAATAAGGGTCTGATCGATCGGGCCCGTGCTGGAACCTGAGATACTACCAGTGAAAAGGGGTTGGGCAGAGGACCATCCGTTTGGATTGCTAGGGTCGCTCGATGTCTTGTACGAAAACGCAGTAGGCCCCCACTGGTAGGCAAGCACCCAGATGTTCTTTGGAGCGAAAAAGAACAACGTGGGCGCAACGGTACCCTGGCTCATACCATTCTGACTGGCCGAGCTCATCCTGCTCCAGTCTGAGAACAGTCCAAAATTCATCGAACCCCACGATGATCCGGAATCGTGCGTGGTCCCGTAGACGAGGTATTGGCCATTGTAGGGGACGGCGGTGAAGTCCTTAAGAGAGACCCAGCCGGATTTCGGATTAGCTAGAGCTCCCGTTGATGTCCATCTGTATGATGAAGGAAGAGAACATTGCGCCGCAGCACAGGCTGCGGACACGAGAAGAACTAAACTGCGCAACATTGGGCTTGCGTTTCTGTACTCGGTGGGATGTCAATGAAGATCAGATGTTGGATGCCAGAAGTCCAAGTGACGAAGGGCAAAGCAGCCACTCTTTGGGCTTTTGTAGTTTAGAACTATAGTCTTGAGGCCAAGGCTATTAACCTCATGATGCATCGGAGGCTAGCCTCCGTTAATTAATGACGGCTTATAATACTGAAACTACGCGCATCCCCCACTGGTGGAAATGGTAACGCCGGTAGAGTGGGGCTCCGGATCGCGAAGGAGACGGAATGACCACCCCGAGAAGAGCCGTGTAGTCGGAAACGGGATTATCATTTGAGCCTCCGTCTTAGAATATTCATTCTCGGTCTATTCGGGGTTGGTTTAAGGAACCATAAGACTACATTAGACATCCACGCCCCACCCTTTTTCCGCTTTGCAATTGCGTACCTACAGTACACAACTTGGAAGTAAGAAAGATAATAACTCTGAAATGAGGGCATCTGGTTGGCGCGGCTACTATTCTGTTTAACCGGGGAGGTGATTAGTGCGGCTACACCTCAGTTTACTTGTGACTCCGAGTACTTGAATTTGTCCTTGTTGTTTTGCTAAGGGGCTCCGCTGCATTGAAACCTCTGACAAGACGATTGAGAATTATGGACTCACTTACCTTGGTGCTGCGAGAAGCCACCACGGTGTTGGAAGGCCCTCTCATACTGGGATTGATTAAAGCAGGCACCCGTTGAAAGCTGTTTGTTGGATCGAGATTATGCATGTATGTCCTTATGTTCCGTCTCCAAGGTCGAAACGGTTGAGTAGAACCTCCCTCAAGAGGCAGGTGGAACTAATAGGCATCATCAACAATTCGATGACAGCCTACAGGCTCTATGGAATAACAACTTATCTGGGTAACTAATCATCGTTTGAGACATCCAATAATCTACCCAGTATGACATGATTTGCAGGCCATATGTAGGTACCTACATACATAGGTAGTACTACCTACTACCTACCGTAGCAGGTATTCCTGAAAGACGTAAAAACAGTGTGAAAGAAGCTTGGACTGTACACCACGCTTACTATACGCCTACTATAAGCAACTCTTGCACACAGTATCATGTCATTATATACTGTATATACCTTGCAACCCCGCTCGGGCCGCCTATTTCTAACTCTGTTCGTAGTGCCAATAAAGAGATTGACTAATGAGATGACGAATGAGGTATGCCAAGAATCGAATTGTTTACTTTTCGGCTCCCGTTGCTATGTGCAGTATCAACAACCGTATTCGGCCTTGCAGCAAGTGCTATGACCGCACGATCGCAGCGCACCTGCCTCACTATGTGAGCGACATCGTTTGATCTCACCACCTACTCGGAGGCTGTATCGTGACAACAACTAGAACATCCCCTTCGTTCTAGCAATCTTCTACCTGCGGGATTGTCCGTTTGTAAATTTGCTGTTCATCTAATCTCGTGTGGCTACGCGCGCGCTGCGCGTTTCGTGATGGCATTGCATCCAGTCTGTCGATATATTATTGATTTGCCCGCCTACGCATCCCATCAGCAGAACAACACATCACCAAGCCGACCTTGAAGTCGCCCACCATCTACTAATGAACCCGCGACGTCGAGGTCCTTGGATAGCTCGAATGTAGCATTAAGTATCTCGTTGTCCTCGTCATGTCAGTACGCAACAATCCATTTGCCCGCATGGGCTCGCCATCCCCATCGCCCGGTCCCAATAACGCCGCTTCGAGCCGCCCAAAATCAGCTCTATTCTCTTCCCAGTCCCCCTTCTCAAACACATCCGCCATTACGACCCCTCCCTCGTCTTTACACAACCGTACACATTCGCACACGGCATTGTCTGCTACCGTCGCGCCGCCGGTGAACGGACATGCGCCACGTCAGCAGCGTGCCGACTCGAGGAATGGCTCGACCACATTTGCGCCTTCCTTCATCAAAACAGAAGATTTGAGGAGGAGCATAGACGTCGTAAGAGGCATCGAGGGCGAGAATGACTTTTCGGGGAAGAGATATGTCTGGCTTAAGGATCCCCAAACCGCCTTTGTAAGAGGTTGGGTCGTGGAGGAATTGGGGGGAGGTAGACTCCTCGTGCAATGTGACGATGGTAGTGTGAGTAGTTTCTGTGTAGCAAAAACGCGCCGCCATTCTTTGCTAACCGTCCGTCCCAGCAACGTGAGGTCGATAGCGAAAGCGTGGATAAAGTCAACCCTGCCAAGTTCGACAAAGCGAACGACATGGCGGAGCTGACACACCTCAACGAGGCCTCAGTTGTACACAATCTCCATATGCGATATCAGGCAGACCTCATATATACCTACTCCGGGCTTTTCTTGGTCACCGTTAATCCATATTGCCCCTTACCAATCTATTCCAATGACTATATCAACATGTACAAGGGACGAAGCCGGGAAGACACAAAACCACACATCTTCGCCATGGCCGACGAGGCATTCCGCAATCTCGTTAACGAGGGTGAGAATCAGAGCATACTAGTTACTGGAGAATCAGGCGCTGGCAAGACAGAAAATACCAAGAAAGTCATACAGTATCTCGCCGCGGTGGCCTACTCTGAATCCCCCATCAAGAGCAGAGGGCAGCGCTCAAATCTTTCGGAGCAAATCTTGCGCGCCAATCCCATTTTAGAAGCCTTTGGCAATGCGCAAACTGTGCGGAATAATAACTCTTCGCGATTCGGCAAGTTTATTCGTATCGAGTTCACTTCCAGTGGTTCCATAGCCGGCGCCTTCATAGACTGGTATCTATTGGAGAAGTCTAGGGTTGTGCGAATCAATTCCCAGGAGCGCAACTACCACATATTTTACCAACTGCTAGCCGGTGCTGACGATCGAATGCGACGGGAATTCAAGCTCAGTGGTCTTGATATTAGCGATTTTGTCTACACACGCGACGGCCACGATACCATCGTCGGCGTCTCGGATATCGATGAGTGGAACTCGTTGATGGAAGCCTTTCATGTAATGGGGTTCACCGACAAGGATCAAGACGCCATATTACGTACCGTAGCCGCAGTTCTCCACCTAGGAAACGTCTCAGTTGTCAAAGAGAGTCGCATGGCCGACCAAGCTCGTTTGGCTCCAGATGCTAAAGAAGTCGCAGCGCGCGTTTGTGCCTTGCTGGGAATCCCTTTAGAACCGTTCCTACGGGGTCTCCTTCATCCAAAGGTGAAAGCAGGCCGGGAATGGGTTGAGAAAGTGCAGACTCCTGAACAAGTGCGCCTGGGAATTGATGCGCTTTCAAAAGGTATCTATGAACGTGGCTTCGGTGACCTTGTCACCAGGATCAATCGCCAATTTGACCGAAGCGGATTAAGCCTCGATGATTCCCACTTTATCGGCGTTCTCGATATTGCTGGATTCGAAATATTTGAGGGAAACAGCTTTGAGCAACTGTGCATCAACTATACCAACGAGAAGCTACAGCAGTTTTTCAACCATCACATGTTCGTTCTCGAGCAAGAGGAATACGCACGTGAACAGATTGAATGGAAATTCATCGACTTCGGTCGAGATCTTCAGCCCACAATCGACTTGATAGAATTATCCAATCCCATCGGCATTTTCTCTTGTTTAGATGAAGACAGCGTTATGCCAAAGGCTACAGACAGATCGTTTACGGAGAAGCTGAACTCGCTATGGGACAAGAAATCTCCCAAGTATCGGCCTTCTCGACCTGGTCCTCGCCATGGTTTTATTCTGACACATTACGCCGCGGAAGTTGAATATTCCACTGAAGGCTGGTTGGAAAAGAACAAGGATCCTTTGAATGACAATATCACACGTCTACTTGCCGCGTCTACGGATCCACACATTGCCAACTTATTTGCCGACTGCGCTGATACTGATGAGGATATGGGAAATACTCGAAGTCGCGTGAAGAAGGGTCTCTTCCGCACCGTTGCCCAAAGACATAAAGAGCAACTGTCCAGTCTCATGACCCAGCTTCATTCAACTCATCCGCATTTCGTCCGCTGTATTCTCCCAAATCACAAGAAACGGCCAAAGCAATTCCATGCACCGCTCGTATTAGACCAGCTGAGGTGTAACGGTGTCCTCGAGGGAATAAGAATCGCTCGCACCGGATTCCCAAATCGACTATCATTCCGCGAATTCCGACAGCGGTATGAAGTACTCTGTAGAGACTTACCCAAGGGCTACCTGGAAGGACAAGCTGTCGCAGCGTTGATGCTTGACAAGCTGGGAATTGACAAGTCCTTGTTTCGCGTTGGTCTTACCAAAGTCTTCTTCCGAGCTGGCGTGCTTGCCGAGTTAGAAGAGCAGCGTGATGCCTTGATTACTCAGATAATGTCTCGGTTTCAATCTGTTGCCCGTGGCTATATCCAACGTCGAATTGCCTTCAAAAGACTCTACCGTACCGAGGCTACTCAAGTTATCCAGCGAAACTTCAATGTCTATCTTGATCTTTGTGATAACCCGTGGTGGCAACTTCTTATCAAAATGAAGCCTTTAATGGGTGCTACTCGTACGGCCGTAGAGGTGAAGAGGCGTGATGAGAAAATTCGGGAGCTTAACGAGAAAATGCGACAAGATATGGAGAACAGGATGCGGCTTGAAGAGGAACGGCGCAATTGTCACAATGAGCTGATGCGAACACAGCAAATTCTTGAGAGTGAACGAGCTCTAGCACTCGACAAAGAAGAAATATTCAAACGTCTTCAATTCAGGGAAGTAGAACTAGAAGAGGAATTAAAAGGCGCCATGGATGATCAAGAGAAGCTAGAAGATCAGCTCGATGCCCTCCTTGAAGCAAAAAAGAAGGCTGAACAAGATGTTGAACAATTCAGATCCCAGCTTGAACAAGCCGCTGGACTCATTGCGAGGCTGGAAGATGAGAAGTCAGAATTGAATACTCGGTCTGCAAACCTTGAAGAAGAGCTGGCTGAAATATCGAGAAAGCAAGCAGATCGGAGCGCGCAGGAGGCGGCTTTAGAAGATGAAGTCAAGATGCTCCAAAGCCAGCTCTCTTTGAAGGATCGCAAGGCGCGAGATCTTGAAGGCAAGCTATTAAAGAGCGAGCAGGATGCGGATATCAAACTCGCCGCTGCGCAGAAGGAGTTGCAATCGGTAAGGATGCGAGAACAAACCATTTCGCGCGACAATCGCGAGATTCAGCAGCAACTATCGCAATTATCTAAAACGTCCACGGAATATGAAGAGCTTGTGAGAAAGAAAGAGAGTGAACTCGCGCTCTTACGAGGAGACAACAAGAGACTTGAAATAGATCAG